TACGAACTCTAGAAACCCTCGTACCCCTTTTACTAATTATAGTACTTACTAGTCTAAAATAGCGTTAACCTTCGCGGGGTCTATCTTAATTCCTTCTTTAGTATTAATAATAAACCCGAGATACTTAGTAGAAGTAACTTCGAATTCGCTCTTATTAATATTAATAGGTAGTTCTACCTCTCTTAGTTTTTAGAGTACTCTCTTTACCTACGCTCTATATTCCTCGAGGGGCCCTTCTATAAAAATCAAGATATCGTTAATATAGGCTAATACGAATTTATCTAGGAAGTCCTATAGTACCTAGTTAATATATCGTTAGAATATACTTAGTGTATTAGCTAGATCAAATAGGGTTACGAGCCATTTGTATAGGCCGTACTATATTTTAAACGCCGTTATCTATTTCGATCCTTCTACTATTTAAAGCTAGTAAAAGGTAGTAATTATATCGAGCTTAGTAAACTATTTTACCTTCGAAATCTACTATAGTATCTTATTTATTAGAGGAAGGGGGTATTTATCCTTCCGGGTGATTTTATTTAGGCCCCTATAGTTAACGTAGAACCTTAGTCCTCCTCCTAGCTTCTTAGTAAATAGTATAGGGGCGGCCGCAGGTGAGTTACTTACGCGGATAAACCCTTTCTCTAGTAGTTCCGTAAGGGTTTTCCGAAGTACTAATAGCTCGCCTCTAGATATATTATAGAGGGGGCCTTAGAGGATCTTTAGCTTATTTCCCCGTTCGTTCTATTCGACTAGCTCGATTTTATGATCGATACCTAGTCTATATAGGGATAGCGTTTCTACTACCTTCTAGTCGAATATATCTAGGTACTTATAATACTACGGCGGTAGCTTCGTTCTAGAATCCGTCCGTAGCTTTACCTTTAGAGCCTTCTCGATATCCGCTATACTCGCTGCGAATATTTCGATAGGAGCTATCTAGTAAAGACTTCTATAGATAGGCTCTATTATTATCTATGCGCATAGCGTACTCTATATAGTAGGCTCAATAGGGGCCGTCTGGTGATAGTATCGCTAGATTAGCCTTATTAGTGCTTGTATACCTTGTCCTATAGACTCGCTAGGAGCCGTCTAGTGATAGTATCGCTAGACCGGCCTTATTGGTGCTTGTATACCTTATCCTATAGACTCGCTAGGAGCCGTCTAGTAAGGTCTTCGCCAGATAGATTCTAATATTATTTGTAGATAGTACCCTACCTCCTACTTATCGAGGTCTCCCTTTTGCGCCTTCTCCCTCCTTACTCTCCTATATAAGTAGCTAAAGGCTACGGCTAAAATTTCCTTTATATCTATTTTCCTCTATATATCTTCTACCTCTACTCTAACCCCTATTCGATTAAAAACTAATATCCTCGTCTGTTTTTCTAATAAGGTATTCTAATCCGCTATTTAATCCCTTCCTAATATAATATCGTACTCTACTACCCGCGGTAGAATATATATAAATATATACTCCTATTAGTTACCCGCGATATCTAGGGTTATATACTCTACTTCTATTATTATCTCGCCCGTCGGTCTATTTATATCGGAGAGTATATATAGTATAATTAGAATACGCTTAATATACTACTTTCTAATAAAGGCTAATATTATTACTCTATAGGCTCTATAGCTAGTATCTATTATAGTTCTAGCTATAGTAGTTTAATTTACTATAGTATCTATAACGATATATAGACTTTCTATCTTTCCTTTTTAGAACCTTTACTATTCTTATAGTATATCTTCTCGGGGCTCCTATATACGCTTTAATATAGAAGCTAGTCTTTTCTCTAGCCCGAGTAGTTGGCGTCCTCCTTCTCTTCTAGGTCTAGTGGTAGTCCCGACGCCGCTGGGGTTATATCTATAACCTATATTATTAGGCGTAGCAGTAGGTAAGAGTAAGCTATAATAAAGTAGCCTGCGCCTCCGTAGTATAGGTACCTATAGCCCTACCTACGCTTTTCTCTCTCTTTAGGCGACGCCCACTTAGTACGACGAGCTAGCTTCTAGATAGTACTATTAATATCTATAGGGTCCTCTTAAGGGACCGCTAGGGCGAGAGCGCGGGGCTACTAGTTCTAAGAGCTCTATACTTTATAACCTTGGAGCCTAATACGCTAGGCCTAGGCTACTCGCTATACCTCTCTAGACCTATTATCTATTCGTCTAAGGAGGGAGTAGTAGTCCTCGTAAGACTCGGGGGTATCTACTCTAATTATATACTCTAGGAGCTTAGGGTCTAGGGCTATCTATAGTACTTCTATCTTTGCTATATTGTCCTAAGTATAGCCTCCTACTTCTATAATAACTTAATTAAATTCTATAAGAAACTTAGCTAGTACTCGCTTCCCTTAGCGTATAGTATATACCCGCCGCCTAGCCTTCTTCTACCGAGCTAGATCGACGAAAAGGTAGTCTAGATAAGTATAGAAATATACTAGTATAAACTAGCTTGGGTCGTACTAGTTACGCTCTATCTAGGGAAGGACTCTCCTCGCTACTACTCCTTCTAGTCGGGAGAAAATATACTATACTCACTAGCTAGGGCCCCTAATTAACTCCCTATCTACTATAAGTTTAGCGTTAACTTCTATTCTCTATAATAGATAGTCTAATAGTCTTTCTCTACTAAACTTCTCCGCGTTTAGTAAGGTAGGTTTTAGCCAATTAGGATATAGTAGTATCTATATCGAGGGGGCCGGTAAGGCTTAGGGGGTAAGATATACTACTAGGGGTATCCCCTACTCCTATACTCTCTCTCTTAGCGTGGCTAGCTGCGCTATTAAGGTTCTAATCTACTCCGTCTACCTCTCTATAAGGGTACTCTACTACTCTAGAAAAGCTCCTAACTAACTCGGTGGCTAGTTACTATTCTACTATCTATTTCTATTATTCTCCTAGCCCTAACGTTAGTCTTCCGCTATATCTATTACGTTCTAATCTTCTATTCTAATATTCCTATACTAATATTTCTAATATCTTCTATATACTCGATATACCTAATATATTTAATATAACTAATATATCTAATATAACTAATATATGTAATATAACCAATATATTTAATATAACTAATATATCTAATATAACTAATATAACTAATATAATAATATATTTTATAATATTAACGGCCGAAGAGAGTTCTATTTAACTAACTAAGGGTATCCGTAAGTCGAAGACAAAATATATAGGGAAGAAGAAGAAAGGAGAAAAGGAAGGAAGTCGGTAATAGAGGATAGAGCTATAGCTCTAGGCGTTAAGGTTATATAACCGTATTAAGGGTCACGTATATAAGAGTAAAAGGGGGAGTCTAGTAATAGTATCTCTAGATAGGTCTTACTACCTCGTTAATTATAGAGCGCGCGGTGACCCGAGAAGGGAATAGGGGTCTAACCCCTTATATATCCTAAAGTATATTTGTCCCTTGGTCTATATACTACTCTCTCTTTCTCTTATATTCCCTCTGGGTATATGTACGAAGGATAGAGGAGAGGCCCTCTCCCCGTAGGGTAGGGTGGGAGTTAATATTACTACTTCTCTAAAATAACTATAGGTCTACTAAGGCAGAGACATAGGAGTAAACGGAGCTCCTACTTAAAGTCTGCTTAATAGGATTCCTATTCTGGTCCGTACGGGCCTTCTTATAGCGGGATTCTCGAATCTCCCTCTTAAGGACCTCCTATTTAAGGAACCAGATCACCTTCTTCTCGGTGACTATCTCCCTATCCTAGAATTTAATCTTCTTATAGAATTTCTACCCGCCCGTACGATCCCCAGCATAAATTAGCGGAGTAGATAGATTAGAGAGAGGAGAGAGTATAGAGTATAAGCACTTACCCTCTACTCTTCTTGCTTTGGCTCGTACGATAGCCGTGTATTTCTAGATCGACTCTGCCGGGTCTTAGCTAGAGCTTGCTCTCCGTACTGGAATAGCCGAATATTAATCGCTATCTACTAATCTACTACGGATAAAGATAATGATAAGGAGTCCTCTATTTTAATTACACCGTACGGCGCCAAAATAGGGGTAAGGTAGGGGTTATAAATTGAACTACATGAGGTTGTAGGGAGGCTGTATGATACCGTACGAAGAAGAGGAGAAGAAGGAAAGAAAAATACGTGACGAGGCAAATTTAACTACGCTAGATATTTGGTGGCTTGGCATAACCCTTATAGTAACGCAGGTTATAACCAAACCTTTTTCCCCCCCATATAACTATTAAATATCTAGTTAACTATTAATGCTTTGTCAAAACTTCAACATCTGCCTACTATTAGTGTGGGCTCACTCCTTTTAGTGTAGTGGTAGATTCTGATATGCTTTTACTGTTAACGTTTGCATACTGTGTCAAATACAGAGAAGAGTTTATTCTTCAAGGTCTGGTCAAACTGCCAACTCCTGTGTGAAAAATTCCTTGGAAACTCGAAGGAGATCGAAGATCGAAGAGCTCTACAATAAACTCCGCTTGAGTCCTGGAGCTCCATCGGCTGAAAGTGAAGCCGATAATCACTATGTATACTTTGATAAAATGTCCTAGAAACTTGTACGAGTTTGATGGCGACTAGTTCACAGTGGAAGCCTGGCGGATGGGATGAGGAAGATCCTTCGGAAGGATTGTTAGAGATTATATTGATAGCAAACTGATGGAGCTTTTGCATTGTTAGGCTTGGTTAAACAGTAGAGTAGGGATACGGATGGCCAAATAAAGCGCTATGGATTGACCTAACATTCAGTCGCTCGATCTTGTTGAGATAAGGCATGCTAGAATATAAGTATGTTCATAAATCCAGTCCTCCTACTTCATAACACTTTCAGGGATTTCACAATTCAAAATATTAAGATATTTACTCATAACACCTGCTCTCTCAGCTCAATATCCAGTCCCCCGGCATCATCATAAGATATGGACCGAGTGCACGAGCCCGCTAAAGATGGTGCACATACATAGGCCGAAGTCCTTGTAGGGTAGTCCGGAAAGACGTATATATATTAGCTAAGACTTCTTTTGCCAGTGTATTCCCTTGTGCTCTAGAGCCATGGTAGGTTCCATCTCAATGGATATTTGATTTATGACCCCCTCTGGACTAAGGATGAATTTCCCCCTCGTGGCAGAAGTTGCGCCGTACATCAACGTGCCAACTATCCAGAAATCACCAGTAACATGTCTGAGCTCCAGGATAAGTGCTGAGCCACCGAAAGCACTCTGGGAAAGTTTGGCACAGAGACGGTCTGCTCCTAACTTCCGTTTGCCGGATAATTTAGGAAATAGAGAGTGCGTGGGGCATTCGGTGGTTATTTTGAGAGTCGGGTAGGCAGGATGTGTATATACGCCTTCGTAATCCGATAGTTTGAGAGAAGGGGGAAGAGGAGGGTTAGGAATACGTGGATAGAGATCCTCTAAGACTCTTGGAGAGATCTTAGTATTCTCTAACGTGGCTTCTGCCCTACAATTTGACGTTATTGGTGAATATGAAGCTTTTTTTGTATTAATGGAGGGCCGTTACTCAAATGGACATACCTTTTTCTCCAGTTCGGCCGGTCTTTCTCTTTAATCCCGAGAATATCATCGATTAGGTGGTTTCCAAGTAGTGTCACAGCTGCGTTTGTGCCAATCATGTTATTTCCTAGGATAACAAATCCGATTTTCCTCTTTGGTAGGAAACACACAAGGCTCCCAAACCCTTCTATCCCACCCGGGTGTTGTATTATTACTTCGCCAGCATACGTACGCAAGAACCACCCAAATCCATACAAAGTGGGCGACGTATCTGGGGTGATTGGCTCCGGAGAGATAATAGTATGGCCCCCCAAGACTGCAGCGTAACCTGCTGCCGAAATTGGCGGGCTACGATGTATCATCGCTTGAACCCACTTAGCGTAATCAGCCGCAGAGGTGATGATGTTACCGGCCCCACGGATGCTGTCGTGGAAAGACAGCTCCGTGTCTTGCAGCTGGCTCGTCGAATTCAAAAAGTATCCTCGTGCAATTTCTTCTCCCGCCGCCTGAGCATCCGACAAAGAAACATACGTTTCCGTCATCCCTAGAGGCTTCAAGATTCGCTCGCGTAGCACATCCTTAAATGGCTGTCCCGTCTTAATCTCGATAAGATGCGCGGCCGCCATATACATCAGGTTGCAGTAGTGAAATTTAGTACGAATGGTTGATGTAAGCGGAAGATACCTCATTTTGCGAACAGCCTCCTGTAAACTCATGTTGGCAAACCAAACCCAATCATGGCGAGGCATGCCAGAACGATGAGAGAGCATATCCTCTATTGTGACTTGGGTTGTAAACCACGGATCGTTAAGGGTAAAGTCGTCCGGGATAATACTATGGACGGGTGCATCCCATTGAATCTCGGGAAAGTTCTCATTATCGTCAACAAGAAGTGATATCAGCGCTGCCGTGAAAGCCTTTGTTGTACTGCCTCCAAAAAAGAGTGTGTGCTCTGATACTGGCTGCGAGGTTGCGAGGTCCGCAACACCATAGCCCTACAAAGGCACAACTAGTTAAATATGACGAAGTATAGAGAATCAGGCTTGAGAGGGTAAAAGTGGGAAAAGTCGAGAGTGCGGAAAGGGAGTGTGCTAACTTTCGTAGAGACTCTGCTACCATTGATAAATGATATTGCGAGTCCTGGTACTTTAAACTGCTCCAGAGACCAGGTAACCTTCTCCTCAAAGGCGATACTTGGATGGTACACTGCATGGGAACCGAAGCCCAAGGGAGTTTGCTCGTAGTTGCATCCTTGGGCAACCCATGAACAAAGAAGTAGAATTGACTGGTAAAACGACATCGAAAGGCGTTGTGGACGGCTGCTATCAAAACTTAATCCTTGCTATTGTCAGCAAAGCCAACTTGTTTGAGAGAAATGTAAAATAATCTTGTAAACCAAGAGTTGACAGCCCTTTTGTATTCTGGGAGAACGCCCAGTTATTAGACGGTCTGGAACGAAATCATCTCCCTAGCGGTTCAGCTGGTCACACGTGATCTGGGGCTGTAGCGCCTCGCTATCAATCCATCAATAGACTGTTTCACACTACTCCGGGCTCGGATTTCACTCATAAGCTGGTGCATTCAGCCTATAACTTCCCTTTTCTGTACGGGCAGACTACCCAGTAAGACACTTCATCTTATTTATTTATTAGTCAGCGTACTTTTATCCTAAAGTAGTTTAATCCCCATTCACAGCATTATGTCAAGACGATGGCAGAACATGCGAAATCCAAACACTTTTCTTTCAATCGGTTTGTTGTTGTAGTTAGTTTTCTCGGAAACTGCCGGCGCTAATTTGTTTAAATTATGGGTCTATTGCTGCGCGTCTAATCTACTAATAAAAATCCAAGACAATCGCGCGCTAAATATCATGTGACTATCAAAATCTTGCCCAAAACCTCAAACCTCGAAAATTATCATCATACAGCAACTTTCTCACTCAGGTGGCTTCTATCCCTATGACCTGAGCATCAAGGTCAACAACTGGAATGTCAAATAAGCAGAGGGGCAGAGATCAGATATCTTTGATGGATGCAGCTGTTGGGGAGTGGCAGAGAGAAGGTTTATCGAGTTCAACTGCAGTGCTCGATCACCTGAAAGGATCTTAATCGCGTTCTCAAACATTGCTAGCATTGCCATTGCAGCATCAGCATTGAGCAAATTATTGTCGCTGGTTATTGTTATTTTAAGAACTCTACCGTTCGGGCGGGCAGATATCTCAATGTTAGTCGGTGCAGCGTAGGGCTTTCGGAACCAGTCAAGCTTTGCATTGCTGAAGTTTGAATCCGTACGGAGAGTAACTTCCGGAGTTTCGTCAATGTCATGGTACTGAAGTAATGTGTCAAACTTAGTTTCGCTTGGCCACTGGGTGCAACTTTCCACTATGTCTCGGAAGCCCAATGAATCTGCTTCTCCCATGGAAAGATACTGGTCCATGACATGATGCTGGAGATCTACCGTTGTCCGCAGGGAATCAAAACGAACCCGGACCGGGACCGTGTTCATGCAAGGACCGACAACTTTCTGGATCTGCGGCATGCTAGTGTTACGGCCCGCAACAACGAAACCGTACACTACATCCGCTCCCCCAACGATCTGTCTAAGGACTAGCGACCACGCTGAACTCACAAGGGATGCAATAGTGGTGCCTTTTGGTGGAACTGGCAACGTGAGTGCCCGTTCAACGTGAGTTTTAGATGCCGTAAGCGGTGGGACTTCCATTCTAAATTTTGTGGAGATTTGAGTCATATTTGATCCTTGAAGAAGGTTTCTCCAGTATTTTCGCGACTCATCTGCCCTTCCGAGCGTATATGATACAAAACTGGGGAAAGCCTGAGTCGGGCTCCGTGGAACTCCGGCATATGCCTCTTGGAGGCATCTAAGGATCATTGGCCAAGACATGCCGTCATACTGAGCGTGGGACATGCGGATGATAAGCTTCGAACCAGATTTCGCATGTCGAACCAATGTAAAGGATAAAAATAATGACCCGGGGCTGATTTCCTTTTCCAAATCCTGAAGGCAAAGGCTGTTGCTCATTTCGTTTAGATCTTCAACACCATCGTGGATCTCGAAAGGTACTTGAACCTTGCGAATAACTACCTGATAGATCCTGCTCTGTGATGATATGAATATTGTGCGCAAGATAGGGAAATGGTCAACAATACTTTGACACGCGTCACGCAACCGGACCAAGTCAGGGCTGTTGTTGAATGCCAGGTAAAAGTAGTTCAACGCATCCCTTGAATATTTAGCCGCACGCGATACATAGAAAGCCTGCACATCAGTTGCTGGAAGAACATCTTCGATATCACTAGCATTTTTTGCATATGGCCCAAGCCCAACCAAGGATATAACACGCTCCAGGTCCTTCCTTTGGATATGTGTGAACGGCTTGGCTGTCAAGGTTTTTAATATATTGTTGGGGGAAGACGACGAGATTATAGCTTGTTCGTCAATGTGAGGGTGACGGAATATATCAGCCACTGTTAGGTTGATACCTGCTTTTCGTGCTGATGTGACCAATCTCATCGCTGATACCGAATCTCCACCCAGGCGGAAGAAGCTGTCATCCAGGCCTATCTGGCTTCCATCAACTTTTAGAATGGAGCTCCATAACTGCTGCAATTTCCGTTCCCTAGCACTCGAAGGCACACGCCTGGCTTGACTCTGTTGATTATTTGCTTGTGCGAGTTGCTCGCTGGTGAAACTGGAACCTACACTGTGGAGGCGTTGTCGATCAGCTTTCCCGTTCGTCGTCAGTGGCATGACAGACATAGTGAAGAATATCGAGGGAACCATGTAGCAAGGCAACCGGTCTTCCAGTTGTTCTATGAAATGCTTTGACACCCAGGTCGGGAGCAGCCCAGATCTAGCCTCTTCAACTTCAACATCATTTCGATTCATATTTGCACTACCCTGGCTCTCACGAGTGCATATGAATGCAGCTAGCATCATTTTATCCTCGTCCACTGGGTATATTACCTCCGCTACAACTCCTAATGCACCCGGCCAGCACTCATGTACGTGATGCTCAACCTCTCCCAGCTCCACACGTTGCCCCCGTATCTTAACTTGTGTGTCTTTGCGCCCACAGTACGTGAGGCTCCCGTCCGGATTCCGCCGTGCTAAGTCTCCTGTCTTATATACTCTACTACCGGGCAACCAGTTAGGGCTTATAAACGCGGAAGCTGTCTTCTCTGCATCATCAAGGTAGCCTTGGCTAACTTGACGGGATTCAATTACCAGCTGCCCAATGCAACCCGTAGGCGCAAGTCGGTTGTCATCTACGGTTTCGGTAACCCAAAGCCGAGTGCCTCCTACAGCATGTCCGATATTAGTAGGGTCATCCGACATGCCCAAAGGACCCCCAACAGAGACACAGATAGTTGTTTCAGCCGGCCCGTATCCGTTGTATAGGTCAACAGAACCGGCCCATAGTTCCAGATCTTGTCGAGACATGGGCTCCCCGCACATAATCATTGTCTTCAAACTCGGCACGTCTTGAGGCTTAATAAGCCTTGCCACGGTTGGTGTGAAGAGTGCCAAATTTACCTGCATTTGAATCATACAGCTTGGGAGGTTAGATAACCGTTCGTCCTCCGAGGGTACACATACGCAGCCACCATAAGAGAGCACTGTGAGGATTTCCTGTAAACAGGCATCAAAAGTGAAAGATGCAAACTGCAAAGCCCGGGTTTCTCGGCCAAATTTATAACTTTTTCCATGCCCAAGAAGCACGCTTGTCGCAAGAGATCCGTGGTCAATCAAGATTCCCTTCGGTTTTCCAGTGGTCCCCGAAGTGTAAACGATTGCTGCAATATCGGTCCCGCTAATTAGAGGCAATCCAATGGAAGACAAGTGTACTTCAATCGCATCCTTATTTATTGACATGGTCGGCGTGGTAACGGTTTCGAAGAGTGATATATACCTAGGCTCTGCAATGATGAGCTTTGCATGACAATGCTCTACAATAGCTTCAAGCCGTTGTTGGGAATGAAGGGGATTTGTGGCAACAAAAGCAGCACCGGATCTCAGGATAGCCAGTATTATGATGATAGACCAGCAGGATTTGTCAAGGCATATGACAACCCTGTCTCCGTTCTTTACCCCTTTGCTGATAAGGTACTTCGCATATTTAGTATACGACGTAACTAACTCGCTATAAGAGTATTCTCCATCCCAGGATACCACCGCCTGAGTTCCTGGCCGCGTTATAGCCTGTTCCTCTATCATCTCAAACACACCCGTTTCGACAGAACTTAATGGTATCTGACTTAGAGATTTTATGATGTCAAAGTCATGCTCGCTAAGAAGTGATATAGACTCAATTGGCGAGTTGGCTGAATCCACAAGGCAGTTCAATGCCTTTTTAAAAGCATTTGCAACATGCGTCACATCGCTCTCGCTAAATGACGGCCAGTATAGGAAACCAAGCTTCATATTATCGTCAATAATCTCGACGTTGGCAACTATATCATACTGCAAAGTTATCAGCAATTGTTTTATATTTCTGAAGAAAGCTGTCTTACCTCTGTCGGGTCGTCTTGCTCCCTAATCTCCTGGAAAGATATGGAAGTGTTATAGTAGGGATCAGTTCTAGCAGTCCACTCCATTGAAACGGCTGTATTGAACATTGCTTCACTTCCCTGGGGATAAAGTCGCGCTTTTAACTCCGTTAACGGATAGTGCTGATAAGGCATACTCTCGATGTACTCCTGCTGCATTCCTTCTGCAATAGATGCAAAAGTAGTACCCGTCCGGAGCTGTGCACGGCAGGGCTGTATGCTCAAGCATAGGCCAACCATCTTATCCACGTCTTTGACTGGAACATCTCGACCAGCAGCAACATATGTGAAGCAAACATCACAAGATCCAATATACGCCCTGAGAACCAATGCCCAAGCCACCCTGACTGCAGATGCTACAGTTATGTGGCTTTCCTTGCATTTGGATAGAAAAGCTCGACTGTTTTCATAAACAAAATCTTTGCGCAGGAAACGAGTGGGTACACTGTCGAATGTCACTTGCTTACTGACCGGGATCATGCAGGGTGGGCAATCTTTGAGATATGACGTCCAATACTTAGCGCTCGCCTCCGAATTCTGTGAAGCTACATATTCCACAAAATCCCGATAAGGCTGGGGCTTGTGCAATACCTGTCTGTCGTCACAGGCATTGGCGAAGTCTCTCATGAGGTTCTCCATCGCGGCCCCATCTACTAGAGCATGGGAAATCTCAAGCATGAGGTATATGGCCTTGCCGTTATAGGCGCAGATAGTCAGTCGATGGAATGGTAAGCCTTTAGTAAATGGCTTTATTGACTTGGTAAAGGTCTCCATAGCCTCAGATGGCGAAAGCCTTGTTGAAACTTCATCTACTATCATGTCCACTCGCACTCGCCGTAGCACAATAGAGTGGTACTCGGAACCACCAACTCCCAGGTCATCCACAAACAATGTGCGGAGTGAGGAATGGTGAGAAACAACGGTATGCCAGGCTGCCTTTACCTTTCCAATCGTGGGCAACTCTCTCTCTTTCACCGTGGGTTTGTAAAAGAACCGGAGGTGATATGACCCCGGTTTTCGAATTTGGCCAAGGAACATGCCTATTTGCATAGGAGTGCATGGATATACATCCTCGATATCATCAAGGTGCAAAATCCCTAAACGAGACAAGTCGTACTTTTCTCGCAGCTTTTTCCAAGCTGGCCCGGATATAGAACCAAGCAACTTTGTCTGTGGCTCGCTTTTTCCAAGTGCTGTAGTTAAGGAGGCAGCATTGGCAACGCCATCACAAGTCAAGGTATCATTCATGGTTAGGCCTATGCCGTTATTCCTACATTTGGCAACAACTTCCTGTGCAAGGATAGAACTTCCACCAAGTTGTATGAAAGATTGATGGAGGCCAACCTGCTGTGGGGGTAGGCCGAGGACGCTGCTCCAGATTTCTTTGATATACTGTTCCATCTTCGTCATGGGCTTCTCATAGTCAGATTGCCCCAATTTTCCTCCTGTGATTTCGTGGAATGTGCTTTCCGGCATCTCTTCCACCCATCGACGTATCCTAACACGATCTATCTTTCCAGAAGCTGACATGGGCATCCGAACAACGAACGCCCATATTGTCGGAACCATATATCGTGGTAGAACATTCTGCAGCCGTTTTCTGACAGATTGCCTATTTTCATCAACGAAGCCACCCTGAAGTATTGATATGTCTTTCAGGTCCCCTTGCTCCGTTGTTGACTTTAAGGATATGATTGCCATTAAATTATCCTTACATCTGTTGACCTTCGGGACTATGGCAACTGCATGCCGGACTTCATCATGTAGGGTTAAATGATATTCAACTTCTCCCAATTCGAGACGTTGACCATTAAGCTTCACCTGGCTATCCACACGCCCGCAAAAGATGAGTGTCCCATCTGAATTCCACCGAACTAAATCACCGGTCTTGTAGCAGCGCCAGCCGTTGTAACGGGAGTCCCCGTTAAGGAAGGCAACATCTTGAATGAATACCTCAGAAGTTTTGACAGGGTTCTTAAAGTACCCCAATCCGACAATAGGACCGGAGACCAGCAGCTCACCAATTGCACCAACGGGAACAAGTTTGTTATGATCATCCTGAGATACAACCCAGCATGCTGCATGATTTGTAACTCCAATATTGAGCGGGTCGGCATTTTTATGGGTGATTGCCCGTGTCGATGAATTAATCGAACACTCACTTGGTCCGTAGAATTGAAAGAGATTGATCCTTTCTGACCATAGTGTAACAAGCTCTTTAGGGAATGATTCTCCCCCTAGACATAACACCTTCAGCCCGGGTACAGCTTGGGGCTTTAAGCGTCGAGCAAGCGATGGAGTCATAACTGCTAAGTTGACGTTATACTTGTTGATGGCACAAGCAAGGCTATCCTCAATTTCTTCTGTTCTTGGTACGCACACACACGCTCCCGATCCTAAACTGGTGCAGATTTCCAGGAGACTCATATCGAATGTGTGACTTAGCATTTGAAGAACACGACAATCCGGCCCAAACTTCCACTCTGGCGCTTTTCTTAGCGCCCCGTTCAAGAAAGACGAATGGGAGACCATGCATCCCTTCGGAACTCCAGTTGACCCGCTAGTAAAAATAATATAGAACATGTCCGTGGGTTTGACTTTTGGTGTTGGGGGCGTTTTGCAAATTGACAAAGAATCAATACGGTTGCCCTCTATTGGGATACATTTCAAACCGGTGGCCCAAAGATGACAGAAATCCGATGTCGTTAATAGAATTGACGGAGATATCATCTGAATCATTGATTCTCTCCTGCCAGATGGAAGGTACGGCGGAATGCTCACAAATGCACCACCAGCTTTTGAAACGCTCAGCATAGCTACTATCGCCCAAGCTGAACGCTCAAAACAAATTGGGACAACAGTACCAGGCCCTACTCCGTGATTCGCTAAGTATTTTGCTAGCCGAGTTGACAACCTATTCAAGTCTGAATATGTGAACTTGCCATCCCATGCATCAATAGCTTGCGATAGTGGGTTGTTCAGAGCATGGCTCTCTACCACATTATGAAAGCACTCCATCCAAGGCTCTTCTGGGATTTTGCTGTTAAATTTCCACAGCTGATCCAAGTGAGTTTTGCTCATATATTCTAGGTGGCTGAGTGGAATATCGAGTTTTTGTTTGAGGTTTGAGAGAATTTCCGCAAACGTTGAACCGACGTTCATTGCTTGACCGTCCGAGAGCATAGAATGATGGTAACTCAAAGAAGAAGCTATCCCTGTGACAGCTTTAGAGACGCTTAGAGTGATAACTTTTTTCTAATAATGTTGTTAGGCCCCATTATTAATGAACAAAAGGCAAGGTGGAATTACCTGTTGAAACTTAGGTCGTGAAATAGTAGAGCCACTGGCAATATCGCGAAAGACTATTGCTGTATTCACCGATTGGTCTGGCAGCTCGAGAACACCATCTTCAGTCTCTAATAGGCCATTTCCTGACTTAAGAGCCTGGAGTAAGTTGTGCGATTGCTGAAGAAATTGCCGCTGTGTCTGGTCTTCATTGGCAGTCAAATGGAAAACCGAAGTTCGCCATCGGAGTCCGTCACTCAGCAAGACATAAAATGAGACCTTTGACTCTCCAATATACTTGCAAAGGGTTAGAGCCCATGCTGCAATGATGGCCGATTCCGAGAAGTTTTCCAGCGCCGGGCCTGATCCCAAAATATTTTCGTGTGTTTTTCCTTCGGTGTCGGATTTGGTGCTATCGGCAATATACCCATCATTTAACGATGGGAATAGTCCAATTGAACCTTCCAGCCGTTCAATTAAGGGATTTTTTGGACAGGAATTTTCTGCTGAGTTCATTTTGGAGATTTTGGGGTTGACGGTATGAGATTAAGATGTTGAACTACCAGCTCTTCTCTTGAGGGGAAAGTCATGAACTGTTGATTTGTCTTTGGGGAAAGTGAATCAAATGCTCAGGGCATGCTGCAGTTCCGAAAAATGGAACAAGTACTGTTATTCTTCCCAGATTGCAAGCTTGACGATATCACCAATCACTTGCCTAATCGTGATCTCAGCTACAATGGCTGCGCATGTGAACTGCTTGAGCTGGAGAGAATGCAAAAGCCCCCGCTTTAGTGGACCATGATCCTTCATAAACTCAGCTAGTGATGGCAGACGGATAATGTATTTTCATGCATTACCATCCCGTTACCTGGCGGTACCCTCGTTGATGTTTCTTTTAGCGAGACAAGGTCGAATCCCTTTCCTGCATTGCCTGTTGTGGTTCCTTGAGCTGCGCCCGGGATTCAATTCCTTGTCTCTGTAGGGTTACTTTGACAAGGCGTTTTTAGTCTCTGGTATTATTGAGGTTACGTCTCCCCCTGGTCCATTTTTCAGCTCATATCTACACATCTATAACTATAAACAGTGTCCCTTTGGGTATAAAACCTCCCAAACACCCATCACCAAAGAGACTTCTATCCACAGCTCTATCATCACCAGAATTCACTCCAATACTATTATTCCTAACTCATTGCAACTATCTACCGCCGTTATCATCATTAACCATGGGTTACCCAACCAACGCTCAAATCAAGGAGCTCTTGGAGTCTCAGTTCCACTCAAAGCTCCAAAAGTCCGACCTCACCGATGACTCTGAGAGTCTCTTCCAATTCGGACACCTGGACGAGCTCTTCTCTGACGATGTCGAAGTCCACATCTCCGGCCATGAATTCCACCTCAACGGAAAGCACCGTGGCTTGGACGCCTTCAAGCAGCATCTCGAGTCCGACGATATGCCATCTCTAAACTCCATCATTGACGTTACCAAGCCAATCAAGGGCCAAGTTCTCCACGTCATTGGAGGCGAGCGTGACGAGTGGAAGGCAGCCGTTCTCCACAGCACTGCAACCACCCAGAACAGTAGGCCACTACTTTTAATATTTGCCAACGATCTAAGTCGGTGATAACTAACGCATTTGTTAATAGACACTCCATGGAACCACGAGATGGCTGTCCTCATGCGATTCAACCACGATGGAAAGATCACGGAATTGAGGGCCTATGCGGATACCCAGCACGTTCACCAGCACATCGAGGCCCATAAGTAAACGACAGCGTCATACTTCTATGAGCTTTAGCTCGAAATTACGGAGGGGTCGGCTTATGCATCGTTCAAAATTGTTAGCCTCTCACTTTTTGACCTAGGCGATACAAGCATAGCAATGGCAATTATAGTTCTGTAGAAAAAAGTCTATCTCCATCATATTCCTTATATCTAACAAGTTTGACCTTATGAGCACTTTTGTAGGCTTGAAAATGCTCCGTGTAGTCCGCGGGCTATACAATGCAATATCTATGTAGTCTTACTGTGCATGAAGCTATAAAGTTACTCTCGAAGCGGGGACCCTTGTAAGCACTCTTACATCGGTTCCTGGCCTATCACAGCTACGAGGATGGTTGAATAACCGTTAGCGAGTGTGACTGACAGGGGTTATTGCTCCTAGTTTGTTATTGCATTGCATATAACTAGCTGGATAGCACTTCGTGCCGCGGAGCTAGAGGGACATGTTTCGTATTCACGTCAATGCGCTGGCAGTATACCCAGGGATGATTCTGCTATAGGCAGGGCACGATAGGGCAGCAGATGAGTAAACTGTCGGGTGTATTTAGTCCGCAGCAATTTGCAATACATAGTATGTGCGTGCTATGTCCTCGTATCTTTCATAGTCAAGCTACTGAACCGGTTAGATATTCAGTCAAGTGTATCTCGTGGAAACAGCTTCTATGGCCGGCGACAAACACTTTAGACCCATAGAAGAGCCCCAAACCTGCTGGCTCCCAAGCCCCATAGTCTATGCTATGTTGTGGTATGTAGATATCTTGATGTGAACGGTGGAGTCGTAGGATTAAAGTTAGCTTGCGGAGCTGCCCGCGAAAGCCCCACAAGCCCAAAAGGCATGAGAGAAAAAAGGCCCCACAGGGCTGGACTCGATGGTTTTAGTTATGTAACTTCGACTCGATATACGTGGACAGCATGCAGAAACGGGCACTGCCAGCGTCGACTGGGGGCTAAAAATACCCAGGTCAACGGCAAACATCGGAGCTGGTATATCGCTTGCAGCTGAACTGCCCCCGCACAGAGAGACTGCCCAATGCAATGGTAGGCCTGAACGAGCTGGCTGTGATATATTGGATCACTCATCAGCTTCTCCAAGTCAGCTAGCTATCCGTTTAAGAAACTGATTTCCGCCTTATGGACTCTATAGGGCCGAGTTTTCCGACCAGCATCAGTTTTGCCCCGCCATGTCCTACGAGAAACAGGGGTAATCAGCTGAACCATGTATAGGCTGGACTTCGAGACAATGACGAACACAAAACAGCGCCTGCTCAGGGCCTTGAGGTCTATAATTGGTCGATGGCGGATGGCAGCAGCTGATAATATCAAAAAGACGCTTTCTGTAGTGTCCGGGGGTGTTATTGCCAAGGTGTCGACGATATTAATGTATACAGCCCTGCCGTTCGGGGATACTAGATCGTTATTGTTACCTCCCCCTCTTCGTTCTACCTTCTTGTAACTCTCCTACCCAAAACCCAGGCGATATACATACGCTGCGCTCGATTATTTTACCATCTTGTCCTTAAGAATGAAGTCCAGCAACCCAGCCGGATCTGAACAGGCCCAGGGCTCTGAGGATATATGGAAAGACCCAAAGGTCGTTGAGGATTATCGCTCAGCGGAGAAGGTGACGATTGCCTTTGCTAGGTCACTGGTAGAGCAGTCAGGCATCTTATCCATACGGACAGAAGAGGAACGACTGTCTATTCTTGATAATGCTTGCGGGACAGGGGCCATTTCGGCCGTTCTGCATGAGATGCTTCCTGATTGGAAGGCTGAGAATGGGTGGACGTTGACATGTGCAGACCTGTCCGAGGCGATGATTAATGCCGTCCAGGAAAAAATAGACGCTGAGGGATGGACAAACACGGAGACTGTAATCGTGGATATGCAGAAGACCGGATTGCCGGCCAACAACTACACTCATGTGTTTGCTTCTTTCGGTTGGTAGAAGATAGAGAAATTCTCCTGTGGACGTATAGATGGATTCTGACATTTGAGAGTGGTGTCCAGCGATAATGGGTGTACCAAAGCCCGAAGAGAGCCTTGATGGTAAGCCACCATTCTCTGTGAATACATCACTTAACTTTCTAGCCTGGCCATGGACTAACTGCCCATCATAGAGTGCCTCCGAATTCTAAAACCAGACGGAACGCTTGCATTCACCACCTGGAAGAAAAGTATGTATGCAATGGGACCGTAACACAGGTTACGTATACTCGACTATACCTGTGACAAGGCAGGCTTTTTTCAAGGTAAACTGCTGACCAAAGATGTTTGCAGCTGGATGGAATGATGACATCAACGCTGCCATTGCTAAGGTAGCCCCTGGCCTTCCACAGCCCACCTCGGATGAGTTCCTGATGTCACTCGGGAACGGTGATGAATGGCATAACCCCTCCTGGGTTGAGGCTGAACTGCAGAAACGGGGACTAGAGGATATCCAGGTCAATCTTGTCCAAAAGACCATCGCGACAAGTACACAGTCGGAGATGCTGCCTGCGCTCGCTCCTATCCTGGCGCACATTCCAGCAAGATTCTGGAGCGAGGAACAGAGGGAGAAACACGGGTCAGGCTTAGTATCTGCCGTCTCAGCCTACTTAACGTCAAGATATGCCACTGATGAGCCCATTCCCATGGAGTGGATTGCGATAGTAGCAACCGCCAAAAAGCCTTAGCGTTGAACCGTTGATTTATCGCATAGAGGAGAGGAAGAACAAGCAGTCCTTAGGATAGCCTCACTATGACTATTAGATATAGCATATTCTTCCCCAATTTTGATGTTATTAGAAGAGGATGCTTAAAACCAAGCCAGATATTGCTTTTGGTAAGTAGGATATAGGAATCTATAACTAGTTACCAGCCGGTAGAAACTTCAATAACACTTGCAGCTTTCGATAGTCTGTAAGATTTGGCGGCAGTATAGCTGTCTATGTTTGGACTAACCAATACAATAGCCAGTGCCTGTAATTGAGATATCTTCGGACATGATAACGAAGCGTATCGTGTCGATGTCTGGTTCATTGAAGTAGAAGTTCTAGACCCTGAGAATAATTCTGCACCAGCTACTCAGCATTTGAATGATTACCAGCCCCTGTTGGCTATCTAGAGCCTACAAGCCTGCTGCCAAAGCTATATGCGAGTATACGAACTGCCACGCATTGTTTATATCCACATCTCAACAAGGTCCATGGCATCGGCGTCGACGAGCAAGATTGGCTTTCTAGGCTACAGCAAAGACTTCCTGTACTCTTGACTACCTTGAAGTGTCCGTGAGGAGAGTCAACTACTTATGCGTTAGTCGACGGTATACTAGAAGAACAGGCGGCATACCTAGATATCTGGCTCTCCTTCAGCCCCCGGGTGCGCGTCCCAATACGCAAGAGGATGCTGCTCCAACTGACGAAAAGATGTCCCTGGCCAACGAGAAGCCGAATCTGGTCCATCGTTAACGACCTAGTTTAAGCATAAAGGAAGAACCAGCCAAGTGGGCCGACTCATGCTGGAACTCGTATCCTCCACCACGATTTACATACATCCCATCCCATCCTAGCCTATCCCATCCTCCGGCTGGAGACCTGCACTGTCATATCTGCATCATCAAGCTTGTCTGAATAATATCGGAGTTAGAGCCGGCAAGAAGTTTGACATCAAGTTTGACATCAAGTTTGATGTATATGGAAGTTCCAGACGACGAGACAACGACACATATATATAAGGGATATTGCTTCCACTCGCTGCTTGGAGCTGGCAGCCAACTGGTTCATCAGAACGAACGTCAGGCGTTTTGGGGCAGCCGGTCGATACGATGTATCCCTCTCGCCCGCCATCCTCGGACATGTCGAGCTGGGAGCGGATGCGTAAAACCTGCGATGCCTGCCAGGAGGCCAAAGTGAAGTGCAGCCAGACCAAGCCGTCCTGCCACCGCTGCATCCGACACGGCCAACCATGTATCTACAGCCCGCACCGCCGTACCGGACGCCCGCGCAAGAAGGCTGGCAGGAGAGCTGCAGACGCAGAGGGCCCTGTAGCAGAGCAGGCTGTGCTCGAATCCAGGGCAGCCGGAACGTCGGGGGCCAACGGAGTGCTCGAACTCCTCAGCACCCCGGAATATCTAGTCGCGGGGACGGGGGAAAATAAAGGCGACCTGGCTCATGACGTCTTCCCATCGCTAGAGTCCCTTCTAGACATCTCAGCGTTCGAAAAGGAGCCAGGATCGCGAGGCACACCCAATCATCAGAGCGAGAGCCGGGAAGGAAGCCAGCAGAACAGCTATCCTGCAGCCTCACTCTCGGATACCATGAACGACCAGCTCATCTTCGAGCACGACCTGTCCTTCGCTCTGCCTTCTCCGGCCCTCAACGTGGATGAGCATCCACAGCACAGCGTCCAAGCCCCCGGCACAGCTACTCCTAGTGCAGACGGAGACTGTGGCGGCAGATGCTACACGGTGCTACTTCAGCAGCTATCGTTCTTACACCGGTCGCTCCCTGACTATAGCCGGCCGCCAATCGATGCCATCCTCCTCGTTGAACAAAACATATGCAGTAACATCGCAGAGATGCTCCTACAGTGTCCTACCTGTGCTGGCAACCGCTCTGCGGTCCTTCTACTATCTACCATCATCGAACGAGTCGTCCAAATGCTCAACTGGATTATCGAAAAGAAGACCCTAACGGACTCTAATAATGCACGCTTAAGCCGGCTAGCATTGAGCTCCTGGGCCCAAAATCCATCAGTACCGCCCCCAGCAGACAGCTTCCAACGAACCTTCTGCCACGTTCCACTGATGGTGGGACAGGTAGAGCTGGATGCAAAGACTAAACAGGTCTTTCTGAAGCCCCTGATGATCCTCAGGATAAAAAAGCTGGCGGTTAAGCTACAAGAGCTACGCCAGATAACTATAAGCAGCCCTCGTGACAGCCTCTTCCGTGCTGCGGAGCTAATATTAATCGACTGCCAGCGACGGTTGGCCTACCTTCGAGGTCAGGCCCAAATATGGGAGTAGCCATGGGGATTCTCCCATTATGTTGGCGTTATCATGCTCTGAGGGTTTCAATTATCGGGCGCTGACCGCATTGTACAAAGTGTTCTGACTAAAGCCCTTAAAAGTGTTTGTAGACTGCATGGTTGCTTAGTTCTTATATGTGCGTTCTTGATGTCCTATACTTAATCCCTCTATATATGTTAGTTATTTAGGGCCTTATCTGTCAAGATACTACAACCAATACACTTAATTATACACAATATAGTTATATAGAAGGCGTTTTGTGAGGGACAAGCTTTATATAGATAATGGTAGAAAGATCGTACAATGCGGCGATGTAATAACTATAGGTTATTATAGTGAGGAAGCACTATAATAAAATGGGCTTAAGAGTGTTGCCTCCCTAATCAGACGTTTTTCTCTCTCCCTCTTCCACTTCTACAACCCCCTGAGGAACAATCGAACTTTTCGATATAATGCTCATGGCTAGCTGGCTTAGGGGTATTGGACTGAGGATCTCGAAAACCGATATATCTGCTTTAAGTTCATTGAAGATCCAGTTTCGTACCTCGATGGCTTTAAGAGAGTCAACTGTAATCTGTTAGTCTTTTCGCATTCTCATTATAAGGGGTTGGGGGGGTGACGAACTGCCAAACGAATAAAGAGGTTTTTCGACATCTATGTCGTCGGGAGAAGCCGTCATTGCATTCGCCACATTTAGACGTAGCGCTTCTTCAACAATTGCTTGGGCCTCAACCATCGTCTGTACAGCCTGCAGTTTCTGAGCATGGCTATCATTCTTCACTGTCTGAGTAGAGTCGGAAAAGCTGATGCGGTGGTCGAATTTTCGATCCATGGGCCAAAGATTAAGGCTCTCTCCATCTCGCCGGACCTGATCGGACAGTCCAACAAGCAGCTGGTCTGGCACTCTCTCTCCGTCCGCTAATCCCCCACGCATCACGGCAATGAGTGTGTTCTGTAGTTCCTTATCGGTTACCTGAGCTGGGATCCAATGGCTGAATTTGCGTAGATAATCTTCCACAGTATTGTCTTCGTTAAAATGATCAGCATCGATGACCAAGCCAACGTTAAGGGTCGTAGCAACCAGGCCAAGCTTTCGTCGATAGTGTGCTAGGGCATCTTCGTACGTATTGCCGGCGCTGTAGTTTGCTTGAGCAGTATTTCCAATTATACCTGAGAGGGACGATAGAATGATGAAAAAGTCTAGTTCCTTGGGGAGGTAGCTATGCAAATGCCAAGTGCCCTTGATTTTCGGGTCCACTGCTGTCTGCCATTTATCAAAGGTCATATTCTCAAAGATCGAGTCCTATGGATTGGCAAACATTAGTTACTGGCACCATGCTACCGAAGGAAGAACATATTCAGTTGCTTACCCGAAGAACCATTGCAAGTTGGATAATGCCTCGCAGATTCCAGTTTTTCTCTTGGATAACTTTGGCGAGCATTAGAACCTGTTCCTTGTCTGTCACATCGCACCTTATTACCTCCACTTCACAGCCCTGGGAGCGGAGGCATTGGAGCGCCTTCTGCTGTCGAAGGCTCGAAGCTCCGGAGCGACTCAGGAAGACCAAATGCCGCGCACCATGGATGCACATGTTATTCGCAATGGTAAGGCCTAGGGCTCCTAGACCTCCGGCAAGAATGTATGTCGCACTAGGATTTAGTTCGAGCGGTGGTGGAGGGGGTGGTAAAAGGACCACCTTGGCCTCCTGCGAGAATTCAACCACGACTGAAGATAACGATTGTCCTTCATTTGACGCAACGACAGCTTCATCCAAGTCGGACACTGAAAATTGATGAATTGGGTGAATTTGCCGAAGGCACCCAATGTTAACTAGGTCGAGGGCCTTTTTCACCAAGTCAAACAGTTCGGCATCCGGCAAGTCAAAGTCGGGGGATATTAGACTAACACCATTCTTTAATATCCCGGGGGCTAGCATGGATGGTTCAATCTGCTGGGTTACATCCACAAATTTTCCGTTATTAGCAATAGAGACAGAGAGATTCCGAATAGCCAGGGCTCTGGCATCATTGTTGATGATAATATCTAAACCTTTACCATTAGTTGCATCTAATATGCCAGAAGGCCATTTATTGGGGTTTGATTCGTCGAATATGTGATTAGGCGGGAGCTTGTATGTCTCCGCCAACCACTTAACGTCTCTTTCAAAGGGCACTGAGATAAAAACTTCGCCTTTCAGAAGTTGAACAAGTTGAATCAATGCCTGACCAAAGCTACTGGCTGCTCCACTAACAAAAACTGACTTTCCAGCACGAAATTGGGAGATGTTGATAAGAGTATGCCATGCATGGGCTGCAGCTAAGGGAAAGATAGCAACCTCTGCTAATGATAATGAGGTCGGAACCTTATGCACAAGACTCTCTAGACTCCGAAGATGGGTATGAAACGGATTCCGTTGGAGGGTGAGGACTTTATCTCCAGCCACAAAGTTGGACACACAGGATCCAACTTGCATCACAACCCCGGCAACTCCAACTCTAGGGTCGGAGGGTGATAAGACGCTGTTGACTAAAGAAGAGGTTTTCGCCCCTGCCTGGCCCAAGGAAATGTGGGATGGCTGTATTAAAATTTCAGTATCAGCTAGAGTGCACTGTTGTGTATGGTCAGGAACCCAACGGAAGTTGGTTGAATTTCCTTCACGGTATGTCTCAAGCTTCCGGCTCATAGATGTGTGGTACAATGGTCCTTGTACATTGGTGGTAGTTCCCGCATAAAGAGACAGCTCATGATCCAGGCCGTTATGAGCTTTCGCACGGGGAATCCACAAACGGCCATCAAACTCAGCATATTCCATGTCATTATTCGCCCCACTGCTAGGCTCCTTGATGCTAAGGCGGAAAACTGTTAATATGTTATCCACTATTCGATCAGCAGATCTATCTCCAGAAGGTGACAAATCGAGATGCGGTAGCCGGATTTGAGGCTTTTCAACTCGCACTGTACGTAGGAGGCCAGTTGATGGGGCATATTTGAGTGAGTCTTCTCCTGCTTCTAGTATACCCCCACGAGTAATCCAGAGGACATACTTAGCGGCAGTGAGTTGGCGGAATTGTTCAAAATCTTCCGGTGTCCATGAAATCACGAATGGGTTTACCGACTCTAGAAGCGAAATAACTGTGCATCCGGATAGATCACTTGCCCCTGACAGAGTCGTAGACCAAACGCGACGACCTGGGGTACTTAGTCGTGCAATAAGACGCTCCTCAAAGGCTTTGGCGTCCGGGGATGGGTTGCACCGCTGCACAATCACAATTTCACTTAGGTTATCCAATGGGTCTTGCTCCGGCCCTCTAGTAGCTATCAAAAGCTCGGAATCGTCTTGATCGGAAACGACATGTACCGTTTGTATGAGATTTGCTGCGGACAGAGCATTACTCCGTAAACTCTCATCCGACATGTCATTTTCAGTGTCATTTCTTGAAGTCGTGACTAAGGCCACCTTGCCCTCATGGCGTATCAGAGAAGCAACATTTAGCAGCCGCTCTGCACAGCAGAAAGGGGCAAGGACCAAGTCAAAAGTTCCAAGTGAACTTAGGTCTTCTTTCTCTTCCACATTTGGCATTATATAGTCGATGTTGACATTTAGCGATTCTAAGGCTTGCTGTATCTGGTTCATGGCCTCTTCACTTGATTCGATGATAGATGTGCGAGCAAATCGATACCGTTCTCCAGCTTTTGTAGCAAAGTGTTCCAGTATATCAAACGCACCGTGGCTCCAGTTGGAAGGGTTCACAATTAAAACTTTCCAATCGGTGTGTTTAAAACAAGCTAGACTTAACCACTCATGGAGCTGAGATACAGCCGCCGTTATACCAAATGTGCTCTGGCGTCTAACAGACTCCTGGGCTAGCCAGGACTCGGCAGCAGAGCCCATGAGGGCATCCAGATCCTCTTTCCAATCCAACGTGGAGATTCGACCATGGCTGCTCAGAGATAGGGAAGAAGCAGGTGAGCCAGCCCCCGAGGAGACCTCTGTTATTACCATTCCTTCAACAATAATTTTAGGCCTGGATGACCAGTTTTCGTCGGAAATGACAATACTTCCAAGAGTATCCCGTCCTGTTAAAGGCTCAGCGTGTGAAAATCCACTGTATTTGGTACCAGCCTTAAATGGGAGGCCCGTAGAAATGAACAAGCGGCCAATCGTAGTTGGAATAGCCGATTCAAGGAGGGGTTCACCCTGGCCCATCGCAACGAAAATCAGATGGAAGAAAGCATCAAGTGTTGTAGGATGGATGAGGTGAGGATACTCAAATCCATGCGGCATTACTGACTTGGTATCAGCGACGATAATTGTGCCGACTCCCTTATGCTGTCCAGGCACAACGGCCGCTTCAATCACGTTTCGGAATGTTGGCCCATATTCAGTACCAATGGACTGTAGCTGATTGTAAAAGGACGCAATATTTAGAGGCTGAGACGCCTGCGAACGAAGGTTCTGGTACGTCTGGCAATAATTATTTGCTTGATCCTGCGCGAGAGAATCTTCGTAATGGAGGTTTATAGTTCCCCATGAATGTTTTGTCCAGGATGCGGTCGAATTGATAGAGTACACAGTGTAGTGATACCACCCGGGCAATGTGTCATGAGGTCTAGTCGTAAGTAGTGTTTCCACCGCTTGATCAATTGGTGGGATAACAAGTCCCTTGCTGAAATGCACATCCCGAAATTCGACCCCGAGCAGCTCTTTCTCTGTATCAGCCAGTCGCTGAGCGGCCTCTACAGCCATAATCAAATGGCCAGCACCGGGATAAAGGACCGTACCAGTTATAACATGATCTGCTTGCCAGGGACATTCGGATACGCTTAAATAATTGCGCCAGTGTCGTTCAAAGGGATTTTGAAGTGGTACTGGCATTCCAAGGAGGTCATTCCGAGGCTCGTTCCGTAGACGTGCTGAAGCTGACATTGCAGGTTCGTGCCAAAACTCCTTTTCATGATTCCATGCGTATGGAGGCAGATCGGCGGACATAGTCTGGAGATTATCCTGGTGTTCATTTACTCGTTGTAGGTCAACACCATGGCCAGATGCCCAGAGTATTCCGGCCGCAGCAAGTGCTGTTTCTCTGCTGTTCTTTCCCCGGTTCAGTATAGCTAGGTAGGGAATCTTGTCAGGGTCACTACTATCCCATGCAGACATAATTTGTTTGCAGGGCCCTTTGAGCGCCTCATGAGGCCCAACTTCCACCAGAGCGCTCCATTGCGTCACCCCAGCTCTCCGGCGGCGAGCTTTGCCTCTAGGAGAGTAGCCGAGCAGATTCGTCAAAGCACCAGAAAACCGCACAGGAGACACCAAATTCTGCATCCAGTATTGCGCTCGAAGCATAGATGGTTCTTCAATTAGCTGCTCTGTGACGGAACTAAACATTGGGATATCGGATTGTTTAGGGTCAACCGAACCCAAAGCGTGGAGAAAGGCATCTGCGACAAGTTGCATGTGGTGGGAATGATAGGCAACTTGAACGCGGAGCTTTCGTGCAAAGTGGCCATCGTTCCGGATAAGAGCCTCCAGGTGATCAATAGCCTCAGAATCGCCAGAAAGAGTGACGCTAGATGGGCTATTAATGCACCCTACAACCACGGCCCCCTCAGGAACCGCACTGAGGTATTCTTGCACATTGGTTTCAGATAGACCCACAGCCATCATGGCACCCTTGCATTCCTTATTTTCGTTCTTGACCCTCTCGCTGTAGAATCCACGCCAGTACCCAATCCGTACAGCTTCCTCTTGCGAGATAAATCCTGCCGCATATGCTGCCGCTACTTCCCCGCTAGAGTGGCCAACAGTAGCTCCGGGCTTTATCCCCCAATACTGCAGTAGGTCTACCAGGGCAACTTGCAAAATCGTGCACACAGGCTGAGAGAAAGACGGGAGATCGATACGCTTATCAGTGGGATCAGAAAGAAGTTCAAAAACATTCCATTCACATCCTACACGATGCAGGGTAGCTTGGCTGCTTTCAATGCTAGAACGGAAGACCGAATTCGAGAGTAACTCGCGTCCCATAGCAGGCCATTGTGCTCCTTGGCCAGTGAACACAAATACCGGACTTGTATGTCGAGAGGCACGACTAAACTTTGGTAGGCCATCTTTAAGCTTTGTGACCAAAGTAGATATCGATTCGGCGACTGCGAAGCTGCGAAAGTCAAATACTGTGCGGCGGTTGTACAACGTGTAGGCAAGGCCACTCAATAAAGCGCCTCGCTCTCCAGTAGAGGTCATATCTCGAACAAGGAAATCTGTAAAAGATGCTTCCATTCGACGCATTCCAGCGACATCATACATTGAGAAGACTAATAGCTTGGGTATATCTCCTTTACCTGTGCTGTCCTCATGGCTTTCCATAGAAGTTATGCTTAACCCCGAATCAGCCGGCGAGTTAGTTTCAGGGGCTACCTTGAGGTACTGGCCGCGCAGGCCGTGGGACAGTAAATAATGGTGTGCATCATCTAGGATGACGTGCGCGTTGGCACCGCCAAAACCGAAGGAATTTACGCTGGCTCGACGAAGCCCAGTAGTGGGCCAAGGACACAACTTTAGAGGCAAAGTTAAGTTCCAGGAATCGAGGTCCAGCTTCGGGTTAAGCTCCCGAAAGTCTGGTAGAGGAGGTATTACACCCTGCTCTAGTACCAGCACCGTCTTGATTATGCCTGCAAGCCCGGCAGCTCCTTCAGTGTGGCCAATGTTGGCTTTAACACTCCCAACAATAAGCGGGTTTTCGCGGCTGCGGTTAGTACCAAAGCTGTTTCCAATTGCAGCCAGCTCGATGGGGTCCTGATAATTAATGATTGGTTAAAGGGATGTTTCTCCGTTCACTGGTAGATTGTAATAACTCACCCCGACGGGAGTCCCAGTCCCATGACTCTCAAAATATCCTGTTTCTCCTAGGTCAAGGCCAGCCGCAGCATACACGTTGTGGATTAGGTCTGCTTGTGCCTTGCCATTAGGGATTGTAATCCCAACTGTTTTTCCATCTTGATTAGCGCCGGTGCCCCGGATAACGGCACGAATTGTGTCACCATCTGCAATTGCTTGACTAAGGGTCTTAACAACAACCGCAGCAAGCGCCTCGCCACGCGCATAGCCGTTGGCGCGCGAATCAAAGGAGTGGCTCTTGCCATCAGGGCTCAACATATGCATCGATGATAGTTGCGAGATAAAGTTGGGAGCGAGAATCAGATTGACACCCGTCACAAGCGCCTGCCCGTGGTTAGTGAGGTTTACTCTATTTCACCCCATTCCGAAACCGAACTTACTTGGTTAGTTTCGCCTGTTTGTAGTGACTGGCAAGCTAGATGTAAAGCATACAAACTAGATGAACAAGCAGTGTCTAGGGCAAAACTAGGGCCTCGCAAGTCGAAGAACCAAGAAATTCTGTTAGAAAGCATGGCACGGCTTGTGCCCGATGCCGCGTTTTGCGGCAGCTGCATAGCATCTCCGGCAGTCATCAACTCGTAATCATTGGTCATGACACCGCTGTAGACACCAGTAGCAGAACCGGGCAAAGTATGCATAGGTATTCCCGCTATATAAATATTAGCCGAATGTATATTTTCACGTACCATTGCCATGACTTACCATTTTCGAAGGCTTCATAGGCAATTTCAAGTAGTTTCCGCTGCATGGGATCCATGCCAGCGGCTTCGTTAGCCGTCATAGAAAAAAATGGTGCATCAAAAACGGCCGGGCTTTCTTCCAGGAAGAAGCCAGAACGCGGTTGTATCTGCAATAAGGTGAGTTACTGACATCACAACGTCTTTGCGGAGGATTACACCACGCCACTGCTACTTACAGCTCCTTTCCGTTCATGATTTGGATGATACCAGGCATCTGCATTAAACCGATCTTCTGGAATTGCGGAATGGCCGGTCCTGCCATTAACCATCATATCCCAGAATCTGGCCAAGTTGGTTGCTTCACCGGGAAACCGACAAGCCATGCCAACAATGGCAATTGGCACGGTATCATCACCGAATGTCTCAGGTTGTAAGGAAGGCATTGTCACTCAAGCTTGCTTAGGGACGGTGTCTTTGTCTAAATTCAAACAGAAAGAATCTGAAGAAAAGTCTCGCGTCTTATACTGCTTGGAATTGTCCTGGGCTTTAGGCCCACGCAAGCAGCCTTTTCCATGCTATCCATCTTCAGGTATCATGTCCAGGAACATTCAGCCTATGCAAACAAAAAGAAAAGGATAAAAAGCATTGAACCGATCGGGGCCCGAGCAGCCCATTTATTATTAGCCGAAAGATAGCTTCATATCGTGCCGACAGAACAAGATATAACTCTCTTATTCTCAAACAATGCATGCCAATTTGCGTCGGGTCCTTAAAAAACGAGCCGAGAAGAAGACTAAGTAACCCGTACTGGGATGCTCAATCGTTGGACATGGGACGCTTTTGAACCGAGAAGGATGCGAACTTGGAACTCGCCATCACAATCAACTTGGTGCATAAAAAGTTATGTAGCCCACAGTATTTAAGCTGGTAGGCACAGAAAGGGATCGTAAAAGCTACCTTGAAAGATTTGCAGGTGTAACTAACATGGTCGTCTCCATTCTTGTCGTAACTAACGTTGTTCATGGTCAATCAAACATCGTGAAGTGCCATGCGGCTATTCCCAACTAGGAAAAGTCTGCCGCTAGCCGCGAGTATTTTAGCGCAATACCACAGATGGTATGAAATTCGCTGACTAACACAAAATAATACAATAAAAGCCATCTCTGACCAATCAGGTGTACGGATCGCGGTAAATACAGTGTAAAGCTTAATACTCTCATTCAGGTACATCGAACCTCGACCATTTGTTGTAGTTCGGCTTAGACTCGCCATCTATAACTAGTGGTTATATAGTGATTTAGTTAAAGGTGCCAAATATGCTGCTTGTGACTCTGCTGGATTGCCCATTCAATGGCGGCCCATGTAGCTCGCACATCCTCTCGACGACGAGGGACATCGTGGCCTCCGGAATGGGTCATCGAACGCACCAGCCTCGGGTCGCATAGCCCTTCAACCAACCGTGACAGCCCCACCATCAATGAATTATCTTTCTTGCCAGTGATATGGATGGTTGGGATAGGAATACGGTCTTCCAACAGTGCCGGGTGAAAAGTTCGCGGCTGCATCGGATCATCCCGACGCGAAAACTGGCATGTTGCTGTGTCCTGAGCGATAAAGCCGCTAGTTATTGCTGAGTGGAAAGTTTTTGCAGTTGTTTCGCATAAAGCCCTTGTTAGCACGCTAAGCGGCGAGAGGTCGGAGTTGGGATAGGACTCCAGAAGCCGGATTTCGCGGTCTGTCAGGTTTGCCAGCAGATGGTTGCCAAATTTTTCATTGGAAGAGAAGGCGACTACAGTGGACATCAGGATGGCGAACTTGAATTGAGGAGGGTGGCCCCGGATTTGCTGCTGGAGAAGGTACGTCAGGGCTATAGAGCCTCCCTGACTGAAGCCGAGGATACCGTCAAATGGCCCTTCATCCTCAATAAAGTCGTCGAGCAGCTCGCAAGATTTTTGGATATCGGCAGGGGAAAAACTCGCGTTGTAACAGAGAAACGGACCATTGACAAAGTTCCCGACCCCTAATTATCCATTAGCCATCCATCACACGAGCTAAGGGTGAATATGAAGTAAAATTAATACCCTGTGCCTTTTGGCATTCGACCTCTCCATCTAGAAAGACAAATTCAAAGCTAGGGTCACCTGCCGCCATAAAAGCCTTAAGCTGGTGTTCAAGTATGGCAGCAGATGTGCCATACCCATGCAAGCAAAGAATTCTAGTCATGATGTGCTTCCAAGTGCAGGGCGGATATACTCTATGCTCTATGATCTTGATATCCCAGATGTCTATGCTCGTGGAAACAGAATATATAATATTCTTGGATACAGCCTTATCCTCTCTAAAACTTCCCGAGCTATTTTTTGATTACGTGGAGTAAAATATTCGCTTTAATTACATTTCTACTGCTTGATACCGAGTATGTGACGTGCTATCATTAATTTGTTCATTCAACGTCTTAGCATTCTAGAAAACAAACACCTCTGACTTCTCTTGAAAGGCAGTTTGGATAACTTCAAGATAGGCCTGAATTGCCTGGACCATGCCATTCGGCCCACATATCAAAAATCCGGTATTAGGCCCTGGTTTGGGCAGAAACTTCTCCATCATTTCCCGAGTTATCCATCCTGTAGGTCCCTCCCATTCCTCGGGCGGCTGGGAGAGGACATAGTGCACTTGAATATTGTCGGGATATCTATGAACAAGGCCGTCCAACTCGTCGGAAAGAAGTATATCACTCTTAGACTCACAGCCATAGAGCAAAGTTGCTCTCCTCGGCTCATCCTTATTAGCATTATCGGATTCACGGCACCATTCACGAAGGACTTGATAAATCGGGGTGATTCCAGTGCCGCCCGCAATACAACCAATCGCCTTCCACGTAGGCTTAGGATGATAACTACCGAAAGGACCACGGATGGCCAAGGGCGTATGGAGTGGCAGATGCAGCAGATGTTTACTCATGCGGCCCTCCGGGTAGATCTTAACAAGCAAGTCTACCGGCCCCGGTTCGTTTAGCTCGGATACCGGGGTGTAGCTGCGCTGGATTACCGCCCCGTCGATCTCGGCGGATATTCGAAGGTGTTGGCCTAATCCTAGTTCCATTCGAGCCTTGTCGTCGGTATATTTTAGCCGTAGTCGATAAACGCCCCCAGCAGAACTGCTATTAGGTTTGCCACTCGCAGAATCGGCATGGTGTGTAATGCATTGCCGGTCCACCAGCGTCAGGAACTGTGTCCTAGGGTGGCTTAAAATACCAGGTTTCGGTACAGAATTCTGTCTCCTGGGGTGGAGAGGTATACGGGGTTGTATCACCCGAGGAAAATCTTCAAGCTTCCGGTGACGCTGGAGAGCCTGCTTCATGTGCCCCCAAAGTACCATCACAGCTGTGATCTGAAATGCAGCAGCAGTCAAGAATCCACTAAGTAGCGAGGACGCCGGTAGAGTCGGGAGAAGTGCGCCAAAGAGATATCTTGCGGCCCCGATAAACAAGGCCGACCCAATGAAGGCGTAAAGCGCCATTGGAGCCCGGAACAATAATGCAGAAACGAGAGATGTCAAATCTCCCTGTTTCCACCCGGCCTTCGAAAAGCCGATGCTACTCTTGTCGACAGTGACCACCAGAGCTTTCTGCCGAGGGGTAAACTCCTCGCTCCCGGCCAATTTTCCAATACGTAAGGATTCTAATTTCGCATATGCATCTTGTGAATGCCCAGCATCTTGGAAAAAGGCAGTGGCATCCTGGCCAGCAACATTGCGGAGCAGTTCTTCTCCTCCAGGATGGTCCTCTTGGTAATCTGTGATATCGTAGACTAGACATCGTGTCAGTACCAAATCCAGCATTCTAATAAAAGCAAGTCGATATTTCCGTACCATATCCACTTATACTAATCCAGAGATTCCTTGGGGAGTTGTGGCTGGCCAGTTCAGCCCTGGTGTACTCAACCAATGCCGCCATCGTACGTCTGGATAGAAGTCACGTAAAGAAAAATAAGAGGGCGTCTTGATTTTCACGAATTTCTTCAAGCAGCTTTAAGCTAACTGAAGAATATAAAAGCTTAGGCTCTCGGGTATATTACCGGCTGGTTTTTTTCATTTTCTTCCAAATGCAACCCTGTCCAATGTGTCTGTCATAAAAGGGACCGAAGAGTAACTGTACTCAATAAATATAAGTCTCAAGGCGTTTTGTTTACTATTTATTATTGCTTAACCATTCAGAAGAGCAGGACTTTGTTTCGGGGGAAAGGTAACCATCACCCAAAATGGTCACTCAAACATTCTTCTTGCTGGGCCGTAGGGAGAGTACGACTCGAAAACTCGATATTGATAGTCCCGATTCTCTGGACGATTTACTGCCTGGAATCGCAGCTGTCTATAGCATACTTTGCCCAAAAGGTATGCATTGAGAGGCCTAAACCCGACTGCTGCCTCCGGCTGACCATCCTATCTTAGGAATTCGTTTTCACAGCGAGCATAAACAGCTGGATAGCATTGAGGAGCTGATCCAGAGTGATGATGCCGTAGGAATCAGTGTCCACGGTTATCCGGTCAGGGAGCCGCAGCAGCCACCTGTGGTTCCAGGAGTCGGTAATCATTTCGAGATTTATCCCGACCACCTGGGGAACCACCAGCGACTGTTCAACAAATATGGCTCAGTAATTCGCACTGATAATTTTGGCCGGATCACATATCTCACCAATGACCCAGACATTACTGCCCTTGCGTTCCAAGATGGCGAGTACTTTACCAAAGCTCCGTCGACGGCAAACCATCCTCTATATGGGATTCGTGATCAGACGGCGCTGTTTCTATGCGATACAGATTCTCCGGCATGGAAGGACGCTCACAGGTTCATTCCACCAAGCATGACGCCTCGCGCAGTGCGGCACTACACGCCGCTACTGCAGCAATCTGTCGAGGCGTCATTCCGGGTTTTGGATATCTTTGATAAACATGGTGAGGCATTCAACGTCTACCAGTTTACAGCCAAGCTTGCGTCTCAGGTTATCTGCCAGCTAGTACTGGGCATGGATATGCACCATTTTGACGAAGTAGACAGCCCTATGCACCGCATCATCGTGTTGCTGCAAAATTATCTCACCCTTAACCGACGCGTGCAAACCAAAGGATCCTGGTACTCGTATCTCCCTTTTGGTATGTCAGCGGCTTTCCTAGAATAAAATAGCCAGTAGATATCAAACTGACCGCCGGCGGTTGTAGGTGACCCAGTTGCGCTCAAACAGACTCGCCGGGAGCTCTACGAGCTTATAGAACAGGCTATATTGGCCTGCAGGCAAGGCGAAGGCACACAGGACCTCCCTATCCAGACAGCGGCTCTGCATGCGTCGTGTCTAGTCGATTACCTGGCGCGCGCAACTGACGAGCAGGGGGCAAAACTCAGACATGAATACATCCTCAGCAACACACTCGCACTCGTCGGGGCAGGTTTCGTTACTAGTTCTGCATTCCTGTCATGGCTTATATATGCGATAGTGACGTATCCGGGCCAGCAAGACCACCTACTGCAGGAGCTGGTCGACCACGGCGCCACCGCCGACAAGCGCTGGACGTACGACGAGATCCAAGATTTAGGATACCTCGATGCGTTCGTCAAGGAGACACAGCGCCTGCATAGCCCATCCTTTCAGCCTGGGCGCAATGTCAGGCGAGATGTCATCCTCCCCGGCGGCTGGATTCTTCCGCAAGATGCGATCCTTATACCGAGCATGCCGCATCTGCATCGACATGCCGAACACTGGGATAACCCCGAGCGTTTCGACGCCGGCCGGTGGACAACAGATGCGGTCAAGAACCGTCACAGGAGCATTTATGTGCCCTTCGCGGGGGGTGCGCGAGGCTGTATTGGGTTCAATGTTGCGCTGCAGGAGGTGAAAGTGGCACTGGCCGAGCTGGTGTACCGCTACGAGTTTGTGGCTGCGAGCAACGAGGCGATCGAGTACGATCCAGAATTTATCGTGATCCGCCCGATGAATTTCTATGCGCGCGCACTGCGACGGTCGTCCTGGCCGCCACGATCCTAGTCTCGCATCGGTTGAAGCAGTGACTATTCAGAGCTGCAGCCCGTTGACCAATCAATCCGATCCATCATTTTGTCGGCTGGTTAGTTTGTAAGCAGATGATCGGGCGCTTTTCGGGAGCTTTTCGGTAGGTTATGAGTAACGACTTTGTTAACAAAGCGACGAGTTCGCTCTGATATAATGAACAATCAAGCAGTTAAATAACAGACCGACGACTGGGCAAGTTGGAGAGCGCTTGATAGGGTTCGATTTCTAACGCATCCAAGCCCCCATTTGTAATCGTTGGCGGTGCATGCTGCAGCCATATGGCTTTATTCATATAGAAATAGCTGTCGTCGTAGTAGTGGTCGTAACTAGTCAAACGTGAACCAGATCTTGTTTCTTCATATCTCAAGAGGGTGCTCTCCCATTCCTTTCTTCGTTTCCTATAGTTAGCTGGCCGGTCTTTATCCGTCGGGAAGTGCGTTGCACAACCTATTCGTCAAGTATGACTTTGAAGCCAGATGCAGCCGCCTCGCAGGCCCCCATCGACACCGAAAAACAAGCAAGCAGTTGTTCGGATCTCCCTTCAGCGGCTAAGGATGATAGCCCACGCGATATTCACGGCGCCCTATGGCTAGCTGTGGTCCTCGGCATCTTCAGTTCAACTTTCCTCTTTGGCCTTGATAATACCATTGTCGCCAATATCCAGCCCGCTATCGTCAAGTCGCTGGATGGTGTTGAGAAACTGGCCTGGTCCGGTGTGGCCTTTATTATGGCCTCCAGCGCAACGGTGCTTACCTGGCTGCAAATCTTTAACCAGTTCAACATCAAATGGATGTATATCTTCTCCATCGTCGTATTCCTGGCTGGCTCTGCTGTCTGTGGAGCTGCCCAGACGATGGATATCCTGATCGGAGGGCGAGTCATCTGTGGTATCGGCGGCGTTGGCCAGTACGTGGGAGTCATGAACTTTCTCCCTCGTCTGACCTCCTTGCGAGAACGGCCGATATACGTTAGCGCAATTGGTCTTACCTGGGGTGCAGGTACTGTCCTGGGGCCAATCATCGGCGGTGCCTTTACCGATAGCTCTGCTGGATGGAGATGGTCCTTTTATATCAACCTGGTTGTTGGCGGCCTTTGTATGCCCGTCTATATATTCCTCCTCCCATCCCTTGAACCACAGCCCACTTCCGGAGTCCCTATTATGGATAAGCTGAAGAAATTGGACATCGTTGGATCGCTGATCTTAATGGGATCATTTGTGGCAAGTGTTATTGGTCTTAACTTCGCTGGAGCCCTTTACCCCTGGAGTTCCCCTGGTATCATCGCTGCACTCGTTCTAGGGGCTGTTGGTTTCATTGTCTTTGGGGTTCAGCAAAGCTACTGCATCCTCACCACCGAAGAAACACGCCTCTTCCCCGTGGAGCTGATATCATGGCGCAAGCCGCTCCTTAGTCTGCTATTTCTATGCGGTTGTTGTACCAGCGTCTGTGTAACAATCCCAGCATATATCATTCCGCTATATTTCCAGTTCACCGCCGGTGATAAATCATTGGAGTCCGGGGTCCGGCTATTGCCATTTGTCTGCCTTCTTGTTTTTAGCTGTGTTGGCGGCGGGATTCTTGCTTCCCGCGTTGGATACTACCTCCCCTGGTATCTTGTTGGGGGGGCACTCTCTCTTATTGGAGCTTCACTGATATATACGGCAAACCTGGGAACTAGCCCTGGAGCTATATACGGATATAGTGCTCTTATTGGCCTAGGGTCAGGAATGTATCTTCAGCTTGGTCATTCCGTAGCCCAGGCTAAGGTGAGCCCGGATAAGGTATCCGCCGCTATTGCCTTTACGACAACCGCCCAGCTAAATGGAATGACTATTGCGCTGGTGATTGCTCAGTGTGTTTTTGTTAATGAAGCTGCTAAGGGTGAGTATCGATCCTCCTAATAAAGTGTACAGCCCGGCTGACCTAGCTTGATCAATTACCAATCTAGGAATTGCGAGAGTGCTTCCGCATGAGCCCCATTCCACTATTATCGATGCTATCACCGGAACTGGCTCAACATTTGTACACGATCTGGAACCAAATACAAGGACAGCAGTGTTGGCTGCAATTGTAACCGCGATCGATAGAACCTATATCTTGTGTATAGCGGCTGGAGCCGCTACAGTCCTATCAACATTTGGTATGAAGTGGGAACGGCTGTTTATCTCTGCGGTGGCTGCTTGAAAGTGCACAAGCAGATATCAAATTAACAAAAGATAATAAAGGGGTGGTTCTGACCAACAAAGGGGGTCGGTCAAGACATGTAGAGAAGGTCAGCGGGAGATTAAAAGACGGGGCAATTTAATCTACCGAGACGGTGTATTTTAATGTGCAGGAGTCAATGTAAGCACAATGAAGACCGAATAGATGGTCCATTAGCTCCAATGTTTCTTAGTACTCGCTGTGTTGCAAAAGAAAGTCGCCGTGATACCGGCAAATTGGTATATAGAGGGGACGCCCACCTCCCCGACGGACTTCTAGTAACCATAACGAAAAAAATGTTGAAACCTGAAGTATTTTCATACGCCACCTATTATGGGGCGCTGGCGTGGTTAGGATATTATCTTCTCTGGACTGCCGCGCTCCGCCATGGCGCAAGAGCAGCCATGGTGGCAGTTAAAAGAACGAATCGATTCCCGGACGGCACACCCCTAATCCAGCGGTATACGCCAATTGCAGCACTTGACAGACAGCTTATATCCGCAGTGATATTCTATCATGGGTTGTTGGATGGTACAGATCCGGCGCATGGCCTGCTGCTTGTGGATGTGCATTCGACCATGCAGGCCACTGCTCTCTGCATAATGGCCCAAACCCGGGCCTCACTTCCATTTACAGCCTCTCTCCTGTGGGTGAAGCAACATGTTCTTCTGGATTCTCATCATTTACTAACAGGGTCCCTCAGAATTCCGACCGTATGGGGGATTGTCAACCAGTTCTATGGCGCTGCTTTTGTCTATCCGCTATACCTGTTGTGCCAAACCGTATGGCATGGATTTGAGGCATTCCCCGCTGTGAATGACTCTCGGATTAATTTGGCGCTTGTGGCCAGCGCAGTCTGGAGCTCCATCCTGCCGCTTGCCTTTCTCTTTCCCCTCTTTGTTCCAAGTTGCGTTGCACGACGGCAGCGGGCCATCGCGCTCTATAGGGCTTCCCCTATCGTATTGACGTTGCTGCAGTGGATGGGGGAACATGTTCCCCTCGAGCGTGTCTTCCCGACCGTCCCGGAGTCAGCCCCTTATTTAGTAGTGGCGGTCACGGCGGCAGCAGCGCATCTGTATGCGATACTTGGAGCTGCTGTAGCCAGTTATTCACCGCCCGTGACCATGAAGGAGATGCTCTACCGAATCTACCTTCCGAGCACATCGCGACCGAAATTGCCTGCAGCTGTGCTTTCAAGGGCTGCCCATGAATTCCTTCAATATGATATGCTGATCCTGGCGGCTGCATTCATCCTCTGCGCCAACGTTCTGCTCGCACCGGTCCTTCCGGTGGCTACCTGGCTGATCATCGCATCCTTGTTTGTAGCTATGGTAGCTCTGGGGCCAGGAGCTGTGTTGGCATTATCGTTTGCTCTTCGATGGTATCTTCAGCAATAGCATGGAGAAAGAGTACATCGCCAACGTTTCATCAAGAAGTACATTCGGTGGTAGGGTTACATGTAGATAGATATATACCATCAGGATAACGGCCTCAAGCGTGGTACTCCATATTGGCAGCCGGAATTTTGCATATCACTCATCACCTTGCATTGTCGAAAGGAACAGTAGCGCAAGGATTGAAGCCTAGGCACTGGGTCTGGAGTAACATATTATTTCGAACATGCCCACGATTATAAACAACCAGCCTTTCGAGGACGACATCTGTAGGGCCATATAACAGTCGATAGCTCTTATTCAAATATGTCGAGCCCGTCCACGGGCATCTGTGGCTGCGAAAAATCCGCAAGCTCCCTTGCGTCTTGCCTGCCATCCAAGGGCGTCTTCGACTTCAGCATCCTCGCATCTATTAATCAGCCGCTAAACGACCACTGGAAGCTTGTCGAGGCTTGCAAACATCCTCTTCACAACAACGGCCTCATCCCTACTGCTATCAATCTTTCGGAGACCATCTTTTGCCTGTGCAGTGCTGCATGTACCTCCTACGGCCTTTTTGACGGTGATGTTGCGGCCAGTATCGAAAATGACAAGATACCGATAGCGATGGGCCCAAACGACAACGGCAGCGCTTCTCCATCCTGGAGATGTTCTAAAAGCTCCATGTCGCTGGGCAGATTTATCATTCACGGCGAAGAAGAGAGTCTTCTGGCTCGACAGATTGTCTGCGTGGCGTTGACGAATCTGAGCACTCTGTTACGCGAGATGAGCTCGCTCGATAAGGACCCGGCAGACACCCTTGCAATGAGCTCTGGGCCCGGCAACTTGTATGGCCGCGAACTGGATGGGCAAGTCAGCCACGCACTTTCAAGGGTTTTATCGCTCCTAGGCAAGATATCTTCCGAGTAGATATGGCTCTTCTCCTGCTGTGTGTTTGGGGAGATCGGTGCCGGATTGCTCATCATCTTGCTGCCAGAGGCAATAGCTGGCGATTGATACTAGCGACATGGAACTGGACCTAAAAAGATGGCGTATAAATGGACGACGAGATCCAGCCTGTCATAAAACTACAATAGCTACTTGTTAATAGAGCATACGGTTGGTTTAATAATGAGCAAAAAGGGTAGGCGACAGTTGATTGTTTAGGTTCCAACTATTCAAAACATTGGCCTGTTAAGAGGGTTTACGAGAAGATATGGCAGTCTAGGTCGCAGTTAAACATAATAAAGCTATACACATTTAGCTAATATGTACAGAGTACGCTGTAGTAAATAGATATAAAAACTGTCAAATGGTACGTTTGGTGGCGGGGAAAAATAGCCGACTTTAGCGCCAACCAACTTCCATCTATCAGTTATATCGTTGACTAGCTAACGGGCACATCTATTGACAAACCCTCCAAGATCAAACCGTTCGACAAAATAAATACAGCAGGGTTGCTTATCTTGCGCTGCTCCGGACCCTCGACTAGAGAAACCACCCGCCTGAAACATACAATGGCGGATAGGAATGTTGCAAAGTTGCTCAGCAGGTGCTGCAAGAATGTATCTGGTAAGTCTGGTCGCTGGCTATCGGTCCAGGATTATCATTGATTCTCTGGAATAGGGAGACTGAGGGTGTCTGAGCTCGTTTTCGACGTTCCTGTGGACTACTCAAACCCAGCTTCCCAATCGCTCCGCCTGTTCGCACGAGGCGTTCAGCGGCGAGTACCAGGCTCTTCTTTTGATGATAAAGAAAGACAGCTGCCTTGGATCGTCTTCCTGCAGGGTGGGCCTGGAGGAGCCTGTCCACAGCCCCAGGAGGTTGGCTGGGTCGGTCCATTGCTGGATCGAGGATACCAAGTGAGCCTCCATAGCCCGTGGACTAGCTATTTACATGCTATTAATTTCAATGAGTTAGGTTCTTCTCCTCGACCAGCGAGGAACTGGTCTTTCAACTCCTATTACTGCTGCAACACTGGCGCTTCACGGAAATGCAGCCCAGCAGGCCGAGTATCTTAGATTGTTTCGTGCCGACAATATCGTGCGGGACTGTGAAGCAGTTCGTAAGGTGTTAACGGCCTTCTACCCCGCAGATAGGCAGAGATGGAGCGTCCTCGGCCAGAGCTTTGGTGGCTTCTGTGCCGTAACGTATCTTTCCAAGCAGTGAGTATTATTCTGGTCGTGTTCTATAGAGAGTAGCGGTCGTGCATCAGTTGATAACAAGAGTTTACAGTCCAGAGGGATTAAAAGAAGTTTTTACAACGGGTGGATTGCCACCCCTTGTAAATAAACCAGACCCTGTTTATGAACGAACTTATGGTACGCCGGAATGATAGGATCGTCCACCTGGAATAGAACTGATGTGCTTCACAGAAAAGGTCCAATCGCGGAATAAAGTGTACTATTCGAAGTTCCCTGAAGACGAAGATCGGGTGCGGCTCATAGTCAGCTATCTCAAATCAAAAACCGTTCAGTTTCCCGACGGCTCCTCTTTAACGCCAGAACGTTTCCTCCAGTTAGGAATTCATTTCGGCATGAAAGGTGTGTTTTGTGTGACTAAACTGTTGGATTCTTTAGCTAACATCCTCTATGTAGGTGGCGTTGACTTGGTACACAGTACGGATCCACCGAAAGACAACTACAATGTATCTCTGTTTGCTAACAAAGTATGTCTAATATATAGGCATCATATTAAGATGTATCAACGACTTGGACATTTTTGGCTTCCTCGCCAGGCCTACCCTATCCTTGATTGAAAGTGACACTAGTGCAGACAACGGCATTCTGTATGCAGTAATGCACGAGTCTATCTACTGCCAGGGGTAAGTCATCTCACTTGCCGCAGCATATTATCAACAAGACCTAACTGGTTACTATAGGCAAGCATCGAACTGGGCTGCAGAAAGATTACTACCACAATTTCCTGGGTTCCGAGGAGCTCATAATCCCGACGGCATCTACTTCACCGGGGAAATGGTATACAAGCATTGGTTCGATTCATCCAAGGAGCTCGGCCAGCTCAAAGAAGTAGCTAATATCCTCGCTTCATACGACGATTGGCCGGAGTTGTATGACAAAGAGCAGCTTGCACGGAACGAAGTCCCGGTGTATTCAGCTACATATGTCGAGGATATGTACGTGCATTTCAGCTACGCAACCGAAACAGCAAATACCATTCGCAACTGTAAGCAGTTCATCACCAACACCATGTACCACAATGGGCTGCGTTCGGACTCCTCTGAGCTGATTGGGCAACTGTTTGCTCTTCGTGATGATACAATCGACTAGGAGGGTGAGAATCAAGATGGAGATGTAGGCAATCAACCGTGCAACACGTTTCTCTCTTGCAGAGTAACATGTCCTATCGATACACCCATAGAATAAGTGTGGATATATCCTCTAGTCGGCTATTTCTCTTGCAACGTCGATCAATCGAAGTTTCTGTGAATTTCGCGGATGAAACTGCGCAATCTTCGCCTTGACTAGGAATCTCGAAGCGGCTGAGTCCTGGTCTAGCTCGATGTATGACGACGTAGCTGCGATATCTAGTAGCGATTCAAGAAGGGAGTGCATTTCTTCCGCAGCAGCTTCCCTTGGATTAGTGATTCTCGTATCATCCCTGTTATTATCTTCCTCATCTTCACCACCGTCCCGTCCTTGAGCCCTACTCCTACCACGTTGAAGTAACTCATCTATGCGTTGCTGCTGCTTCTTGGCCCCACCACTCTGTCCGTTGCCAGCTTTAGAAGCCTTCCTCTCTTTACCTCTCGCAGTATATCCGGCTTCAAGCGTTGAATCCGGCACCTCGACCTGGTCACCCACAACCGGCCCACCCATATCCTCGGCAGCAAGCATGGGCGCAAGATACTCATCGACAAACTCCTTTAACGCATCTTTCAATTTGGCTGTTTCCTCCTCTATCTCAACACCCTTTCTCCGCTGCTCTTTAATTAGCTCTTTAGCAAATCGATCCGAACCTTGCTTTGATTTCTTGCTCCCAGGATCGTCCTCAGTTCGCCTTTGTTGACGTATCTCTTTGATTCTTCGTTGTAATTCAGTCGTTATCGAATTTGCGTCCCGTAGATTAGCTTCTTCGACCTTTAGTCTCTCACGATCACGAACAAGCTGTTCTGCAGTGGAAGGTATGGTGGACTTAAGCTCTCGCACGAGCCGTTGAGCTTCCCGTATAGCTAAAAGGCCGTTCAGTGGCGAATCTGGAGCCGGCAGCTGTGGTGTGACATCGGAGAGTAGAGACTTGTATGCCTGTATAGCCCTGCGAGTCTGTGCCAGCCGTTCATGGGGCTGTAGGTCCGGGCGTGGGAGCTCTAGAGGATGAGTAGAGGCACGAAGCTATACAGAATTCACCAGTCAGACAAGACATGACAGTATCATAGCAACTCAAGCATGGGAAAATAACCTCTCGAAGCGCAGATTCCTGTCGCTGGACCTGCTCGCGCAGACCGCGCAGCGTCTTGTCTATCTGTCGATTGTATTCTTCATAGTTTGCAGCGGTCAACGCCACGCTATCACGCTCTTTCTCGGCTTCTCGACATGATTCCGAGTATGCTCGTATCCTATCGACCACGTCTTCGGCCACCATCATGTCTTCTTCTTCTTCTTATCGTCTTCATCGTCTTTTCTTATATAAAAAGCAAAAAGAGACGAAGAAAACATGTTTATTCACGTGACTACCCCAGATATCCAAAAGAGGTTTAGCGCCAACCCCCCTAAAACGACTTCTTGTTTTTTTCTCTCGTCGACTTCAACATCAACTTCGAGCTTCATCTTCATCTCCAGCTCCTGTCATATCATTCAACGCTGTCAAAGAGCGAGCCTCTGACGCTGTCTCACGCGGTCCTTGTCGTTGTGTCAACACTTCGCATTGGCCTTTTACCGCCTGACCCCTTTGTTTGGCTTCTAGAGGCTCCTCTGCGCGCAACCGTCGTCGAAAGCCCACCCGCGTCCGCCAGCTTCGCATCCGTAGGCAAAGAGGCTAGGGGTTCATTTTCTGGCCATTCGCCTTTATCCATTGCGTTTTCAAGCTCGGCCGTTGATCCTTTGTTTTGTGCTCGCTGGGTGGTGACCTTCTCATTACTCCGTCTGCTCAACCATAAATCACCAACACCTCCTGTCGCCTCCTATCCCACAAACCTCCATCCTCCTTTTCAGAGCTTCTACGCTCGAAAACAACCTCACTCTCGCATTTTTCACAAACCAGTCAAACGTCGATCCTACATAAACCAACACGCATAGCACCTTCACTCAAATATCTATCTACACCACTTCCGCTCCAAGTCAAGCCTCCCATCACCTCCCTCTCAGTCCGACCACTTCACCAGCAAGTTTTCCTTGGGAACTCCTGGTGTACATAAGAAAAGACCGATCTGAAAAGAGAAAGGAAAGAAAAGAAATTTAAAACAAAGTTTCAGCTTCACTCCGACTTCTGTCTTGCTTTCTCTGTCTCCCCTTTTCTCAAACGTAGGTGCTCGATAAACCCGAAAGAAAATCGCAACCAACCACCGAATATTACAGCACATTTCATCATGTCTGCGTCACCAACATCTGCCGGTCCGTCGACCAAACGTCCGCTTGAGGACCCATCTTCGCCCTCGGGGCCCACGGATCAACCAGAGGCCAAACGTCAAGCTTTGGATAAAGTAGTAAAGGCTGAGGAAGACGAGACCAAGGTGCAAGAAGGAGACAGGGGTGCCAATGATAAGAGCGTGAACGGTGCCGAAAATGGTGCCGGTGGTGAAAATGGCGTCAAGGACGGCCAAGGTGATTTGCTTGTCCCTGATGCCCCTAATAATGGCAAAACTGCTCCAGTCCCTGCCTTGGAGACGCAGCCGATACAGTCTACAGCTTCTCACAACGACCGTGCCACGTCGAACCCTCCGGCCACCAGCCAGCCTGCTCAAGATGAGACTGGTTGGGTACATATCAGAGCAGTGATTTCCAGCGCTGAAGCTGCCACTGTCATTGGTAAAGGCGGAGAAAACGTCTCTCAGATTAGACGCCTGTCTGGAGCCAAGTGTACCGTTAGCGACTACTCCCGAGGAGCGGTAGAGAGAATTTTGACCGTTAGTGGCATGCAAGATGCTGTTGCAAAGGTACGGTTACAATATTACATTCAAGATATCATGTTCTAACTCTGTCTATAGGCTTTTGGTTTGATTATCCGTACCCTCAACAACGAACCACTTGAAGCACCATCTACTGCCCAGTCCAAGACCTACCCTCTTCGCCTCCTCATCCCCCACATCCTCATCGGCTCCATCATTGGCAAATCGGGTGTTCGCATCCGTGAGATCCAAGAAGCATCTGGTGCTCGTCTTAATGCTTCGGACTCTTGCCTGCCCCTTTCCACCGAGCGATCACTTGTTATTCTTGGTGTTGCTGACGCCGTGCACATTGCAACCTACTATGTTGCTGTCACATTGGTTGAGCAGTTGACCGAGAGATTCGGCGGCCCGGCTGCGTCCGCATATGCCACTCGAAGCGGCGGACCTGCTGGTGTTGTTCCTGGCGGTATGCAGGTTGTCCCATACGTGCCGCAGCCAGCTGGGGGACAATACGGACATCCCGATAGCCTGCGCCGAAACAATCCTCAGGCGAACCGTGCCACTCCTGGAGGATACGGTGTTCCATATATGCAACAACCTGGCCCCCATCCACACGCTCCGCAGCCAAGCCTTCACTATGGTGCCTCACCACGACAAGGCTATACTGGTGCTGGTCCTCACCAGCCAGCTCCATATGGCGCTCCTCAACCCCCCCACGGCGGTCATGTCCCTCCAAATGGCCCACCAATGGGTGCGGCCGTTCCTGGTCAACCCTTGACCCAGCAAATCTACATTCCCAACGACATGGTAGGTGCTATAATTGGTAAGGGAGGAGCAAAGATCAACGAGATCAGACACCTTAGCGGGAGTGTTATTAAGATCAACGAGCCTCAAGATAACAGCAACGAGCGGTTGGTCACTATAACTGGAACTCAGGAGTGTAACCAAATGGCGTTATACATGCTATATTCAAGACTTGGTCAGTTACTATCCCACACTAAAGATATGGATGCTCTACTAACCACTTCACCTGCAGAGAGCGAAAAACACCGAGTCTAATCTGGTACGAAACTACGCGATCCCTTTTTTGTCTTCCAACAATAGTTATTTCGGGCTCCTAATGTCCTCAGGCCAAGTCCTTGATTTTCCTTACCAAAAAAAAAAAATTACTTCCTCATCTTTTTCTACCAAAGTATCTTTAACTCTCTCAATCTTCTGCTCCTTATGCTTCTTATTTTGATTTTCCTTTTTTTGTGGCTTCCTTTATCATGGGTTTCCTGGATGTAATTCCTTCACCGGTGTATTTCTATTTCGCTACTTGTTATGAAATTGCTCATGGTGCGGCCTTAAAAACAAATCAGGATCTCTGCCTTCTTCATGTTATCCTAACCTGCCTCATAATTACCCTGCTTGCCTCGCCCTCCCGCGGTTGGACATTAAGACACTCCCGTTTTTATCAATGCCTAACATGTCACCCGTTCTTAAACGGGCTGTAGCACTTGCACATTATACACAGCCCTAGCCGTCAGCTTTGGAGAAATGCTACAGTGGCTGGTAAATATATTGCCAACTGATCCTCGCTGCCAGAGTTTATGTCAACATCCCTACCCCGTCACCCACCTTCATCTATTATGGCCTTGATATTGCAAGCACCAATATCATATCACAGTTACGGGATAATAGCTGAGGATTAAAACAGGACCTAAGTTCATGCCTTGTGGAAAGCCTGTCCACGATTCTCGGGGCTAGTTGCTTCCTTTACCCATTGGTGCTCGCATGGCAGAGCGTATAAAATACTAGAACAGGTGAGTAAAACACGGCCACAAAACTAACGATCCCATGTTATCGAATATAGACATACACATGCTCAATATATGGTGCTATTCCAGCGCCCAGAATAGGTATATAGTTACCTTGCTCTATGACGAGATCGAAAAGGTCGAGAAGCGCTCTTTCAGCCAAGGCGATTTCTAGCAGAATATCTGAGAGAAAACTCGAAAGGGACATTTTTACAATACACCTATGCTTGAAGTTGACAGACAGTTTAAGCAGCTACTTGGTCATTCTAGAATTGATCACTCTTGACAGTTCTGAGGGTTGGGATTACTTCCAAGATACGTATGTCCTAAGCGGTCACAGCTCATAGGAAGACAGACCGGATGCAAAGAACTTTGATGATAATAAACCCCTTTGCACGGGTTATCAAGGGCATAAAAGGCGCCCTGGCAGCCGCACGAACTAAAACAGAATCAAATGTGATATAGAGGATAATAATGCACCTGAGGAACTTGCTAAAGAAGATGCCTCCGTCGCCAGTCTTATCAATTCTCAGCTCACACGCCCGCCTACGCCTGAAATCTAGCCATGCCATTAACGTGCATAGTAGAGCAACCTCCAGAAAGTGTTTCAGCTTACATAGTGCCGGCAACAGGCTATATCGAGTTCAATGACAGGCTACTGGTTGGCCTTCTTTGACTCTTCTATGATCACTAAGACACCAGAACCTCGTCAGTACGCTTCTTAGATAACAGTATAAAAGTGATACGGTGAGAATGAACCTCCTCTGCTACATTATGGAAATTGTCGCTTTAATTGATAGATCACAATAACGGAAGATCAGGTCCTCGAGGTAATGAGGTCTTACCTACGGCTATTCTGAACATAGGCTCTGCCACCGTTGTGCCATATTCAATATCGGAGCATTATGTCGAACATTTCGCCTTCCTTAATTCTTTTCCCTTCTCCACGACTTTTTTTACCTGTGGAAGTGAATTAGAGCTCCTTTTTTAGGTGCGAATACGGAAAATGTTTCCTTTAACTCGTTATATCTAACCGGTATAAGTGATAATGTAGAGCAATTAATATTCCGAGGTCCATTTTCCAGTATGGAAGAAGATGGACAGCATATACTATATAAGTCGGCAAATACCAACAACTTCGCCCTAGTCTTCGCTAAGAAACAAAGCTCTTAAAACCTGTGCGATCCTATATGTTCAGCCTTCATTCCGCAAAAAAATCATATCCGCTTGATACAAACTGGACAGGATCGAGTTTCCCACCACTGCCATGTTTAGACGCCCGAGACAGACCGAGCCTGACAGGCTCTCTATAAGACTCAGGGACACACTTCAACCTCTCACTGTGGTTCCTTGGGGGTCGCTTGCAATGTGGTATCTGGGCGTCCCCATCGGTGTTGGAGTAATGTGCGCCTTCAAGTAGTAACTTCGGAACTTTAGTTACTTGTTCTTACTGACCACCTCCACCCCACCATAGGCCCCCATGATTGCAGTGCAAGACGACGATTACGCAAACGCTATTAAGAAGCTTGAGGACGCAGGATTCCGCCGAAGTGTTCCTAACCGCAACCCTCCTCCCGAGATCATGGAAGTCCATCCAAACCCGCAGCAGATGCTTGATGAAATAAATGCTGGCTACAAACGACTGGATCAGTCTTGTACAGTATTTGATTATCCGCATGGTGACCCGGCAGAAAAAGGCATGCAGTTGTACCTGTTTCCAGACTCATTTGCGCACATTTTTCAACAAGAACACATTGCACCTCCTTCGGTGGAAATGGGAGATACAGCATCAACTGAACGATTCAACGTCTACTGAAATTTGCACTACCCGCTGGAGCAGGCACTAGTAGAAAGTTTTGTTAAGTCAGCGATTGATGAAGAAATTAATACTGGCTTTTCTGCATGGGGTGAATCGCTAAGCGCGTGGGTATCTCAGATGACAGGATACCTAGAGGTTAATAACGATATTCTCGATCATTGTCTAGACAAGCAGGCAGTGGAATGGTATAGTCGCAACTTTGGTCGAATTCGTGAAGCCAAGCTTGGTCCCTTCGATCGACGTATCTCAAAACGTCTCGGCTCAGGAAAAGAGATGTCAGTAGATATGAGGGGTAAGCCACTTGATCATGGTTTTCATTAAGCTAAGATACATAATTTGTTCCTGGAAGTACAGCAACGCAATTCATATCGCGAACTTTCACCTCTAGAGTTTGGTCAGACTGTAGCCATGTATCCCGTCTGTTTTATCAATACCGCATTTCGGCAAAACAAGCAGCCCTTCTTGATATCTCCAGGTCACCAGATATAGGAACTTCGACAATCAGCTGAACAAGAGATATATCGGGATTTTCTACCGTGAAGCTCCCACCACTCAGGCATTTAACCGGCTGAGTCGAAAGAGATAGTTAACTAGTTTCGAAAACAGCGCTGCATTTGATCTTTGCTTTTAGAGTCTGAGTCAAATCAGGTCTTTTTTGCAAAAGATTCTCCAGGGCGACATGAAGCTCTTGGTTTTGGTTGAAGTCGAGCTCTGGTCTGCCGGCTATAGCCAAGGGGATCATATTGCTGATATCACCAATATCAACTTCTTCTTTATGACCACCTTGGCGTTGATACTGGGATAAAATCTTCTCTCGCAGAATCCATTCAGGACCAAATAACTTGATCGCTTGGCCATTGATGTTTAGGGTCATCCGTGTAGCTGCCTGGATGTTGTACTGAGGACGTTGCGGCCAACTCGCAAAGTCAAAAACTTCCAGCTCCACCAACAACGGTGCTGCTCCTGGCCGGCAAAGCTTGTACGCGGGGATCGCGTGTCCGAACTGGCCGACTCCATCAAGGTTGGAGAGGAAAGTTGTGAGGAGTTGAGTTGGTAAGACGGTCGGCCATGATCATACGATAATTAACGTGAATGACAAGGTCAACGTCTTCGGTCCTTCGAGTTGGGTCTGGACTTAACAAGTGGCGGCACCTCACATAATGGCATAGTCGATGCCCAGTGAATCAAGTTTCTGTGCCAGTGTGGACACTACAGTTTTCAACGCTTCGTGGTCGAGCGGCGCCATCGTAATGTGGAGATGATAGGACACGGAAAGCTATAGAATGGGTAGACATCCACCTAGTATATGGAGGGTAGATACATAGTTGATTGGCGCTTATTTGAATACTCTTATTGGACACTAATCCTGTTTTGTCAGATATTGACCAATGATATAAAGGTATAAAAAGGTCAAAAGACCAATGGAGCTGGTGAATAGTTAAACAGGATCAACTATAATCCGCCGCTTTTGTCCATTTGTGACATGAACGATTTTATATGGAAAAACGCCGCCCAAGACGAAATGCAGACGAGATCAGGCACTTTTTCTCACGTATTCCACCGGCCCTACGTACTTGTGTCTTCCTCGGAAGATAAAGTATACCAGGCTAAACAACAATACCCCAAAATAAATGACGACACTCCAGTTCATACCGTCAAGCGGTGGCTTGGGTGTTGGCGGAAAGAAACAGAAAACGTATGCCAGCACCAGAAAAGCTAAGGAGAGCAGGTTGATAGGCAGGCCAAGGGCTCCCATACGGAAGTGTGAAGGCAGCAAAGCCTCGCCACGTATTCTTTTGAGAGCCATGCAAGAAATGGAGACGATGTAGCTGGATAATAGCGCGCAGAGACCAAGTGAGGTGATTTGGTTGAATGCAATCGTGCTGCCGATGTTGATGAGGGAAAGCAATGAGCTCACTATGACAGTGAAAATAATAGCATTGAGCGGGATATCCCATCCAAGTGGGTCCTATAAATGCCTGTTAAATAACTCTATCGCCCAAAGGGGGGCTTGGGCAGACTTACCTTCTGGAAGAATTTGCCAAATGGCAGACCATTGTCTCGTGCAAATGCGAACAACTGCCGAGAAGCAGTGGCCATGTTGGTCATACCGCAGAAGATAGACAGCGAAGTCATAATGGCTGTCATGGCCGTGGCGCCCGGTTTGGACATGGTAGCATTATAAAAGACCTGGATGAAGGGATACCCGGTTGGCGTTTTTAGAACGCTATCGACATCGCCAATAGTATAGCAAAAAGTGCTATCGAAACCGTCAGCTCTTCAAATATTGAATCGACTTTGAAAGGCCAAAATAAAGGATAGAACTTACATGACCATTATGATACCTAGGGAACCATTGAATACGGCAGTTGCCAACATCGCCTTAGGGAGCGTCTTTGACGCATTCTTAAGCTCCTCGGACATATGCGTGGCAGCATCAGCCCCAAGGAGTGATACAACGGGAGTGATTATCCCAACGAGACTAGCCAATCCTTTACTCCCCCATCCTTGCGCGTCCTCCACTTTAGTCCATACGTCCTTTGAAGATGATCGCGGAGCTAGAATCCACAGTGGAATTAAAATGGCAAAGAAACCGGCAACGTGCAGGATGAGCACAACGCCTTCAATCAATGGGAGCCTCTTTGCTAGCACAGTATTGAACAGCGCACACAGCGCGATAACGGCTATCGCCATCAGGGTTCCGTGCCATCGTTCGGGGTGATAGTTGTCGTAATTTAGGATCACGAGGCCTTGAATCTCAGTTCCTGCCAGGAAACAGGAGGATGCCGTACCGGCCTGCCATCCCAGCACGCAAAGCCAGCCGATGAAATACGATAGGAATTTCTGCGAACTTCGAGGAGCGAATTCGGATATCCAGTGATACTGCCCACCCGCCGTGGGTGCCATTGAGGCCATCTCAGCCATTGATGCTATCACCAGCGAGAAGCCAATGACAGTACCAAGGTAGACATAGATCAGTCCGGCCGTTCCTCCATTTCCGAGACCAAAGGCTGCAGTACTATGACTCTTTTAGTACTGGCAGATACAAAAAAGATCATCGTCAAAAGACGATCGTTAACTGGGGGGTTTCCAATACTAACCCGAGAGTACTCTCCCATGTGCTCATCAAGATCATGGAAAAGCCAAATATAGATAGAAAACTGAAGTTACGCTAGAATTGGAACAAGAGAGCATTAGAAACGAACAGAAAAGGTTCTCCCTGTTGGATAAACAACTGTGTTCACCCATTGAGTCTTTTACTCACTTGGAGTTGCTGCTGCTTGCCCATCCGCTTCATATCCTGCACGTCGTTTGCGGTGCCATCTCTCAGGCCGATATAGGTGTCTCCGGAGACTTCAGTGCCCACGTCATTGACCTCTACGTCAGGTACTCTGCCCATGATGAAACCCAAGTTTCCACTTATCGGCCACCGCTTCTGTCTGCGTCCTGACGCTGTTGTATATATACTGGCAATCGCAGATTTCGCCCGACGGGTGCGGCTCCCTCAATCAAATGCTTCCGCCGATCGCTCGAAAACCCAAATATATGAAGTTTTGAAAGGAGATTGAGAAAACGACAAAAAGGGCATTAAACACGTGGGAACTGAGGTTACTGATGGTATATATGGCGGGAAAACCATGCTACATTCCTGGATGAACGACGGAGGCGCCGAGGTTTTCGGTGACTGAACCCCAAAGATGGGTTGATGGTATGGAGAGGGGATAGCGTATATTTCCTAGAGCAAACAGGGCCCCTCGTTCACCACCGAAGCTATCCATTCGCCAGACCCATGGAACCAGAGTGCTTCGTGCCGTCGCTGTCAAGGTTGCATGCTTTTCATGCAAGTCCGACATACCTTGGACTACCACATAACGTGTGGGTGCGGCACGAGTACTCCGTACTTCGACTGACCAAGGCATATTCCTAGGCTGTACGATGTAGCTCACTGAACCTCGAGAATTTTTGCCTTGCCAAAATGTCCAGCCAGAAAGCTTCCCGTGTAGACATGCATGATGCATATACGACGGGAGCTTGCTGTGTCAATGACATCGTTCAAACCTTAGCTGTATTTTGCAAGCCCATCAGGGAAGATTTTGACCCCTTTTTGGCCAGGAAGAAGAGCGAAGCTCGTTCGGTTGCGTGTCCCCGTTCCAAGTGAGCAAGGGGTGCTGGGGTATTGTCCAATTATACGAAGAAGAGATGAGACTAAAACACTCCACCCGTCGATTTATTAGCAGGACCAAATTCCGGTCCGTTCTCCCCGACTGCCGCAGCATTTAAGGTACGGGCGATAGGCTTCCCGCGCCCTGGGCGTCATTGTTATCTGGACACTGTACGACACGGAGTGGCTCACAGCGAGGCGGTCTGGACGTTTGTTATGGCGCAGCTCCATCCGTTTGTTCAGTTGGAACTTTTCAAAGGCGGTATCAGGTTAATGGTGGAGGCTCGCCGTCGATGGGGATGCATTCCTTTATAGGTACCCACGCGGAAATTACCTGCATCATGATTTGTACAATCGTGCTCTCCAACATATAACAAGGCCGAGTCTATTGTGGGAACTCTGTCAATTTTTCGCCAGACAATTGGCACTTTTAGATATCCACAAAGTGGATGATATGCTAGTCAAGGGGCCGGATGCGAAGATCTTTCATATGGAGAATACAGGTCAGCCACAGATAACTACCAAAGGAGACCTTTTCCTGGATCCCTCGATCCAACAGTGGCTATTCGGCGTTTCGTTTTCGTAGAAAGCTATGCGCCTATCCGGTCCCATAAGGCCTGACCTAGGTGATTTGCCATATCTTCCCAGCTGTGCATGCATCGTCCGTTTGTTTGACAAATTCATCCAAAACGGTTAGCTTGATACCTCGACTCAGCCATCTGGCCATAGATAAACACCGAATCTGAAAAATATATCTTGTCTCGAGTGGGTTTTTGATATATCCTGCTCATAGGTACAGGGATGAATACATAGTAGGAATATGTTCCGGATTTCTACTTCGTCTTACTTCCTTCACAAGACGGAAGCATCCTTCACACAAAGAATGCTTCAGACAGCGAGGTTCATAAAATCATATTTGGTAGCAGAAAAGCTGCTAAGGCCATAGATACATGAATCGTGCTTAGATTCACGATATTCGAACATTGTCGTTCTGAATCTAAGCTACATTTGAGGTTCCAGAGATGTCCGGTCCGGGCATCCAGCTATTCACAGGAGGAGATCGATTTACCACTATTACACCAGATGACCATGGCGGGATTCTTTGGGTTGCTTCCATTATTTGTGCCATCTACGTCTTCCTCAGCATGGGGCTGCGCGCGTATGTTAAACGGGAATTCTATGGTCTTGACGATCTAGTAGCTCTCGTTGCTACGGTGAGACCGCCCTTTTCACAGCATATTCTCTTTCCAACGACGCATAGTTCCTGGGCATACGCTAACATTTCCCCTCCTTTTTGGAGCTGCTTTTGTTTTCAGTTCATTGCTGAAGCACAATATATTGCTATTTTCTTTGGTTTGTCTGACGGATTGGGGAAATATGATGGCAATTTTGGCAAAGCTCATATTCGGAGAATCGGGCGGTCCCTACTCCTCAGCGAGGTCTTCTTTCTTTTAGGGCTGCTACTCGCAAAGGTTTCGCTTATCTTGTTGATACGCCGCCTGTTCAGCCCTGATATGAGGACGCATATTTTGACATGCGATGCAACCTTGGTCTTAAGCATACTATGGGGCGTTGGGTCCATGCTAGGCGCATTGATCAACTGTTCTCCCGCTGGGTTGATGGCCTTCGCCAACGGCACTTGCAGTGATATTGTGAGTGAAGCAAGACGCTTTCACTTAAACCAGAGGCATGCATGTCTAACCACTCAAGTAGGTCCTACGGTGGCAGGTCATTGGCACCCTTGACGCATTTACCGAATTGATCATCTTTGGAGTGGCCATATCAGTCGTCTGGGGAATTCAAATGACTCCCTCACGAAAAGCCCGTGTGTTGATGGCCTTTATACCCAGGCTTCCGTACGTAGATATTTTCCCGAAAAGGATCTCGCAAACGATACTAATCCGACACTCTTCTAGGATCATTATTTTTACCATCCTCCATATCGAACGCACGATGGGATTTACCAAAAAACCCAAACCTAGCGTCAGCATCGTAGCGCCCCTAGTCTATCAGCAAATCGAGCTGTGCTACTCTCTTGTATCCTGCACCATCCCTAATCTCGGCGGATACCTACTCAAATTCAACACTGGCATGGGCATCACACTCGGATACGTATCGGAGCCATACGGCTCATCCAGAGAAGCTGGAGGCTCTGGTAGTGTACAACTATCGTCCCTGAAAAGCATTCAGAAAGACAACAAGCCGCCGGCCTCAGACCCCAGCAAACCAAGTAACTACTGCTTCCTTCGACCCGAGCAGTATGAATACCGAGCCTACGTCCGAAGCGCTGTTAACAGCCTAGAGATGAACTCCGGCGACGGTGAGGTTGACGACCGATCACTCAGTTCTCGGGGTGGCCAGTCCGTGGTGAGTATACACAGTCATGATATGATAATACGGCGAGATTTCCGGTACAGCGTTCGACACGACTAAGACAAAATGAGTGTATACATTTCTGCTTGATCTGTCCGGTATATCACTGCTCCTCTGCTTTTCTTTCGTTCCAGCCATCTGCACAATAGTTCACCCGTCTCTCATATCTTGATACCCATTGATGTTTTGCCTCTTGTTCTTTTATGTAATAACGATGATAGATATACGAATGTATGGGCGTAGGGCGCAATATATAGTCTCCCAAGATGGCATCTTCACATTATAAGAAACCTGCGGCTTCTGGAGCTTCCCGATGCAAGAATTGGTAAAACAAACGAGCCGTTAGAAAAGAGATGGAGTCCGCAAGTGTTACGAATAATATAATCCACTATCCTGTCTTTATTTTCTTCGTCTTCACTATAGAATTCCGGCTCCTGCACCCGCCTATCCACCTTATGGAATTCTTCCGGAGAACGAGCAGCATAGTCTACCATCTCACTACAACTGACCAAATCCCAAGTTTCTAACATTTCAGCAAAGCAGCTATGCCTCTATCTCCGACAATAAAGCAAATTGAGGGTAAGCCAGGCCAGGTCTACCGCCCTTTACAACTCAATGAAGTGCCCAAGCCTGTCCCGGGACCGGGGGAGGTCCTAGTCAAGATCCACGCAGCCGCCTTGAATCATCGAGGCTTCTTCGTCCGGCAGCACCTATATCCTGGCATATCTTTCACAAGCCCGCTGCTCTGCGATGGCTGCGGTACCATCGTTGAGGTTGGTCCTGATTGCACTGTAGCAGCTTCTACCATGCTCAACAAGCTGGTCATCTTGCTCCCTTGCCTGGGCTGGGATTCCAAGTTCGACGGCCCTGAAGACATGGCGAAATATGCGATTATTGGTACTTCGAATCGATACCCGCACGGCGCTGCACAAGACTACATCGTAGTACATGAGTCTGAATGTGAAGCGACACTTACCCATTGTACACATCCACAGATTTCGCCCAATCTAGAATATTGATATCAATCTTCTCCCCACAAACGTTGAGGACCTTCAGCCGCGGCACATCTAATGCACCCCCACGGATGAGTTTGGTAATTGTTGGGGTAAGCATCACTTGTTCAACACCCATATCATTGAGATGTCCAGCCAGGTCAGAGAGGATATCATCCTGTGGTGCGATACACAAAATAGTACCACATGATAGGATGGTGAAAACATCATAATAGGAGGCATCAAAGATATAATTAAGAACCCATAAAGAAACCCAATCCCTGGTCATTCTGGTTGCTTTGATCATGCCACGGGCGGCCGCGTCCACAGCTGAGTGAGGGACAAGTACCCCTTTAGGAGTACCAGTCGAGCCCGAAGTGAAGATAACATATGCAGAGCTATCGGGACCTACTTTGGAGATGCGCTCCCGCTTAGGGTTGCCGTGATGTGGAATGTCCTCAGACCATTGGCAATTCAAATAATTAACAGTTATTGGCTTTGTCTGTGACTATTAAGACGGCACTTATGTCAGTGAGGATAAACTTGTTCCGTTCGTAGGGGTTATGAGCATCCAGCGGTACTGTAAACAAAATTCGAGAGTCAGTAAGTAGGAGAGGGTCCTTGGAGCGAGCGAGATCGCCTCCTGCTTCGCATTGTCGACGAGCAGTTAGCCACCTTCACGGACGAGACTGCGACCATGGAAGCCGCCCTTGAAGTCCTCAGTAACGAAGAGTTGGTCGAGATACTGATCATCATCGGTGCCTACTCTATGCTTGCTCGTATCATCAGAGGGTTAAAGGTCGATGACGACCAGACCATCATATCCACGCGTTGAGATTATATGTAGCCACTCGAAGAACACTATATTGCATAGAACTCCCAAGCTCTCCAGCTTGATCACAGATAATTCTGGCTATGTAGACGGGGTTGTGTTGATTCGATACGTGGCTGCCTGGTCTTCCAGGGGTAGTTAACATGCAGCAATTCATCCATACCAGAACCAACGCTGGATTCGCCAGCCATCCCACAGTCCCACGGACAAGACACCACATACGATATCTACCCAAATCCATATCTTAAAAGCCCAGGAAAATGACCCTATACGCCTACGTGCTCGTTTACCCGGAGAGCAGTAAAACCCCAGCCCACTGGGCCATTTTCGTGACCGCGACAGAGGAGGGCAAAGTTGGGCAGGAATTTCAAGCTATTGGCAGCCCGTTCCATGGCTATTCTCTCGACATTAAGGAACAGTTTGATCTCAGCAAGGAGTTCAAGATGCATGTGCTCGTCTTTCTCGGCTGGCACTCTCGGCTTGCTGGAGTCGCGCAGGGTATTCCAGCGCCTGGGATAAGTTCAACCCCTCTAGATCCGTTTGCCGTATGTTTCGACATCTTTATTTATTACTGATCTTGTAAGGGACCGGCGTATATACTGATTGATTTCATGCTTAATGAAAATTGCCAAAGCTGGGCCAGGAAATTCATTACGGCCCTGGTCGACCGAGGAGCGATGGATTCTTCTGCGCTAGAAAGACTTGCCGCTGCTCCTAGTGTATAGACGGTTTCTATGTCTCTGCTGGAAGAGAGTCTTCGTTAGCATGCCCGTTATGTGTCTTATATCAACCACCTTGTTCCGATACTCTATAGTTAGTATTGAACTGAACAGTTATTTGCGGGCTATTTTGTGCCCTACCACTGTTATACTCTCATTATGAGACGGCAATCCAAGAAACCAGGCGAGATCCAGGGACAAGAGAGTAGGTTGTGCATGCATCAGGGGCCGGAGTGTGCCTTGCACGCCTTAAACAAGGCCCCATCGAGAACTCCAGCACCATACTATGTAAGATGGAGCCCCTTCACGTAACTATCCCCGTTCATACATATATATCTCCACCTAGTTTGCATCCCTCGCTGGTTGTTTCTGTGGATTCTAGCAAAAAAACCCCAGTCGGTCTACGAGGATACCATAACTCGAGAAATTCTTCTGCCTTCGATACGAACAAGCGTAACTTGAATAATGCCTCGACTAGGCTATATAAGAGCTCATGCCTGAATGACCGTGATATATTTCGTCTTAGTAGTTAAGGAGAGCCAGCAGAAGATGCCGATTCGTCTGGCGCGCTATTCTGACCTGGAGGCGATCTCGTCGGCCCTTGCGGAGGGCTTCCATGAAGAAGAGGTGATGGGCCCTCTCTTGCATCCGTATCGTCAAGAATATCCAGTTGATTACTTGAACTATTGGCGGCGCAAGTGTCTGGAAAAATGGTGGAACTATTCATATGTCTTCATCGTGAGCTTTATAGAGCAAGACCAGAAGCCAGACGAGAGAGAAGATGGACGCCCTGATGACCGAAGTGATGACAAAAGCTCGGTGCGAGAGGTCATAACAGGCGTTGCACAGTGGCATCGTATGGGACCGGGCTGGGAGGCCATTTGGAAGCCCCTTGGGAGATGGGATCCAAGTGAGTCTTCTCCTGATTTGAAAGATGGAATCAATCGGACGAAAGCTGACTGAATCGATGGCAGGGCTTTTGATATCATCGCTGATATCCATATATCATGATTACTTTCTGGAATATCTCCCAACCGGGCTGCTTCCAGGCCTCCTCAGCTTACGGAGGAGTCTGTTCGTCAGGCACTTCTTAAATCTCTAGGAGCCCTTTACGCATCGCCTCCGCACCGTCAGGTAAACTGGTCGCTGAGCTGTCTTGCCGTGAGGCCAAAGTACCAGAGGCTCGGCCACGGCCGTGAACTGGTAGCCTGGGGGCTTGACAGGGCGCGAGAAGAAGGCATAGCGGCCAGTGTCCTCGCAGCCAAAGGGAAAGACACCTTCTATCGAAGATGTGGCTTCACCGAACTGGCAGGATGGGCAACAGATGGTGAAGGGAATCCTCTGAAGGGGGTTGTCGAAGGGGGCGCTGTGATGTTTACTCGAGTAAAGGAGGATGATTTATGAACATATTAATACCATCTTATTAACCGCCTTCAACTGTTTCAACCATCTATTATCGTACATTAGTATTGATTTAGTTATTTAGTTATTCCTGGGTTCAAGTTGATATAACTTTTATCGAAAAAGAAAAAACATCTCCAGCATCAGCTCATCCAGGCAGCAAATATTTCTATTTCCCAAACAACCTCGAAGATGGCTCAGGCTACTCACAGTTTATCATTCTTGCTTCCTATATGCATCATTGTAGCCTATGCTCTTGGTATTATATCTTCGTTATGGCTGTTTCCATGGATCAAGAGGACGGCGGTGTATCTCATTACACGGAACTCAAGCAGCAGCAACAACATCAAGAGGCAATATATAACACCAGATGAATCATTATATGGACTAGACCATGCAGGCTTGAATATGCAGCTTCCTCCAAGCACCATGTGGATGAATATGGGCTACTGGAAGGTATTATAACTTACCAATCTATTGACACTTCGTCGCTAACGGATCTTTTAGGATATAACTAGTGCCCAGCTGCCAGAGGCATGCGAGGCACTGCTGGACAGGATCTTAGAATCCGCTGGCCTTGATATAAGAAGCAAGGATCGAGACAATACCGTGCAAAGGTCCACAGGTGTCCATCCTACCAGGAGACGAAGAGTCTTATTAGATCTCGGATTCGGATGTGGAGAGCAAACCATGCATCTGATGATGAATCCTACAAGACCGTCACCTCTGTTTGACGAATATATCGGCGTCACGCTCGATAAAGTACAGTATGAATTCGCTCAGAGAAGACTACAGCAGAATATAATCCAGCAGAAACAACAAGAGGCCAGTAACGGCGGGCTCTATGAGGCAAAGGGAAACATAGCACTCTTCTGTGCGGATGCTGCCCGGCCATCGACCTGGTCTGAGGAACTGAAACAAGAAGTGTACAATGCATTCATAAGGGAAGAAGATAATGTAGAACGATATGTTCTTGGCCTTGACACATTATACCATTTCCATCCATCGCGCCAGGAGATATTCAAATACGCCCACTCAACTCTCCGCGCGAACATGCTAGCATTTGACCTGTTCCTTGCTCCACCAAATCCTTCAGGCCTAAAACAGGCCTTGAACACGCTATTCCTTCGTCTCTTGACACCCGCTCTCGGCGCCCCGTTCAACAACTTCGTCTCTCCAGCTGCATATAGAGCCCAACTGGAGGGAGCGGGATACCTGGCTGAAAATATCATGGTAGATGATATTACCGATGGCGTGTTTGCCGGACTAGCTGGATTCTTGGAGAAAAGACATCAAGAAATGACCGGAATGGGGCTAGGAGGTTATACTAAGTGGCAGGTCGCTGGATGGCTGTTCAGATGGTTAAGTGGCGGAGGTATTCTTAGAGCTGGTATCATCGTTGCACAGCGGACCCGAGAGAATAAACTTGCTGTGGACGCTAAGTATGAGAGAAATATGCGTGCCTAAGACATGATATACTACCTAAATACTACATGGCGTGTGGCTTGGTAGAAGGTAAACACTTTCAAGAATTCGAATAAGGATACGTTTGATAGCTTGGATTTACCGTTGCAGGTAGCGAGGAGATATTGTCTAACGAAGTCGTAGTATCTGTGGGGCCAAGCATCGGTGACAGGGGCGGTAGATTGAGGTCGCCATTGTTGATATCAGGTGGGAACAGTTTGTCCCATTCGTTCTAGATGGCAGGGTCATTTAGCTGGTGAAAAGTCAAAGCGTATATTTATGGATATTGAAAACTCACCCAGTCAATATCAAGCATAGGAAGGTCTTCCTCCGTGTTGTTTAGTCTTGCAGTTATGGCTGAGGGGCGTTGCGGTGCAGAATTCAACGGTGGTGCGAGGCCAGCTCCAGCATTAGTATTATCAACCCCAGAAGTAAACCAAAGCTGTCCCATGCCAGATTCCTCGGATCCGGTGCCTGAGTCTAGGCTTTCTCTTCCTGGGACCCGACCTGAGTAGTCTGGTACGAACCCAGGTTGCTGGAAGCTGTGGTTATAATCCGGGTTGGGCGAGTATGAAGATGAAGTAGAAGGACGCTGTTGCTGTTGCTGTGGCTGTTGATATCTCAGTTGACCATGTTGATACTGTTGCATCTGAGATGCTGGGGAGAGCCGTCGTCCTTGCTGTGATATGAGCTGATACTGTTCATGGCTAAACATCCGAGGAGGTGATAACCGAGAAGAGGGATGAAGGGACTGATTAGATGGCGCTGGTATTGGCCGGTTTTCTTCAAAGGGCTGAGTAGTATACTGAGGTCCCCATAGTTGAGTACCGTTTCCAGCGGTTTGATCAGATGCCTGGGGTGGACTTGGTTCGCGAGATGCACCAGCCTCAGGGGTCATTCTCAGAACTTTGGTATCAGCCATGCTTATGGGTACCCTTAGCTTCCTCATCTCACGATAGGCCTCCATTCTGTCTCTGAGCTGCTCTAGTATTAATCGAGCCTTTCTATCCCGCTGCATTATCAGCTGATGGCGAGCATTTTTACCTGCATTACCAGGAAGAGCTGGAGTCGATGGCGTTTCGAAAACATAATCTAAGCATCTCCAGATACGATCTGCTTCTTTTCGCATAGGGTACGCCCATACTTCCATTAGTATCAGAAAAGCCACATGGTATTGGTTGAAGGCGCCACTATACCAGGCCCAAGGTTGTAAATCCGGCGAGGTTTCGAGTTCAATAGCATCTTCGAGAATCTGAGTGCAAGCAGTGATGATAATCTGGCGCAGGCGGTCTGGAATCCTAACTGAGACGCTATTGTGGTATCGATGCAGTACAGCCGTATAGCTGCGACAGATAAGTATCGACAGTACCAACTGTGCTGCACGCTGGATGGGCCGAGGGTTGGTAACGTAGATCAAAGGACCATACTTTGCGTAAGTAGCCTGTCTAAACGCTTCGATTTTCCCCAGCACCCTCGTTAGTGAGACGCTGCCCGTCTCCAGCTTCATTCTATCAACATAGACGAGTCGATGTAGTTCATGGCATTCGAACCGTAAGCGAGTGAACGTCATATCTGTAAACTTGGGCATATCCGTAAGACGGATATCAGGGTGCAATAAGAAATCGGCATCATTGACGTTGAGAGGGAATTTAGTTGAGAAATCCTCTCGTCTGATTGTTTGGCGTGGTCCTTGGGATTCACTTGTCCGAATGTCCAGGAAGCAAAGTTGATACCAGATCATCCGACGGATGTGAGTCTCGACAGGGCCATGGCCATATTCTTCGGGATCACGATGGATGCCCATGCATTCGGCCAGGCGAATGGCAGTTCCAACTAGGGCTGAATGTGTTCGTGAGACCTCATTTCGGCACATTGGGATCTAAAACTAGATGGTCAACGTTGTTCAATATTTTCAGTATTGCCCGACGTTATTATATATTCAACATACCATATACATGACAAGGGCTTGTAGGGTCTGAGTCTTTGTAGTCTTGAGGAAATGGGCTTTTCCAAGTGCCATCTCTGTACCTAGCTGGAAATTTTCGATGAGTTTCTTCTGGGCTACCCCAAACGTACTCAAGACGAGATGTTCCTGCATGCTGGCAACGGCCGAGAACAGAACTGCAAATACAACAGCTTGTAGGGAGTATGGGGGTTCAAGGCTTCTAGTGACATCAGACCAGAACTCTCGATACTGCCTCTCAAACGTTGGTCGGTGGAGTATCTTAGCGACAGGGTCAACAGATACCCAGTACTGTTCCAACAGCCTATCTGATGCATTTTTTGTTGGTAAGAAGTCTGCCAGGGATGTCTTTCGACTACCGCCGAAGAAGAAATCGGAATGAGGAGCTATATACGTTGGCCCAGGATGGAAAAAAGATTCCTGGCCTTCCGGCATCAGATCTCGCAGACGTGGTGGTTTCATTTCTGGGACCTTGACGGGAGTGTTTAGAGATGTATCCGCGACTCCATTGCTGACCTTTGGCTCCTTTAGCACGACCGAAAGTTCGTCTGCAATCCTGGGCCTGAAGAAGCCTCCAAGACGATCTGTCATTCTCATTTTCCCTAGCTTGAAACCTATGTCAAAGGTATCATCATCGGCATCATCATCATATGCTGCATCCATGACAGCCAAAGGTGTAGGTCGCAGATACCTCTCATCATCCGGAATAGGGTCCCCTCTCTCTTGTTCCAGGCTGTCGAGTATCTCCAGTGTACTAGAATCGAAGGACTTTTCACCTTTTCGATCATTACCGGTATGTTCGTCCGGTAGTATTCCCGACACGAACCCAGATACAGGCGCAGAAGCCGTAATAGAAGCTCCAACCCCATTATCGTCCCGGTCCGCCTGGCCCGACTGTCTGGCGGCAACGTCCTGCTCGAGAACGAGTTCTAGAGATCCCATCTTCTCCTTTAGCTCCATCAGTTTCATACGTGATAGTGCATCCGTAGTGGGGGACAAGAAAAGACAGTGACGCTTGAACTTGGAGCAGTTGGTACATGGATGAAGCCTGTCGCATTTGAGCTTTCGTCGTCGACATTCTAGACAGGACGTTATCATTCGATTCCGGCGACGGATCTTTGTTGTCGCTGTTGGCTGGGCCGATTTCTTCGACCCCGTCGCCGTTGTGGTAGCATTTCCCCCATCCTGTCCTGCCCAAGTCGCACTCAAGAACTGCTGGTATTCCTGTGAGCCATTATTACCGGCACCCCCGGCAGCACCAGCACCCGCTGGAGAGAGATGTATCGAGGGAGTGGGAGTAGGAGAGAGGGAGGGAGAATGGGAGGTAGAAGCTGCCGGAGCTGAAGCGGCCTGTGGATGAAGATGACTAGAACTGTACCCCAGTGGATCACCCATCGAGAAAAGTGTATTAACAGAGATCAAATGTAAAAATAACCCGATAGGCGGCTCTTCTCTTCTAGGGGTCGGGTTTGATACTGCTTCTGGTGAAGGCTGGTGGACTGGTACTCCAGCGAGGCTCGATAAATCCGTCTTCCTGGGGTCCGTTACGCCCGTTAGCGATGGAGATAAATATGTGAGCTATATTCGTATAAAGAGCATATGTGGCAGTCCGCTGTTAACTAGTTAGTGGTGTCTGTGGAATGGGCTCGTCGATGTGTACAGAGTACAGTGTACTTCTTCTTCCCAGGCCAGACGAAAACACCGCTATTCCAGGCTTTTTCTGATGGAGTGAGTTGGAAATAAGAAGAAATAAGAGAACTGGAAGAGCCAGATATTATTCTCTTGATAATCGACCCGTCTTCATTTATCTGTCCAACGAAGTGACTGGCTGTAATAAGTTATACGAGACAGCTCCAAGGAACTAAGCAGGGGATCCCTTCAATCTTGATACAGTCCATGACGCCGCCGGCTTATATATATGCCTCAGTCAGATGTCACCAATTAGCTTTCTTTGTTGTTCTTCCTTTTGTTGGTCTTTTGATCTGTTAAATGTTATATCGATGAGCTGTAGGATGCCATGGGCTGTAGGATGCCATGGGCGGCTTGCCTTGCATCGCCAAGGGGCCAAGTGGTTTGGTTGGACTGGGCGCTTAGAAGAAATATTTGGTTGCCTAGAATATGCTCCTGAAGGGGTGAGCATCATCACCTCGACTACAAGAGCGATATTTTAAGAGTTTTATAGTCGATGTGTAGATTATATAGATAGCGGAGTTGGCCTCCTAAAAGCCATATGAACTCTTGGTAGTTTTCGATCGTCTGGAAGCTTGTGCAGCTACTGCTTGATCTCATATGTCCGTCTAAATACTTCATCGACCTTGTCAAGGTAGTAGTTATGTGCCTGCAAGAGTTTCGACGCTGCCCTGTGGCGTATAATTTTGCTGTTGGTACGCCTTTTCGCGAAGCCGGCACATCTAGAAAGAACATTAGCGGACAACTTTGATAGTTATATAAAAGAATCGATCTCACCTCGTCGTAAAACTCAGGAGACTTGGCCTGTCGACCTTCTAGTCGCTGAATCAAGTCCAGTTTTTTCACCATTCCACCCGTACCCCCTCCGACCCGGAGGCTGAACATGCTGCTGGCCAACCCACTACCATAACTGAAGAATCCAATGCGCCGTCCGAGCAATTCCGTATTCTTCACATTGCTTAGCAGACCAGTCAGACCAAAATACACGGAAGCGGTATACGAATTTCCGCACATAATCGGTGCCGTCAGACCAGGTTGTACCCGTTCCACTCTTTTATCACCCAGAGAATCCTCATAGCCAATCTCTTTGATCTCAGCGGGGATTCCCTCAAATAAAGGGTTCAGTGGATCTGCGAAGTAGTCATTGTACAGCAGCCGTGCATACGACTTGGCCACCAACTTACAGTTGGGAGCATGGAAGGCGAAATAATCGAACGAGTCCAGTGGGGTTCCTCCCACGGTACCATTGCGGACGGCCTTGGACCCTGCGGCTTTTTTCGCCTGGTAGTGCTTGTAGCACTTATCCAGAGCCTTGAGGTAGCATTTGTTGGAGAACTGCCCGTCTACGATTGGATATTCCGATTTGAAATCTCCCTTGTAGAAGTCGTAGGTATGTTGCAGGAAAGAACCGCGCGTTGACTCAAAGACGAGAGGAGCGTTTGGTCCGATCAACATCGCAACACAGCCTGCGCCGCCGGCGTGCGGCAGGTTTGTCATACAACGCAATATCTCCTGCTACAACGATGGCGTCCCTGCCATCCCATGCAGATAACTCCACCCAGTTAATAGCGTTGAAGAGGGCGTTTGTTCCACCATAGCAAGCATTGCAAGTGTCTGCTCCCTCGATGTCGGAGTTCTTACCGAAAAGCTGCATGAGGGCGGATTTACATGACTTTGATTTGTCTAGTAAAGACTCTGTTCCTACCTCGAGGCGTCCGATGGAGCTAGGGTCGATTGAGTATTTATCTAACAAGGACGAGACGGTCGTGAGTGCATGCGAGTAAACATCTGAATCAACCATGTTAGAAAACGAGAACTTTGAAACCCGTTAGTAAGAATGCATCATATTCACCTTCACGATCATCGCAGAAACTCATATTCGTCTGGCCTAGCCCGATAGTATATTTTCCAGCGCTTGCTCCCAAGAAGGTCTCGAGCTCGGATTGTGCCACATACTTGAAACGACATCAGCCACCATTATCATCTGGTCCAGGTGCAAAAATGTACTCTTTTTTACTTACACAACTAGGGAAGTATATCTCAATGGCTTTAATTCCAACGTCTTGAGCCATTTCAGCAGGAGATATGGGGCTTTTTTCTCAAGGGTAAACAGATGGATATCGAAATCAGGCTGCAGCGTTCCTGCTCTGAAGCTATTATAGCTCTAGATCCCGGACCGATTGACCACCGGAACTATCATGTATCAGCAGGCACAGCAGATATATAATTAGATGAAATCCAGGAGCATGCACTAATGAGTCCTAGAGCTAAGAATACAAGATGTAAATATCTTCTTAGGCATCTATATATAGGCGCGAGACCTAGCTAAGCACTAATATTGTGGCCTTAACCAAGCGATATTTATATGTTACGGAGTAAGTATTATGTAACTAACTGTTTGTCTCAAATCACTTGCCTTGCCATCTTTATTAGTGCTAGTAGGATCACTGTAAGGCGTTGGAGACGTCCATTCACGGCCGGGTCAACCTCAAAGCTCACACGAGTTAACCACCAAATGAGACAATACGTTTAACACTCTCAGCAGGTTCGGAACATCATATACCACATTCGGTATGGTTTGACCGACAGCGAGGCTCCTCCATCTCTCTCGGTCACTGAGACTGGCTGAACTTCTTTTATTCTATCGTTTTTATCTTTCCCCAAGTTCTATAGGTACCTAAGAGAAGATTACTATCTGAAGTCATAAGCTGAATAGATCTATCAACATTGCTTCGAATATTAGTTAGTGCAAGCCAGGCATTGACGAATGTATATATTCACATGCCCAATGGCTGTAAGCATGCTTTTTTTCAAGGACATCCATGCCTCTCCAGCTCCAAGGCCCTAGTCGTTGCACTAGAAATTTGCAAAGATGCCAAAGCTGATATTCTTTTGAAAGGTTTCGCCATCACTTCAGTATTTCATCGACCACTGCTCTATGGGCCTCATTCAAACATACAAAAGCCGAATATAGAATCGGACCAACCAAGTCATTTGCGTCTATAGTAAATGGTATTTAACAACCCTTCCCAAGAAAGCCAATTTGAGCTTGTCGTTTCAAGGTTTTTCGGCGCTCAGGAGGACTATGGGCCATAAGAACGTCGCCAGGCTCATCATGACCTGCCAGTATGACTAAGAGGCTTGACTCATACAATTACTCTGTTAGGCCATTTTACGCCGAAAAAAAGATTCACCAAAAATACAATCATCATCAATATGCAAACTACTTTCGTACATATGAAGAACTATAATTATACTCCATAAATGGGTATCAACCAAGAATAAGCTCCGTTTTCTGATGCGTTAACCGTCAAGAGTGCGCATTTTGACCTTGCGATTACTCAGAGCGGATCGCAAATATCCAACAACTTCCTTCCTCCGAGCGGTCTTCGTCCGCCAAGTTTGTAAGTCTTCTGGAACAACCAAGTCATTGACATTACCTTGGGCGCTGCTACGCCCCAGTAGACTTGAGCGGAACCTTTGTGCAGACTCTGGAGTCTGATACACGCTGCGGCCATATCCATCCTGGGAACTCTGGGAACCGGGGGTGACAGGGAACCGGCTGGCGGACGCCCGTTTTGCAGGGGTAAGGAACGGAGAACCTTCCCTGCTTCGCCCTGGGGCTGGTGAGCCAGAAACGTCAATCCCCATTCGCCTAAGTTGAGCTTCAAGCACATCGACGTCACCACTCTTTCGTTCTGCCATGCTTGTCATTGTGGAGATCGTAGAAGTCACTGCTTCGACGGTTGGCCGCGCCATTTTTCGGTCACCGTCAGCACCAGCTATCCTGGATGCATCGGCGATCTTAGCTCGGAAGATCGATATGTCTCGTTCCAAGTCTGCTACTTTGGAACGTGTTTCTGTTGCTGCTTTCCGGAGATCTTGTTGGAGCGCAGCTTGCTCGGGAGACAGTGGCGCAGATGCGATAGCAATCGAATCAGTATGTGCATCCAGGGTTCGCTGGAGATTTGCAAACTGACCACGCAGTGTCACTAGATCCTTGCTGATTAATTGCTGGCACTGATCGAACATTTCTTGCACGCCCTCAACCCTCCCTTGCTGAAGAACTTCGTCTAGAGAATCAACACCAAGTCGTAGCTTCTCCATTTCTGACAAAAGCTGTCTTTCATTAAGTAAATCGGAGCATTTATCACTCCGCAAGATTCTTAGCCATCTCTTGTAATCATTTTCCTTCGCAGACTCCTCGTAAAGAAGGAATGCAGACAATGACCGAGAGTTAATCCCTAGGGTATCTATCATCGTGTTGATATCCCGGAATAACAACTCTATCTGTCCTGGTATGCCTGGTTTCATGCTCTCGCCAGTATAGCCCTGATGAGGCAGGAATGGGTCCAAGGATGGGGAGGGGGAAATAGGTCGAGCTAGGTCTGCGCGTAACTGTTCATCTTCGTTATCCTCGCTCAATGGTTGGGTTTCGGCAGCCAGCTTTTCTGCCTCCCGTTGAGCCCTCGCCTGGTTTTCTACTTCATCCCGACAAGGCGATACTTGCCTCGCCAGCATTGAGCCTTCAAGTGTAGCTTTTCGGCGAGCAATCGCTCGATCAGGAGCGCTAGGTGCACTGGTTGATCGGAAGCCATCTGCCCTCGCAAGCATATGTGCAGACCTGCTACGAACGGGGCTGGGTGACCGGGGACTCAGGCGATGTCGAGGTTCTGGCAGAGTAGGAGGTGGGAATATAGGTTTCGATATTTCTCCAAATAACGGTTTTCCTCCTCCAGTCTTCAGTTCCGAGGTGCTACCCTTAGAGAATAAGTCACTCATAGGGCTTTTATCAGCAGCTCCTCCAAACGAGCTCTCGGGTGAGGTCTTTAGGCTTTGAACACGGTGATCTGCAGCCTCATCCGTAGGGCTAAGATCATTCCCAATGTCTTCCCCGCTATCCTCGAAGTCTTCCCCGCTGTCCTCGGATTCTGCAGGAAGTGATACGTCTGTAGCTTCTTTTGGCAGCTCCGGCTTTTTCGGCTTCACGAAATCGGGAGGTAGGGGAGCATCTTCGGTTGATGTGCGTGAGATCCCGGATGAGGATGCGGACGTATCTCCAGGGGCGTAGCTAAGCTTGCTGGTGGATTCTGGTGGGAGAGGGGCTTCAACGGCTTTTGCTAGCGGAGCTGGGGGAGTCCCTCTGGGAGTTCCTGCCTTAACGGTTGATGGCGAGCGAATGGATTCCCCCGGGGTCGATAGGGGTGTAGATGGGGTCTTTTTCGCGACAGGAATCATGCTGAAAGAGCCTGTGGGAGTAGTTATTTTCATGGTAGTTTGGGGCTTTGTTTGTTGCTGTGGCGCATTGAATATACTTGAAAATGGCGGTAACTTCTGTTCTTGAGAGGGCGCTTGCTTCTGAGATAATAAAGAGCTGGGTGGTGCAGCTGTAGGGGTTGAGTTTACCGGCGGTTCAGCAGGCTTTGGAGTAGTAGACTTCGGAGTATCAGATGTTGGAGTATCGGTTTTTAAGTCACCAAGCATATCACCAAAAGCGGAGCCCATGGATAAGGCTCCACTAGATGGCTCTGGTTTATCTTCGTCCATTGCAGCGGTGGTATCTGGTTTCATCGTAGACCCAACTGTGAAACCGCTACTACCTATACCAAAGCCGGTGGGTGTTTTTTCACTTGTGCCTTGCTGTCCGAATGGCGAGGTTGTTGCGGCGGGTGCAGTGGTCGATGCAAATAATGGCTGACCGGCTTTTGCGAATGGGTTGTCATTGGAAGATGATTTTGCAAATGGACTATCGCTCGATGCTGGTTTTCCGAAGGGATTATTATTAGGTGCTGGTTTGCCAAATGGATTGTCGTTGGAAGCTGGTTTTCCAAAAGGGCTATCAGTCCAAGGTGGTTTTGTGAATGAGCTAGTACTCGACGCAGCAGTCTGAGCAGCGCTGGCGAAACCGCCGCTTGACGACGCAAATGAGCCAAACCCACCCCCGGCACCAACCTTAGAAAATCCGGAACCAGTTGATGATCCAGTAGCTCCCATCGATGGCTGTCCAAACAATGATCTCCCAGCTCCCAACGCCGCTGTCTGACCAAAAGCAGGGCTATTGCTTCCTAGGTTTCCTGGGCTGCCAAAGGCGATATTTCCACCCGTTTTTGGTGTCGTTGAAGCGAACCCAAAGGCAGGACTGCCGCCGCTTGGAGCCTGAGAAAACGACCCTAGAGGGGAAGGTGAACCAAATGCAGGCTTGCCTTGCATACCTAACGCTGAGCTTGTGCCAAAGGCAGGCGCTGCCGGTTTGCCGAATGATGGTTGACCAAAGGTGGATTGTCCAAATGGAGACTTAGCCGGAGTAGTACTCGCCGCTGGCTGTGCAGGAGTAATCTGCTGTTGACCCTGTTGTCCCTTGGAGCTCACAGAAACTAAACCACTGTATGGTTTCCGCTGTCTTATTGATTCTGAGTGTACAAACCACCACGATGAAAGCATCCCATCATTTGTTAGGACCAAAAGTGCTGGAAGGGGAGAAGTTGACTCCTTGATTTCCTCGTCCCCGGGGATGGGAGATAGCACGCTATCTCTACTTGATAGGTCAAGACACATTCCGATGGGAGATGTGTCATTCATATCCTCAGTCATAGGAAGCACTGCTCTTCTGGAATCATCAGCCATAGTAAGAGTGGCAAAGGTAGGCGTTCCGTCCGCGGTAGATTGTGTAATCAAGCCGATATCTGTAGATGCAGTGGATGCGACAATCAAGGCTTCCTTCAGGTGTGGCTCGAAGTCTCTCATGCGGGCTGTGAACTGGTATGCAGGATGCCTTGTCAAACCGAACGGAGGGCTAACTTCGGGCAATTTCCTAAACTCATACTGATCTGGGGGTTTCCTAGTGGCTATACAATAGTTGGACACTGGCGGAGGGCCGTCGGGTGTATTTGTGGGGGTATAGACGATGAAGAATACGTGGTTTGCTAGCCACAGGATAGTAGACACTAAGGAATGGATCAGCCTAGGTTCAAAGCCATATGTAAATATGGGATCAACAACATACCATGGTGATCATCTCCGACCTCTGGGGCTCTAGGTATATCAGCTTGTTTCTCCCCATCCGGTTTCACCTGGAATGCAGTTCCGTCTCCCAAACCAGCTACCAGCTGAGTACCTTTGTTACTCCAGCAAATAGAGCTAACACCTGATTTCAATACTGGGCCTGCTGCGCCGGAAACAAGCTGATTTGTCTTCAGATTGGCAACCAAGAGCTCCCCATTGCTAGTAACCGCTGCAAATAATTCAGGTGTGTCCGGGTTCGGGTTGGCGGCAAGAGCTCGCAACGTTGCCCCATTTATGTTGAGAGTAGCTCTCGGCTGCGTCTTTCCCTGTAATAGCTCCGAGGCATCAAAAATAGCCAATCCATCACCACCTTCAACTGCCACAACCAAAACGTTCCCATCTGAAGAAAACGAGACGTGAGAGACTCTCCTCGGAAGCGGTATCTGTAATTCCGGTTGGAATGGTCTGACATCACTGTCACCCAAAGGCTCGCCCGCGTAGGCCTTTCTGACTGAATCTGTGCGCGCAATTGCTATCCCTTCCGGTCCTGCAGCAGCAAGCAGTCCTTTTACCGACGTGACACTTAAAAGGGACGAAGTAGTCGATGGTAGAGCATCCTCCGGCCATGGAGTAGGAAGCAGTCGAACTTTTGCATTATGTCCGATAGAGAGAAACCCAATTTCCTATATATCAGCTTCCTCTTAGTCGATATGTCCACAATACAGCTGCAGTCCTAGAATACGGATAAACTTACCTGCGTCTCAACTTCCTGAAGCTCTGCTCCCATCGTCACGTTTCCACCACCCATGCCAGTTTGCGCCTGGCCTGACCCAAACGAAAAGGCCATCTTGAAAGAAGATTTAAAGTCTGCTGAAAGAGACCTAGGTCCGCTATCTAAAGACACACGCGACTTGGGAACATTGAGCGTAAGAGATGCCGGTTTTGAGATAGCTAAAGAGCGGCGCAGGACGACACGAGGTCTCCGGTTGAAGAGGTTAAGCGTAGGGCCGAAAATCTTGACCGTTGAAAGTAAGAAACCGCCTGTCACGGTCGAACAACAGACTCTAGACGCAGTAGACGTTGCCGTGATAAAAAGGAGAAAAAAGTCCTACTTGGACTTTCGTCGAAGTTGATGTTTTGTATTTTTATTTTTTATTTTTTATTTTTTGATATTTCCCGAAAGAGCATTTTTGGGGCAGAACGAAGGCGGTGAGCTCTGATTGGCTGAGAAGCTTTCCAGGCAGCTTTCGAGCTTACATCGTCAACTTCTCACTTATAAACAACGATATTATCTGATTATTCTTGACAATTAGAAAAGATCATTAAATAGGTTAAAAACGCTTAAACAGACGATTAGAGGGACTGTGACAACTAGGACAGACGCTTGAAGCATCATGCCGGGCTTTGACTTCTCCAATTACAACCGCAACCGCGCTCTCCACGCAAAGGGAGTTCCGCTTCCCAAGGCTACAAGCACCGGTACAACGATCGTGGGATGCATATTTGATGGAGGAGTTGTGGTGTGTTATCTAGATGATGACCTGGCTATTCATCTAGCGTAGGGCTGACTTTTATCCCAGATCGCTGCTGATACCAGAGCTACCAGCGGACCAATTGTTGCAGACAAGGTACTTTACTTAACCTCCGGGATATTGAACGAGCACGTTTTAACGCATCTACGGTGGTAGAACTGTGAGAAAATCCATTACATAGCGCCGTCTATATGGTGTGCTGGAGCCGGTACTGCAGCAGACACCGAATTCACGACCAACCTGATCAGCTCGAACATCGAACTTCATTCCCTCTCTACTGGCCGCGCTCCCCGCGTTGCAACATGCATGACCATGCTTAAACAGCACCTATTCCGCTACCAAGGCCACATAGGTGCATATCTAGTCGTGGCCGGTGTTGATCCCACCGGAACACATCTCTTTACTGTACATGCCCACGGCTCAACCGATAAACTCCCATACGTGACCATGGGTTCCGGTTCACTTGCCGCCATGTCCGTCTTTGAATCGATGTGGAAACCTTCTCTAACAAAAGAAGAGGCTATCAAACTTACATCTGATGCGATTCAGGCCGGTATCTGGAACGATTTGGGCTCCGGAAGTAACGTTGACGTCTGTGTGATGGAGAAGGATAAGCCTACCAAGGTTATGAGGAACTACCTTACGCCAAATGAGAGAGGTGAGAAGGAGAGAAGTTATAAATTCCAGAGAGGAACAACGGCATGGTTGGATCAGCAGGTCATTACAAAGGCAGACCTGGCACGATATGTAACCGTCGAGGAGTTGAGTGGAGAGGAAGCAGTGGCTGAAAGAATGGACGTCGATGTCTAAATAGACGAGATGGCGTGTTACTAGCCTTTAGACCTCATAAATTCGATATCACATGTAATGACCGCTTTCGGTAGATCATATCATGCCTATCAACGTCTGACATAATAAGATCACGACATGAGCACAATTCAATTCTCTATATATACGCATCTATCAAATCATACAGAATATGGAACATAGAGCCATTAAGTCCCTAGCCTACTCGCCGCCTGAGGTCCTTGAACCTCCTCCACAATATCCATGATATACTTTCGCCTTTCATATGGAACTTTGCTGCCAGAGTTAACGTATCTCTGTATACCAGCATGATACAGGGCCCGACACATGGCAGGCAATATAGGTGCATTCTGGGTCCGCAGAAGTTTACAGCACCGATAAGTCAACCTCCAAGCCACTCGATCAGATGCGGGTATAACAGCAAAAACCAACGCAAGGAAAGTTATCGTATTAAGACAGGCTTGTGGGTCGAGGATGGGCACTCCACCTGGCAAATATTGCGTAGCTTTCACTACTCCTTTACCAGGCGGTGACCGCCGCAATTTTTGCAAGGCATATCTGAGCGGAATGTGATTCTCGAGAAGTCTAAGAAGTAACCCTCGGTGATGGATCCAGTCATTTTCCGTGTAAAGCAGCAAACGGTGCACAAAGTGTGGATCAGTGATATCCGTCTCCAGTGCAGCTTGCTCAAATAACGCGTTGCCCAAGCCTTTGACTGATATCCCTTTTCCATACGCCCAAATTAACTCCGGTTTGTGCAGAGCACCAGAGTCAAGACTGTTTATCGTCGTTATCATAGCCTGCGGCAAGGGCCCCGTTATACCCATCAATTTCATATACTTTGACCTAACTGCAGCCACAAGAACGTGGTTGGTGTATGGGAGACCTAATTCCTCGAAGAATGCCATAAGAGTGTCAAATTTTGCCAATAGACGACCCTTTTCCTGTAATCCTGAGAACTTTTTCATTAAAGCAAGATACTTTTCGAACAGGTCCATTCGTTGGCTGTCAATCTCAAAGTATTCTTTTGTGCGACGGCCTATAGTCCACAACAACCACATTCGCACAAAACAAACTTCCTCCGAAGAAAGGCGTTTATTGGGCTGATCCAGTGATGGGGAACTTGACGGGCTAGGAGGAAACCCCATCCATGCCTCTGAGGAAAGCAGGTCACGAACTCCGAGCAAGCGCTGCAACATCCACGACCAGATCAACAATAGCTGAGAACGGTTCGAATCATATCTGGGAGAGTATATCAAAGATTCTGTAGTGTCAAATATGCTGGAAATTGCAACTGTGCCGGATGAATACCGTAGCGTATTTGAAATATCCTGTAGACGGTAGCGCAATATTTTTCGTTTCGCCCAACCATCTTCCCTGGGTAAACCTTGGTCCTCAGCGGTGTATTTAAGAATGTATAGAATGACCCTAGAGATCATATGTCGGTCTAATAGTCCCATTTTCCTGACTGTATGAATAATATGGTTACACAGCGCGACTGTCTCCGTTCCTGCCGGAAGGCTCACCACTATGTCTAGCCACAGCTTAAGGGTTGAAGCCCCAAGGTCACTGACCCTTAGTACAGAGCATTCCAATAAGCCAAGCCAAAGCTCTGTGTATACAGTTGCCAGAAACTCGGGATTGGACAATGCCAATATACCCCCAGGGCCATTGATATGCCGTAGATTATTAATAATACTCTCAACTTCGTCAAGAGGTATAGTTCCGAGGCTGAAACCCACTCTTAGCTGATCGAGGTGTTGGATCACGATTGAAAGAGGAAACCTTTCTATGGTCAAGTATTCCATCAACGCCGTATAATTGTTCGAGCCAGGAGCATTCAACGATGGATCCAAAAGGAAAGTATGAATATCAGCGACTGTCCGCCTCGAAATCGGCTGCGTTTTCAATATGTTTTCAAATATTATTCTGCTGAGCTTTGGCTGGACACGAAGGTTGATATCGATATCTCTGAGGGCACGGCGAATTTCGTTTAAAGAGGGACCTTTATCACGTAGAAGGCAGTCCAGAGCATCGGGGATATTGTTTGCTCTCTTATGCTTCGGTTTTTGTGGCGGTGGAGGAGGTTTGGGTTCTGGTATGCTGAACACGGGGAGGGTCGAGTTGCTGTAAGATTCAGGTGATACTGGAATGGAACCTGCAAATAGCCAATTGCTGTTAGATTATTCAATATATAAAGGAGCTCGACATGGCTCACATTCAGAGGTTTGAAATAATGGGGAGGGAGCGATTGGTGCTTCTCGAGGCCGTCTCTCTGTGCCTCCAAAGCCAAACATGAGTGCAGCATCCAACCCAGCAGGTGGACCAACTGCACTAGCTAAATCCATATTGCGTCTCCCAGCAAGTCGTCTTCTAGCTTCAAAAGGTCCAGGTACACTGCTCCCATATCTTCGTTGGTGCCGCCGCACGAAGCTGGCAAAAGCTGAGGCAACGAGCTCGTCACTGACCCAAACATGGTCGATTGCGGAATTCCCATACTTCCGGGCCGCCGTTCGGCAGGCATGTCTACAAAAAGACATCCAGCAGCGGCCCAATGCCAATTATACCAGCAACAGCGCCCTTCTGTTGCTGTCAATTGAAGCTAGCTTTCTTCTTGCCCGAAAGTCGTTTTTTCGAAGTCCAAATTTGATACTAATGTTACTAAGCAATGATGACTAATATTATCACGTGAAAAAATTATGCAAAACTTCCGTTCGATGTCTAAAAGAGGAAACACGAAGAAACTAGGGTAAAACAATATGATATTACGAAAGATTTCATACCACTACAGCTTCTCTGTCCTTATAAGATGTAAGTCAGTATTCTGGTAATTCTAAAGGCCATATCTAATATTTACAGGAACCGGTTGTCGAGCGTCTATTAGCTTCCGTATAATCTACACCTCAAGCTACCCCAGCTTTAACATGGCATTGGCCGAAGGCTATCTCAGGTTCAGAAATAGCACGTCTTATGGTGGAGAGCAGTGCATTTGACATCTATGAGTTGCATGAAAAGCAAATTGGTGAGAGCTTACGTAGTACACTCTCTAACAGCATATTAGAGCAATTCGAGCAATTACCTCCAGGGCTATCTGGGGTTCATGGCGGAGGGCGTCTCTTCTTCGGCTCTGCCGTCTCTCCTTGCTTTTTTATGTCTTAACGTGCATACAGATCCCGCGTGGCTGATACGCTAACAGTGTGACTATGGTATATGAAATAGGTAGTGCAAGAGGAACGTGCAAAACCACAGATCAAACGTTCATTCTACAGCTCATATCAGCAGCCTCTATCAAATGGGCTAGCCGAATTTCTTCAGGGTGCTATGCATGGCATCAGGAACGCTGAGAAACAAATCTGGTCGCAGCCCGTTAGTGTGCAGCCGTCGATCTTCTTCATCGGCCCGTACATACATATATATGTTTCCAGCCAATCACCAAATCTCCAAGAAAAAGGATCGCAACTCTGCAACGCAGGAAGGAATTCATAAACCACCCAGTTATCCTGCGTTGGTCAAGTTGGTGGTGCCATGTGACAACTCACCCTATCGATACGACCTCTGGGCGCTGGCGTGCAACTCTATAGCTGAGGTATTATGATAACGAAGAGCCAGGGCTCAGTCGATCGTTTAAAGACAGGTCTCATTTGACTAGGGTATGCAGTCGAAACTCAGTGTAGACACTTACGCCGCACGTTCACTGGATGGGCTCAAAGCCACCATGGACATGGGCCATCCGTTTTACAAACTTTCCGGTTCCATGGGTTTGATATACGTCGAGGCTCGTCAGCGGGCGCCACTTGTCACCATTTGTCAAAACTGTGCTATTTTCGTGTCCAATCCAACGAAGCAAAATAACAGTCGCCTCCTAATATTTAAATCGGGCGTGGGGTTGAACGAGCCAAGTTAACAATCACGGCTGGACGGAATATTTGAGCGGCGAAGAGGAAGAAGGAGAAGCGAGAAGACAAAAAGCCTAACGTGAGGTCCTGGAAACTGTCTTAATGAGCGACCTATTACTGGGGAGTGGCTGACCCCAAGGTCCAACTAGGGTTCAATCAGTGTTTCCAACTGTATGGAGCAGCATGGGAGGAATGCATTAGCGGGCGTTGGACTGCAGAAGCGTCCATTATCAATATATATATATACCGCGATTCTGGTCCCCACGGAAGTGCTTTGTTATTCAAACTCGGATAGCCAGAGTGACCAAGCAAGTCAACAACATACGATGCACAAGACGTGATGGGCTCATGCTAGTCCCAACGCTAACAAACTTTCCTTTCCTCCAGAAAGCTCTTGGTGCAGATTTTTTGGCCAGGGTGGCCACGACAGGCAAACATCTCTTAGTCGATCGCTATTATTCGGGTCATTAAAAAAAAAATACGTTTATTACAACTGCTGGTACAACCCGGTATCAGGGCCTTTCGGGGCCCAGCACACAGGTTCAACCTTCATCCCTGGACGTATATTTTCGTTCTGGGAAACTACTTGGATAGGCTTGATAGCACCGAAACAGAGGCTAATTACAAATTAAGCTTCTGGTGTCCATTTCTGCGTGGTCGCAGGGCCCCCGGATGTTTGGTAGTTCGGGAAAAGAATATAACTTCCCTCACACCCCCCCATCCACTTCCCTGGATTTTCCAGCCCCAAAGGATTTCGGAGGCTTCCGTTACTTCTCGAATGCTACGGACAAGCATCTGGCACTGCACATCTCTCAGCATCTGATAATTGATTCGTGATATGAAAACTCTGGGATCTTTCTGCCCGCACACAAGAATCTCCTTGCAACAGCAACGACCTTGCTACCATGGCGACCAATGCTGCGACCGGCCCTGGTGGAATGCTCAACCGTTCTACCGGCATAGAGGATGAACTTCGCGCTATAACACCAGATGTACGTACTACGAGCCTGGCAACTCGAGCCCGGTGAAAATTATATGACGGAATCTGATTATTGATTGTCTTTTCCTCTGTAGTCCAGCGAGTATGAAAAGGATTACAACCCTGAGTATGTTCACATCATAATATCTGCTGGCTGAGAGGACCTACAGTTACAGGAACTGAAGCTGACATTCTTCCACTCAGCAGTTCAATGTCGCTCACGTCAAGTGTTACCGACTATCCCGTGGAAAATGGCAGGAGATATCATCGATATCATGAAGGAAGTAAGTACATTGCATCTTCCAAAGTCGTTTACTCAAGAATAAGCCAATGGCCTATCAAGCCTAATCTACGCAAACTAACAATCATAATATAGCATACCTTTACCCCAACGATGAAACGGAACTGGACAGATTGGATATGCAATATGAATTAATAAGATTGATAAACGAAGGGAGAATATTCTTTGCGCCTTTAAATAACCCTGAACGGCTTCTTGATATTGGCACAGGCTCGGGTATCTGGCCAATTGAAATGGGTAACACTTATCCCTCCTTGTTTTCATTTTGATCCCGACCAACTGTCTGAACAGGCTCATACTAAAATTGGTATTTCTATAGCTGAAATGTTTCCTGAGGCTGAAATCATTGGCACCGATTTATCCCCTGTCCAGCCGGGTCAAGTGCCACCGAATGTTCAATTCTACGTCGACGACGCCTCAGAATCAGACTGGCTATGGCCCAAAGACCATTTTGACTATATCCGCTCATCAATGCTCCTCGGTGCTCTTGACTCCTACCCATCCCTCATAAAAACAGCGCTCACCTATATAAAACCCGGCGGCTACATGGAATGCCACGAATGGGACATATCCCTGTACTGTGACGACGACACGTTACCTCCGCAACAAGACGATTTTCGGAGTGCACACGCTTTCCAGAACTGGCTTCAATATTGCCGTCTGTCCACAGGCAACTTGGATAGACCCGTCTTTGTTGCACACCAAATTGCCAATTGGATGAAAGAAGCAGGGTTTGAGGATGTCCAAGAACGCATTTCTAAAGTTCCATTGAACCCCTGGCCCAAGGACCCGCACTTGAAGCGTCTTGGTGCGTGGAGCGAAAGAAACTGGCTCGATGGAATTGCAGCATTCTCCTATGCGCCCTTTGGTGCAAGGGGGCTAGGATGGACCCAAGAAGAGATTGAAGTTTTCCTGGTGGATGTGAGGAAAAGCATCCAGGACCGCAAAGTGCATGCGTACCAACGGTTTCATGTCGTGACCGGTAGGAAGCCGTCGCCCTAAGGGCTGCATTTTCTTTTTTTCTTTCCACTTTTCTTACTCTGGACCATATTGCGGAAAGGTCGGCTTTCAGATACCGCTGAAACTCATTTCTTAGCTCACCACCCTGCACATGCACAGGTAACTGATGACCGTAACGGCCGGCGATTGCAAAAAAAAAGGGAGGCAAAAGTGTTTATCGTTCCCTTTCGACTTTTTTCCATTCTTTTATATACTCCCTCCATGTGCGTTGGCGTTCGGCAACCCTTTCCCATTTCCCATCCCTCTAATCCATTCGTCAATGTACATATATATACCCTTCTAAATTTTCATCACAAACATAGACATTCGTCTTGACTTCCAAATATATTACTTCACCGCTTAGCTTCTCACAAGCTTACCGAACTTGAAACGTACTCAAAATTTGTAACAACGTTAGTTTGCCTGTCATTCTACGCTTCCACTTTTGGGCAATGGCGAATCAATACGCCATTGTCACACAATTCTGTAGAAAACTGCTGCAGCGACTTCTCAGTATGACTTCGCCCGTTCTTGAATGGCCAGCCATGCACGCTGATGAGCCAACAGCTATGGATTGTTAGTCATATTTTGTTTGGTGGTCAATCCTACCACATTGTAGATTTTGGCTCTGAAGTAGCAAGCGAAAGTTACTGCACGAACTGCGAATTTCCCAACACCAACAATCAATAATTCGTAGCGGAAGCTTCGGTCACATAAATAAAATGTGACCTGGTCTGGCTATCTAATGCACTCGATGCGAGACCCTCTGATAGTATTAATAAAGACCGGAGCTTTCTTTCGTCAATCACCATGTCGGAGCAGTATAAGGCTTGTGACACCGCCAAACTGAAGCCTCTTTTAGCTATAAAATCGTCTCCTCTGGGGTTTCAAGATTGTAAGCCTTCGGCACTGAAAGTGTCAATTCTATGCTCTGGTTGCAACCCAAGAGCTTATTTTTCCCGCTGTCTGTGGGCTGTGGGGGGAAGTGACCAAAAAATGAGAGATGACCGCTTCGAGATATGATGTTCAAACGCGAACCCCTTAATCGGCCACAATTTGGATCTCGACCGGTCCCCCGCGACTTCGTTGTCCAATTAACCCCCGTAGTGGCTGTATTTGAAATCCCATGGACCAGGTTACCAGCACACAGCGCCGACCGCAAATGTGGAGTTGACTTGGGCACCAGGCCATTCTTCATATCCATTCGTGGGAATAAGAGAAGCCTCAACAGAATTTATCAAACTAATTCCAATTATTTGTTTTTCTATTACAAGGCTGGGCCATGGTAATATTCACCCGCCAATTTCAGCGCATATAATATATGTGTCATACGACATCATATGGTCGAACGGCTGCAAATTCCAGACGGAGTTGGAACATGTAACATTCGAACAGATATCAAATCGGTGATACCAGGTCTTTGGGGCTGAAACCGAAACTGCTCAAGCGAGGCTGTTTAAACAAGGCTGTTCCTTGCAGTAAGGGGATATGACGCCCTGACTATTTCCAGAGATCGAGACTCTCTGGAAGTAGACCGTTATCCTGAATAAGTTAGTAAGGTGGTAATATACAAGAGGGGTTAAATATACAAACATTGTATGCTCAGTACCTCATAGCAAGGATAGTAATATGGCCCAGGAACCAGCATAAGGCTCGCCATATATGTAAAGTCCTAACAGGTCTATGTGTGACAACTGAGAAGAAGCCAAAGATGGGGAGAGCCGTATGGTGAAGCGATTCTGTCTAACATATATCCAATTTATATTGCGTATCCGTCTAAATGCTCCTTCAATAAATGCAGTGTATATCTAGCGTGTTAAATATTAGTCAGTCTTATGTGCCCTGGGGGTATATAAGGGCAGATATATATCCAAAAAGTTGTTGTCTCCAAACATGATGGGCACCATCTATATCTTAATCTCACGGCTCAGCGCTTCCTGTCTTACCAAGGCCCCAACGACCAACCTCACGCATAGCCTCCTCGCCACCTTCGGATAGCCTTCCATTAGAATTTGCGGCGTTGCCCTCACCAAGCACACCGGCAACACAGCTCCAACCATCACGACCCCCACCCCATCTCAGAACCTCGTTCTTGAACCTTTCGCCAGCGTTCCTATCAACAGAAAGCTCGCCGCCCCCAAATACATCAGACCAAACTTTATTAGCGATAGCACGATCAAACAAGTAGCTATAGTATGTTGCCCCGTAGCCAAACAGATGGGTAAAGTAGCCTTGCCATGCGGTCATTGAATTTGCTGGATCCGGTAAACTGCTGTGTTTGGAGGACACGCTATGAAGAATGGCTGTGCTATCGATTTTCGAGCCGGCAGATATGGTGTGATATGTCTGATCCATCAACGCCATAAGGATTTGCGTTTCGTTGTCCATGCCACCATGTATGCTATCGCGGTTCTGGCGGTTAAGATGGATATTTTGGATCATATCTTCTGGTAGTGGGTCGTCGGTTGCCCAGTGCCGAGCATATAGGCGTAGAACCTGTGGGTCCATTGCAAAGCTCTCCATCAGAACGGAGGGAAGCTCTGCAAAGTCGGTGACGCAGCGGGTACCAGAGATTGATTGGAGATCCGTGCGCCCAAGGACCGAATGCATTGCGTGCCCCATTTCGTGGAAGAGGGTTCTAACGCTACGTTCGGAGAGAAGGGAGGGCGGTGAACCAGGGCTGTAAGAGGCTGGTTCGTCAAAGTCACATATAAGGGCAATCGTAGGTAGCTGGTAGAGTTTGTTCGTGCCTGGCTTTAGAGCGGCTGCCATCCCGTCATTGGGGTGCGGTGAATCTGGCAAAGATGCACATTCGGCTATCTCCGTTGGAGAGATTTCCCTTGAGCCTCGCAAAGTGAAGTGTGCCGGATTGGGGCTCTTTCCCGGCCGTGTGAAGAGGTCACAGTATATAACTGCCATATGATTATCATCATCGTCCCACACGTCTAGCTTGCGGACGTCCGGGTTCCAGGTCTCCCCAGGTAGGGTTTCACTTGGAGCAAGTCTGACGCCATACAGGCGGGTAAACAGTCGAGAGAGTCCTTGCATTACAGTACCCAACGAGAAGAACGAAGGAAGTAATTCAGAATCCCGTGATCTTCTTGCCCGGCCGTGTTTGAGATAATACTTTTCCATGTAGTATGAATGGTCCCAGGGCTGGAGACTGGTTGCAGACGGGTTTTCAATCTGCTTGAGGGCAAGCAGCTTGGACAGCTCGTTGTCTACCTGGCCACGGTTGCTTGCATTTAGTGACGAGAGAAAGTTGACCACAGCTTCTGGAGTTTTGGCCATTTTATCGCTCAAAGTCATATGTGCGTAACTTGGATATCCGGATAGTTTGGCGAGTTCTGCTCTCTTCTGGAGGAGAGTCTCCAGGCGTCCCACCTGCTCCCTTGACGACGTTCGATAAGCAAGATGAATCTTCCTCCGGATCTCCGGGTCCTGAACTGTACTTAGTGCAGTCCTGGGAACAGACCCATACATTGGAATGGCCACCTTCGACCACCGTTTCAACTTTCGGATGAGCGACGGATCCATTCCCTGGAGTTCATTCTTGCTAAAGCTGAGCTGAGAGGTCTCAGGGTTCATGTTACGGACAAAGGAAGGGCCAAGCTGGCTGATCTCATTTGACAGTGTCACAAACCTGTGCCTATCACCGGGAGGCAGATGAATAGCAGACTTTGCAAAGTCCTTTAATAAACCACGGGCAGCAACTTTCTCTTCCTCACTCCAGTGAGATGTAACTTCGGGATTCTCGACGGCCCGCGTCAGCTGCTCATTTAGACCGGGGGTCGTGTTTAGAATGTTCATGTACTCGAATATAAAGGCAAAGGCTTCTGTAGCAGCTTCTTGTATCGCGGGGTCTGGGTGGTTTGTCTTCATAAACTCGGCCATATCTATCACTCGACAGAGGTGGTCACTCAGCCGGTCGAGATCTCTAGACATGGCCCTAAAGTCTTCTAGAGTAGACGCCGCCAGAACCTTGCCAACTATCCTCTGACACTTTTCAAGGGAGACATGGGCGAATTTCCGAAATCCTTCTGGGTTTGTGAGATACTGGTTCTGCAGCAGGCCCGTACGCTTCGAGCTTCCGGACCGGCGCTGGGAGAACTCGCGCCAAAACGAGTTGGAGTCAAAGACAAGCCGTAGATTGGTATCATCGTGTCGTTTGGCCGCAGACAGGCCTGAAGCAGCCTGATCTTGTCTCGCAGTTTCTGGTGCAGCAACGGAGAGATGGCGATAGACCCCGACTCTCATGCGCAGAAGACACCTCTGGCAGGTCCACGGCCGCCTCTGGAGGGCCCGGAGCATTTTCTGCACTGGATAAACCGGTATGAAGACATCCAAGTATTAAGTGTAGTCAAGCGCAATTGACTGCTCGATGGTTGTTGTCGTTCCTTTTATTGCTGAGGTTGATTTTTTTTTATCTTTTTGCCGAGAAACAAACCAAACTTCAACCTCAACTTCAACTTCATCCTCTTTTTCTACCAAGAATATCAAACCTCGCGGGATAAAAACCACAAATCATGCTCGGTTCAATTCTTCAGCGGGTAAGTGAGACATCTTCCCGTATTCATATTCGAAGATATAGTCTAACAGTATGGTTTATTTGCAGAGGCTGGCGGCCACAGGCGCAGCGGTTGCCATGGGAGTAGCCATCAACCCAATTCAAACCGCATACGCAGAAGCTCCTCCGCACAGCTCGGTAGGTTGTCCATAGGTCGATACACGAGGTGGTAGAGGGCGCTTAGCTGTGTCTGGTGCTGATTCCGTGGCATCCTTAGTACCTGTCGAAGAAACCGATGTACGATGCGGACGAGGAAGAAAGCAGCAGCATCCGCCGCAAGATAGAGAAATCTGCCCTACAACCAGTGACATCTCAACCGGATACTCCTTCACCGCAGGCCAATATCGTTAAACCTAGCGCTCCAACTCCAACTGACCAATTGGCCGAACAAATCCGACACGTCCGCCTCTTCCTCTACCGTCACTCTCTCGTTGCGGAAAACAGCTTTAATGACACTGTTGCCCGCGTCCTCCACGCTGAATCACAGTTTACAAGCACCATCGCTTCGTTGGCACCTCCTCGGGAATCCGGCGAACGGCTGCTACCCGGAGGTATCTATGTACTGGTTTCCGCAATGGCTGGGTCGATCGTCTCTCGAAACCGTGGCATACTGCTCCGAACCGCATCTCCAATTGCAGTGGGAACCGTTGCTGCCTGGAGCCTGCTTCCTATCACCATGAGAAATGTCTCAGACTTGGTGTGGGAGTACGAGAAGAAGGTTCCCGCCGTGGCTGAGAACCATCTCTACCTTCAGTATGTGGCAGAACACTCTGTACAGCAAGCCATCAGGGTCAGTGGTGATGCGCGAGTTTGGATGGAAAGCAAGATCGGCCAGGGCCGAGAGGCCATCGAGAAATTGATCAGTAAGGGACTGTGAGAGGGATGGCTTCCCTCCGGAGAGCAAAATTATAAAAGAGGAGGTTGCTATATAAACCAGCCTGAGTTGCTGCACTCCTTTCTTATTCTCTTTCTAGATGTCATTGTATACATGTACTTTACCTACAGCGTTTAGAGGCGCCAAAAATTCATATTCATGCTGGATGTTGAAACATCTAATCCATAGTCATCATAGATACACTTCATCCGCGACGAGGTGAGCTACAAAACAACTAGTGATATACAAAATATCTACTCATCTGGCGGTCCTTCTACTTTCTCTGTAGGAGGTGTCATGGTCGGTGGCGGCGGAGCATGGCCACCTGCCTTTGGAGGTGGCGCAACGGGCCCTGTTTTCGAGGACGGGATATAATCCTCCTTCTGACTTCGTTCCTCGCCTTCTTTAAAGTAGTCGTCAAACGAGGGCGTTTCATGAGCATGGCGGTTCTTTCGTCCATGCTTACCAGGAGCCGCCGTCTTCTTTGGTGCACTTGTCGAAGAAACCATATTGGCGGGAATCAAGAACTGGGGCTCAGAAGCTGGCTCTGGAGGGTTGCTAGTTTCAGCATGAGTGCTGTCCTCCTGTGTTGCAAAGACCACCTCCCCGGGCCCTGACACCTCTTCACTCAGCCCTAAAGGCAGCCTGTGTAAAGCACCATATCCTAAAACAGCACCTAGTGCTCCTTCACCTCCCCAATTCCGGTTGGGAACTATTTCCACTTCCCTGACAACGTCGAACTCGTTGTTGTATACCCACAGAGTCAGACTTCGGTTCAAATGGTCCTCGACAAGCTCGCCAAGCGCCGTCTCCCCGCGCAGTGTCCCGCTTGGTGTCCCTAGTATGTAATCTGAATGTGGTAGCAGACCGGCCAGGTATGCAGGACTTTGTGGTGATGGTATTGATAGGACGTGCCATATATTCTGTGTTAGAGAGAGCGGTGCGAGTTGAAGGGTTACGCCGAGAGTTGGGTTCGATGGAGATATCGGGACAATGGCTTGATGTGTTCGTTGGCCCTGGCGGAAGAGTTAGCCGATGTTAACAATAATACAGACATATCGAGAGCTTACTTTTGCGCTCCATAGCTCCAATGATACGCTTGATCCTGCACAGTTGCGCACTTCCGTGGTAAAGAGACTTGGGTCTGCTTCGTCCTGGAACATCATGTTAGCAACGGCCGTGTTAAGTGGCAGGCAGAAGTACATACGATAATATGACCGTTGATTCCAATGATAAAATCAAACCACGGCTCTAATGGCAGCTCTGGGTTCTTATTCCGTAGCACTTGGAAGCCGTATGCGTTGTCTCTGCTATGCGACTGAGCTGATGTATCTGCGTCCAGCCCGCTGATGAGGCGGTTCAGAGCGCCAAACATGATTCCTCTGATGTCCACAGGCAGATGTAACTATTTCTCGTCTTCTCTTCTTCTTCTCTTCTCGTCTTGTTATCTTCTTCTTCTTTGCTTCAACTCGACGTTGGCCATATCGAGATGCAAACAAAACAAACAGACAATACGTCACTTTCTTATGTTTCGAACTTCGACACGAAATAGAAGAAAAAACGAACAACTTTCGCAGCTTCCAAGGGATGGAGGATGCAACGCTGTAGAGTTGCTTAATCATGGCCGGTGAGGACGTGGAGTCCCAGCACTACCACTATCGGACAAAAGCTGAAGTTCCACAGGATATCCAAAAGTACGGAAGACTCCTTTGAATCGAGAATGACCGGTTGACTGACTGGCTTTCGGTAGCTACTGGGCTCAGAGATATAAGATATTCTCCAAGTACGATGACGGCGTCTGGCTGACAGATGATGCGTGGTTCGGGGTCACGCCTGAACCAGTAGCCAAGTACGTAGACTTCCGTCTGGTTCACTCATGAAGGAATGCCCTTCTGACATAAAACAAAGCAAAATAGCGCTTCATATGGCACAGGCAGCTCCAGAGACGAAGTGTATCCTGATAGATACGTTTGCCGGAGCGGGTGGAAACACCATTGCATTCGCAAAGTCCAACAGGTGGAAGCGTGTCTATGCAATTGAAAAGGACCCTGAGACGCTGAGATGCGCAAAGCACAATGCTGAGTTGTACGGGGTCGGAGATAAGATCACTTGGTTCCTGGGAGACTGCTTTGAGATTCTTCAGAATCAGTTGAAGGATCTTGCTCCGTACAGCGTCATCTTCGGCAGTCCGCCATGGGGTGGTGAGTCAAGACTACAGCCGTGGTTACTAAAGACTTCACCCCGTTACTAACTCGTATCTAGGCCCGGGGTATCGGTCAGACGCAATATTCAATCTCTCAACCATGGAGCCGTATTCCCTAGAGATTCTACATACTGAATTTTCCAAGTTCACTCAGGACGTGGTGCTGTTCCTCCCACGCACCTCAGATCTAAGACAACTGGCTGCTACAGTCAGGCCTGACAGAAAATCACTTGTCATGCATTACTGCTCAGAGGGCGCCAGTAAGGCTTTGTGTGTGTATAACGGTGACTTTAAGCCTATTGATCAATGAATGAATACAATACACAACACTACCTCCACAAAACATGTTTCGGTGTTAAAATAAGCTATCCAATCAATACTCTGCCTCACTTACCTATCAATAGCAACTTAATATCGTATCAATCAACCGCTTTTTTTTTTTTTTTTTCTTAGTAGAAAACACAGTCAAACTCCAAAAAACGTATATCACGTGATAATCCCGAAGTGGGAATTCGAGCTTCAAGCTTCTTTTTTTTTGTTATTACGCAGAGAAAAGAAAGAAAAACGATCAAGACTTGCGATTTTTTCCTTTTTGTCATCTGGAAGACATATTCGCTTTACACAGTGGTGCGCGCCTCTGTCATGCTCAGCGGAGCTGTTCAACCCCCCTTGAACGAGCTCAAGTTGAACGCTCCGTGAGCTCCCTGCGCCATCATGTCTGCATCACCCTTCGCCTCTCCAGTTCCCGAGTCATCAAGCATGGACACTCAGCAGGTAGCCAACATGAGAGAGTCCGCCGAGAACGGGTTCGAGCCTCCGGTGGACGATTCTGAATTCGACAGAGTCGTGCGGAGCATCAACGACCCGAACGCGGCAGAAAACATGGACTTCTTAAACAGAGACCTTGAAATAGGAGAAAAAGCAGACAACGCGATAGACTATGAGGATTTCGACGATGACGAACTCCCAGATGAAGAAGATGAGGCTTCGAGTGCGAAACCGGCTGCTGCTTTACCGCAGGATGATGACCTTGGGGATCTCTTTGGCGGAGACGATGAATTTCAGGAGATCAGAGAGGGTGGAGGAGACGAGCTGGATGATTTGTTTGGAGATGTGCCGTCATCTCCTGTTAACAAGAAGGCGGCTATTGGGCTTTCGCTTCCTATGGTAGATCATGGGATGGGCATATTCGGGGATAGTGGCACAATCCAAGGGGCCCTCGAGGCGCATGATGATATCTTCGATGAGGGCATGGAGAGTGACAAAGAGGCACCAAGGTCGCCTACTCTTGATATGGACCCCGCGATGCTCCGAGACTACCAACTTCAACAAGCTCTGTTCGCCATGTCCGCCTACGGACCAGACAATCCCCCCGCTCCGCCGGAAAATAACGAAGAATTACTTGCTTCCCTATGGCCTAAGTTTGATAAGGATGCCCTACCACGCTTCTTGGAGTTACTACCACCGAAAAAGGCACGCTTTATTGGCAAGGTGCCTCTCAAACCCCCAAAGCGAATTAACCCTACGAAAGTCAACATTGAACTCGCCCCGGATCAAGAACGTGCCTTTCTTTTTGCTGGAAATATGCAGAAGAAATCCGCAGAGCCTGATCAGTTTATCACCGTTATAACCCCTGAATCCACGTCTGCTGAGGCCAGCGACATAGAGGAAGGTGACGACTCTGATGAAGACCTTCCTGGTGGTATCACCATGGAAGACTTGCAGTTTATTTGCGCAGACTGGGATGTAAAGAATGCTCCTTCAGAGCACGAAAAAGAGACTACGCCTGAAGCACCCCGAAATGAAGAAGATGACTGGTTATTCGAAGTAACCCAGCCAACTAAAAAGCGCAAACTCGGGAAAGAACCTTCGGATTACCTGTCATACTCGCATATTGATTTACCCAGTCTGGATGACCCAGCCGAAGCTACTGCGATACTCGCTAGGAAGATTCGGATAGATATGAATGATCCCCATTTATTGCTGGATGACTACTCCAACAATGAACCTACTACACAAATTAAACCCAGCAAGCTTCAACGTGCTGGAGAAATGTCCAGTGGCTTGACCAAGCGTCTAATGCAAAGATACAACATTTCAAATGATACCGCTTACGATATGCTGAAAGAGAACCACCAGAATAAGGTGCGAAGCACCCTGGGAAATATCGCCCTAGAACATAGTATGCCTGCAATCCGGCTGCAGTGGCCATATTATAAGACCAAGCTTGCAAGACCGGAAGCTCGGTCATTCCATCGTCCCTCTTTGAGCTTTTATCCAAATCTTCCTCTCTCCTTCAAAGTCCCCGTCCATGTCAAACGGAAACACCAAAAGGGAAAAGGCGCGAAAGCCCTTTACGACACCACAAAATCACTATCTTTAGCTGATAACTCGAATGCGTTGTTAATCGAACACTCCGAAGAGTATCCGACAATGTTATCCAACTTCGGCATGGGTAGTCGTTTGATAAACTATTACCGCAAGAAAAATGCGGAGGATCCATCACGACCAAAGACAGAGATTGGAGAAACTGCAGTTTTACTGCCGCAAGACAAGAGTCCATTTTCCAGTTTTGGCCATGTCGACCCTGGAGAGACTACACCTACTATTACAACTGGTTTATACCGTGCGCCCGTTTTCCGTCAGGAGGCTAGAAATACCGACTTCCTAATCGTACGGAACAGCACTGGTATAGAGGGTTCCAGCTATTTCATACGAAATATTGACCATTTGTATGTTGCCGGGCAGCAGTTCCCATCTGTTGATGTGCCCGGACCTCATTCCAGAAAAGTCACGACTGCGGCAAAGAATCGCCTCAAAATGATATGCTACCGTCGAATAAAGAAAAATGGGAACAACAGGGTTAGTGTAGCAGAGGTTACCGAGCATTTCCCTGATTCAACAGATATGCAAAATAGGCAAAAGATGAAAGAGTTTCTCCAGTTCAATAAAGACCATAAAGAGTGGGAAATGAAAAGCGGAGAGCCAATACCTAGTGAAGATGTTATGCGCGGTTACGTTAAGCCTGAAGACGTCTGTCTTCTCGAAGCCATGCAAGTCGGACAGCAACAACTCCATGATGCTGGATATGACCGTGAATCAGATGATGGTGACGACTACGAAGGAAAAGAAGGAGAAAGTTTAGAACAGCAACTCGCTCCGTGGAAAACGACAAGAAGCTTCCTTCTCGCCTCCCAAGGAAAAGCCATGCTACAGCTTCATGGGGAGGGAGATCCTACTGGTCGCGGAGAAGGCTTCAGTTTCATCAAGACATCTATGAAGGGTGGCTTCAGAGCAGTGGGAGAGAGTGTTGAAGACAAGCTTGATGCCCAACGACAAAAGGAGCTCGGAGGTCATAGCTATAACGTCGCTAGGCAACAAAAGTCCTATGAAGAATCCATCCGCCGAATCTGGGAAAGCCAAAAGTCTAGCTTATCTTCAACCATTCAACACTCAGACGAAGAAAGTGATGTGGACATGGGAGAAGCTGATGAACTGTTCGGAAAGCCAACGCCAAGATCAGACCGTCCAACTCCGTCCTTCAGCCGCCGAGACGATGAGACAACCAGTCAGTTCAGCCGATTTAGTACCTCGAGTCAATCGGGTAAGGTCATGGTAATCACCCGTCAAATACGAAACAACAAGGGCAAAATTGAGAGTGTCAAGGAAGTCATCAGGGATGCCAGGGTGATTAAACAGTATCAGAAGCAGCGTCATGAAGCTGAACTTGCAAACTTAGCGTATGTTTTACCTGCTTTATCATTCATGCGAATTCTAGCTAACCCTGCTACCTATAGGCTTATTGACATTGAACCAACGGGGGACCCGGAAGTCGATGCTCGAAACATGAAGCAGTATGCCATTTCTCACCAGAAATCTCCAATATGTCTTGATATATGTCTAACTTATTACCCCCGTCAAACAGTATTCAGGACGAACTTCGTCGTCTTCAGCGAAATAAGGAGCGGCGCCATGCTCGAGAAAAGCAGAAAAGTCTCATTGCCGAAGGGAATCGCGAAATGTCTCCCACTACGGCTGCGTGTTCTCCTGCTCCAACTGGTCCAGGTGGCCCCAAGACGGGGGGCACACAGCGGAAATGTGCTAACTGTGGTCAAGTTGGCCATATCAAGACTAACAAAAAGTGCGCCTCTCGTTTCCTATAAACTCTCGATCACCAACCTCATCCCATACCCTTTACACTTCATAAGACCCATCCCTACACCCCACCATTATCGCCTCCATCCAACCCCCCATTTATTTCTCTCCGGTCCGATTCGCCAATAGCTTCCAACCCAACCAAAATTTTCCTCCTGCCTAGCCCCGTTATTTTATTGCTGGAATGCTAACGTCTTAATCAAATTTATTTGGTAACTTTAGACTTTGCCCACTTCTTAATGGATCAATGAGACCAGAGGACGCATCCAACATGCCGGCATTTACAATGGGCGTTCCAACTATATAAGCGCCTTCAACCCCACGCCAGCCGGGAAAGCCTACTGTCTACAGAATTCATAATTATTAGTATCTTATCTGAAACACGCTCTCTGAAATACAATTTTCGTGGTATCGAACGGTTATGGCGCATATATGGTTTCATTTACGGGTTAAAAAAGGATAGGTGGATAAGTTTAATGCAGTGCATAGGAGCCCCTAGGAGTTTGTGGCCTTTTGAGCTAAGTTTCTAAATACATCTTTAATATCTCTCTTCCCAATGGCGGAATTATTAATTGTTCAAGGGCCCTGGTGGCTAAGTTCTTTTCCTCTGTACTCTAGAGTAACAATTTGATCTCATGTCAAACTTGGACAGATATTGTGCTAGTTATTAATTACGTTAAAGTAGATATCTTACCTATCATAATAGTATCATTTTCCACCCCGAAAATATCCTATAATAGCGAAGAGGTATCCGAAAATAAAGGTTTAGAAATAATTTTCATTAATAGCGAACGGAGTCGGTATTTCTAATAAAAATATTCCAGAATTCTCTAGCACAGCCTTGACCCAATACATGAACGCATAGAGAGTTCTAGCATGTCATATCAACCGTTGAGTTGAAATCAAGACAAGGCAGTCTAGCTAGTCATTAGGGTATAGCAAGGTAATTCTCAAATCGAGGGCAGAAACACATAATTACCACAGCTGTAGCCCAAAACTGGATCTTGTGGTCATACTGTCCTCCATTCCTACTCGAAGACACTGATGACATCCTTAGGTCTATTATAAGCATATCCCAGAAATGCCCCCTGCTTCCGAATATTCAAAGCAATCTTTCCCATTGATTCATCGCGCAGGATTTTATCACGGGCTTTCCGCTTGACCTTCTTCTTTGTGACTTTCTTTACGTTAGATGTGTTCCCCACGGCTTGGTTTTGCTTCGGAGGGGATTCAGCGCCGTCAGGTATGTCAGCTTCAGGGTCATTTGGAGGATCTTGGGACGAGTCATCATTTCTGTCCGCAACTGAAATGTTGAAATATTTTGTGTCTTCCCAGCTCTTGATCTTTGGAACAAATGGTGGCCTGGTGTATTGGATAGCGTCCCAATTGATATTCCTAAAGAATGGATGGTCCTTTATATCGGTTGCATCATCTGGATATACATAGTAGCCTTGATAATTCTTGCTTGCCTTGTCGGCAGCTTTATCAAGTATTTCACCGGGTATTCGCCGTGAATGAATATAATCATTCAACAAATACTTCTCAGAGGAAAGCCGGCACTCCTTTTCCTGAAGAATTTGCCCAATCAGATGTACTGCTTCGTCAGAAACCAGCCTGTCTGATGGACGCTCATTAGGAAATTCTAAGTATTTGTGATGGTTCTTGTCCTATGTCAGCTTGTTGACCACAAAGTTTTATATGCTCACAAGGGAAACCATACTAATATTCGGCTCTTGGTATTTTCTCTGCAATCTGCGGCGAAAGGCGTAAATCCAAAAAGGCACTGAGTCTTGTTTAGTACCAGGTTGGTTTGACTTAATAGTAGCAAATGAGATCAAGAAGGTTGGGGTTTTAGATTATCTCAAATACCTCAAATAGAATGATACCAATGCTCCACCAGTCACATCTACCATCGTACGGATCCCCATTAACAACCTCGGGCGCCATATATTGACTTGTTCCCACAATACTCATTGCTAATTTTCTTCGCTCTTTGCGATTACGCCATCGAAGAATATCTTCGCCGGGACCAGGTTGTCTCATAGCCGGTCTTTCAACAGATTCGCCATTTTTACCATCGGGAAGATTTGCAACCTTATATGCTTTTTTGGCTTTGGCGGCGGCCTTTTTATCCTCGGAGTCTCCTTCAACTTTGATTCCCAGTTTCTTTAGTAATGATTGTCGATGGTTGTGAAAATACGTCTCGTTATGAGACCAATGTCCATCGAATGCAAGTCCAAAATCGGATATCTTTAAGTGTCCAGACGCTGAGATAAGGAAATTGTCTGGTTTAACGTCCCTGTGAATCCAACAAAGCCGATGAGCTTCTTCGATACATAGGATCATCTCCGCAACGTACCACTTCGAGACTTCTTCTGATAGAATATTCTTTCTCATTAACAAAGAAAGAAAATCGCCACCTACCATGTAATCCATGATAAGGTAGAGATTATGTTTATCCTGGAAGCTCGAAATCAGCGGTACAATCCATTGAGACTTATTAGACGAGACCAGAAAATCTCTCTCCGCTCGCAAGTGCCCTTCTTGGCAATTCAAGAGCATTTCTGACTTGCGGATAACCTTCATCGCAAAGACATTCTTCCTCATCTTCTCGGCATCCTTTCGACGAAAAGTCCGCGTTCCCTTCGAAACTGACGGCGAGGATTCGGGGTTAGTATTTTTCTTTCTAACTAGGCGAACAACACCAAAGCTACCCCTCCCTAGGACCTTGATAACTTCGTATCCAGCAATCAAGGGGCTGTTTTTACGGTCCGTTCGATTGGAATGTGTCTTTAAAACACGATGCTGGCGAAGATAGTCGGACTCCTGACGATACCAGGCCTGCCATGCTGCCTGCCTCTCTTCCTCTGACAGAGGTAAAGAGTATATTGTTTGTTCGAACTCACGTTGACGGCGCAGTCTAGGGGGGTCTTTGGAGGATAATGCATCAAAGTAGGTTTCAAGGAATATCTTTGCAGAAACAGTTAATTCCACAGTAACAATGGAGGGTTTAACAAGGGGAGGGGTATCTCCAAAGGGTGGTTGCTGAGTTTCTGACGGGGCGCAGTTTGTAGGAACTGTCCCTTTTTCTTTCCCAGTCAAGCTCGCAGATGTTCTTTTTAATAGAGAAACAGGGCTTCCTTCTGATGTAGGATTAGTAGATTGGCTCCTGTGAGAAGTACCACTCCCACTCAGACGGGAAGCGGAGGAGTCCGAGTCATCCTGTGTATTGTCACCCAGTTTTTGTAGTGTAGATGGCACCGATGGTGGTGTACCCACCGAAAAGCGACTTATAGCTGGCCGCACTCGTAAGTTTGCACGATGCACTACCGTGGGAGGACAAAATGACATTGAAATTTTATCCGATATTCTTTGCGTTAAACTGGGACTAGAGTGGTTTCGTTGGCTGTTTAGCGGTGCTAATGGTTTGATAGTACTAATCGTTTTCAGCCCACGGGGTATGTTGTAAATATTAGGCCCTTTTCTCACAACCAGAGGCTGAATTGAATCAGCCCTTGATTCCCTTTGTCCTGGTAGCGAACTTGTGCCTGAAGGTGGCTCAGTGCTTCGGCCCTCTCCCCCAGGGCCGAGAGACCTATTCCCGTTCGTGAGAGAAGTTGGCTGGCCTGCAGCCCCTCCTATACTTGTCTGGCGTGCCTCTTCCTGTGGCTCTCGGGAATGTGCACTACCTGTGCAATGATAGAGTTAGTAGCATAAACATCAGAGAATACTCAGAGGTGACTCACTTCTACTTCTACGTATCTTGAATAAGGAGAGGAATCGTGACCCTTTCCTTCTTAAAAAACCGCTAACAGATTTATAGCCTCCAATGCTATGTTCTCTCCCAGTCTGCGAAGCTGTATCAGCTGGAGATGGATGATTGTCCTCGATCGGAGCTGCTGCCTTGGAAGAGGTGCCGTTTGGAGTTACACCCTCTGGAGTGTTCATGGTATTGTCATGAGACTGGTAAGTATATAAATATTGGAGGGAAAAAGGGGGAAAGCCGGTTGATATAAAGGCAGCCAGGCTTTTCGGACGATGAAAGATAAAAGGAGAGCAAAGGAAGGTATATAGGCACGGCAGAGATATCTCATACAAAGCCGTAAGATCACTAGAAAAGCAATGCTTCAATAAGAGTGAACGATAGTAGGCACTCCTACTCGCGAGCTGTAAAGGAAATGGAGAGAGAACAGCTTGAACTGCTACGCAGTATACGCAGCAGCGAAAGAAAGAGACGATAGGTTTTTGTGAAAATACTGGAAGAAAGGCCACCCATGCTACACAGGCGGAAGGGGCGAAAAGCAAATTGAGTCCGAGAGAAACTCCGACTATGAATAGAGAATAAATGGTATCACAACATCATAAATGTTTAATCCTTTATATCCCAAAGGAAAATACACTGGCTGTGGAAGCGTCCATGATACGTCGATGGACAAACATTCGGGTTGATGTTGTATGTTGATTTATGCTTAAAAAAGGTTTGAATGGGGTAGAGGACACGGACCACTTTATGACCCTGTAAGATGAGTTTTTCTCGCGTTTGAGAGAAACGAGTATGCGAATCACTATAGGTAAATGAGACATTGAATGGTCTAGTATTTAAAAATTGATTATACACATACTGATATAAAACGCCAGTCTTTTAGCACCGATATTTTGAGGGGCTCGTCTGGTGTTAACCTAGACGAACAAACAGGATAAAAAAGCAACAAAAAGAAATAAATGCAAAGGGAGAAGAATCACCAGTAATAGTGCTCCATAGACCAACAGATAGCTTAAGAAATAAATTTTGTCTTTTCTTTTTGGGCGTCAGTAAGAAAAATAAAGCCGGGGTTACATACACAAATAATGGGGTATAAGCAAAGTTTCGTTGGCTTGACCACATTTACTTGATGTTCAAAAGCTTGACATCGAAGATTAGCTTCGAGTTAGCTGGGATGCCTGGCAGAGACTGCTTTCCGTAGGCAAGGTGGGCTGGGATAGTAAGTCTTCGTTCACCACCGACAGCCATGCCGGGAATACCGATATCCCAGCCCTTGATCACTTCACCGGTTCCGACCTTAAAGGAGAAGGGTTTTCCAGATTTGTTGGCTACCAGGCGGGTTAGTAGGTATAATGCGATAATATGCGGGGCAGGTTGCAGGGGCCAAGTGCTTACAGTCAAAGACCTTGCCATTCTCAAGCTTTCCAATATATCTCATTCCAATTCTATCGCCCTTCTTAACCTGCTTGCCTGTACCAAGCTTCTTGTCATCAATGGTAACTCCCTGCACCTGCTTTACGCCAAGAGTACCAGTTTGGGCAGTCTTCGAAGGAGTTGGGCCTTGCTCAAGCTCCTTAGCAAACTGGACCTTCTTGTCAGATTTGGAGTTGGACTTGGCTGCCTCTGCTTCAGCAGCTTCACCATTGTTCTTCTTCAGTTTCTTCAATTGCTTCTTGCTCAACTTCGCTTCGCCGTTGGTGGCGGGTTCATCCTTTAGCGTCTTGGAGATCATGTCATCCAAATTTGGCTCCTCGTCAGAATCATCTGCTGGGCGCTTCTTACCCTTCTTATCCTTCTTCGATTGCTTGGCCTGAGCCTTAGATTCTTCCACCTCCTCTTCCTCATCGGTGTCGATCTCCATAACTCTTGGGTTAGCAATGTCATCTAGCTCGTCACTTTCGTCATCATCGCCCATAAGGGCAGCGAGCTCGTCTTCGTCTGGAGAGAGGTCGTATTCGTCCTCGTCTTCATCATCCTCATCCTCATCACTGTCATACATGTTTTCAATGGGAGTGACGTAGTTTCCGGTGACATAGACGGTGTGAGTGCCCGTAACCTTGAAAAAGACGCGTTCACCCTCACCAACAACGAAATCCAAAGTCTGTTGGCAGTTCTGTAGTGATTGTCAGTGATACCTTCAATTTAAAGTACGCACGTAGGAGAATTGGACATACGCGCTCTGGATCGAGTGTGCAGACGACAACTTCGTCCAACTCCAAATCCTCGTCACTATCGCTGTCATCATCATCAGTGGCTTTTCCCTTGCCCTTGACTAACTTAGAGATAGCTGCAGCAAGATCGGTGTCCTCTTCGTCTTCTTCATCATCATCTTCCTCCTCCATGCCATCATCCATGTCCTTCAAAGCTGCCTTGAGCATCGCCTTCTTCTTTCTGGCGGGGTCACTTGGGCCGCCATTGGCCTCATCGTCAGACTCGTCATCCCCATCATCAGAGTCTTCATCCTCAGAGTCCTCGTAGTCAAGACCAGGAGGGGGTCGGATAATCTTCAATGTAGCTCGGGGAGCCTTGTTTGCCTGGGCCTCATCCTCATACTCTGGCACCGCATCGGGGTCAATTGCGGCCATGGTAACACGGAACTACAGTGAATATCCGTTAACCAAATCGCATACTAATGGATGAAGGACTATGAGAGGATTTAGCTACATACCATAGCGGCGGCATCAGGGACAGCAGGCACAAGGATACCACCTGGAGGCACCTTGGCCGCGTAGAGCGCAACTGGCTGGGTTCCCGACATTATCGTCTAGCCTAAAGAGAGTATGCTGAGAAGGAAGAATGAATGGCTGACGTCTCAGCTTGTGCTCTCAACGAAGAGGAGAGAGAGAAAACCTCGATGAAAGGGAGCAAGTAGAGAATTTTCTCATAAAGCTCCAAACTCGTTTCCACATAACAATGAAAAAAAAAAAAAGTAACTTTTTGTCGGTCCGTCAGCAATGCGCTAGTATTAAAACAGTTTAGCTTGCTGATTAATAAAAAGTATATTAAAAGTCATGTGATGTGACGTTTTGACGTGTTTTTTTCGCGTCTAAAAATCATTTAATGAACATCCACAGAGTGACTCGGATATGATAGCCACCGCGACGAGGTGAGGTAGGCATATGACGTTGAAGCATCAGGTTAGAAGGTGGGATATGGGTTTATAGTGCCTTTCGAAGATGATTCTCCACTGCTGCGTGCCGGAACGATGGGCTCCAGACTTGAATCAGGCTCCGGCGCCACACGCAAGAGGATTGAGAACCGTGAGTCTGCACTTCGTTGTTAGCCTAGGATATTACGCAGCTAATAGGTCCAGATGAATTCACTGGGGAGGATGGGGAAGAATATGAGGCCTCTGGCTTTGGCGGCTTTGGAGATTACTTCCGTCGCAAGAAAATCAAGCTACAAAACCTAGATGCTGAAATACGCGCTTCATCTCCAAACAATCCATCGATATTCAAAGGGGTTGTGGCACATGTTAACGGATACACGCAGCCATCGCTAAATGATCTTCATCGCATGATAGTCAGCCATGGTGGAGGATTTCTCCAGTACCTTGACGGGAAAACAGCTGCCACTCATATTATAGCCAGCGCATTAACTCCCAAGAAGAGAGAGGAGTTTCGTCGATATCGTGTTGTTAAGCCGGCATGGGTTGTTGAAAGTATCCAGGCTGGCCGTATGTTACCCTGGGAGACATATCGTTTGCTAGATGAGGGTGCCTCGCAAAAGGTATTGAAGCTTGATACCAGCGGGAGGATTTCTGCCCAGAATAATTCCCAGTCACAGAGCTACAAAAGTCAGACAGATTCGTGCTGGTATACCTCGCAGTTGAACAAGGATCCGTCTGCTTCTGATGCCCCAGAGATAGGGGAAGCTTACCCCAACGCGGATATTGCAAAGGAACCTGATTTGGAAGAAGAACAAGCTACTGACATAAAAGATACTTCTCTTGGGCATGATAATGCTACTCCAACAACACCTGAAGACCTTGTATCTTTAGGCTTCGATGATAATTCGACTCCTGCTCAACCAGAACAGTTCTCCACGGAGCAAGGGAACAAGAACCCGAACAGTGACGCAAAGCAATTGACCCCTGAGGAACATAATGCTCTACTACTTTCCAAAGCGCATATAAGACAATCCAGTGTAGTCAACCCCGACTTCATCCAACAGTACTACCGTGAATCTCGCCTCCACCATCTCTCAACTTGGAAGGCAGAGCTCAAAGCTCAGCTCCAAAGCATTGCCCAAGAGCGAGGTAGCATGAAGCCAACGCTAGTCAAACGGCCGCCTGGGACAAGACGCTATATTCTACATGTCGATTTTGATAGCTTTTTTGCTGCGGTTTCTATACAAAAACACCCCGAGCTTGCCGACAAACCAGTTGCTATAGCCCATGGCACTGGCCCCGGATCGGAAATCGCCAGCTGCAATTACCCTGCACGCAAGTTTAATGTTAGAAATGGGATGTGGATGAAGGGTGCTCTAGAGCGATGCCCAGAGCTTAAAGTACTGTCTTACGATTTTCCAGCGTATGAGGAAGCTAGTCGAAAATTTTACGAATCAATTCTCGATATCGATGGCGTTGTTCAAAGCGTTAGTATTGATGAGGCACTCATCGATATTTCTACTTTATGCATCCAGGCAGGTGGCTCTGATGGGAGAGCAATGTCAGAGAGCTCAATATATCAAGAACAAGAGAAGGCAGATATGATTGCACGGAACCTGCGGGATTCCATCAAACAGAAAACCGGCTGCCACGTATCCGTTGGTATAGGCCAGAATGTTTTACAGGCAAGGCTGGCATTGAGAAAGGCAAAACCCGCAGGTCAATTCCAGTTGAAGCCTGATGATATGCTAGATTTTATCGGTGAATTTACGGTCACAGATCTCCCTGGCGTGGCCCATAGTCTGGGAGCTAAACTTGGAGAACTCGGCATCAAATACGTCAAAGATATCCGCCAACTCAGCCGAGAGAAACTGACTGGGCATTTAGGCCCAAAGACCGGGGCAAAGTTATGGGAATATTCGAGGGGAATCGACAACACTGTGGTTGGAGAACAAGCCATAAGGAAATCTGTCTCAGCAGAAATAAACTGGGGGATCCGATTTATCAACCAGACACAAGCGGATGACTTTGTCCATAGCTTGTGCGAGGAACTACATCGCCGACTCTTGGAGAATGGCGTTAAAGGCAAGCAGCTGACGATGAGAATAATGCGACGGGCTGCTGATTCCCCGGCTGATCCACCTAAACATCTCGGGCATGGCAAATGTGATACTTTTAATAAGAGTGTGGTTTTGCACACACCTACCAACGCAAGCGATGTTATTGGCAAAGAAGCTGTGTCTATTCTCCGCAGTTTTAATTTCTCCCCTGGGGATCTACGAGGGCTAGGGGTTCAAATGACGAAGCTTACACCGGTTAAGACTACCTCTAGTGGCGAACCTGCGAGCGGTCAGCAACAACTCCAGTTCAAAGCACCAAGCCCTAACCAGAGAAAGATAGTTTCCCAAGATCCAGATGAAGTTCTTAGTCCTACAAAGGGGGAGAACGCAAGCCCACATCTACCTTCGTCACTCACAGCTGGTCCGTCGCTCAATGACGCATCTCAGAAACCCCTGAATATAAGAGGAACCCAATTTATCTTACCAACGCAGGCAGATCCTTCTATCCTTGCAGAGCTGCCAGGTGATGTTCATTCTAAATTAGTTCCAAAGGAGAGGCTAAGTATCAGTGAGCAGCTGAGAGCGGCGGCTTCTTCCCAGCGTACCGCCGACACGCCATACGCGTCGACTGCTCTGCCTCCGGAGTCACAGCTTGACCAGGACACGCTGAACGCCTTACCCGAAGATGTAAGAGCTGAAGTGTTGGGTTACTACAAGCAGAACGCCAACACGCCGACAATCTCCACTCCAGGCTCTCCTTCTCTACAGCAATCCCCGCGTCATAAAAAGCCTACGACGCCAACTAAACCACGGCCAGGGCGCGGACGCGGACGGCCACGGGCCACAGCCAGATCGAATACCGGGCCTACCCTCACTCAGTCAAACTTCATCATTCCTCAACCCACACTTAGGAGTGCTAACTCAGCAGATAATACTCCCGCACGGGAATTCACAGAACCTGGTACTGAGATCTCAGCGGATTTTCTTGCCGCCCTGCCAGAGGACATACGTCAAGAGATTTTAGAAGAAAACCGACAGGCCCGGCTCCGAGAGCAAGGAGGCCTAAACCTGGCAGCAGTACATGAGAGAAATACTCGGATGAGACAAAATAAAGCCAACAATAGTCCTGCCCCTGTAGAGCCCGAACAGAAACTCCTCCGCTTTGATCCGCGTCCTGCAAAGCCCACTTTTACATCAAAAAGACTCTCATCTCTTCCGGAGCTTCGCGAGGCTCTGAGCGAGTGGCACTCCTCATTTGAAGACGAAGAGCCGTACGAAGAGGATGTAGAGGCTCTGACCAAATACTTGAGACGTGTTGTCCTTGAGGAGAAGGATATCTCCAAAGCAACTGACCTGGCACGATGGCTCAGCTGGCTAGTAAACAATTCCAACAGTAGTTACGGTGGTAGTGGCGGAGCCACAGAACTCTTGCCAAAGCCCGGACTATCGACAACTGGCTGGAAAAACGCCGTTATCAAAGTCCAGAACTGCGTGAGTGGCGCCGTTGCAGAAAGAGGCCTGCCTCCGGTTGATTTCATGTGAGATCCCGTCTATTTCTTTTCTTTGTATTACGCCATGCTCGCGTTTGTCCCATCTACATGCATAGATAGGCTATTGACGATAGTAATACCAATATCAAACATAACTTCGGGTGTCTTTCGTAAAAGCAACGTTTCAAGTTTTTGGCATGAGTCATCCCATATCGTAGGATATACGAAGTTGGAATGACGCTTCCGACATTCTTGACAAAAATCCGCAGTTTGAAGGCGGATATATAAAAGCTGGGCGACAGTGACAGTTACGGCGGTATAAATCTTTGAGAAGCATAATCATAGGCAGGTAAGCCGTTTATTTACCCCCAATTGCTTTGGTCGTTAAATATCACCTCTACGACGAAATACTCCGCGATGGGCCACATTGCACTATTATCTTTTAAAGGCTGTGGACATTCTTACTCCTGTCATCACTTGCTGATTTGCAATAAACAGCGAAGTGCAAAGTACAATGGCTGCCGATTCTCAAGGTATCTACCATATAACCGTCTAAACCAGGATATCAATGAGCATGGATAGCACTACCTAACGTACTAACACTGGAGTAGAAATCAAGCACTATGCTGTGATCTTATTCGAAGGTTTCCAGGCTCTGGATGTCTTCGGCCCTCTTGATGCTCTCAATATTACCTCTCTCGACAATGGCATCAAACTCTCCATCATTGGGCCAACGCTGAGCCCTGTGAGCACAAAACCACCTCCGCTTCCAACTGTCAACCTGAAGCCAGGATGGGGCTTCTCCGAAAGCGTGGTACCTACACACACCTACGCAAATCCACCTACAGATATCGATGTTCTCATTGTCCCAGGCGGTCTGGGCACGAGTGACCCTTCCAACATCGAGCCAGCCGTCCAGCTCACTCGCAAACTATACCCGGACGTTAAATATGCATTCAGCATCTGTACGGGCGCAAAAGTGCTCGCCGCAGCAGGCCTGTTGGATGGGAAGAAGGCAACGACAAACAAGAGAAGATACGAGGATACGATAAGGCCATACTCGCAGGTCCAATGGCAGAGGAGCGTCAGATGGGTGGTAGACGGGAATATCTGGACATCCTCTGGTATCAGTTCTGGTATTGACGCCATGCTCGCCTTTATTGGGGCGGTATATGGCAGGGAATTTGCACTTACGGTAGCTAAGAGGATGGAGTACCGTTGGGTGGAGGATCCGGCGGATGACCCATTTGCGGCCCCAGAATCGAGCTCCTGATCAGGGGACCAGAGTATGTTTATGCGGTCGTGCGTCACAGATTGCCGAGAGAAGTGAGGGGAAAGCGGCTTGGGCGGAGTTTTATGTGACATGCTGTTTTGTTGACGACTGTGGCGTATCTCCATGTGTGTTCTGGAGGATGCTCGGGCTTAGTTCCAATGCCACGCCCTAGCATCCTACAACCAGGATGAAGGGGATGTAGTCATAGCTTCATGGTTTAATCTCTACTCTGTGTAAAAAAAGTAAGCACCAGCCAATTGGCGATATTCCAGAGAAAAGAAAGTCCCCTGTATCCATGTGCATGCAGTTAAGCAGCCTGAATCAAAACTGACATCCACACTGGCATCCATTGGTAGAAGCTCATAGTTAATTTATACTACCCAAGTCCTGTACTCCTTATATATCAAGACGACGAGCGTATTCTCTTTGCTCTTTTCCGGCCACAAACACTTTTGATAGGATCAAAGTTGAGGCTGATATTCTTGCTTATCTAAGGGGAGTTGAATGGCTTGGCGCTTATATAATGACAGATCTTCACCAAAAAGGCAGGTGACCAAGAGCGGCTAGAGACGGATAACTTATTGAGCGGGGTTTACCGGCGCTAGGACCTAACGGGCAGTAGTAATGGCAGTGGCTAGAAGCGGCTAGGGCTTAGGGCTAGGGCTGAATGTAAGCAGCGGCCGCGGATATTTACATCTGGACTTGCAGGCTGGAAAAGCAGGTAGTTGGCGATGCCCCCAACAGAGCGCAAGAGTAGTTTTTACATGCTGTGGCATGCCAAAGCCCACCAGTTGGAGGGGAATCTCTGGCAAGGATTTGATTTAGGATTGATATCAAATGTAACCTGGCCTTCAGTTAAGAACGATGATTTCTAATGACAATAACTATACAGAGTGGATAGATGTTTATGACCCTCCTTGATACGTAGATATACAGTATGTAGCTATCAACTAATGCTCACATAGGGAGAATGTGACCTTACTAAATGAGTTGTCCACCTCCGCCACAATAGCTTTCCTTTCTTCCATTAGCTCAAGTCGTAGCTCCTTTGCCTCTTCCATCGGAATAGCGTTGTCACCCAGGTAAGAAACAACCTCATCGAAGAGTTCCCTGGGGAGATTCCCCAAGGCACCATCCCGTGGTACTGACCGCCCCAACCAGTCCGCTCGTTGTACCGGTACATTTGCCGTGGAGATGATGCGAAGGTTTGGATCAACTAGGAACAGGGCGAGGATTTTCCGGTGGCCTGGCTTGGTGGGATCTTCTAGCTCGAAAGGTCGTACGCGATGCTGCAACTTGTTCGGGAATGTTACAAGACGTCCCTCTTTGCAAAGCACACTTCCTATTTCCTGTACAGTACTACCATATTGTTCACACCCGAACACTTCTTTCAGCCAAGCATGATCGTCTTGTTCATACTTTACCTCATCAGCATCATAGAAGCTGGCAAGATGGCGAAATTCAAGACGGCTCTCAGTTATATTGACACTGTCATAGTAGTACAGCGCTGTAGCGCATATGTGTTCGTTCTGCAAAACGAGGGTTAGCATGCTATTGCAAATAATATTCGAAGATTGGGTTGCGGACGACATACCAGCTGTCCCTCAACATGCCATGACCCCCCGTCGTATCTGGGTTTTTCTGGCGTTAGATGGATATTTGCCAGTTTCACAATAACTTGTAACCCCGTTTTTCCATAATCCCCCTGAAGGTCAACCATCTTCCTCCAATCCAGAGGCTTCTTGGATTCGTCATAAGGGTCTGGTTGTTTTCGTGGGGTGAAATCTCCGGGTTCAGGCAGGGCTACTTTTCGTACCTCCCGCTCCCAATTGCAAATACGTTCGTCATAGTTTCCTTCGTCTTCATCCGGAAGTTGTTGCGGCCGATCCTTCTCTGGTATATTGTTCGGGTCAGGGTCATAAACGCAGCTAGTGTACTCAATGCGTTTGTATTCTCTCGATGCATATAATAGAGATGATAATGTCGCATTCCATAAAGGGATTGCCCGTGAGATGACTTGTTCGAGTATTCCATAGAGCTCCTTGTGTTCTTTAGGGTGCAAGTTGTTGATATAACTGGTGATGGTGCATTGACTGGGGGTTCTTTGCGCTGCCTCACCCTTTGAATCGTCAGCCGACCCGAAGGCTATGTCACAGGGAAGCCACTGGAACCTTTGGCTGAACGGATGATTCATCTTTTCGCCAAGGTAACGCCAACCAGTGTAATCTTGTAGCTTAATTTCCTGATCAGCTGGGATAGGGATTACCTCCCCTGTCCCAGACTTAGCAATGCCATCCTCAATGCCCAGAATGCCGTCCTTGATGATACGTGTTCGGCCGTAAACCAATGGAAAGAGAGAAGGATGGACAAGGTCTAGAACTTGATTATCCGAGTGTGGATGGTAGTCCTTTTGCGTTTCAGGCACATCCTCTAGACGAGCAACTGCCGCTCTCAGGGACTCTCTAAGATATGCGGGGATGACAGAATCAGATTTGATAACCCCTGAATCGAATGCAGTGATCAAGCCCGTCTCTTTGAGCATTTTTGATTTGTGCTGAAGCTCAGCGATGATCCAGTCAACCATTTTCTCCGTAACGTCAAGGCCATCATCTTCCAGTAACTCTTTTCTCCATCTGTCAGTAATACCGGTATCAAAAACCTAAATAGTAAATGAGTATAACTCTAACTACATGGGAGACAACGGCGTCGCCAGCACCGGAGCTAAGGAAGAGAATCATACCTTCATGTCCCAGTCAGGTTTGTCGGTGATATTATTCATAACCTGAATCATCGTGATCTCCCTGAGCGGAGTTAAACGAGAGCTACATCAAGATTAGCCAGACTTCCAGCGGGTATAAAGCGATATATAGTTCCTGACAAGACACAGCCATTGTAGATATCGGCCCCATCCAGCGCACTGCCGAACAGTGTTCTGAACTTTTGCGAACCACCAACTCTCGTATTGGTTATGAATCCATCCCCAGGCGATGCCCGCCAATGCTTGCTTTCGTTCAAAGGGATACCGAAGCCAGGGAGCTTTATGGCTTCAGACATGGTCGAGAATGCAACTTTGGTGCGAGTTTCAAGGAACAAAGGAGTGAGACGACCAAGAGAGCGTGGAATTCTGTATATTGATGCCGTTGATAGATGGCAACAAGAGGGAGAATTGAAGGCTTTTGTAGTCCTTCTTCCTCTCCGAGCCATGAATAGAAACATGGTGGTCATCCAGGCAGCAGCCCAACAACTGCCAATCCAACTGCAAAACAAACATACTGGCTGCCAGGCAGAAACGGACTGATATAACGAGGCCGGTTATATATATCCATAGTTATAGTCCTTGGAGACTAACAAAAACCACCGACTTCTCATTTGCTGCACTTCTTCTGCTGCCTGTCGATGTTTCATATGCTTATGTAAGATCATGACATAAGCAGTTTTTCACCTCGGCAGAAACATGTTGATTATGTAATATTTACCGGCTATTTTCAAAAAGAAGAAAAGAAGAAAAAGAAGAAAAAAGAACGAAGACTTTCAACAAGCCAAAAAAACATCCCCGGAAAGCAAACTCCGGATTCAACAGAAAAGCCACGGGATTGTTGAGTAGCGAAGAGTGAATGCCAATTCAAATACCGCGGAGGCCGGAAGCATACTCATATCAGACACAAGCGGTTGGCTCCTCTCGTTAGTCCCCCTTTTATACGTCCCCATCTTCCCGCGTCCAGTCAACGAGAACTAACTGCTCCAAAGGAAGACGCAAGCCCAGCTTCTCCATATTTTTATATTCCCAGAGGCCGGCCGTGGGTATCCGCTCACCCGTACACGTACATATCGTTTGCTCAGCATCGCCAGTCGTCAAGGTGTCCTCGTGGTTTGGTGGTGGTGGCCGAGTTCTGGCTACTCAGATATAACATCAACCGCCACAACAGGGGCGGCACAGATCCCGAAGCCTTTTTACCTTGTCTGACGTTGGAAAAGGGCAGCAGAAAAAGAAAAGAAGAAACGAAGCAGGAAGAAGAAAAGAAGAGAGAGATAAAAAAAAAGACCGAATAGCCCGGTTTTAACTTCTTTGAAACTCTATCAGCAGTGGTTAACTTATATATTGGGCTTCATTGACTCGGACTTTTTGTCCACTGAATATTGCTGGGTAAATATATACTTCTTTATCCTGTAGAGAGAGGCTTGAGCATAAATACGTCACCAACCCATTAACGAACAACATCGCCAACAGCCCCTGGAATACGGAGACAGGGTTAGCACTCGACCAAATCAAGATAACCTATTCCTGGTAGAAACAACGATAACGATGGCCCCGTTGCAGCCAGAGAGTCTCTTCTGTAAGCTGGGCACAGCACCGGCTGATGAGGTTTTCGCTCTGATGGGCGCTTTCGAGGCTGATACGCATCCGGACAAAGTCAGTCTGGCAGCCGGTGTGTACAGAGACGACGATGCGAAAAGTTGGAGGCTACCAGTAGTCAAGAAGGCAAGATATACTATACTCCCTTTTCCCTTGGAAAAGAGTCATCTCTAACATCACCTCTAGGCCGAACAATTGCTCCTGGATGACCCAACTTTTGACCATGAATATCTCCCCATCCCGGGTTACGCACCATTCTACAACCTGGCTAGAGATCTGATCTTCGGCAAGGGAGCGTCCAGTGTCCCGAAGGAACGAATTGCCAGTCTTCAGACCATCTCAGGGACAGGCGCAAACCACATTGGAGCCCGTTTCCTAGCTGACCACCTCCCAAAACTATCCAACCCCAGTGCGAAGCGTACCGTCTGGATCTCTGACCCAACATGGGCCAACCACCACCTGATCTGGAGCCTCGTCTCGAGTGGAACCTCGGGAAGCCCTATCCAGGTGAAAACCTACCCTTACTACCACGAGCCCACCCGATCTCTCAAGTTCGAGGGAATGATGAAGGTGCTCGAAGAAAATACTGTCACGGGAGACATCATCCTTCTTCACGCTTGTGCTCATAACCCTACCGGTATCGACCCCACACGCGCTCAATGGCTACAGATTGCGGACCTGGTCGAGCGCAAGGGACTCTTCCCCTTCTTCGACTCGGCATACCAGGGCTTTGCTTCCGGAGACCTCGACAACGATGCCTGGCCAATTCGTGAATTTGCCAGGCGTGGTATGGAGCTTTGCGTTGCTCAGAGCTTCAGCAAGAACTTGGGTCTCTATGGCCAGCGTACAGGTGCTTTCCATCTTGTTTGCAAATCTGTAGAGGCGACTGCTTGCGCCAGATCTCAGGTTATTGAGCTCCAGCGTGGCGAGATCTCTACGCCACCGTCCTACGGTATGCCCGTCTTTCCATACACTCGCTCCCTTTTTTCTTTTTCGCCCTTCTTTCACCTATGTTTTCTTCTAAAGCGACTAATCACCCCTACAGGGCCACGGCTTGCCGCCAAAATCTTGGGTGACCCAGCTCTCATCGAGATGTGGAAGGAAGACCTCATCACCATGAGCAGCAGAATCAAGTCCATGCGCCGTGCTCTGTACAATGAGTTGCAGAGGCTCCAGACTCCTGGAACATGGGAACACATCATCGACCAGATCGGCATGTTCTCGTACACCGGTCTCACCAAGGAGCAAGTCCGCCTCCTGCGCGAGTACCACATCTACTTGCTTGAATCCGGCCGTATCTCAATTGCCGGATGTAAGTTACCCCAAGCACCTTCACCATACAAAATAAAATCACACCACTAACTTTCTCTCGCAGTGAACATCGCCAACCTCAAATACGTTGCCGAAGCAATTGACGCTGTGGTCCGCAAAACTACCAAAACTGCTACCAACGGAGCAAACGGATCAAACGGATCTAACGGCCACTAAACGAACCATACCAACTCTTGTCATGGCTCAAACGATTTTGACGATGCTATGTATCTCATCTCTCTGTCCAAGTAGGACCAGTCTCCTATGTTTGTCTATTATTTTTCCTCTCCTGTGGTTTTATCGATTACTTGCATTTCACCCGACCAGGAGCCGGTTGGTACATTCGATCATCTGGATAAAATCCTTGGTTCTACGTATAGATGTGAGGTTCTTTGTTTTCTTGTTGATCTAGAGTGGGCGGTTCTGTGTCCGAGTAGGATAATGTGAGAAGTATACCTAGCTTTATCTAGACGTCGTCTTTAATCAAGATCTTAGACTATAAAAGCAGTTTACGTCGGCATATTCGGCACATAAAGCTACCAGCCTCAATAGACATCCATGTCGCCTCCTTGATAGACTCTAGGTTTCAATTAAGTTTCTGGTGCGTACATTTGGCGTGGAAGACAAACAAAAACAGGGATAACAATAGTGTATAGAGTGTGCATATAGTTGGCCTCTTGATTATGTGCAGATGCTGAGTTGGCAGCCTTGAGGCTCATGAATTGTAAATAGAAAGATATCCATGAACCGAATGCGGTTCAGTAACTATCTTGGGTTTCCGCATTAGAATTGTGCGAGAAATGATATAAATTGTCTTGTTTAGGATAAGCTAAGGAGCGAAAGTAGTTGGAACTGTAAACAAGTAGACTCGATATGAAAATCGTTCATTCGCCATAGCCTGATCCGCCTCTTACATCAACCCTTCCTGTTTAGCTTTGACAGTTTCCTTCCGTTCCTGATAAGCTGTATCATTACCGTCGATACAACCCCGATCCTCCAAAGCATCTAAGAGTTCAAGAACATAATCCTGACAATTATACCCAGAATGCTCATTGTGGATAATCGCCGTTTCTGCAGCTTCCTTGATAGCATCAAATTGGGAGGTGTCAACGTCACAAAGATGGATCAGTTCGACGAGAGTTTTGGAGTCACGAGCGTTCGAGTCTCGCATTTCATAGCGGTATCGAGTAGAGGAGCCCATGATGTGGAAGATGAATTTTTCTCTTTTCGTGGGACCCTCGTAGAAAAGGCTCCAGTGCTGAGACAAACCGAAAATAAAAAAATCCAAAGAGAATTCAAGAGAGAAGGCTGTGCCAGAAGATTCACAATTATGTAGGCTTGAGTAAAATAGCAGTTTTAAGACGTGATGATAGTTTTCATTGTTTATTCTCAGCATGAGGAGATGGCGGGAAGGCTTGACAGATTATATAGGCAGATAATCCATGCACTTCAGGGATTCGGAACTTGCGTCTCTGGATTGAGAAAAAGGTCTTTGTAACCATGAGGGCCATAATATCCAATCGCTCAGTATATCGTTGAGGCCCCATGATGCCGGGCGCAAAACAAGAAGGCAAATTCAAGGGTATATATTGCGGCACAGCTACCAATGCCCGTCATTGGACTATTAACTAGGCAGCAGCTGCATGGGTATGGATGGTGGTGGTCGTCCATCCTAGGAATCTCCAGGCAGCAACGAGGTGTGATTCTGATGAGAACAATGATAGCCAACCAGATAGCCACAGTGAAGCCAGCGTGATATATTATGCAGTTGAGTCATAGGAGTCACATCTTTGTGAGTGCAGGGTGTTCTCGGATATCACATTCGGTTCTGAAACGGAGTACCTGTATCTTTTTTTTCAACGGAGATAACTAATTAGGACTCGCGTACAGCGTTTCGGCCCATCTTTAGCCATCAAAAAGGCTATCCAGGCTCCTAGCAATCGGTGAGTCGGCTTTCTTGAATAGTCAGTTAACATTGTCCTCTGCACCGCGAGGATACTCGATTGTTATATTGTGGGCGCGGTAGACACAGCCGGATGGCTTATAGTAATTCTTCTTCGGTTTGAATTTGGACTATTGTAAAAGGCTTTCTCACAGTTAAAGTAACGTACTCGCTCCTCATCGTTGAAACAAAATTCGTGAAGCTCCTGTTCAACGTTGACTACTATGTATGAACAGCAGTTAGTCACGTGATGTAATTAAGAGCCTCAACCAGTTGGTTAAATAGGCGGACCTCGAAGCAATCTAAGGACATACCTCCCCATCTCTGGCTTACTATTAGAACGGCTTCATCGCTAGTTTTACTCGTTTTATTACTCGTTTCCAGTTACAGATATGGGTGACGCGACACCAATTCTTTCGCTCCCCAACACCGAAGCCGCAGAATGGAACAGAGCTCTGATGCTAGAATTCCAGGCTGTTTTAGAGGCAGATCCTGCAGCAGACCTGATGTCCATATTCCCAGACTCCTATCGCCGTCAGCATCAGTATGCTGAAGAAAAACAGCTCTCCTACCCAGCAGCTATAAATCGCCAAACACTAAACGATCTCGACGACGAGTTGAGACGCAATCCAGAGATCAATCTGTTATCCGTATTTCCATCGAATTATAACCGAAGAATTACAATGGCAACTGGGCCTAAGGTCGAAAAGACAGATACCCCAAAGGTACAGGCTGCACCAGAGTATCTCGATCGTCTTGATCTCGCTGAGACTGCAACGGTCGTCTTTCCATTATCTGAGAAGGTCACACCTTTGCTTGCCAAATACTCAGACGAACTCTCGGATAACAAGCCAAAGGACGAAGGGCACCATCTCGCTGAATCCTTGAAGTGTCTTCTTCTAGGCTCAGAAAAAATCTGGGAAGGCCCTGCCAGAGGTGTCGTGGTGAAGTGTAGTGAGGATATTGTTGCCAAATTAATTATGGGCAATGACGAGTATACTGAGTATACAATATTACAATATCTTGAGCGGTGGATGCCTGATATCCCAGCCCCAAGACCTCATGGGCTCATCGCATTCGCTCCGTTTCGGGTCGTCTTTATGTCTTACGTTCCCGACATGACCCTGACCAAGGCATGGCCAAACCTTACACATGAGGACAAACTGTCCATACAGCGTCAGCTAGATGCCATCTTCCGCCGGCTAAGGACCATCAGACAGGATGACGGCCACCCGCTTGGGGGAATCAGCGGAGAGGGGGCGAAAGACATGAATGTGAATGAATGTTCTACGTTCAAAGATATCACCACAGCCGCTGCATTCAGCGACTTGCAGTTTTCTGTCCGTCATTACGGCAGCAATTCCTATATTAAATTACTTCGTTCTCTTCTGCGCCATGACAACTCCTCAATGTACGGGTCGGTGTTTTCCCATGGCGATCTGAGAACTGACAATATCATGGTAAAACGGGATCCTAACAACAACGATCATTATGTGGTCAGTGGCATTATTGACTGGGAAGAGGGCGGTTTCTACCCTGAATACTACGAATGCACTGCCCTATCTCGCTGCTTGAGCGTGATTGATGAGAATGACTGGTATAATTATTTACCTGAGTGTATCTCACCCTCGCGTTTCCCTGTGCGTTGGCTTGTTGATCGACTTTGGGGGATACATCTCAAAACTACATAGCCTGTCTGCAGTTTCCGCTTGAAGATGGCAATTTTTTGGAGTATTCCCTGGGGTTTTGATATCTTCTCCTATGGTTCCGGCCGGTTTCTTATCGCTAGACTAATTGCCTAGCTAATGTAGTCCAATCTTCTAGTTTATAAACGGTGATCATAGCTTATTACATCTAAACTGTTATCCTAAGATCAGAATTGGTTCTATGCTGCTACTCTAGGGTATACGAAGTGTACCGTAGCATGTATAAATGCCGGGGATGATGATTATAGGCAATTCATAAGTATTATCCTTGCTACGGAAGGGTATCTTAGAACCATATAGTTACTATTTGGTCCCTGTATATCCAGCATTGCAGCTATGGATCACCGCATATATTATGAACATGCATCCAGCGTAAATATGCACCGGGTGCATAAGAACATCCCAAACCCAGGCTTTTTAGCGCTCATCTTCATTTTCATATGTGGGCATCATCATACAATGGCCCGCAGCTATCCTTGTACAAGAAAGCAAGGCTCCTTTTAATACATGGGTATAATGCCACCCACTGACTCACGCACCTCCGGTTCACCTTCTGGAAGAACTTCGATCCCGCGTATAAATATCAAGTTTAATAGGCCTTCTTCATTCAACCAGTGGATATTGGTTAAAATACTTGAAAATACCCTCATTATGGCTGAAAAACTCACATCGCGGGCCAAAGTTTCCGAACCTGTAATGGTTCAGGGTGATATCGTCGATGATAATTCAGATGTGGGCGATACGAAAGGAGGAACAAGTCATGATGGACAGGATATGTGGAGGATTGGACAAGTTCAGGAGTTGAATGTGAGTCTCCGTGTGCTCTCCCCCTTAGTAGTTGGAGCTAACACGTTCAAACGAGAATGATAGCGAAACTTCCGTTTCCTCTCTGTATTAGGATTCGCAGCAGTCCTTATGTGTACATGGGAGGCTGTCATGTTGTAAGATACACTGCTGAACAAAGTGGATAAAGGGGTATACCATGACCTAATTCAACGACAAAACCAGTGGCAGTAACAATGGTTTAACCAATGGTGGTGTTGGTGGCATGATATACTCCTATATCGCAGTGCTTGTTGGCTTTTGTTTTGTCATTCCAACAATGGCAGAGATGGCTTCGATGTAGGTTGAATGACCCCCTAAGTCTACTTTCAAGGCCATGAGCTTAATGCGACCATTGCAGGGCTCCAAGTGCAGGAGGCCAATACCACTGGGTCTCAGAGTTCGCTCCGGCGGAATACCAGCAGTTCCTCAGCTATTTGACCGGCTGGATATGTGTTTTGGGCTGGCACACTGGTATAGCTGGTGCTTCATATACTGTTGCCAACATGATAATTGGACTCATCCATATCAATTATCCAAAAACCTATGACGCGCAGCAGTGGCATGTTACGCTGCTCGTAATCGCCATAGCTCTCACAGCCATGATATTTAACAGTTTCTTTGCTCAGAAACTGCCCTTGATCGAGGGTATAATGTTACTAATCCATTGTTTTGGATTTTTCGGGGTCCTTATTACGCTCTGGGTTGTGGCTCCTACTAAGCCAGCGTCCCATGTGTTTCGCACAGTCGAGGATAATGGCAACTGGGGAAATACAGGCCTGGCATGTCTGATTGGCATAGTTGGACCTATATATGCGCTTATTGGTGAGTTGGATGGAAGATATATATCCGTTGAGGGACACCACGGCTAACAATCAAGGCAGGCCCTGATTCAGCTGTCCATATGGGTGGGTATAACTCAAGTCTCCTGAAGATTCCATATCAGATATACTGACACTGTAGTAATAGCGGAGGAAATCAAAGATGCTTCTATAGTTTTACCAAGAGCCATGATCTGGACATTGGTAATTAACGGAGGGGCAGGACTGGCAATGTTAATTACTTATGCATCCTGCGTTAATGATGCTCGTACTCTCCTGAAGACTTCCACTGGTCTACCCTTTGTCCAGGTGTTTCTAGACGCAACTGGTTCTGTACCCGCAGCCACCGGTATGACTGTCCTAATTATCATTCTCCAAGGATGTTCTGCCATCAGTAATGTGGCCACGACCTCTCGGCAGATGTATGCTTTTGCCAGAGACGGAGGACTACCATTCTCAAGTTTCATCTCAAAGGTAAATTATTTTCAGCAGAGTGCCAGTCTTGATAACTAAGGCATAAATTCAGGTCGACTCGCGCTTTGTTGTTCCGCTGAATGCTCTAAGTATCAGCTTTGTCATCGTCATCCTCCTTGCCCTCATCAACATTGGCTCATCGGTAGCCTTCAATGCTATCCTCTCACTTGGAGTTGGGTGTCTGCTCACCTCTTACATCATTTCTATCGGCTGTGTGAGACTGAAAAGGTGGCGTGGCCAGCAGCTTCCACCTGCTCGATGGAACATGGGTAAATGGAGCAGTACTATGGAGACAGTGTCCCTTATATTCCTGGTCATTGCTTGGGTATTCTCATTCTTCCCGCTTGAAAACCATGTCAATGCGCAGTCGATGAACTGGAGCTGCGTTATCCTCGGAGGAGTTGTCATCATAGCGTTGATATATTATGCATCCTTTGCAAGGCATACATACAAAGGCCCAGTGACGAGGCTGAGGCCCTGGGCTGAGATGATGAGAGACCAGAAGTAGATATGCAGCAAAACTTATAAACGGGTGACAGCGCCTTTTCCATTATAGATGTCGAGAGCATGCTACTATATAAGATTAAGTCAGCTTCTAGCCCGTCAAAGGTATTGCAGTTAGAGAACCGAAGAAGATCAAGAGAGCCAAGCTCTCTTAATGGTATGGTTATTCTTATCATAAATATGTCAACAATCATTCTAATTCTCCAGAAGGATATGCTGCCTGACTCCACCTCCCCCAGTTTCAAACGCATCCAACGCCCATCATATGGGGAAAAGTTATAATGGTGGTACTGATGCATGTCAGCTGTATTGCTTCCTAGAAATCCGATTGGGCATACAACAGTGCATTATACACATGCATGTTAACCCCTCTCTGCTGGTCGGTATTGTCTGCTGCTTCCTCGAACACAATGTGTAAGAAACCGTTGGTCGTTATGTTTTGCATAGTTTGGGGGAAAAGGCTCTTCGGGCCGTGCCGTAGTTGATTAAACCTTAGCTACGTACGGGTTAACTAGTGATTTGATGCTGAAAAGGCAGCGAGCATTCACTCTTGAGATTCTGGTTTGACTTGAGGGGTTTAAGCTAGATACACAAGCAGCAGGCTTGGTACCTGGAAGCCATCTGCATTACTCGTCAGCCATGTATGTATACAACTGCAGTTTGTATTGGAATTTGATTTGCGTGGACACTAGTTAATATTGTCTTACCCCGGCCTAACTAATGGAAAGTAGAAAATGGATACTATGTGCTGCTGTTCTCTTACTCCGCACCATAACTACGAAGAGGTGCTTTAGTTCTCTATATATATATATATATCAGAAGTAATCTGACGAGACTTAATAGAGCGATAGAGACACAATGTGGGGAGGTACGACTACCCGCTCTCAATTACAGCAAACTATCAACTCCCTTTGGCGCGTGAATGAGATTCCTGAGGCGCCCACAGAGAACTCTGCTTCCTTTGGTATAGATTCAATTCGTCATTTGAGTTTCGCACGGGAGAAAGAAATCGTAAACAACCTAGCGTTTCTATCGGCCACGACGGACGATAGCCGGAGGGTAATGGCCGTCTGCATCGAAGAGAGTATCAGCGGAGAAGGGATCACGATTCGAATAACGTCAAACACAGGAGACCTTTCTGCAGTTACCGCAGGTTTTAGAAGACTTGCAGAAGTCTTGGAGCGGGCGGCTCGACGAGGTCAGTGGGCCTTTTACCCAATGCTGAAATGAAGCTAATCAGCCAGTTCTTTAGAGAACTCTAGAACCAAGGATACTGAGGCCCTTCTTCGGGAGATCGTTAAGCTAGACATATCTCGAATTTTGACAAGGTTACGGTCGCGACATGTGAGAAGCTATAAGTCTGTTGGAAAGCCTGCCCTTATCAATCAGCTTTGTCAAGCGATCAATGATCCATCCATAAAGTATAGGAGAGGCTTATCAAATGCCAGCTTAGAGGTCAACGCGGAGCGTTTAAAAGATATTTTCACTAGCCTGGAAGCCATATCGGACTTGAAAAAGGAGGGATCTCAAGCACAGGAGTTGCTCAGCCTGATCGTGAGATATGCCCACGAACTTACGTTAGCAACTGATCTTAGCCGCGTTTTTCAGGGTGCAAAGCTCGATCCAAGCCTGTTAAAACATCTGCCAATAGCAATTAGTAAGCTTGGGCGGTATTACGCTGCTGCTTCCGAGCTTATCTGTGCTGCGAGGGATAAGCAATGCCCGGTGTTCCATAAAATCCAGGTAGAATCATTTCACGTCAATATACCAAACTCTGCCCACGGGATCGGTCTGGTCCACGCTGAGATCCAACTCCTCTTCTTTTACGAGATGCATCCGGGCCACCCGCGCCCGAGAGTTATTTGTTCAAGCAAGAGTGCTTGTTATTTGTGCAATCTCTTCTTTGGTCTCCATGGGGAATTTTATATTCCAAGGAGCCATGGCAAGCTGTATAATAAGTGGATACTACCAGACTGGCTGGATATCCCGGCAGAACGCCATAAAGTGTTTGCCGCCATTACAGCCCATTTTAAAGCAATCCTGGAAAAGAAAGTAAGGAAAACTCCGCGATCGAAAAAGGGATGTTGCCATCCAAATGAAAGTGTGCTATTCCCGCTTGCACACTGGCCATCATCGGTCACCTCGAAGAGCGCCTCCATAGCTTCGCAATCGACACTTCGGGCCCAGTATACTCGCGTACGAGAAGCTAATTTCGTAACGGCCTCGCCGGATAAGATACCTTTGACACCTCCAAAGACCCCATCAGAGAAATGTGATGGTTTTCAGAGCGACATAGAGATAAGTCCATGCAATGTTATAATTCACAAGCCGAGTCTCCTTAGCATGGTAATCATTGGGTATAATGATTTGCCCTATAGTGAATCCATCACTGTTGCAACGCCTCCATTGCATCTAAGGCTGGATAATTTGACTATTCAATTTGATTTTAGCCGAACTTCCCCTTGCCGTTTATCAATCACACAGGCAGAAGATCCAACGGGTGGTTATCATACCGTGAGAATTGAGAACATTCCCACAGCTGCCGAAATGATGCTAGGTTGTTCTAGCTCAAATGGACTTGGATTTCGATTGCCAATTGTGGGCAAAGAAGCCCTTTGTATTTCGTTCGTATGGGATGTATAGTAGATTCGCGGCCATAGTTTGTGTTAACTATATGGTATATTCCAAATTAGATATATAACAATGTTAGGAGCACGATAACAATCTATTATATGAGCAAGCGTAGTAAATGTATATGAGTATTATTCTACCGACATATGGCCATTGTAGATGTAGAGAACCTAGCGATTATGAAAATAAAGTCAGCTTCTAGTCCGTCGAAGAAATGATATGGATTATCCGGGAGAAGGTGTCATACGTCGGCATTTAGTAGAAGGCCTTGCGTCCGCGTTCCTGCTCCGGTATACTAAGGCCATATACACAAGACTATTTATTCCATTTAAGAGCCGCATATCCTCTAGGTGCCACGCAAATGGGAACTGCTGGACGAGAGTTGTTTCTGCGCGTCCTAATCCAGCTCTCTGCAAGTTTGCAGTAATGCTCGGAGGGCTTTAACCAAGACATGCTACCAGAATGCCGTGCACTCGGCACGACGGCCTGACATAAGGACTTCCATAATGACTGAAGATGCTTGATTGACTACCGTACACTAGCGGCGGTGCTCGATATGCTGACGTCCCTCACATGAGCAGGCATGTCAGGAATATCGCAGCACATTCGCTTCATATCATTTGAGCTGAGCCTGCGAATCGGGCGGTTTCGCTGAGATCATCTGACATTTGACAGCATTCCTTAAGGAGTGTTGAGAAAGATATTCCCCCAAGTAATAACCGTGATTGTCTGTGTGAGAAACAATGGCTATAAATAACTTGTCAGGAGCCCTAGTCTCTGACATTCAAATCGCTTTGTGCCCGCCGAAGTACGTCTATCATCTCTATACTTAAACTTGGGTTCGGTTTCTTCCACCGCGCACCATCAGGAAATACAACCCGGCGTAGTCGGTTGACCCAAGAGGCAAGGGGTTGATAATAGGGCGTGAAATTCTCCGCAGCAGTTGTAAGAAAGTCACTTTCATCACTTATCACTCCCTTCTTCGCATCCGCCAACTCAATAGTGTCCATATAATTCCATTTTTCAAAGCGCGGTACTCTTTTGCCTTTGTTAGGGCTATCGTAGTGGATGCATATCCAGAAGAGCACCCAGAAAAATGATTCGAGATCATGCATAAAGGAATGCTTTTCACCATTGAGTACACCGATAGCCATGAACGCCCTAGTGCCGGTCTTACCTCGCGCTCCGGAGAAGCCATCTCGTTCCACTCTGATCGCGAGGTCGAGGTCGATCAAGAAAGCCCGCCAGGACGGATTATCATTTTCTTCATTCACCAGCAGGTTTCGTGGGGAAATATCACATTGAATCATCCCAGCATTCTGATAGAGGGAATCATACCCTTTGATACAGCCCTCCAGCCCAGCAAGTAGGGCCACCCTTGAGCTGCTCGCGTAGATAGGCTTCCCATAGTCCTGGACAGCGACGCGGCGGTGTACCCGATTTAGTGGGGTGCTGTTTGTAGGGGGTTTAGTTGAAGAGCTTGACTTGGTACGTTTGCTGGGGGGAGGAGGCAGAGCGTCCACACTGTTAGAAGACCTTTTCTGCCCAAGGGCGCTATGGTGTTCCTTTTGACCCCGGCGGGACCGACTCCGGCTTGTGGTTGATTTCGCACCCTGCTCACTTTTTGATATTGGAATGCTAAGGCCCCTTCGAATGCCTAAGACATCGTCACAATTGCCGTTGATGCGGACAGTTTCGTGATGATAGTATCTAGCAACATTGATGACCCCCTTCTCTGTTGCTTCACGTAAAAGCTCCCCTTCCTCATCACGCTCTGGATACTGCCATGAGTCCTTGACCACTAAAGGAATTTGTGGCTCGTCCTCGCGATATACCTTCCAACAGGTTGTGGCTCGGCCGGCAATACAGCGCGCACGCCCGATTAGCTTGTCAATAACAAGTCTTTCCTTTATACCATTCTTCTCAAATTCAATGCAACGTTTATCTCCAACAGTGAATATAGTGGGGTCGAATCCAAGCTGCTCAGGGCTCATTAAGAGGAACCCGAGAATGACGGTTACAAAGCGGAGACCGTCCGTGTTGATGTTAAAGCTCTCTGAAGCTATCCCTCCTAGGCGATCGAATAACCACAGGCGGAGGAACGGCCCACAAAGAGTGAAGCCCAGAACAAAACAACGTGAATCCTGAGCCGCTATGACCTCTCTGGCATACCTTCCCAAGTCAAGCCACGCACTTGAGGGGTTATCATACTTTGGATCGTTCTTCAGCTCCCCTGGAATAAGAATCCGAGACCAGTGGCACTTGGAGGTTTCGGTTGCATTTGGATCGTCAACAAAGCCAATATCAAGTTTCCGTGTGGCAATAGATCCCTCTACAGGCCGAGTGGGCTGTGCAAGAGGCCTCCGACTGATTTTTTGAACTGAGTTATGTGACTCTGCAAACTGTACAAGCTGTCCAATAATATCTGCCAGCCACTTTAGCACCTCCTCTTCCACTGCATGCTGTGGCCAGTCCCTCCACCCTCTCTCTTCATTATATAGAGGCCCATCTCCTGTCTTGCATGTATCCAAGACGGCTTGTGCGATGGAATCCAGACTTGAGATGTTTCCGAAATAAGCTTCGAGGAAACCTGGGATATCCACATGAAGGTCTCCAAGCTCCTCTTTCAGTATAGCGTCAATGTGCTTTCGGTATTCTGACGAGTTGGCGAAACTGCTCGTGTTGCGCAGCCATGGCGTCTGTTGGAGGGACACGGTAGAGCGAGGAGGAGGGGTAGTGCGTGAGATAACTGTAATAAGGCTAATGACGGCATCCCAGATGTCAACGTCGGATGCTTTTTGGATGACAAGCTTCACCAGCGGGCGGTACTGGGTGTAGCTGAAGTCGCCTCTCTGAACACGTTCAAAAAGAAGCGCTATTTCTGCTGCTATGTTACGAGCGCTGGTCCCTGACTGAAGAGCAAAAGCTGCTTCTGTACCCTGTAAAGAAAAGAGAAGCCGTGATACTGTTTTTTGACAGGCCTCATCAAGGCCATCCACGGCACCATCATAAGAAATTGGACATGTTTCGTAGAGTTTCTCTGTATCTTGAAGCAAGTCTTCTAAATGATCAAGTGAATTGTTGAAAGGGTATTTTTCGATGGTGTTTCGATCGTCTTGGGAAAGGTTCGTCATATTAAACAGAGCAGGGCTGGATCCGTAGGTGAATTCTGACGTGTTGGGATATCACTGGGGGAGTACGTCGCCTCAGAGATTCTCCAGCAAAAAGAAAGAAAGAAAGAGAAAAAGCGAGCGAAGAAAACATCAAAATCCCCTTGAGGATCTTTTGTTATCAAGAAGTTCTCAGGAGTTTGTTATTAGAACTGCGCGTTAAATCCCTGATCTCCTTCCTATTGGACAACCATAAGCGCCAAAAGTCGCGTAGATGTTTCGGCCTCGTAGAGCAGATCAAGAAGAGCAGCGGCTAATTCCACGCCAGGTACATTATAGAATTTGAAGAACAAAGGAATCCTTAATAGATTTTTTTTCAAGCTAATTAGGTAGCTGGAACGACGACTGCGTTTGGTGTCAAATGTACAAAGCTGGAGACTTCCCAGTCCCTTGTCACATCCGCCATCCACAGCCTTATTTATTACACTGAGATAGTATAACAAGCATGAATAACGAGTATAAAATAGTAGTTAATGAGAGGGGAAAAAAAAGAATGGGGCCCTGCCGCGACTCGAACGCGGGGCCTCTCGCAACTTTGGTGACCCAAAGCGAGAATCATACCACTAGACCACAAGGCCATTTCCATTGGTAGGAGGATGCAGTAGGATCATGATAGTCACTGGCAGGCGTGGAAAGTGGGATGAGTTGATATCTTGAAGATAAAGATGAAGGTGAAGGCTTGAAGAAACAAGACAGTTCAGGCAGAAGAACAACAGCCATGGCCTCGAAATCCCAAGTCCCATACGGAGACCGCGCAAAGGCACATGCTAACCCCCTCGCCCGCCGCCTGTTTGAAATTGCAGTGCAGAAACAGTCCAACGTCGTCGTCTCTGCAGATGTCACCACCACTAGCGAGCTGCTCGACCTGGCAGAGCGTACGTCCTTGTACCATTCGAAGTAACGGGAAGAGATACGATGGGTCGCTAATACAAACTACCAGCTCAGGCCTAGGTCCATACATGGTTGTGCTCAAGACACATATCGATATAATCACCGATTTCTCCCCGCAGACTGTTGCCGGTCTACAAGCGGCGGCAGAGAAACATAACTTCCTCCTCTTTGAAGACAGGAAATTCGTTGATATCGGCAACACGGTACAGAAACAGTACCATGGTGGTTCGCTCAGGATATCGGAATGGGCACATATCGTCAACTGTGCAGTGCTGGCGGGGTCTGGTATCGTCGATGCTTTGGCCCAGGCTGCTTCGTCGAGTGATTTCCCCTACCCAGCTGGCGAGAGAGGGCTGCTTATACTAGCTGAGATGACGTCCAAGGGCTCGCTGGCGACGGGAGAGTATACGAAGCTATCTGTTGAGATGGCGAGGAAGCATGCCGGGTTCGTCATGGGGTTTGTGGCTACGAGGTCGCTGGGTGATGTTGAGACAGAAGTGGTGGCACGCAAGGCAGACGAAGACTTTGTGCTGTTTACTACGGGCGTCAACCTGGCTTCAAAGGGGGATCAGTTGGGTCAGCAGTACCAGACCCCCGAGTCGGCGATAGGGAGAGGGGCAGACTTTATCATCTCCGGTAGAGGGATATATGCCGCCCCAGACCCCGTGGAGGCCATAAAGCAGTATCAAAAGGCCGGCTGGGATGCATATCTGAAGCGTGTCTCCAAGTAAAGTAAAGAAAGATAGAAAAAGTTCATGTGCATTTTTAATATGACAAGATATAACAAGAGAAGAAAAAGGAAGACGCATATATCATACACACTAGAATGGGGAAGCAGGGGTCTGCATCATGGGTAATGCGACTCCAAAGACAGCCATGCCCCAGAGCGCCATCTGGGCAAGCCAGAATCCTCCTCCGTACAGACGTCCCGCACCAGCAGCCTTGCCAGAGTACACATATCCGTACAAGAACAGGCAACGCATCACCACCCAGGTAGCACCGATCAGGGTCGTGGCGGCAGGGTACTTGAGGCCAGCGACGAGAGTGAGCAGCATTGTCTGCGGGGCGTTCTCGAGGAAGTTGGTGTGGGCGCGCTGGGCGCAGTTGAAAGCATCGGCTTTGGGCTGGAGATGTTATTTAGCTCTAGTGTTGTACAAAGAGGGATAAGAGGGACGCACGTCAGCCTTGCATTGTTCAATTGAGGCGTAGCTGTGAGGATATGGGATGTTGGCAGCTTTACGCTTGATGCCAGTGACGACTCCGTGGGCGAAACCGAGCACCGGGATGGCACCGATGGCGATGGCGAGGATGTTGCTGGTCGGTAGATGTCAGCTTCATCTATTTTCCATCTCGTGGGCGCATCAACCTACCCATAGCCGTCTGGTACTGGGATCATCATCTTGAATGCTTGACTGCTTGGACTTGTGTATGTCGAAGATGTGGTGTTGTAGATGTTATGAAGTAGAAGTCGATGCTGACACTGCTTTTGATGACGCAACCATGTGATCTGGAGAAACAAACAAGCTACAGCTCGACAATATAGTTAAGATATTTATACGCTCAAGAAGGCTTCCATCCAGGCAGCCAGCGACGCGACATGGAAGCTTCGAGCTCTTCATGCTCTCTTCCCCAGACGGCCTGCGGGTCGTTAGACCGGCCGACACGGCGCACTTCTTGCAGCCGGTCCCTCGTCGGATGAAACGCGGACGAATCAGAGCCAGGGATGAGACTTCGTATATTGAACAGACAGCCACCTCAAAGGAATTACTGCAGCGTGCCTATTGAAGATATCTATTTGGATAGAACTAGAGGTATGTTAGGGGGGAATTGGAGGTTCGTTAAAATGGTATGGCTGAGATCATCAAGTAAGTATTCAAGGCCATGAGACCACGCCATCGATCATAGCAAAGGCATTCAAAATAGCCCTTGTTTATACGGATAATAGTATGTTATTTATCATAGAAGAGACATCCAGGGAAGAGCTTTGCAAGTTAGTGTTAAATAATACTGGAGAAATGTATTGGGTATCCTCCCCCAAATCAACCCATCTCCAGCTAGGTATAAACATACTTCTAGCCATGTTCCTATTTCCATGGCATAGGTTAAAGTGTTGATAGAGGCTAGAGAGTAGCACCCAACGTCCTGTCTGTGTTATATTTTGGAGTAGACAGACTCCCATTAACTCGCCAATATGTATGTCCTACAGTCTACCGCATCAAACAACTTTGCGTGGGCTTTGAACCCGATAGGGTACATAGCACTGAGCCAAGGGTGAAAACATAGCCGGTACAGCTGTGTCCGTCGTCCTCATCAAGAGATTGGCGTCAGGAATTGGCTGGTACTTCGCTAGATAGATGGAATTAAGAATCAACTATGGATCTTGGGGCATCAAGATTGGGGATACCACTTATCTTGCAAAAGCTGACGAGCACTCGGCCTGTCTCGATGGTCAAGCTTCATTATCTTTAGTAAATATACGTGCTAGTGAAATTGAAATGGCATACCTTGCAAGCCAAATGCAACCTTGCAGGTGCTTTGTGACCGTATAACGGCCAAGTTTACCCCCAAGAGTCCGTCCAAGGGTGAAGGTTGCCGCCATGGGAGTATATAATCCTCGAATGTAAAAGCATCCTTGAGTTGCTACGCCGTTAACGCTTTTTCTCAGAGTTCCATCAAATAACTGCTGGGTAAACAAGTCAATCAGCATGGCGATGTATAATTCGTCGGGTTAGCGGCACAGCAGATAACTCGTAAGCGTCTTTGGAAGATACTATGCATCGTGTATGCTGTATTGCGGTTGAATGGGTAAAGAATAGATAAAATATAGTATCAAATACACCTAGTTAATAACAATAATCTGAAAGAAAGGCCCGTCTATCAACCCCGGCCCAAGCCCTGTTTGCTCACACTGCCATACTTGGCCTGCCAGGCAAAGAAATACAGCAAGGCACCCAGCGGCTGTCCAACAAGGCAGAAACTGAGCCAGAAGACAGAGTTGCCTATTATCTTGCCTGTCTGGCCCTTCATCTTCTCCAGCGGCACCGTTGCAGCGATCAGAGGAAGCTGTAGCATCATGCCGGCAAAAGCGACGCCTACCTAGTGTTAGCACGTCGTATACTCTATAACTCGATATATAAGATAGATGTAGACATACCAATGATATTATGTGTTGGAATGCCGACAAGGACTTCATGCAAGACAGCGGAAAAAGTGAAGACGACGAGACTGGCGGCAAACGGGCTCCAGCCACGGCCGACGAGGGGAGAGAAGATGTGTCGCTTCATGAAGTGGTAGACGGGCCTGTTCCATGATCGCCAGTAGGAGCCTACGCTGGGGCTGTTCCACCATTCATTGTAGAACTCCCGGTCTCCGAACCGCATCACCTCAGCCAGAGCGTTCAGGAAGGACTGGAACAACGCAAAGAAGCCTGCGAGCCAGATGACTAGCGAGATGGTAGACAGTTTCATCATCCGCTCGAGGATAGACACCCAGTCCAGCATGGCGACTTTGTCCAACGAGTTCCGCAGCACGGGGGCTGCATACTGGGCTGATATGATCCATATAAAGACGCCTAGGCCGACGAGCTCAAGCACTCTTTTGGCGACAAACGACCACCTCACGCGCTCCGTCCGAGGGTATACAGGCTGATACACCAGCGTGGGAGCAAGCCAGAAGTAAGAGAGGTTAGAAACAGTGACGTTGTGCGGGTAAGGGCACGACTTGTATATTTCCGGCAGCATGTTGTCCGGAGACGGGTTGAGGACCGCATGTCGAAGATCCCGATTGGTGAATGCATACGAACAGTTCTTCAGCCAGACGATGATGGCATGCATCTGACATACGGTGCCGATGCCGGGATGATGGATATAATAATACACCACGTACGTCGTCACCAGCAAACACAGGCTGGCATTGATGGTATGTGCAAACGCAACGTACCGCCACGTCGTCTGGAGCGCAGACAGCTCCTTGTTCGTGCAGGTCGAAGATTCATCTCTCTTCATCCGCCCCATGGCCCCCTTCACCTGCTGCGCTGCAGACAGCTCGATGACATACGCCACGAACAAGTGGCAGGGTACAAGGGCGTACAGAATCGCCCCGAGCATCAGATCCTGCTTGCGATAATCATGGCATCGAATGCAGATGAGGACGCCGTACTTCATGAAGTTCTCCACGACCAGGCGCAGATTCATGACTATCAACACGATGACCATCAGGTTCCTGAACCCGAGGAAGCTGGGCGACTTTTGCGTGTCGCGACTCAGACATGAAGGCTTCACCTCCGAGTGATACGCAGCTACATGTCGATACTTGCTTCTCAGCCTCTGGCCTCTCGATTTCTGCTGATATTCCTGCTGATGATGCTTCTGGTGGTCCTGCAGCGAGTTCCCCCGTCCGTTCAAAGCGATGTTTGTCCTGTCCTCGAGGACCCCATTGCTGTGGCTGACCTCTGTTTCTGTGACTATCGCCATATTTCCGAGCTGATAGTTATTAATTTATATAGTTAATCAATGATTCCCCCGTGGAGCAAGCAAGTATTTTATCCCGATGGCTTTTTTATCCCTTGCGTCCCATCTGGATTCATGTATAAATAACCAGTCCAACCTGCGCGGAAGTTCCGTGTGCGATGAGACGAGAAATCAGAGACAGGGGAAAACCAGCTTCAACTCACACCATCTCGAGATCGAATAGCAACAGGATGAAGGATGAAGATGAAGATGCGAGAAGAAGACGAAGGGTAAAAAAAGGGAACAAACCAAGCTCGTCTCCCGATGTTGCCATGGACTTTCTTCCAAGATTCGGAACTTCTTCCCAACCTTGTCGGCAAGGCGATTTATGTACAGTTACATAACTACTGGTTCAACAGGATAACTACTTCTTACACGGCAGGATAGTATTATACGATAGACTGCTCTTACACATACATTTATACATGGCATGGACGGCGGGCCAACTCGAGAAGCCAGAACTTGCCTGGGATGCTTCCTTGCTTCGACTTGGTTTCATCTCAAACTACTAGTTATGCATCAAATCTGCACCAGGGCTGATATGCGACATGCTCCAGAATCCAGGATATTATTCGGTCGTTTCTTCTGTCTGGCGGAGGAGAAAGACGTCTTGACGCAGTGATGGAAGCCATAGCATCTCCTCCGTGCTACATGGGAACAGCTTACTGGCACGGCAGCGCCGTTTGGACAAGGGGCCAGCACCCTGTCTGTACATACATAAGTAGGTTGGATAGTATAGACAAGGCTCCCATGCAGATGCACGCTGCATCTCTCTCGCGACAAGCCTCCGATCTTGCATGTCGGCGTTTTCATCTCCAACAAAGATTAGACGATACAACGACTACTCGGATGCCTCTACAAAACTAAGTGAATAATATCAGGTGAATGAAGTTGATGTATTAAATATCCCTTTGGTATATGGTATCAAGAGTAACTCGCCAAAATGTAGTCCAATAAATGCATATCCAAACGCTCCAAAGAGGCCCAAACAAAACAAACTGGAAAATCACACCAACATGTCCTCCGGCCGAGCACCAGTGACGTCGTAGATGGTTCTTCCGTATGCAAGCACGAAAGCTGTACTCCATCTAGCGCGAAGCCACCTGTTCTCTGGCTGGGTAAGCAGAACCGCGAAATACAAAGATGTATCGTACAAGGGTGATTCATCTTCCGCGATATACTATTCAACAGTAACCAGCATGTCAGCTCTCTGTCTGTCGACCAGGACTAGGCTATACTTACGATTGCGACGTGTCGGATGGGATACCAATATTCTGCCGGTACGGGGAAGTTGTCAAATTCCTCGTATGTGACAGTCTCCGCGAGGTCTTGTAGGCGATATATCGACATATCGCCCTCTACAAGAAATAGCTTCTTGATAATTTCTAGTAGCATGTTCCTTATGTAGAGGGTGCCAAGGTCCGTGACCGTAAGTCTCACGAATATGTCGACACTCTGTGTTCCTCCTGTTAGACTATGCTTGACTACCAGGCTGGAGAAAAGCTCACATGTAATCGTTCAGAGAGCTCGCTAAGCTCTGCTTCCTGGCGCTATAACATTATAGTCAGTAAATATACTTGAAATGGACTTGAATGAACGGGTACTTACGCTACTCTCTACCAACGCCTCAGACATCGGACGCTATAGAATGATGAGATCAATATGAGTTCCCTGATCTCGTAGGATAAGTGATACTTACTTGGGATTCCCCTTCCCATGCCACCATCGAGGCTGGCTCTGGGGCACCACCCTCCGACTTTTCATCTAGGTCTTCTAGAGCAAGCTGACTAGCCGGAGGGTGCTGTGCTCCAGCTTCCTGGCGGGAGCCCTCTTCAGGGTCCCAGTCAGGGTTATTGTAAAGGCCGTATTCGACAGGCATCTTGGTATAAGGAGATACGGCGTTAATATAGGTAATAGCTTTGAATCGTAGCAGGAATGCAAGGTATCTAAAGCTGTTAAGATGGGGGAAAAGAGAAGGGAAAGAGGAGAGGAGCTGGGGAACCAGGAAGGGGATTTATATAGGCAGCGAGTCATATTTTCCCATGGTTTGGATCTGTGTTTTCCGGATGAACCACAACGATAGATGCCGTCAAGTCGATGATTCAATGAGATCCAGAGAGTGGCCTGGGGAGGGACGGAGAAGGAGAAGGGGTTCTTCAGCAGAAGGCATATGGGGGTGATTCATTGCTTTTTTGGGTTGGTTCCGTTGGTTCTACCGACCTCAACCATAGATACCAGCAACGTCGATGATTCAATATGGCCAGGTGAAAAGTTTGTTACTTCTATTCGGGACAAACAGTGGTATTCTATGCATATTATATTATATACATAGATACAACCAGGCTTATATGCCGTGTTTGACATTTCGACTGTTCTTCTGGTATCTTGAGCGCTCTTTCCGCCTGATTCTCTGATGCAGAAACGTAAACCACTGTATATTACAGTATCGAAGGAGGGCTTGACTGGTTGCAACCGTCTCAGCAGTGTTCTCAAGGGTACAGCTACCCCATCGACCTGGCTTTGAAACAGTCCCGTTGAGTCTTGGGTTCGAGTGGCCAAGCGTCGACTAGAAGCGTCCCTCTGGCTGTAACAAAATGTGCAAACATGCATGACTCCTTCCATCAGTCCATGCGGTCGTGGAAACCAGTGTTGATGAATTGTAAACTTTTAAAGGGGTTCCTGTTGCCGAACTTCATAGGGCCGTCATAGAGGTATAAAGAGAGATATTACAAAAAAAATAAACGTCTAATTCTTTGTTGCAGTATTCTTCGCAGGTCGGTTGGTGATCCCATGCTTCTTCAGAGTCCGATATATTGTCGACTTTGAGATATTGTCTGGCATCCCGCTTGCAAGTTCGTTGTATGAGATCGAAGGGTTGGATCGAACGCGCGAGATGAGCATCCGGACATCGCGCTCAGATAGCTTTGTAGGCCTCCCCGAGCGCGGCTTTGACTCTCCGTCTACCCGGGAACTCTCCTTCTTTATGGTATTCTGCACCGTAGACACTGGTATATTCAGGGTCTTCGAGATGTATCTTAGAGACGCTCCGGCTTCCCGATGGCCAACTATCAAGCCCCTGGTATACGGCGATAACTCGGACCTTTTCTTCTTCTCTCCTGTCTCTCCTGTATCTGTCGTCTTTTCTGGGTTATTCGCTGCCATGCTGAGCTGTCAATTATATATTTCTCTCTCTCTGTCTCTCTCTCTCTCTCTTTCTCTGTCTCTCTTTGTGTTGTTTCAAACGCGACGCGGTGCATCATGTGATTTTGCTTACATAGCAACGAGTTTCTTTTTGTAGTTTTGAAGCTTCGCATTTTGATATTTATTTGTTAAAGAACATCTTCTAGTCGTTCTCTCTGTCCTCTTACCTCTTGTGCTGTCTCTCATTTAATCATGGCCTTCTTTGAGGACGGGGCCGAAGGAGCTTTTGCGCCGCGGCCTACGTTAGGCCCAAGACGTCCAAGTATGTTTTCGTCTTCCCAGAGCTTATCAGACCTGCCATGGCTAATTGATATATCTACAGGACCTGTCACGGATTATGGGTCGTCGTTAGTGCAATGGATGAGAGTTCGGCAGCCTCGATACAAGGGATCCCCCAGGTTGGAGGCGGAAAGGCCGAGTGCCAGCTATACTGTTGATGTTCGTCGAAGGCTTCTTTCAACAATTACCCCAGAGAACCGAAAGGCTAACTTGTTCAGATGCTTCCTCCTATTGCTACTATTCATTCAGCTGCGGATACTATTCCCGTTCGGCATCTGCACCAGTCTATTGGGAAATCGAAGAAGCCTATAACAGTTGTAAGATGGACACCAGACGGCCGTCGTTTGCTTACCGGGGGTCACACGGGTGAATTCATGCTATGGAATGGTACAGCTTTCAATTTTGAAACTGTCATGGATGTAAGGAAGTTCTTAGCTGCCCAGTTGGCTACTTATACTAACCAGGACAACAGGCACATTACGACCAATTTCAGGCTGGTGTGACATCGGCTGCGTGGTCGCATAGTCATGATTGGCTTATATCTGGTGGGCAGAAAGGTGATGTGAAGTATTGGAGACCGAATTTTAACAACGTCGAAACTGTTGATGATGCACATCAAGAAGCGGTTAGGGACCTGACATGGTGTCCCAACGACTCAAAATTCCTTTCAGCTTCTGATGATACAACATTGAAGATATTTGATTTCACAGCTCGAACATGCGAGATGGTCTTGACCGGGCATGGGTGGGACGTTAAATCTTGCGACTGGCATCCGACAAAGGGACTCCTAGTCTCTGGTTCTAAGGACCACCAAGTCAAATTCTGGGACCCTCGCACCGGCAGGTGTTTGACAACACTACATACTCATAAGAACACCGTAACAACTACAAAGTTTTCTCCGGTGAACACGAACCTGCTGGGGACCTCATCCCGCGACCAAACCGGCCGTGTTTTTGATCTGCGCATGATGCGTGATATATGCATCCTGCGAGGCCATGAGAAGCCGATATCGTCCCTGACATGGCATCCAATGCACAGCAATATGATATCTACGGGAAGTGAGGATGGGTCTCTGTATCATTACCTACTGGATGAGCCTAATCTTCCCGCTGGGCAGCTTCCCACAGTTGCCCCATATGGCACCATGGATCCCGCCAACACCCCGGCTCAGGTTATCTTCCCGGCCCATAAGATACAGTATGCGCATGGATCTACTATCTGGTCTCTTGACTGGCACCCCCTTGGCCATATCCTGGCCTCAGGATCTAAAGATAACTTCACTCGTTTCTGGTCTCGTGCCAGGCCTGGAGAGATCAACTACCTCAAGGACCGATTCCACATCGGAGAGGAGGCCGCTGAGGCACAAGGGACATGGAACCGCGGATTTGGGCGGAAACAGATGCGCGAGGAGGAGGAACAGGAGGCCCAGGCAGAGGACGAAAGCCGTATGGATCAGAGACAAACTGCTGAATCGCAGATTCCTGGAATTCAAAATGCAGCCCCTGCCGAAGGTCATGGTATACCAGGATTACTTCCTGGTATTGGAGCATTACAACCACCCCCTCCTCCGCCGCCAAACGCATCCGGACCACCCCCATCTCTTCCACAGATGGACCCAGGGCGATTAGCAGCCATGCTATCCCAGGGGGGCTATCCTCCTCCTCCACCACCACCCGGTCAGGGCCAACCTCCGTTCCCACATACCACTCAACCGCCGCCACCACCTTTCTTTCCTAACCCAAACATGTCAGGCAATATGCCGCCAAACATGAGCCATATGCTCCCTAACCAACAGTTCCCACCTCCAGGAATACCACCTCAGAATTTCGGACAACCGAATCCTGGATATCCTCCTCCAGGGCTTCCTGGGCTTTTTACAAACAATCAACCAAAGTGAAGCAACAAACCTGGCAAAGTTATATCATCCAAGCTTAGTGGAAGCACACCCACCCCTAGATAGCTACTAGGGATAGCACCGACGGTATAACCGTCATCACCAATGGGTTCACCGGTCCATCCCCACTGCTGTTAAACATGCCATACGACATAGAAGCTCTGTCTTTAAACGTCCGAGTAAGTGCTCTCTATCATATAACCCTTTACACATTTAACTAACAGCTGCCAGCTCACCGACGGACCCTTTTAATTATCCAGGGCACGACGTGGGCAGATGAATATGGCTAGGATTAGCACTCCGTGGAGCTGATACCTTCACAGACAACATGCTCACCAGCCACACGCCACCTAAATAGGGGTAGAGGCGTCTGTCAAAATATATCCGCTATTTAACCATCGACAAAGCCATAACTTGATATATCATTTGATCTTCGTACATCCAATATTCTCCTTATTCCAAACCATAGACTCCCCTGTCCATCCTTTGCCACTTGTAATTGTAAAAAACACCTGTAACATGTTATCCTCCGATTCTCTCTTTATCAAAGTAGAAGATGACTAAGCAAGTTAGTGCGGGCAAAAAGTTGCAAAGCTGAAGCTGCGAAAGCTCGAGAAGATCAACAAGACAGCTCGACACGATGGGCAGAGACGCGGATATCTCTGTTAACGAGCGGGCGTTTATCCTCGAAGCGCTGCACAAGAATGTGCGACTCGATGGGCGCAAGTTTGACCAGCTCCGGTCTGTCGATCTGACCTTTGGGGAGGAACATGGCACCGTCAAGGTACAGCTTGGGAAGACAGCGTGAGTATCTATGTGCTTTCTGCTGGTTATATATGCTGATTAGATATGTGTCGAGTAGAGTCCTTGTGCGCATATCCGCAGAGCTGACGACCCCGCGACCTGAGCGCGATTGTGATGGCATATTCACTGTCGTAGTGGAATTGAACGACATGGCCCTGCCGGGCTACGAGACCGGACGGTGTGTTTACTCTATATAGTTGAGACGAACGGGGCTAACGGGTAGCTTGTCAATGTTGCGCAGACCATCAGAGCTGGAGGTCAGCCTGTCCCGGACCCTTGACAAGATCGTTCGACGATCCAATGCGCTGGATACGGAGTCACTATGCATCGCCAAGGGGAGAATATGCTGGAATATCCGGGCAGATATTCATATATTGGACTGTGACGGAGGACTGATTGACGCCAGCTGCCTTGCCATCATGGCCGGGTTGCTTCACTTCCGCTTGCCGGAATCCACCGTTCGAGACGGCGAGGTGACCGTCTTTTCCATGGAGGAGAAAGTGCCTGTGTCACTCAACCTGACGAAGATCCCGCTAGCCGTCACGTTCAATCTCTACGACGAAGGCAGGATTGTGCTTCTAGACGCCACGGCAGGCGAAGAGGTTGTCAGTGAAGGGTCGCTTGTCATCGCCCTCGACAAGACGGGGGAGATTGCACTGTACTCGAAGCCTGACGGCGCACCGGCCGACCCGGTGAACATGGTGACATGTTCTACCGTTGCGTTGGCCAAGGTCAGAGAGCTAAACAAGCTCATCTCGGCCAAGCTGGAGGAGGACAAGCAGATGCGGGAGAAGAAACGGCCCACGGCCGGACTGAGTGCTGCTAATGAGAGATGACGCACGGAAAGCAGTTACGACATCCCATCTGCGCCGTTTTCTGCCTGGAAAGCCGTACACTACATCAACGTTCGAGATACATCTACCCCCTACACGGTAGACTATCTACGTCCGCTCCACAGCAGAGACGGAACTCTCGGCTGCACAAACCAGCCTCAGCCATGTCACAGACCGACTTGCAACAGAAACACCCAGCTTCACAGCTCCCATCTGGATCTTCAACTCCTGCAGAGATCGACCCACCGGCAAGAGACGCTGTTTCGAGCTATTAATAGTCGATATTAGAGGCATAGCTCGATCTGTTTATGTATAAATAAATACAAACTAGCCATTAACGATGCCAGCAGCAGCTCCTCCACACCTATAAACATCTACTTTTACACCAATAAGTAAATATTAAGTCCTTCTTTCACCGTTTCGTGTTTGTCCTTTTTAGATCTTGGCCTACTTTTTCGCTGTGGCTGAACTTGCTTCGCCTCCCAGAACGACGAATCTCCCTGACAGAAAAAAAAAACACTCCGAGTTTCATAAGCAGGCTGTATTAAGGGCCAGCGAGGTCGTGAAGGTGCTTCAGGAACAGCCAGCCTGATCTAGTGTATAGTGTCAGTCCGTTTTTTTTTTCTCCCTCTCCCTGTTCACGCCTCTGACGCCGTTGGATTGACGGTTTTGGACAGCTTCATATATATTGACCCGTACAGAAACGCCACGAAAACCTCCTTTGAAAGTCGCATATACGAAACGGACGAAGAAAGAGTATTATTTGCAGCACGGCTATATTTCGATGACTGACCGTGTCTTCGCATCTACATCTCCGTGACTGGGTCGCGCAGAAGAAGCGACATGGCCAGCGGCAGGCCTCCTGGAGGCCCGACTTCGCATAGAGACCACGACGACAACCTCCTCCAGCTCGACGATGCCCCCTCGCAGTACAATACCGGACAGAGACCGCCGGTGAGCGATGATAGTCTGATACAGCAGTACAATATTAACGACTCCGACCAACCGCCTTCGCGGCCGTCCGTCTCCTACGATGATTTCGTCGGCCAGGGGCATGTCGCGCAAGGCAGTAATGGCCACAGTAGTAACGCCCATGGACGGGGACAGTCTCCTGGCGCCAACAGGGCGTACGCCGGCGATGGTGGCGCTACCGGAATGTACTCACAGACTTCTGACCTGAACCATTATCAGCGTTACTCCGATTTAGATGATATTGAAGACGACCGGGCGTATGGATACTACAACGATGGAGACAGGTCCGACGGCACGCCTATACAGGATGCCAGGGCGAGAGACAGAAACAGCATACTCGCCTTGGGCGGAGGAATCATGGGCAGAGCTAAGAACATGCTTGGGATAGCACCAGAGTACTCGGAGATGGACCTGCCATTGACGGAGGCTGGAGCAACCTCTCGAAGGGTGGGAACCGCCGAAACAGACGAGACCCCCCCAGGCAAATCCGGCTCGAAATACAACAAGCAAGGGAAGTTCAAGTTCGGTTTTGGACGACGAGAGCCTGACCCGTCCACCCTGGGCCCCCGTATCGTCCTTCTCAATAACGCTCCCGCCAACGCCGCGCACAAGTTCGTCGACAACCACATCTCCACCGCCAAATATAACATCTTCACCTTCCTACCCAAATTCCTCTTCGAACAATTCTCAAAATACGCCAACCTGTTCTTCTTGTTTACCGCCGTCCTCCAGCAGATTCCAAACATCTCCCCCACCAACCGATATACCACCATCGGTCCGCTCATCGTCGTGTTGATAGTCTCCGCCATCAAGGAGCTGGTCGAAGACTACAAGCGGAAGAGCTCTGATAAATCTCTTAATCACTCCAAGACAAAGGTGCTGCGCGGCTCAAACTTCGAGCAGGTGAAATGGATAGATGTCGCCGTAGGGGACATTGTCCGGGTTGAGTCTGAGGAGCCCTTCCCAGCAGACTTGGTTCTCCTCGCCAGCTCCGAGCCCGAAGCACTCTGCTACATCGAAACAGCCAATCTGGATGGAGAGACAAACTTGAAAATCAAACAGGGTATCCCCGAAACCGCCGATCTGGTAAGCGCTGGTCAGCTTAGCAGATTGACGTCGAGGATCAAATCTGAGCAGCCAAACAGCAGTCTCTACACTTACGAAGCTACCCTGACCCTGCAGTCTGGCGGAGGTGAGAAGGAACTTCCTCTCGCCCCAGACCAGCTGCTTCTTCGAGGAGCCACTCTGCGCAACACCCCCTGGATTCATGGCGTCGTCGTCTTCACCGGCCACGAAACTAAGCTGATGAGAAATGCCACCGCAACTCCAATCAAGCGTACGGCCGTCGAACGGATGGTCAATCTGCAGATTCTCATGCTGGTCGGAATTCTTGTCGCCCTCAGTTTGATAAGCTCAGTCGGCGACTTGGTCATCCGTACTACCGCTTCTCAGAACAAATCTTACCTGGACTATAGCAACGTCAACCTGGCTCAGCAATTCTTCTCCGACATCTTCACTTACTGGGTCTTATACTCTAATCTCGTCCCCATCTCCCTCTTCGTGACCATCGAAATCGTCAAATACTACCATGCCTTTCTCATCAACTCCGATCTCGATATCTACTATGAACCATCTGATACCCCGTCGAATTGTCGAACCTCCTCCCTTGTTGAAGAACTGGGTCAAATCGAATACATCTTTTCCGACAAGACTGGTACCCTCACTTGCAATCAGATGGAGTTTAGACAATGCTCCATTGGTGGTATCCAGTATGCTGAAGTCGTGCCCGAAGACCGAAGAGCGGGATATAACGAGGATTCCGAAACGGCCATGTATGACTTCAAGCAACTAAAGAAAAACATTGAGTCCCATCCTACCCGAGAAGCAATCATACAGTTTCTCACACTACTTGCCACCTGTCATACTGTTATTCCTGAACGAAACGAGGACAGACCAGGTGATATCAAATATCAGGCAGCTTCCCCGGATGAAGGTGCTCTCGTTGAGGGTGCCGTCATGCTAGGATATCAATTCACGAACCGAAAGCCAAAATTTGTTGGTATCTCCGCTCAAGGGGTAGAACAGGAGTTTGAACTGTTGGCCGTCTGCGAATTCAACTCAACTAGGAAACGTATGTCGACAATATTCAGATGTCCGGACGGTAAAATCAGGATCTACTGCAAAGGGGCCGACACAGTGATACTCGAACGCCTGGGTCAGAATAACCCTATCGTAGAAACGACCCTGCAGCATCTAGAGGAATACGCTTCAGAAGGTCTCCGAACTCTTTGCCTTGCAATGCGAGAAATCTCCGAAGAAGAGTTTCAAGAGTGGTGGCAGGTCTTCAACAAAGCTTCTACTACCGTCAGCGGAAACAGACAGGAAGAGCTAGACAAAGCTGCCGAACTTATCGAAAAAGACTTTTTCCTTCTTGGTGCAACGGCTATTGAGGATCGACTTCAAGATGGCGTTCCTGATACCATTCACACTTTACAACAGGCTGGTATCAAAGTCTGGGTTCTTACAGGTGATCGACAAGAGACAGCCATAAATATCGGCATGAGTTGCAAGTTGATTTCCGAAGACATGACTCTTCTCATCGTTAACGAGGAAGATGCCCAAGGTACCCGTGATAATTTGGTAAAGAAGCTGGATCAAGTCAAAAGTCAAGCCAACTCTGCCGATGTCGAAACACTAGCTCTTATCATTGATGGAAAGTCACTTACCTATGCCCTTGAAAAGGAACTGGAGAAGGTGTTTTTGGATCTTGCCATTATGTGTAAAGCAGTGATTTGCTGGTACGTCGCTCCTATATATATCCTCATACTCTTCTACCATTCGTAACTAATGATTCTTGACAGCCGTGTCTCTCCGCTCCAGAAAGCTCTTGTTGTGAAACTTGTAAAACGCCATCTCAAATCCCTTCTGCTTGCCATCGGTGACGGCGCCAATGATGTCTCTATGATTCAAGCAGCACATGTTGGCGTTGGTATAAGCGGTATGGAAGGTCTTCAAGCAGCACGAAGTGCTGATATTGCAATTGGTCAATTCCGTTATCTTCGAAAATTACTCTTGGTTCACGGCTCCTGGAGTTATTCACGAGTTAGCAAGGTTATTCTATATTCGTTCTACAAGAATATCGTTCTTTACATGACGCAGTTTTGGGTAAGACTTCATTCTCTACCTACACGACAAATATTCGATGCACTGCTAACAACTTACCCTTAATGTAGTATGCTTTTGAAAACTCGTTCTCAGGACAGGTTATTTACGAATCTTGGACGCTTTCATTATATAACGTTTTATTCACGGTTCTCCCTCCCTTCGCCATGGGAATATTCGACCAGTTCATCTCTGCGAGACTTCTGGATCGATACCCTCAACTTTACCAGCTTGGCCAGAAAGGCACCTTTTTCAAAATGCACAGTTTCTGGTCCTGGGTTGGGAACGGCTTCTATCACTCCCTCATTGCCTATCTTATCTCTCGACAAATCTTCAAAAACGACATGCCCACGCAAGACGGCACTACATCCGGCCTCTGGGTATGGGGTACAGCTCTTTACACTGCCGTTCTAGCAACCGTTCTAGGCAAAGCCGCTTTGGTCACCAATGTCTGGACCAAATATACCGTCATTGCCATCCCAGGCTCATTGATAGTATGGCTCGGTTTCATTCCAGCATACGCATACGCCGCTCCTAAAATTGGGTTTTCCTTTGAATATATCGACCTCATCCCACACCTCTACCCACTCCCAACAGTCTGGATCATGGCAGTTCTCATACCCTGCCTCTGTCTTGTTCGTGATTTTGCTTGGAAGTACGCCAAACGCATGTACTACCCGCAAAGCTATCACCATGTCCAAGAAATCCAGAAGTACAACGTACAGGATTACAGGCCGCGCATGGAGCAGTTCCAAAAAGCTATCCGGAAGGTTAGACAGGTACAGCGCATGCGCAAACAGAGAGGTTATGCTTTCAGTCAGGCCGATGAAGGTGGCCAGATGAGGGTTGTTAATGCTTATGACACGACAAGAGGCAGAGGACGATATGGAGAAATGGCAAGTTCACGGCCAATGACTTGAGTATCTTGCTCTTGAATGTAGTATAATATCTTCCCCATATGCCTCCTTCTTACTTTCGCTTTTCTTTTATCATTTCTTGTTCTTGATATGACCATTACACTTCTGTGGGATGCAGCTTTTACGCTCTTCCAGCCCCCTTTTTATTCCCCCTGGATTTGGATCGATTTAGCAGCCAGCTTTTTTGCTCTTCCCCATCCTCATTTTCCTTTCATCGCTCTGTTCGCCTTCTAGATCGCCCTTTTGCCCCTTTTTTTTTGTCTACTTGCTAGGAGAGACCGGTTCTTCTGCGCAGGGGACATTGATCGCCTTTATACTATTTGCTTTCCTACCCTTTGGTTTACTCCATATGTACAAGCTACTATTCAACTCAACCCCCTCTTATACATTTATGTTCATCAACTTCCCGCCCTGACAAAATGGAATTAATTCTGGAGCTAGACGTCGGGCTCTACCCTTCCCTCCGGTTTATAACCTGATATATTAATATATATCTGTTACTTCCACGTACCCATCGCAAATTCAACTATGTTGTCACAGTGCATGTCGGGTGAGCGGAATCGTTTTCGCAAAGCAATCCAGTTAGGTTGATCCACCCCCGTTTCAGAATATCCAGGAGTTTAACCCGAAACCCAAAAACGGATGGGCGTGAGAGCTATATATATCACATGTCATATATGTATAGTATCCATATGTATACATAGTATGTTTCAATATGGGGGGGTTGCTCCGATCCCTGGTCAGAGCTGTTAGCTGTTGGATCCCGCCCCGCCCAGTGACGTGCTCCTTAAGTCATTGGCAGAGAAGTGAGTGCAAAGGAGTTCATCTCGTACACCTCTCTGTTGGCGGCCTCCATCCAATTCCTAATCCTTCCATAACCAATTTCTCTCTCTCCTGCCATGTCTTTCCTTTGCTCTCAAGGTCAATGATCCTCCCTCCGCTTCCGTCTCGAGATCGTACACCGCTAGAATCAAATTTCCAGTTGTGTACTTTTTTTGCATACCTACGCAAATCACGTTGAAACGTTGTATCTCCTGACCATCCAAGAACTGCGCATCCTATGGTACGGAACGGAGATACTATGATATCAACACGCCGGTGGAGATTTGGGTTTGTCTTTCGGGGATTTTCCGCGATTCGCGCGGTTGCTGTTTCAAGCTCTTTGGCCATGACACCAGGGCTCGTACCTTGATGGGCATGATCTTGTAGCTTCATTTTCCCTTTGCTCTCTTTTGCTTTTCCTATTTCTCCCTTTGACCCGCGGGAATTTGACTGCCAGTCCTCGGGGAACTCAAGCTCAGACGATGGGGACGATGACGGGGTATTTTCAAAGTGAGGGTCCTGCCAGACCACCAGAGCTTTATCGAGGCTGTCAAATCTAGGCTTTCCGCTTGCTTCCCCGCGATATGGTAAAGTCTGCTGGTCACGATTGGTATTTGTGAGATGCAGGGCCAACGTATGTGTAATCCATCCTTCTTGCTCGAGGCTAGCAACGACATCGAAGACAAGGTTGGATGTGACTCTCTCGTCTCGATGGGTAAGGATAACGTCTACATCACCGCTTACTTCTTTTCCTCGCCGATAGCCTCCAACAATAATATATTCGACTCCTTCGCCATCAAAATCAGCATCTGGTCTCACACGCTTTGCGTGGCGCCATATCGTCGCGGCAATTGATGCCGTCTCTTCCCTTGGGATTCCAGCCAGGAACTCATCGTAGTACTTCACTCCTATCTGCTGGACACGAGATAACGTATCCCATCCTTGCTCGACAATATCATCTAAATCTCGCCACTGTCGCTGGTAGTAAAATTCCCTAGCGGATTTAGCTCCAACGCCCCAAATGTTATAGAATGAATGGATGACGCTCAGTGCTGGGTCAGTAGTGAGTGGCGTGGCGGAGTCCAAAGTTCCATTTTTACTATGTTTCCACTCTGCGAACAAATTCGCGATTCGGTTCTCACAACCTGGTAGTGACACAACTTCCTCGGGAAGTTTCAGTTTATGCGGATATGCTGCCAGCGAAGCGATGGAAGTGCTATATGCACGAATTCCAACTTCGTCCAAGGTTAACTCTCTGATCTTTTTGACCATTTGTAGCTGGTTTATGAATTCTTCGTTTGGTGGGTGCAGCGGGGTAGAGCGGCAACATGAATATACAACATTATTGCGCACCCACTCTGGGGGATCCGGGATAGATTCTCCCTCAAGGTCAGATGTAGATGCACGGTATAATTTTGGTCTCTGTTTCTGGATGGAAGGGCTGCTTGATGTGACTTTCATTCGACGAGGCGGAGAATACGGGATAAATTGTGTTGGAGAAGACGCTACATCCTCTCTCGCCCTTTCCAGAATGCTCTTAGCAGGGCTTTGTTTCGCAGAAACATCCCGAACTTTAGAGTCACACGGTGAGCCCAAGTTAGAAGACGTTTCCCCTATAGTTAAAGTAGGCGGTTTTGGTATCGTATGGCCTTGATAAACAATAAAAGGATCAATTGGTAGAGGCCGTTTTGCTTTCAGCGACTCGTGTATCCAGTTTAAGTTGACAACTTGAATGCTCTTATCGTCGTCATCAAGTCGGCGCCGCTTCCGAGCAGTCTCTTCAACTTCTGTTACCAGTGGTACACTTTCTGTCCAAAGCCCTTTTGAACGAAGTTCCAACACTGCACGTTTCTCATGGGAGACCTTACCAATCGCTAGTCGCGCTTCTGTGATATCATAAGTCAATGGCGCACCGCATCTCGAAAGGATACTCTCGATCGAATGGAGCTCTTCCAGGGATATATGGGTGGGAAGGACAAAGATAGTAGGGCATGAACTGAGATCAATCATCCCTCCATCATCTGCAACCGGTGAACTTGGAGATACACTGTCTTCCATTATCGCCAGAGAACGCTATCGGCTTCCCATTTCGATAAGAATGTGATGTGAAGCTGGAAGGGCAAGATTCAAGATTCAACAGCAAATCAATATAACTCGAATTCATAGCAGCGCCTTCAATAAATATATACAGTGTGCAGTCAATGAAAAACACAGGGGGTTCAATGGCTCGAAGAATCACAGAGATAACACCAGGAGCTAGAAGAGAAGTATCCAGATGGATATTTCCAACAAAAACCTGTCATCGACAATATAGAACAGCTACAAGATAAAACCACCGTCAACAGGAAGTCACATCACGAAGCACTTTATAAGCTTCCTCCTGGCGATATCATGCGGAATGGAGGATGAAGAAAAGTTGTTCGCTCTTCACGCTCAAATTCAAGTTTTTGTCGTTATTTCAAGAGTTTCAATTTGATATCTTGTCACGTGAATTGCGATAAAGGAAGAAATTTATTCCGATAATACGTCACGTGGTATTCTTTATTTTGTCGACTTGGAAAATCTTTCGACGTCGAAAATTTCAAAGAGAAACAGAACATTTTAGAGCAGATGGATTGAACCCAAGGCTATGTGTATGGTACTGCTTCTTAAAATAAAAACTTCTCGAGAACGTACTCGCTTTCAGAGTTCTCATGGAGCTTAACCGTCGCTTCGAACCGCGTTCAGCTAGAAGCTAATGGCGGGCCACCGGAGTATCAGATTAACGACAAACTCCCCTTTATCCGGCCCCACGCTCCGCGTCCATTGAATGGGATATTTAGGATCAAGACCTGGAAGCCTGGTTCAATGGATCCCGTAACTCCTTTCCACGTCAACATATGCAGAATACATCGGGAAAAAAAGGCCCTTCAACGGATAATAAAGTCTAGGAAGTTCTGATCCCGTCACGCATCTGGAATAAGTATTTCATAATTTGATATATTATTCACTGGAAAGGATCATGATAGTGTCAAATGGTCACCCTATGGTTAGTATAAAGACCAGGAAGGCTACATAGGCTTCGGTCCTAATTGAACCCTGGTCTTAAAGGGTGTTGGGCTCAGCGAGCTACTGCATTGATGATAGTGAAGAATGCATCCCCGATAAAACTCTACTTCAGGAAACGGAACCCAAGGAATGACAGATCTTGCTACTTTGGCGAGTTGTATGTATACGGAGTAAACACGGGACCAGAATTCGGGTTCTTCTTTCATGTTTGCAATCACCTCAATGGAGTAGGGAGTACGGAGTACTCGGTACCAATTAAGAGTTTGACACGGACTTCTCCATTCAGTCTCCTGAAAGCGAAGATATTGTATGTCCAGAGTGCGGTACGGAGTATTACTCTTTACAGAATTTCTTCCCAAACTGCATACGGAGTGCATAATAGGTATTTTCAACCCGGTGACTTTCTTTGCAGCAATAACGGTGTCAACTCATTACCGGCGAAATAGCCTGCATCAAGTTACAAGGGCCTTCATAGGGGCATTTTATCCATGCCAGGAACAAAAAGCCAAGACGTCGGTGAATTAACCCATGAAGGTCGCGCTTGTGCAGAGTGACACTTGACATGCAAGGTTCTCTATTCGCTAAGCCACATTGCTGGCTTGAACGTGTGATAGAGTCTTGGATCATGGGAATTGAAGGATAAGGTCAACTCCATAAAAATGTCTAAAAGAAGGCTTTTCCTCGGTCGCATGAATCATGTTCTTGACGCGGGTGTGAATGTTTCAGGAGAAATTTTTCCTCACAGGCTTGGCATGCGGAGTTTTGACCGAAGATTCTGGCAATGAAGCGGTATGTTCTTCCTAAATATTCACAACTCGAGTTCTTTGGGAGTCAGGTTTAATAATAACGGTATTTTATATGATATAATCGTGGATATTATTTTGTGGTTCCAATCTCAGCCGTGTGCCACTAGCTTAAGCTGCTTTAGCGCAGGAACCAAATGGATACTTGTGGCAAGTGTCTTGCCATTGCAACTCGCCAACGTCCAACTCGCCATTATATCATAATTTCGTCGTTCCACCTGGACTTTGGGCATGATACACGGGGACCCCGATTATATAACTTCCCCCTTGATGTATAATTCAAAGCGCCGGAATTGCATGTCTGCTGTCTATGCAGGAAAAAATGCAACTTGCAGTATTTTTTCGTTCAATTCTTGTATGTGTCGCCCTGGCATTGCACACTCGCACCGCCCTGCAAGACACTGGACCAGATAATTCTCGGACGATTGCTTGTTTTCATGAAACCCAGCCATGATCCATATCTTCGTTTTCGAGACTGGCAGTCTATATGCAGGACATCCACTTCATGCACCATGTCTGACCACTCACTCCACTCCCTGTTAGGCTTGGCGTAAGGGGGAGTTCTTAAAGGTTATTGTATTGTTGGGCTTTACTGGCAATAACTTCCCGGCCGTTTACTTTTGATCAACCCGTGCTGCATAAACGTACACCAGGGTTAAAAAAAATCCCTTGCTTGAGTGATCGCTGGAATTAAAATCCATCAATGATAAGTATGGCGTAGCTGGCCAGAGCTTCCCCCTTACATGTGCAAGGATTACGCAGGGAACATCCCCTACCAAAAGAGATTATGTCTTGAGGAATATTCACAATTTGGTGTTATTCCTGGGACAATATGGAGCTCTGTAAACGGATTTCTGTTTCAGCTTCAGTGCTTCTCCGCTGGCACATGCATATCCTCCATTGTACGGAGTACAAGAAGGCTGTGTATACTATGTACGCATTCAAACACTCAACGAGATAAACCTAAATCAGAATTAATGTTCTTCGTTTTGATTGCATTAGATTATGATCCCATTTTCAGTATCCCCGATTCAGCTCTGAGAATTCCAATGAAAGCTCACTATTGTTGCAGCTTGAAAAGGGCGTTGGTAGCCTATAATAAATCTCGTTACCCCCTGAAATTGACCTGGATATACCCGCAGCCAATCGCCTGCAAGTCACGGTGGTCCCGTCTATATCACCTTGCCAATATAGAAGGTTTGGTACATGCAATAATATTATTGCTTCGGGGACCTGACTTATACATATGCTGGACCCATGGGCTCCATCTTACCTCATCGTTATCCCTTGAGATGCCTGCCCCTTGGCGGCGGTTAGCAACCTGTCCTATAGCTCTCTATCCACGTTACCTTTGTGGGCATGCCAATCCTGGTGAAGTCCGCTCGCGCCATTCTCTCACTTATAGGTGTGGGCATTCGTATATATACACAAGGATATTTTTCCGAATGGGTTAGGATGCGATGGTTTTATTACATGGGTTTTCTTGAGACCCACTAGCATTGCCATACATGGTATGAGTTCGATATTCGAGCTCAGGGAGGAGGATGATATCTATATAAATCGTCAATTCTTCCTCTTCCTCCTCACTCGAATTGAACGACAACCACGGTCCAACTATCTACACTCTTTACACCAGTGTCCTGGTATCACACTCTTTACATTCTTTTACATTCTTTTTCAGTCTTTTGCTTTTCTATTTTCTTTCACAATGGGTATTTTCAGATTCATTTCTATCTCTCTTGCGGCTGTGTCCGCGGCCAATGCTGGCCACATTCTTTCTATGGGTCATGCAAAGACCATTCCCAACTCCTACATTGTTGTGATGAAGGATGGCACCACTGAAGAAGATTTCACTCACCATCAGAGCTGGGTCCAGTCCATCCATACTCACAACGTTACCCGCCGTGGCCTTCTCGATAATGCCGGAGTGAGACACAAATATGGCTTCGGCAGCATGATGGGATACGCCGGACTTTTCGACGAAGATACCATTAAAGATATCTCCGATGACCCCAAGGTTTGTGACCAGTGCCATTCCCATTTCCACACCAGAGCCTAATACTGCTTCAGGTCATGTTTGTAGAGCCTGACACTACCATCACTATCCACGGAGAACTTACGCAAAATGACGTCCCATCTTGGGGTCTTGCCCGTATCTCCAGCCAACGCCCCGGAACCGAAGATTATACCTACGATAGCTCCGCTGGTGAGGGTATCACTGTCTATAGCGTCGACACTGGTGTCGATATTCACCACGAAGACTTCGAGGGCCGTGCTTCCTGGGGTACCAACATGATCGAGGACGGTTACGACAAGGATGGAAACGGCCACGGCACTCACACTGCTGGTACCATGGTCGGCAAGACCTTTGGTATTGCTAAGAAGGCCAAGGTCGTTGCAGTCAAGGTTTTGGACAACAATGGCAGCGGCCCTACCAGTGGTATCATTGCTGGCATCAACTGGTGTGCCCAGCATGCTAGCCAGAATGGTGGTACCGATAAGGCTGTCATAAACATGTCTCTTGGTGGAGGCTCCAGCTCTGCCCTCAACCGTGCTGCCGCTCAGGCCGTCCAGAAAGGCATGTTCCTTGCTGTTGCTGCCGGAAACGATAACCAGGATGCTCGCACCAGCTCCCCTGCTTCCGAAGACACTGTCTGCACCGTTGGTGCCTCCGCTGAGAATGACGAACGCTCCTCTTTCTCCAACTGGGGTCCTGCTGGTAAGTTTTTCTACATCATGTAGTTAAAAATTGATCATGGCTAAATTTGGTATAGTTGATCTCTTCGCTCCTGGTTCCAACATCGTCTCTACCCGTCCGGGCGGCGGTTCCCAGTCTATGTCTGGTACCTCCATGGCTTCTCCTCACGTCGCTGGTCTTGGCGCCTACATTATGGCTCTTGAGGGTATCTCTGGTTCCGCTGTTTGCGACCGTCTGAAGCAACTCGGTACCTCTTCTGTCACCAACCCTGGCCCAGGTACCCGTACCAACATCCTCATCAACAACGGCGACGCAAAGAATGGCGGCAAGAAGCCATCCCAGCCATCCCAGCCACCCAAGCCATCCCAGCCATCCAAGCCTCAACAGCCATCTGAGCCTCAAGAGCCATCTGAACCCCAAGAACCAGCCCCAGGCCAGCCCGCTCCCGCTCCCGCCCCCGTTCCTCAGCACCCTCACACTCCATTCCCCAACGATGACTTCAACTTTGATGATTTCTGGAAGAAGTACTTCGGTACCGACCATTGGCGCAAGACCTTCGGCAGATTCTGGAACTAAGCGGTTCATCTTTGAATTCTGATGCCCAAAACATATTGAAGCAGTGCTTCATGAACTCTCACTTCATTTCTTTACTCACAACTTAATTTTAACTGTTAATACTATGCATTTTATCTAAAATATATATATATACGCAATAGCCTTGTTTGATACATCTCAGCCCCTCGAGAATGGACATGTATATAATAGTATAACATTTCTCTGCACTTTTCATAAAACATGATTATACTAACCGTATTTCTGCATAACACACGAAACAATATGAGTTGAAAATAAGAATTCCGATTGATCAGCATATCATCTCGTATCTCAATCTTATATAACTGGGCCTCTCCCTGGGTTCTTATGGGATATCTTATCTTACAACGTTGTAGGCCGTGCGATAATTACACTTAAAATGCTCCATAAGCCTATGCTTGATCGTCATGTCCATCACTGTGGCTAGTGAATCTTGCATCGTATCCGATCCATGATCGATAATCATTAGCATGGGTAGCATTCAAGCAAGGTCCGCACCAACAACGGTCCCAGTTTTGGAGGTTTTCAAAGGATCTTCACCCGCCCTAAAATTGGACGGGCTTCCCGCATTTGGTGCATTGTAGTTCAGGCCACTGATCCCACTCTCTTCATCAATCTGGACCCCATCGCCAGTGCTATCTCTAGGGAGGTTGTTCTTCTTCCCTACCCACCGCCGCCACCGTGGATAAATGAGAACGCTCAAGCCTCCAAAAATAATGAAAAGCCCGCAGATGGCGCCGCCAATGACATCGTAATAGTCGCCAGCAACCTGGACGCCGTCCCAGAACTTTCCATGTGGTTGCAAGGCGTTTAGCAGGAGAGTCAGGAGCTGGATAATCCCAATCACAATGGCAACTACAACGGTCAGACAAGTTAGAACTATGGAGTAATACAGAAAGGCGACCGGATCTCGTGGATTACGGGATATGGGCTCCTCAGCTGCGGAAGGCTGTGATGGAGGCCCATCCGCTACAATTGGCGCCGAAATTGACGATGATGATTGCGACTTTGAGCGTAGAAAGTGTGTTGCTGGTTGAACGTATAGGGAGAGCATGAGAGCTCCGTCGATAGTGTCGATCAGACACATACCAGCTATGAAGCAGATTAGCAGTGAATACCAAAAGTGCATTGAGGATAATGAATCATACACGTGAACAAAATGGGGAGTATCATGATTAACCAGATACTTGTTCCCTTTGATGCTTGGATGGAGGATATCCCAAGAAGAGCAACTTCCGAAGATGTGTCGAAACCCAGTCCAAACAAGACTCCAAGTGGGTACATTTTCCAAGGTCTAAATGCTCGGTTGTCAGTGCCTTCTATTGAGCCTATGCTTGGTGCAAGATTTAACTTACCGGTCGATTATCTTGAACATCCCTTTGAGAATGGAGAATAGAATACCTCCTCCCTCAATTTTCCACATTTCTTCTCCCCCGTCTCTGTTATTGAGGACTTTCTTCATCTGTAGAATGAGTTTATACAAGATATACCCATTCATGATTCCTAGCAGAATAAGGAATGCGGAGCTGACGGAGCTCCCGATGATACCACCTATTGAGCCATATTTGTCGAACTTATCTGATACTGCTGCTGCGGTGGCTGCCACCACAATCGAGGTGACGATGACAATACTAGGTATATTAGACGACTAGCTCATGGTTACACCTTTTTAGAAATAACTTACGTTGAGTGACCAAGGGAGAAGAAGGTCCCTACTGTAACTGCTTTCTGGCCAGTTGCAAGGAGACGCCGCGTCATTAAATCAATAGCCTATAGAGAACGTTAGCATACCAATGAATAACCAAGAAGGGTTATGGACCGCTTACGGATATATGGTCTGCATCAAGAGCATGTCTTAAACCGAGTGAATATGCAAGAGCAGCCGTTGATGCAAGGAATCTATGCATAACAGACTTTGTCAGTCACCGTAAGCCAGCGGAGAGCATAGTACTGGTGATGGCAAGCTTACGGATGGTATGCCTGGTCCTCGGTTAGCACCTTGCAGCCTGTTTGAATCAATGTACAAACTTACCAACACAATCCCGACTGCAATCCAAACCAATATATTAATAAATGCAACGAACAGTATAATAGCCAGCGCGGGCAGTGGTATCTTTCTCAATCCCGGTACACGACGGTGTGACCTTTCAGCCTTCTCAACGATAGCCCACCTCGGCCTCTTGGTGTCTCCGTCAACAGCCAGAAGCTGTTCTTCCGTTGAGGCTGGACTCGGCATTGTTGATATATTTTCAGCCTATATTGAGACCAATCTAAATTTTCATGTTCGTCCTCTGCCGCGGGTGCAAAGTTGACGTCGCGGGTGTCACAGTGAAAAAGGTACGCTTGTGCCCCTCTCCCAAAAGGAATATGCAGACTTTCGGAAACAGAGTCAGGCGTGTGCCAACTTCTGTTATTCCTTTTTATCTCCTCTTATTCCTTTTTATTTGGACGTCGAAGAAATTCAGCTGTGCTGAATACGAGCCGGTGCGGTCTTTAAGAATATCTTCGCTTCCTCGCACATCTTGGATAGACGCGGTTCGCTCGCGGCGGAAAGGACCACGAGATAAGGCCACTAAAACCTGCTCGGCAACCGCTGGCCGGCCACTGCCATGCGGAACTGCCAGTGTGGAGAACGTGGCAGGGGAGGACGATGCTGCCGGAAGAAAAGCAAAGATGAGGGGCAGAAGTGGCTTTTCCCGCACGCGACAAGAGTAAGATGGTTGGCAGCGGTATGGAAACGACCCCATTGGCCGGGAGAGCAGCTTTCTCCCTCCTCCTCTTCCGCTCTCTCATGTCGGTTGAATCGAGATCAGGACGTGAAGAAGCGACCTTTTTTTCCCTGTGGCGGTCAAAGCGGCGAGAAGTTAAAGGGAAAAAGTGGAGCAGAAGAAAGCTTGGGATTCTTATCTGATCCACATTTTGATATCAGACGAGAAGAGACGAGAAGAGACGAGAAGAGACATCAGATTAACCAAGTAGATGGCCAGGAAACCAAAGTTTATACACAAATATACACCAAATATAAACATCAGGTAGAAAGAGAAGAGTGAAGCTATTCGGAATCGTCATCATGCGCGCCAATATTCCTTCTAGTAAAGCGCACCTGAGGATCGCCTCCCTGGGCGCGGAATAAGTTATCTCCATCCTCGTCGTAGCTGTTGTCCTGTGTCTGCTCTCCGGCATGGGGTTCGTCCACTTCCTCCTCCAGGATATGTGGGCTAACCAAGAACTTCCCCATAGCTACAACAGCGTGGTAGATCTCCTTGCCGGTCGGGACGATATGTTCTCTCGGTAGCAGGAAACCATAGCTCCCTCGGTCCCGCAGCTTGATCTGGTATGAGAACCGTACGTCGAGGTCGTGGTAGAACCAGTCCAGCGCACTCCCGGCCGTGCTTTCGAGTGCATACGAGGCAACTGGTTCATTGGTGCCCTTTTCCCTAGCACCGGACGCCACGATACCTCTGCATGCAGCCTTAGTGTCATATATCTCTCGCGACGACCGACGAATGGCCTTCGCTAGACCTGCACCTAGCTCTTCTAGGTTTTCTAGGTTGGCGGGTAGATGGGCGCACGAGTGGCCGTATGGATACAGGATCTGCTGCGAGTAGGAGTGCAGATCTACAAACCCAGCAAAATGGACGTTGTTCTCCGTCACTTCTTTGCGGGCCCAGTCGGCGATTTCGCGGGCTTCGATGGCCTCAAACGGCCCCTCGCCTGCATAGCTCTCCGAGCAGGGGTTACTACGAGTCGCGTTACCATCCCATTCGAATCCCCAGGAGCGGTCGAGGTCGATTCCGGGGCAGAAGGAGAGGGAAGTCGATTGTCGGTTTTTGCGCCACAGACGGTCGGTAGAGAAGGTATATACGTATCCGTCTGGGTTGACGGTGGGAATGAAGACGTAGTCGAATTGTTCTAGTAGTTTGGTGATGGATCGGGACTTCCCGTAGCCTGTTATGAAAGAGTATGCAATGTATGAGACTGTGGAGACGCTGATCCATTCGCGGGCATGAGCACCGCCGCTGATGACGATTGTTCGGCGTCTGGGAGCTTGCTGTGCGTTGTTTGTCGGGTGTACGCCGACCCGGAGGGCAGGTATATCGCGGCCCTCAGCTGTCGTGCCCACGCTGATCAAGGTGGTGTGGGAGGAGAACATGGACACGAGCAGGCGCATCCATGGAAGAAGGACTGAGAGGGGCTGGTAGTCCTGGAAGAAGATGTTCTTGGTTTCGTGAGGTTGTGATTCCGGCGTGCTGGCAGACGGAGAGAAGCGGCGGGTTGTAGCTCCCGGATGTGATGGTGAGGATGGGTTGTTCTTCGGGTACGACTCGTATATAGCCTGCGCCAGATCGCGGATCAATGGGACATGGGAGGTCTGTAGAGACGGGGGAAGCAGCCCGAGGAGAGATGGAATCTACACGCTATCAGTATCAACTTATGTTACTTACGAATAGGCAAGGGATAAAAAGAAGGGCATACCACATCCCTGGAGAGACGAATATCTACCCCGTCATCATGCGTGCCCCAGACATCAAGAAATAGAATGTTCGATGCCTCGACCAGCGCCTTCATTTCCTCCTGGGTCTTGATCGTAAATCTAAGGACCACATCCTCTCCGTATCTCGCCTGCAGCGTCGCTGGTGCCTTTGACGCCGCCTCTGACTGCTTCCCCGTCTTCGTCTCACTGTCCTTTCCACGCTGCGGAACCCCCCACACCGATTCAACGATCGAGTCCCGCAGCCTTGTCCATGCTGACGGCGGTCTGTATGCGCCCTGTCGGACCTCTAGCACTGGATCTGTGTCTGCAGTGGCACTGCGGCCGGTCGAGGGGAATGTATATGCCTGGCCATCGTGCTGTGGGATAGCCGAGACCAGGGGGAGCGAGGAAGCGAGAGACAGGAGTAGGCTGAGCTGTACAGTGACGTGCATCTTGCCATCGACAGAATCGGTCAGTCGGTCAATTGAAAGGTGTCTGTATTTGTTATTTCATCGCTGGATGTCTGGAGATTGCTGGCCTTGGAAGATCATGACTTCATCGAAACCGGAAAAGAAAAAAAAAGATACAAAATCCAAACGCCACAAACTTCAAGCCACAATCGATTTATTTTAGTTACAAAAAAGGACTTCACTCGATGATTGAGATGGACAGGACGGACTGGATGATCAGGATGGGCTTGAGATGGGGTCTTCTCATCTAGACAAAGACAGTGTGCGTGCCGCCTTTCTTTCCAAAATACATCGAAGCGAAGAAATCGGCGCCGTCTTCCTGTCCGTACAGCTTAAAGGCCGTCAGGAACTTCCTCAGCCAGGTCTTGCGTCTCATGGCGAGCCTGGCGATTCGTGCATTTCTCTCCTCCTGGAAGAGGTTGACGGTCCTATCGAGTCTGCGGCGGAGCGACTTGAGGGTGTAGATATCCAGCATCCCTTCTTCCTCCAAGAGAAACAGCACCAGGAGCTGGTAGATGAACCTATTAGCGAGGGTGATTCTGGACTGTTCGGCTGCCTTCTTCAGCTTCGGATCCATGATGATCGATGACCCGGGGCTGTGCTTTTTCCTGTCTATATCTTCACCGTCCTGCAGGTACATGAGCCCCCGGAGGAGCGTTCGTCGAGCCTCGCTGAGCTTCTGAAAGCCAGTCCCAGGCAGACACGCTGGACAATCGCATACAAAGCCCAGGGCGTCGTGGCGGTCCTTCGCGGGATAGAATGTGAGGCTACCATCGTAACAGATGGTGAGCTCTTCGCCAGCAGCTACATCTCTGATTGCATAGGTTGAGATGCACTCCTTTCCGTCAAAGGGAGCCTTGCAGTTGGCGACACACGAATGGTTGAATCTCGGCTGGAGGATGAACATGCCGCGGGCAGGATGCTCACTGTCCTTGAGCTTAACGACGCTTGACACTGTCATATTGTTGCCATAGAAGGCATCCGTCATGTTGGTGTATATTTTGGAACTATTCTCGCGGAGGCACAGGAACTGCTGTCTATCCGCCGGCTTCAGTCTCTGAAAACCTGCAAGGACCGCCAAATCTATGGACTTATCAATGGGCTTTCGGATAACGAAGAGAGGATCCTCTCTCAAGATTAATTCTCCTTTCTTGAGGTCTTTCGTTGCAAAGACGCCCCATCCCTTTCCTGGAGAGGGTTTCAACACAAACGGCGCGTTCTCTGGCAGCTTGAGCTTCAGGTAGGCTAGAAGAGTTAGCGAGGACGCATATTTAGGCATATGAGGTAACTTACGATGCTGTGCAGGCATTTTTACTTTTGCTCTGGGGCCGGACCTGGTTGTTGACGATGGTTGATAGTTACTCAAGATCAACTAGAGAAGGAATTTATATAGTAGTGTAGCGAGGAACACATAATTGCAGACAATACTGCGCTAAGAGATTTATTCACTAGGACATAGTTTGCACTGTAGAGGACAGAGGCTAACGTTGTGTCTGGTTATTTTAATAACAGACAACACATCTCTCACTTTAACAGTCTGTAGTATGCAAATCTCAATAAAAACCATTCACTGTTTAGACATTAGTCTATCGATGAGTTAGTTTGGAATAATCTATACTTCTAGTCAGCTTCCATATTACTCTTTATCTTTATAAATTTAACTAGCACTTATCTTTAAGCCCAACTAAATACAGCCTCCTTGTCTACTTTATATTTGGTACATAAAGATGATGTTACCTAAATGAGTCAGTTACTAGTATGAGGCCTTTTTTAAAAAACGTTAAATTAATAAACTTGAATATCTTGAAATTATTATAACTGGGCCAAGAGTAAAAAATATTCTTCGCAAGTGAGCTGAAGGGATATAGATGCCTGATATACTCCATATACTCAGGAGAAAAACTCACACATCTATTAGTACCTGGAATGATTATATTTAATGCAAGTATCTTTTATTACTCTATTTCAGTTACAGAACTTAGTCCAGGAATCTGGTATAATATGGAAGTTCTTTATCAGAGCTCCATCTTCACATTTTTATATAGTAAAAAACGTCAACAAATACTTGTAGCACGTGACTTACCTTAAATGATTTAAGCTCAGCCAATAAAATTATTGCACTAAAAATAGCCGAACTTTATCAAGCTGTAATTCAGAATGGTAGCAATTAAGAGATATTACAAAGAACTCCTAGTAAATAGTAATTCCCCATATGATAACAGCGCCTTGTACGTGAGTTAGATAGTTTCCACCAGAGGGAATGAACTAATCGAAGAATGGTCTTTTCGACTTTCCGGGCCAGCCGCATTACCGGATACTTTTAAGACCGCTTCTGTATTATTTATTCTCTATCAACACTGAAAAGCCGTTCCCGACTTGGAGGCCATATTCTTCCCACCACCGGCAAATCCGGTCCCCTCAGACGATATCTCGACCAAGCCCGGCCGTATTTTATCCTTATCCTTCTTTCCTTCCTTGCTTGCTCTTTTGTTGGTTAAATCCGCGTCGCATACATAGCAAAACACCTTTCCTACCCGTTCTGACTCAGATGGATCAGTAGAGTGCGGGTCTGCGCCTTTGTCTGCAGTCATGAATTGGTCTACGCATCGTTTGCAGATAACGTGTCCACAGGGCTTGGCCACTAAGAATATGAGTTAGTTGTGTCCATTTGGAGTGGTTGAAAGACCCACGCATAGCCTTAAGTCCGTTGCTAAGAGCCTTCTTGCAGCTTGGACATATGCGAACCATATCTCCTGCCTTTTCATCTTTCTCTTCTGTGAAATGAACCGTCACAAGCCCTTTCAAGGAGTACCCATGCTTGTTCTCAGGTGTTGACGCCGGACATATCGGGTTGAGCTTTGCCGGTTTGACATCCTCGCCATTCTCAGCAACCGAAGGTGTTAATGATGGTACCCAGAATGATGGAAGTTGAGATTTCGATGATTCCGCCTAGTATTCCGTCAGTACACTCAAAGTAAATAAAAGTGCAAACAACATATACCTTCTCCTTCTCAATCCTCTTCATCATCTTTTCTCGTTCCTCCATTGCTATCTTTCGCATTCCCTCCTCATCCAACTCAAATCCTTCTCTTCGCCTCTTTTTTAGCTCCATGCTTTCTATAGACGCATCCCCGTTCCTCTCAGCCTTATCCCTCCCACCGCCATTCTCTTCTAGCTCTCGCTTCCTCTTCATCTTTTTCTCTTCCAGCCCCATACTAACCATCTCAAACTCCTTGAGCTCTCTATCCCGTGCCTCGGCTGCCAGCCGCTCTTGATCTTCATCTCTTTCCTGTTTTGCAATTTCCCGTTCCTTCTCTAGTCTTTTAATCTCCTTTCGCTGTGCAAGGAGGTCATTGACGGCGCATTCACGGCAGAAGAGGTCGCCGTTCGTGGCGCAGGCGACGACGGGTTCACGAGCTGGTAGGAGACAGAGACGGCATGAGGAAAATGGGAGAAAGGATTCGCGTGAGAGTCGAGTGCTCTGGGATCCCCAGGTAGAGCGAAGGAGAGAGCGTTCGTAGGATGTGAAATGCGGGAGCGAGGTGTTGCGCTTTGAATGAGCCATGGCCGTACGTAAACCAATTAGGTACCCCTAGCTGATAGAATGGCTGTAACAGTTATACGCTATAACTACACTCGTTAATTAAAACTAGATAGTAATATAATCGCCAAAGTAGACGGTCTTTTTCTGTTTTATTCAGCTTGTAAGATGAAAAAAAAGTCGCGAAGTCGAAAGCTTCAAATCGATAAGGATGCTGACTAAGCACAACTTTGCATACAAAACTTTTTCTTTTTCTTCTTCTTCTTCTTCTTCTTGCTGCCTCCATTCGTTGTACTTGCAGCATCTCCTTTGGCTGATGGTTGATTCAGCCTCTCTCAATCATGGAGTTTCTTTTGTTCCTCCAAGGTTTTGATCAGGGACTCCAATTCCTCTGGCTTTAACGAGCTCTCAGTGTCCTTCGCGCGGGGTTGCTGGCGGTCTGGCAGAGAGCTCAAGTGGAGGTATCTGCCCTTCCTAATGCCGGCCATACATGCGATAGCCACGCCTTTTCTATCTATAGGACCTATCTTATAGACATCCGTATCCTTGGATTGCCCCGTTACCTTTGTCCCGTAGCCTGGAATCAGACTTACGTCATGTTCATGTTTAGATATCCAAGCCACATGAGGTCCTTTCGCTCCTTCAACAAAGCTATATTGAGCTTTAGCCATCATCAGAAATGCTAGTGCCCGGCCACGGTCAGAATGGTAAGCCGCAAACCGAGCAGCCTGTTCAAGGACTTGTGCGGTCCGGAAGTCACGGATGGACAGGATTATCGTCAGGATATATAACCGTTCAACCGCTTGGAAGAATACTGCCGGATCCATAACGGAGAAGAATTGTGTTGAGATAAGTCTAAGGTCCTGCTGCATGTTTGCGAAGCATTCCTCCATGGCTGGACTAGGGAAGTCGCAGGAATTGCAACGACAGACAAATCCAAACCGGTTAAGCATGTACTGCCTTCTAACCGCTGGGGCCATATGAATAAAATCATAAGGGACAGTCACTTCCTCTCCCTTAGGTATTATTTTTGTTGCCCTTATTGAGACAAACTTCCGCTCGGTGGCTCCCCTGCCCCTTAATCCAATTACCATCTGGTGTGCATTTGGTGTGCAAGAATATTAAGCCGCGAGATTAATGGAGCCACTGCTCTTATTATCTTTCCATCTCGAGTCAAACTCGGACATGGGACGCACGCTCGGTCAAACTTTGCACCTGGGCTATCCAGCTCATTATCATCTCCGGCTTTTGGAAGTAACTTGAAAAAGGCTTGGAATTCGATATGCATCTGTTTCAGTTTTTCTAGGACCAAGGCGTCGTATTTTGATGGATGCAAATCCTTGTCAGTTTCTGGTAGCAGCATGACCCGCTCATGAAAAATGTGCTCGCCGACATTTATCTGCGCGGTAGTGGCGAGACCAAAGCCACGGTCACCGAAGTTTTCCACTTTGACATTTGGTTCGACTGGTGAATGGTAATTGTCAAGACGTTCCGGCAAACCAACCAAGCTCTTCAACCCCATGTTTAGCTGTGGATATAAAGGATAGTATACGTTGAGATTTCGCCGATTTAGGCTAATGCCAAATGCTCCAACGCAGAACCGTCAAGAGTTATTAGTTTTTATCTCCACTTTCTTCCTTTCGACCTTCGGGTGAGGTTCTTTCCTCTAATATTTGATATTCACCCCGTCAACCAGATAGGAAGGCTCTAGTCATTTTAAGAAGGATGAATGTTCTGCGTCTTGTCAGACTTAAGGTATCCGCTCGGATCTATGGATTATAGGACGCCTATGTTGTTTCATTAAAATCCCTCCGGCCGAAAAATATGTTAAGAAGCAGAGCTATATGGTGTGAGTTTCTTTGTGCGAACTCTCTTTATATTAAATCTATGCAAGGCGTGCTAATGTCATCATAGACTCGACCTCAGCACTATCAAGCCAAGATTTGTACTGCCGGGGATTAATATATCGTTCTCCAGTTATTAGATCAAAAATGGAAGACCGTTTAGCGGACAAGGACCTTTAAGGGAAGTGATGCCGAGTAAATATAAAACGGAAGGCTTAAACGGATAAAGAAGGTGGACCTTTTTGCATTTAAGTCATGAAGATATGGCTACTTGCAATTCCACCAGAGAAAGAATAAACAGCCGGGTCACCTGAGCCACTCACGGCCCAAGCCAGAGACACCCAAAGATGTGTCAAAAGAATAACTCGTCTCTCTGCCGCCATAATGGCGCGGCGCCGTATTTTAGCCACACGGGCAGAACGAACGTTTGACGGAGTCCTAATATCTCTTCTAGAGACACCTATTATTGAAAATACGCTTATTTATTCCCCATGATAATACATCTTTTATCATACTGACTGTTATAGAACGATCATGCCTTTCGGGTTCAAAGTACATTCTATGCGGATATCCCTAAACTACACCCAACCATCCGCCGAACCAGGTCAAATGCAATGACGCTGTACATTAAACGCCGAGAAGAAACGTTGCTTCGCGGGATAAGAGATGCTCCCATACCGCTATAACCAATGCCCGAAGAAGGTATGGTGACAAGGCCCCGGGTGTAATGGCTGTATATGGATGATACCATAGGACTATAAGGCCATAAGATCATGCACAGTGGTGGCATGTGCTACTGCACTGCTGATATGCTTGTATAGCTAATAACCTGCAAGAGAATGCGCTTATAAAGTCACAAAGGCAGTAGTTCTATTCTCTAGATTGATTCTATATAACACCAAGGAAAGTCGATAGATACTCTTCATGATCCTGAGATCTTTCATTCAACGTCAATATCTTTACACGAGAAAATACGTAGTTATATAATAGAAAGTAAAAGATTCTGGAACAAAGAACAACCAATTACTTCGAATATTATGCTTTTATTTATCAATTTACACAGCTGCAAAGTGAATGCTAATACCATTTCTATACATAACCTGGTAAGAGGGGAAAAGGATAGAAAACAGAAAGAGAAAAGCAGAGCAATGTATAAAGTGGAAAAAAGCAAAAGCGGCAACATATTCCACCATCCATCCAGCCATTCTTTACCACAGAGATAGGGGGAAAAAAAAAGAAGAGTTGAAAAGAGAACGTGAGGCGTCGTACATACGCATGACCAGCATAGTTGATGTACGTCGACATTTGATAATGATAGTGAAACAAAACGGAAGGAAAAAGAGGGGGACGTAGCGTCGTACATCGCGCCCATAGAATAGAGGGAGCAAAAGCAGGGAAGAGAAGGAAGAAGTTTTAGCGCGCAGCGTGAGTGAGAAAGGATAAAACAGAAAAGAAAGAAACGCTTTTATATATTCCACAAAGATGAAAAAAGTCGGGTATTCGTTTCGTTATGCCATCCATCATGCGTTTCTTTCTGGGGAAGAGAAAAGAAGGAAAGGAAAAATTCACGAGGGGTAAAAATGGGAAATGCAAAGGGGAAGGAAAGAAAAAGAAAAAAAGATTGGTCGAGGTCGAAGGAGAAGGTAAAGTTCGGAAGGTTGGAAAGGGTATTTATGTATGTATGTGTTCAAGCTACGACGAGTTTTGAATCGTCATGAGACACTTGATGGTCACTGGTATTGCCGGAGCCGGAGACGGAGGTATGTGTCACGTCGCTTATTGCTGGCGAGCAACGAGATGCAACGCCCGTAACCGCTGTGTCTGTAGACTGGAGGGTAAGTGCAGAAGTAGAAGCAATGCTAGTTGATCTAGCTATTTGCGAGCCTACCTGGTCTGCACCGTCACCTCCGAGGGTTGAGACGATAGAAGATGCAAAGACCGATTCAGTGCCGTCATCGTTAGGTGCGTCTGTTTGAGACTGAGTTTGCAGCTGTTGGTGAGACTGCGGTTTACGCTGCTTTAGTCTCTGCTCCGGCGAAAGAGTCTGCCATTCAGAGCCAAATGTGATGATAGAAGCCTTCTTGCCATGAACAGTGAAGCTTGGAGATTTACGAGGAAGAGTTCCTAGCTCATCAGATTTGGCTGTGGGAGTAGATGGGGTTCCAGGGCTATTGTTATTGTTAGAACCGGCGCCAGCAGCTGTAGAGTGAATGGAAGAGTGGGAAGAGGAATCACGGTCTCGGCCTTTGCGGCTTGTGCGGTGAAGGGGAACGTTGTGATGGGCTTCTCGAAGGGTACGCTGGAAGCTGCGGCGGACCCTGGAACGTTCAGAAGATGGTGGAGGGGAGGGTTGGGCGGTGCTGGTGTTTGTAGTGTTGCTAGGTATAGGGGTGATGGTTTCATCCTTGCCAGGGGAATTAGGCGGACTTGAGAGGGGGACGGTATCCAAAGCGAGAATCCCCGTTTCGCGGAGGAAACGTTGTTCTTCATCATCATCTGTGACACTTGGTGTTGGAGTGGCTGCGTTGGATGTGCTATCTGTGTCTGTGAGGGGCGTCGTCACAGAGTTGGGGTTAGGTGTAGAAAAGTTGGTCTGCTTAGATGCTATTGTAGAAGAGGTCGATTGGCGATGGCTCTCTCTACTAATAGGCGCTGCATCGGGTCCGACTAGTATACTTCCATTTGGCGCCGTGGCAGTTGATATCGATGCCCTCTCATTGTCCTTTTCGCCCGGTAAAGTGGTAACCTCTAAAACATCCCCAGCACCATCCATCATTTGCCCAAGGGCAAGTCCAACTTCCTTTTTCCAGCCACCTGCACCAACCCGGCCCTCTTCCTCTGCCAAATCCCTAGCTAAGATTCCCCTATGACACTTCAACCGTTCCAGCTCAAGCCGAGCCCACTTGACTTTGGCGGCCATTCGGCCTGCCGCAAGAATGACCTGGCCTCTAGTACGTGTATGAATGGGCGTAAGATGCTGCAGATGTCTCGCATTTCGCAGTAACAAGTCAACCTGACGTTGTGAAACAAACAATTTCTCATTCGCTTCTTTGATGTGCGCTGATATCTGCGCGCGGCGAGCGGCATGTGCTTCCTGTGAATGCTGCGGGTCTGCGTTGGCCAGTTTTCCTTTCTCGGATCCTCTCATTCGAATGCCACTAGTGCGATATGTAGCAGCATAGTTGATCAGGTTTACCCAATCTGCCATTTCAATATCCGAGTTGGCAAGGAACACTTCCTCATACCCACCGTTACGTACGAGAAGGAAGGCATGTTTGTGCTTCTTATAACCTGAGTCAAGCAATGCTACAGCCTCCGCGGTAGACATGATTGTATCGGGCTTGAATGCTGTGAGGGGTGGGGTAAATGTCACTGCTGGGGGACGGCTGTCCTGCTTATATTTTGCGTCATACTGCGAGACCAGCGATTTTACCCACTGCACGTCACGGAATAGATAAAGTTGAGAGCCAGTAAGAACGGCACCCCATTCTTGCCAGGGTGACAGAGCTTTCTTCTTCTTCGCATCTTTGCGCCAGAGAAGACCGACTTTGACAACACGGATATCAACTAGTCCAGGTTGGGACTCTGCTGGGTTAGCAATTGATGATTCAGTTAAGAATGCGTCTGGGCGCGAACGAGCAGAGACAATCTGAAGTTTGCACGGGTTGTCGAACGTATTATTTAGCTGTGCTATAGAAGGAGGAGAGGGTAGATGTGTGTTTGTTGCCGGGGTCGAGGAGTAGACTTCGTCGAGTTCCATGACATTCTTGAGGTTAGGTCGTAGAGAGGATACTTTTCCTTCGAGAATGAGCGCGTACGGGTCTATTGGGTCCCTAGATGATTTCATTAAATGGTCGGTGCTGGCCATTTTTGTCATTAGGTTGCTTCTAGCCTTGGGGGAAGAGAGACGAGAGCTAAGGTTGATTTCATCCTCAACGTGGATAAAGGGGGTATAGCAGATATTGTCATAGAAGCATTCCAGGATTTCATCCATCACACCTTCGCCGCGAGTATTCTTGACGTAGTCTGCACGTTGCATCTTGCGCTTGTTGTTCTTGTTAAACACGTCTGTGTGTAAGATAAGTAGTGAGAAGGCGATAAAATAAGCTTGTTCTGTGGACGCAAATATCCCCGGGTTACATTCGTGGTAACGGTTGGCAAAGGACTGAATCATACGATCAATGTGCTGAGTTTCTCTCGGTAATTCGGCTTCCATAAGCAGTTTACGAATAGCCATGTCCATAGGGTCACCAAAAAACGAGAACCCACGCATATATTTGCGTAGGGCAACAGAATAGAATTCGTCCGCAGACTGGGAGAGGATAGTCGCAATTGCGCCACGGTGGACATTGGATTCGAGGCGGGAGAGATATGTTGCAGGAGTATCGTCTGGAGAACGTGGTGGATAGGAAGATAATTCACGAGCAAGGGAGAACGAGTTGGCCTTAGACGCTGTGGGCGTCATTGGGCTGGTCCCAGCCACAGGAGTGGAGGCTGTTGGAGTTCCTAAAGGAGGAGTCGTAGTAAAGTCACTCTGGCTGTGCTTGAGACGGGTGTGAATGTTGAAGAGGTCACTGAAGGATTTACGAGGGGCACCGACTGCCGGCGGAGTGACCTCAGGAGTTAGGTTGTTATCCGTGTCATCCTGAATATGGTGCAGGGAGCCCAGGGTGGACGACCTGGCACGGCGTTTGGCACGATCTGTGGCAGCGGGAGAGACAGATGACTTTGAGCGACCAGAAGTGGTGGAATCTTTACGGAAAAGGGGAGGTCTAGGAGACCCGGCAGTAGATGCTGGGCGTCCAGAAGACGACTGGGAGGGCGATGGGACGGTAGAATCACTATATAATTCTGCAGATTTACTCGATTGAGTCTGGCGGTGGTACGGCTGGCCGTCCGCAGGCGGTATTTTAGGCACGGGGAAGAGAGACGCCCGGCTCTTCTTCAGACGCGGGAATCGAAATATAGAGGAGGACGCAGAGGTGGGTTCTTTCTTCGATGGCTGGCCATGATACATCGATCTGTCACCAGAGCTGGCATCTGAGCGAGATGATTCCGATAGACGAGCGGTAGACAGACCTGACTGCGAGTCTGCGTGTGCATGGGCCCGGTATCCGCTACGGAGAGAGGCGGTCGACAGTCTTCCGGCTTCTTCGAAGCAGATGTGTGAATATCTTGCATTGGACGAGGCCGGCGGTGTGGAGCTGGCACTCCGATCCTTCTTGGGCCTTCCCGTGGGCCCCGGACTCGAACTTCGAGATGCTGCTTCCACATCAGAGACGAGATTATGCGATGACCGCGAAAAAGGCAGCTGGCTATGCGGTTGGCCCGGAGTCTGACCCTTTGCCGGCTGTTCCAGATTGTGGTTCGTCGGCGAAGTAGTGATGATGGTAGGGGCTAGGGAAGTCAGTCAGCATTCTCCATTCCCATTTCATCCGAACATTACTGGTAACACCTACGAGGAACCAGCTTTGGCACTGGCGGCGGTTCCGAGTTTTGGTAACTGGACGACAATTGAGGGTCAGAAGCGTGACGGAACTTCATCAGACTAAACCGGTTTCTCTTGGTTGCTGCACGAGACAGGTCCTTCCCCCGGGCAACATCAAGTCTGTTGCCAATGTTGCAATCATGGGTGGACAACGAACGTTCTCCAGCCACGGTCTGGGTCTCTGACAGACTGGGCAGCGGGGAGCGAGGGCGCGATCGAGTCGAATGCTCACTCCGGCGAGGCGGTAGTTCGATCTCTGACTGCGCGGGCGACACATGCTTCTTTGTAGTATTATCCTTCGAGCTACCTCGGAGATTCCACGGCATCCTGATAGCGGTGACCGTCTCCGTAGTGGTAGTAGTAATAGTAGTGGTCGTGGTGGTCGTGGTGGTGTTGGATCTCCTCCACATCGCACGCTGGGCATGTCATGTCATGGTCGAGAGGGAGGAGGAAGCCCTGCCTGGAAGGTTTCAAGATCAGGTCGTACTTGAGTGAACAGCGTGATAGAGTCGATGTGATAAGTTTCACTATCTCTTTTTCCTTGTCTTTAAAAAAAAAGGGAGGGCGTGTTTCGCTGGCTGCAGCTGAAGTCCTGCGAGGGCGAGACGTGAGATGAGGCTAGTGCGTCAGCCTTGGAAGGTTATTTACCGCGGAAAAAAAAACACAGACAGGGCCCAAGCGAGGTCCTCTTCCACTCTCGATGCTCTCGATGACCCTTTTCTCTGTCAAACGACGTGGAAGACGAAGATATCAACTTGTCAGCTCGTTAGCAAGAAGAAAGTCGAAGTCGAAGAAGTTGAGAAAGTCGAAAAAATAAGCTTATGTAATCCTGGCAGAAAGGACGAGAAAAGCAACCAATCACGAGTCAGGCTTTTTTCTCCGCCTTCTCTTCCATCCCTGCCTATGACGAAAGCCTTTTTTTATTTCTATAACAAGTCAACAAACCAAGAAGAAACAGGAAAACAGTTTTAAGAAGATGATTCCGTTTTAATTTATTTATTCTGGGGGTGCCGTGACTAAGGGATACTACCGTTGGATGTGTCTCCCTGTTCATAGCGTGATTACCGGCCGTTGCATACATTGTACAGGGTTCTTTATAGGCTGCTTAGGCGTTGGTCATAGACCATTGGACCGGAAGACTCTTGGTATGCATCCCTTTTATGCGGTTTCTCCTCACTTGGCTTCTAGATGCATATATGGAAACTGCTAAATGATGTAAGATGGCCGGTGTGGTGGGTTATCTGCTGTGAATCCCACGACTCTTCCCGGAACCCATGGTGATAAAACCAGGGTCAACTACAAGCCAGCCCAGGGCAGCCGGGCTCGCTTTTGCCAATTCAGCTTCCAGAAATCAACAACGAATTCGCCTCCATCCTCGAGGATTTCAAGAAACAGCGCATCTAAAGCGATGTCGTTGAGCTTAGTTGCTGCGTAGAGTGTCACCAACTTCCTCAGGGGATCTAGCACCTTGGTCTGTCCCCGTGTGTTGCCGTCGTGGTATATAAATCTGATCAGCTTGATGAGGTCTCCAATCCGTTTCTTGAAGAGGGTAAAGCCCTTTAGCGTCGTGTAGAGCTTGTACAGCACTAGATCTTTCAAGGTCTCGATGCAGTATTTGTCCGCTATCACGTATAGTCGAGCATGCCCAAGGAAAACGGGGCTAAAGTCTTGATCTTCAGTGACATTGGAGAAAGGTTTGAATTGTTCGGTGAACCGTGAGCATCTTTCGGGGAGCGGGTAGTCCTTGTCTCTCAGGAGATTGTCGAGCTCCTTTCCTTTCATTTCAGGAAACGGGTAGTCTTCGTCTCTCGGGAGATTATCGGACATTTTCTCCTCTTCAAAAAACTGTGTCCAATCATCAAGAGGCGGGGCTTTCTGAGAGCCAGACTTTTTTTTCCCCTTCTTTGATCTACCAGTACTAGACAAAGCTATCTCTAGTTCTGGCTCTGGCTTTGGTATCATTAGGGCAGCAGCCGGCGAAGCTTCAGTCTCACCAGTTTCAACCGGCTGCTTGATATCACACGCACAACTAGGCGGAGAATAGTCGTCCAAATAGCAGAATTCACAGAACCGAACAAAGGTATCTTCGTCCACATCTGGCCATGCTACAGTCCTGGAGTGAGCCTCCATCATGTTGCTATTGACCAGAGCACCGAGAGCAGAAGATTGTTTCGCTATGGCCTCGGAATTTACCACGAAAGGAACCTTTTCGGGTCCAATGTGGAAGGTAAATAGTTTCGACCGGATGAACCTATACTAAAGTTAACAAGTTTGGCCGCTAGAATAGATCACAAGACACTACCTACTTGCCAAAGGGTTTATCCATGGTGATATCTTTCCACGGAGTGATAATGTGATATGGTAGAGAAATCAAGAGCTTGGTTGATGTGTAAAGACGGTAGCTGAGATGTAGAACCTTTATAGATGATTTGAGTCAAGAAAACCTGATAGAAGGAGCAAAATGAAGAACTGTAGTAATTGTTTGTCTATATTAGACGGCTTGCAGAGCTCCTGAAACTGTGCATGTATGAAATGCTGGTAGCGGACGAGTGCAGTTCATGTTTCCGTTCACCGTCTGGATAGCAAGCTGCATTGGTCCAAAGTCCGGGTATTGAACATGGCATTAAATGCTAGCAACCTTGATTATGCATTGGAGGATTGACATGGTATGTATGAAAAGAGGTACCGGTATAGGTCGGTCGTACAACTTTAGGAGAGGTTTCACGGAGAGAAATACTAAGCCATGAAATTTCTTGATATGATTGCTCGCTGACATCACTAAGCTATTGCTTCCGAAAATAAGAAGATGGCCCGAAAAAAAAAAACAGAAAGTGGGAACTGCACACAGAGTCTAGTAGTATATTACATGGAATAAACAAAAAAGAGGGATATACATAACGCTTCAGGCTCGTGAAAATGCCACAAAACGATTTATCGCTGAGGCAAGCTCTTCCTGTCACTTGCTTTCTTGAACTCGCGAACTGTGATATCACACTTCACCTCCTGGCAGAGAACACCACGTCTGTAAGGGGGTAATTTGCTAGCGAACTCAAGCCCACTGGCACGCTCGATAGCTTCCAACGGCACCTCGAAATCCTGCAGTCGTTTCTCATTCGGGATCTTAGCGTTGGGAAGCACGAAAGCTCCCAGGCTGACTTTCCCGTATTCTCCATTCCCGTCTTCGGCAAAGATGACCTTGTAGAAATGGGTGGGCACAGCGACGTTGGGAGGGTTGCCAATCACTTCATAGCTGACTTTCCACTTTCCATCTGCGGGGTCCCGTTTGGGCAGATAGAGCGGTCCAGTAACGATGCGAACGGAGGGATATCTATGTGTCAGTCTGCGGCAGAAGTCTTCAAAGTGCGCCCAGTAGTCACGGTTGAAGCCCTCTCCGACCTGTGGACACATGTTTGCCAGCGAAAAGGTAGCGTCCATTGCTTCCTGGCTCCATTTGGCGTCGGCTGCGGGGACCTGGTGGCCTCTGTCATATCCGGAGCGGTAGTAGTCACTCAATCGCGCGCGGAACGCAGCCGGGATGCTCTCCTCTTCATAAAATTGGCTGTGGGATCGATCTCCATCTCTCTGAGCTAATGATTCAGGAGTTATATGCTCGGCTACCCATGCTGGATTGCGGGTTCGACGGTCAAAGCCGGCTGTCAGAGAAGGGCTGTTGACCTCATCCGAGACTGGGCCTGGGAAGCCATATTGGAAGAGCCCCGTGGGATCAACTGGCGCGTCCGAGTAGCGCGTAGGAAGCGCAGGGGATGGAACTCGAGCGGCTGTAGCAATAGGTGAAGCTGCTGGAGGAGGTGGAGGAGAGCTTCGAGCCGGGACTTGATGAGGCTGGTGACGAGACGAGCTGGAGGAATATATCAGAGCAGTAACGCCGGCGCCTGTAGCTACACCGGCGGCGGCGATGATAGCGAACGTAGCTTTCGACATCTTCAATGGGAATATAGCGGAGTTGTCGATGGGATAGCTTCAGCCGTAGCGAGTGTCTGGACGTGATAATGAGCGAATATCAGCCCTCCGCCTTCGTCCTCGTCGTTAGCGCCTCTGGTCAGCTTCGTGATCTGGTGATAAAGAAAATGTGCAGGTGGGCCATATCTCCATCGGGCCGACAATTTTCCCAGGCCCTCCTTTCTTTACGCAGATAACTTGTAGGTATGGAAACGAAAGATGCTCCATAGATTGCCATTTTGAACAGCATAAGAAAGGACGAGTAAATATTTTGGTGGTAACACACGAAGGCCATCATGGATCTATTAAGCTCGATGTAAAACTCATAATCGACATATTGATATGCTTGTCATGAACTGGAGATTATATCCCAAGTAAACGCAACTAATCTACAAAATGGAGTACTCATAAGTATATTCTAGTAAATTAGCGGTTTTCGCCTTTTGTAAGTATTCGGGGGAATTCAATTTATTCATGGCGTAATAATCAAACTACTGCGCGATTGGAGTAACGTTGGTAAAGTCTATAATATTCTTTTCTTGAGTTGTCTCTGGGGGCAAGTTAGAAACCGAAATATGGCCTCGGTATCCTTCTGACATATACATGTAACCTGTGGAATACTCTGTACATCGAGATACATTGCGAGAATGCTGATAGCCAGACGAACATGAGGGTGCACACCTAGCAATGAGAGCTGAACAGTCTAAATGAAAATGAGGAAATATTCTGACTTCTAGGGCTGCTAGCCTATCTTCCCTGTCGATGATTTCCCATGTCTCAAGTAATACTCCGCAAAATGCTTCTTTGCCCATCAGCTGGTCTGGAGACAAAGCGAAGGCGCCCTTTTTTTGATAAAGGTGTGCAATTAGTCAGCTTTAAGTGGAGTTGTTCCGCGAATTAAACCTTAATTCTTAGATCATGTGACTCTGCCTTGCTCTCAAGGTGGCTACAAAGCGCATAGCCGCGATGCGCCCTTACCACATTTATACGCTGGTAACGGAGATTTGTTCGATAGATAGCTAGGATACCTCGAGTGTCAGCTACGCCCTTTGAAACGGATAATTCTGGGGTCTCCATGGAGAACATGGGGTAGGTTGGCCAAGAGTCATCATTCCCTGTCGGTTGTGGGGTCTTCGGAACTCCATCTGGAGGTGTCATGTCTAGGACCATGATACACAGAAAAGGTTTAATCGTCACAGTGAAACACCTCCTTCAACTATGACACTAGGGAGCACGTAACTGCGTCTGGATGGCGTCTTATACCCGGCGGAACTACCACGTTGTTGGATGCCGATGACGTTCTTCCTCATGCACCGTCGCTTATCCACGTCTTGCACGTGATGAGCTTTATTTCGACGCAGGGACCTTGAGAGCCAAGCTAGTCCGCTTTGGGAAGACTCTCTCTACGGAGTCCGTCGCTTACAAAACGCGCGGCAGAGAGCGAGTTGGATCTGAGCTTCTTCCATCAATATTTATCTTTGTCTTCTTCCCTCTCTTCTGTTTATGTTTTTCGTTCTTTGTCCCAGCTCTGCTGTAGACTTACTCCTGGAGACATCTCTGAGGGAGCTTGGAGTATAGACAAGCGGGGTGGCCATATATTTATATATACTTTATCGGTGTCAGGGGTTTTCTCTTCTCTACCAGCAGGATGGTGTCCGATAATGATATCCGGGGCTGGATAATGAGCTGTATAAGCGGGATCGGTACGTTGAGCCTACGCTATTGCCGATATGTGTTGTGCTGATGGGTGGAAAATTAGCGTGCGCATTCGGATCCAGTCTCATCTGTGTAGATGTCGTTGCACAGTATTTTGGCAAAAAGGACTTTAGGATAGCAGAGAGTGATGTATTTCTCTCATCATCGCTGAGCCTGAGTGGTGGTGTGGTTGTAAGTACAATCCACTCATTGGATGAAAGGGACAGGCCATGGCTAACTCAAACTCAGCTCTTTACGGCATTGTACAGCATGCTTCCTACCGCGAAGAACTACCTTACTCGGGCTGGTTACTCCCCACAAGCAGCAGCGTACACGCTAATAGGACTCTTTCTCTCCGGCGTTATCGTTATAAACATCTTTTCCTCCCTATTACATCGATGGATGCCGTCCCACGTCGTCAGCTGCGGGCACTCGCACTCACTTCCGCACAAGACGGATGATATCGAAGAAAGCGCAGAGACGGCGCATACGCATCATGATATCACAGAGAATACACCTCTGCTACCACACGATCACAACACAGTTAGATCTGCGGGTCAAGATACTCCTCATCAGCATAGCAGCACACCATCTCGGCCCACCACAGAAACACGAACCAAGTCGTCGGTAACGGCCCACCTATCCGAGCAGCTAACCCGCCTGATGGGCGGCCCTTCTAATGCTTCCTGTGCAAACGGAAAGTGTTTTGGTGTTTCGCAAGCTTGCGGGCTCGAGTGCGCGAAGCTCAGAATACAAAAAAGCAAGGAAGACCTCGTACCTGGAGGAGCTACCGAAATTACCATTGTTCCTCCACCCGTAGCCAACAGTGAGAATATCTCACCCCGCCCTATCACTCCTGAAGGGGCTAGCGATGTCAATCTTGCCGGGCAAGACTGCTTCATTCAATCATCTAGCACCGCAACCACCGCATATGCTCCTTCGCCACCTTCACCGCGGCCCTCAGCGCACCATCACCACGTCCCGCAGAACGCCTTCCTATCCATTGGTCTCCAAACATCTCTCGCTATTGCCCTGCACAAACTACCCGAAGGCTTCATCACCTATGCAACCAACCACACAAACCCTACGCTGGGTTGGTCCGTTTTTGTCGCAATCTCCATACACAATATCACAGAGGGGTTTGCCATGTCTTTGCCGCTATACTTGGCGCTCAAGTCACGGCTCAAGGCTATCATTTGGTCTAGCTTGCTAGGTGGGATTAGTCAACCTGCTGGAGCGGGAATAGCGGCCCTGTGGATCTGGGGCTCAACCAAGCCTGGCAACAGACCTGGAGACGATGGCTCACTCGATGGGCCGTCGTCGGCGGTGTATGGCTGGATGTTCGCAATCACCGCCGGTGTGATGACGAACGTAGGACTGCAGCTGTTTGCTGAGAGCATGATGCTCTCGCACAGGAGAGGGTTGTGCATCGGCTTTGCTTTCGCGGGAATGGGTATTATTGGTCTGAGCTTTGCATTGACTGCCAAATAAGCCATATTCATCGAAATAACATTCTTCATTCTTCCATGGCCGGAGTTATTGAGTTGTTTGCGTTGCCTTGAAGCCGAAAAGAATTCGTCCCAGTTTATATAGACCTTTACCCAGATCGATTCGTTGTAAATACACATACATGAGAATATGACACAACGCATTCAAGAGCTGTTTTCCTTCTGTTTATCCTTTTCCTTCTCTCTCTCCCTCTTTCGAGCAAGATATCTCTCCTTCGCACTCATGACATCCTCCTTCGATTTCTGACTCTTAGTCTTCTCCGCCAACTCTCGTAGTCGAGCTTCTTCCTCCTCCTTCTCCTTCCGTAGTTTCTCCTCAAGCTGCTCTGCGAGCATCTCCGTCTGTCGGGCCCGTTGCATCTCGCGCGCAGCACGAATACCACCCCGATCAAACCCAGTGCCAGCACTTCTTGCTCCTGTACTAACCTTGGAGGCACCAGCTGCTGCAGCCGCCGGTTTAGGTTTCGATACAACATTCAGCCCTGCAGAAAGCAGCTGTCGTTTATCAACAACTTCACCTTCATCATTCACAGCAATATTCGCGCCTCTGGCATTGAGTTCCTCTGCTATCTGCGTTGCAGTCTTCTCTTTTACCTCTTCATCCTCGCCCTCTCCCTTCTCCGCTGCGGCATTGTTCCTCGCCGCTTCCTCCGCTGATTTAACAGCTTCTTCGTGCCTCTGCTCATCCCGCTTAAGCACATCCCGATAGAATCCCACCATTCCCATCCCCTTTTTCCTCTTCTCCGCTTCTTCCTTTTCTTTTTCGGCGTCTTCTGCTTCTATCCTCCTCACCTCCTCCTGCTGTGCCTTGTACGCTGCAGTCACAAATTTCTCTTTATCAGCAAACTCGTCGCCCTCAGCTTCCCGTTCGCGAGCAAGCAACTTATCCCTCGCTCGTAGCTGGTCTCGTTTTCGTGTGTCTGCACTCCGGAGAAGAGCCGTCATGTATTTTGGCCCTTGCGCTGAGGGATCGTTATTCGAGTTGGAGGCTTTAGACTTAGTTTTCGCATGTAGAGGGTCGTATACTGCATCGTAGTCATATATTGACGGGTCAAGCGATTCAGCTTCATTTGCATGCTTCTTGCTGCTGTGTAGAGCTGCGAGGTTTGTGTATTCACGCTTGGGCGGCGCATCAGCACACTTTGACAGTACTGTTTTCTTTTTTGACGGAGCTTCGCTTGTTGGTTTTGGAGATTTAGATTCCTCCGGGAAAGGAGATAGGCCGCCTAGCGTTGTAATCTCAATTCCGTTTGATTCTCCTTTCTGGCCTTCGTCTTCAGAGTCCGGGTCATCCCACAAGCTCTTTCGTTTCTGACCTGCAAGGATTGAAGGTGAGGGTTTCTTAGGGTTCGCCTTGGACAAATTAAGTCCGTAACTGAGCTTCGGAGGTGCCATCTGGATAATTAAAATTGGTTGCCTGGACATTTGATTCTATCGAAGCTCGAAAGTCGCGAAACTTTGAAGGCCGTCTTTGACACGTGATATTGAGCCTCATCCTGCTTATATAATCATATCCCAGACGTCACGTCGATCTTTTGGTTACAACAGCTTGAAGGGTTGAGAGACAACACGGCAGTGTACAAAGCGCGGGGTTATCGAGAAGACAGTGGTGCAGAATGTCATACTACTTTACGATCTTATCATCGACAGATGTACCACTCTTCAGCCTGGCATTTGGGACTTCCAAAGGGGGCGCAGATGGCATTGCTCGATTTCGATATGCTGATAACGAGAGATATATGAGCCAGTTCATTATACATGCAAGTCTGGATATCGTCGAGGAAGTTCAATGGACTAATGGAGCCATGTATGTTATTACTATTTTAAAACCGCTTTAACTCTGTGATGTTCTTCTAACCGTTCCAAACAGGTACCTCAAGCACATAGACACATACCCCCCAGCTTCAGCATATGTCTCTGCCTTCCTTACAGGAACAGGCGTTCGATTTATCCTACTACATCAACCCCCGCCTTCTGCCTCTCAGCCTGCCACAGGAGGATCTGGCGGCAGTAGCGGCGGCGGTCTCTCTGCCTCCGGTTTCTTATCAGGAGCTTCAGGGTCGTCACGCGGTTCATCGTCGTCGATAGCTCATAATCCTACCTCTCCACAGACAGAAGATGCCATTCGGCAGTTTATGAATGAAGTTTACGAGAATTGGGTGAAGGCGGCCATGAGTCCGTTTTATCGGCGGGGCATGGAGATTACAAGTCCTGCCTTTCGCGCCAGAGTGATGGCGGCGGGAAAGAAATGGCTGTAACCATGGCATGCGGGATGAATACACAATTCGCGCTTGAAAGAGGCCCGATATACACATTTTCGCACCACTGCCTTGATAGACAGGGAAATATGTACAGATGCGGCTGGGCCAGGCCTTTCAAGCTCCGAGATTTATGCACGAGATCCTATGCTTTTGGGTGGCAATTGGTACTATTGTCGCTCTATACTTCCTGTCGGACCTGGGCCCAGGGGTTACGCCATGTTTCTCCGGCCATCTCTGAGCTGAACGAATGTGTTCCTAGGATATGGACGTAAGCAGAGTTAGGCGATGGAGACTATGATGCTGCGCTTCAGTGGGTCAGTTGAAGATGTATAAACTCATAACTCGCTCGGCAGGCGTTAGAGCCTGTGTGCAAATAGGGCTATTAAAGCTCTGTTACCTTTGCTGTTTAGACCGAGTGAATGAACAAATATAATGAGCTCCAACTAATATGTTCAGTCCAACTTCCTTTGGCAAATTAAGAGGTATTAAGCCAGCCCGAAATTAGATACAAAAGAGCGTCCAGCCAGGAAGCAGAGCAATTGAAAACGATAACCTACTGTCAAGCCCATATATGACCCAAGCGCCATGACCCAACGCCATCAATGTGCCATACTAAGAACAAGAACCAAAATGAAAAAAAAAAAGAAGTAAAATGGCTTAGTAAACGCCGGAAGTAACCGAAATCCAAATATAGGGAGTCTTCATAAGATGTGGCATCAATTAAGAAACCATCATCTGCGGTGCCATCTTCTTCACCAGGAGACTCTTGAAATTATCCACAGCGTGCACAATATCGTCGATGCGTGAAGTGGCGCCCAGCAGCCCACCTTCCATCTTTACGCTATTACAGGCACTCAGATGGAGAGTGGGGTCGAGTGCTACGGCGCCGTCTTCCAGTAGCAGACAGTCGAACCCCTTGTCACAGCCTTCACGGAGGGTGCTCGCAACAGCGCCGTCTGTGGTCATGCCGACAACAACAAGGTTTTTAATACCTTTATTCCGTAGCAGGAGTTCGAAATCCGTGTGTGCAAACGCTCCACGCCCAGGTTTATCGATAATCGGTTCTCCCTCGATCGGATAGAGGTCTGGAACGATATCATGGCCTGGTTCGCCACGGATGAGGAAACGGCCTAGAGGGCCGGTGGACCCAACGCCCGAGGCTGTGGGGTTGTTATGGGAGCGAAAGTTCTCTCGAGTTGATAGGGTAGAGAGGTCTGATCTGTGGCCCTCGCGGGTGTGGTAGACTGGAAACCCAGCGGCTCGGAAGGCGTCCAGCAGCCGTCTGATCTTAGGGATTAGAGCCATTGCCGGCGTGACATCGTAGCCCTGATATGACATGTATCCTTCTTGCAAGCATACTAAAGGGGATATATATAGTTAGGGAAGATCTCAAGATTTGGCCAGGACAGGGGTGTGGAAGTTACCATCTCGCTGCATGTCGATGATTACCAGAGCGGTGGTGAAGGGGGTGAATGTGGCGTCATGAGGCCAATCGTATGGTACGGCTGTAACCTGGCCCTTCTTGACTCGGTGGTGAGGTGTCTGGCGCGGCTTATCCACGATAGCTCCATGGTTGTGTGACGGGTTCAGGACGGTGAGCGTCCAGATACCAGGATTCCCCGCCGCCACGAGCATGAAAGGACAATCCATCAGCCTAGACGTCCGCTTCCGCTTCCGCGTCTCCTCCGTCAGCCCATTGCGGGGCCTATACTGGCCTCCGCGATCACATCTCAACCAGACCTTCGCGGTTCGCCCTGGTTTCTTTTCGGTGGGCGTGCTCGACGACTTGACGACGACATTGTACCCGTGTGCCTTTGCGTGAGCATGGACTGACGCTATCAACGACGCTTTATCAGGATATGTGCCCTCTGGGGGCGGCACGAGGTCATCGACGGGCGACAGGTCGGGGATATCCTGTAGATCGCTAGGCGCATCGAGGTTCAAGTCCGTGGGGTCCGCCATGCTCGCCGCATGGCCGGGTGAAGCGGACTGCCCTTCTTTCCAGAAGTTAGCACCATTGCGAGCAAGCATATGTATAGACAGCAGCAAGTGCGCCGGGATTGTCTGGGAGGAAAAAAGCGGGTAGGATAGTATGCGTTATGGGCCAAGGTTCGCCGTGCGTGGAGGTATGAAGGAAAAGCTGTGGTGGTGCCAGGTAGTTTAAAGCCGGCGCCTGGCGGGTTTGCCGAGGGAGGCGCTTAGCCGCAGAAGGATAAAACACTCACCTAACCCGCAAGACGAGAAAAGCTCGCTGATGTCTGCGTTGGTGTCTTTCTTTATACAACTCGCACTTGTTTATCCACCACGTCGTTTTTCTTCTTCTTCTTTTCTTTTCTTTTCATCTTCGACTTTTTTTTTTTTTCTTTCTGCTTTTTTTTTCTTGCTGGCGAAAAGGCGCGGTCATGTGACGCTTACTCAGCAAGAGCCTCGAGGGTATAAAAAGACGAAGAAACGAACGAAAAGACGAAGAAGAAGAAGAAGTTCTCGTATATTTTTATATGGTTTAGTTATCGGGCCTGGTCGATGCTTGTATTGAGAGGCTATAGCAAGTTGGCGGGCCTGGTAGATGTTCGCAGACAATAGGTTCGCCACTGACAGGCTGAAACAGCTAACCTTTATAAATACGAGTTGGGGTTGACCAGAGACCTTGACGGATATATGGATGCTTGAGGAATATATCAAGATGTGACCAACCCCGGGAACCCGCCTGTCTGGTGCTATCTCGTGCTAATATGCGTTTAGGTGCAAGCTGGAGACTCCCTCCTTACCGTCAAGTTTGCATGGAGGGGAGCTGCTGACGATGATACCCAGCATAGACAGCTTTGTCCCCAGCACAGATGTAGAGGACAGTAATGATGACGACGATATAGTCAACTTTTTGAAGCCGCTGGCTCTGGACAATAGCACAGTATATGACCTTGCGTACCGCTTCTCGAGGAAGTTCAAGGACGTTGCTGCGAATTCTCTGGAGCAGTTCTTTCCTACTGCCGTCACCCGTCTCCCCACGGGACAGGAGACCGGCCACTATCTAGCTGCCTACGTCGGCCTCTCGTACCTTCGGGTTGCTTTTATCGATCTGCTCGGTCCGTCCGTGCGAGCAGCCAGAGTTAACGATAAAGACGGTGTCATCTCGCCGCATGTAAGACGGACACTCGAGAAGGCGTGGCCCATAGAGGAACGTCTGAAAAAGGATAACGCCAAAGATCTATTTGCTTGGATCGGAGACCGTGTCGCTGAGGTTGTGGCCGACAGCTTGGAGCCGATGGGAAGTAGCTCTCCTCCGTCTGTAGATATGGGTATCTCATTTTGTTTCCCGATAAAGTACGTCATCTCACCGTTCTCTTTTTTTTGCTGGTCTTGAGCTAACGTTGTACTAGACAGGGAAACCTTAATGAGGCAATACTGATGCCTACTGGCAAAGGATTCGCCATTAATTCAGACCTCAATCTTCGAGAAGCTCTGCTGGACGGTTATGATCGTCATATACGGCGCTCCAACCGCGAGTTTGACCCGGACACAAAGCGGCTGCGGCGCAGTGGATTGCCTACGTTGAGAGTGGTAGCCATCACAAACGATACCGTTGGGACGCTGGCGTCTCTGGCATATTCTGTGCCATCACTCCCTAACAGCCGGGCTGTCATGGGCCTCATCGTCGGCTCGGGGTGCAACGCCACCATTCTGATGAAGATGGACGCCCTCAACGAGAAGAAAACCCATCCGGTCCGAGTCAATCAACCCGATGCAACGGAGGTGCTGGTTAGCACGGAATGGACTCTCCGCGACTCTTCTATCCCGCTGCTAGAGCTCGCCATTGCTACAGAGTGGGATATCGAACTTTCAGAAGGAAGCAGCCGGCCGGGTTTCCAGCCTTTGGAATACATGGTCGGTGGCCGGTACATAGGCGAATTAGTCCGTATCATCGCTTGCGACTACCTTGAAAACGTCCGCGGGGTCCCTCATGAGGCACTTCCTGTCAACCTGGTTGAGCCGTACCGCCTCACAACCGATCTACTCTCTCTCACCGTCGCCTCAACCTCTGCTACAAAGGAGAGTCTTGCCTCTGAGCTGCGAACCAAACTCCCACCCCCTCCTTCGTCCCATGCGTGGAACTGGACCGCAGAGACAGCAGGTGTTTTACGCACCATCGCAGCAACCGTACAGACTCGATCTGCCGCGCTAGTTGCCGCTGCCACCGCTGGCCTACTCGCGTGTACGGGACACATCCACCTACGCAGCCTCGAGGAAATAGCCTCCATTCCACATACGCCCACCCAGGACGCCATCTCTTTCCTTCAGCCAAGCGACCTCCGGAGCCCAGAGGAGCTGGTCGTTGGCTTCTCGGGGGGTGTAATACAGCACTATCCGAGGTACAAGGAGCATGTGCAGAGCTATATCGACCAGATACTCTTGCGCGGTGGGCCTCAGGACGGAGGGAAGAGCATCTTCCTCCGGGAAGCAAGTGATGGCGGTATAATCGGCGTAGGTGTCCTGGCCGGCACCACCAAGGGAAGGATCGAAACCATCACCGGAGCTGGTCTCAAGGCTGTGCAGGGCGCAAGAGATCCTCAGTCATGATATACTATGGCTTTACGTTGCAATTTCATGGCATATATTGGTTATCTTCAGGGTATCTTGTACAGTAACACTTAATATATCACCATCTCTATCCTATCATCTGTCATCCGTCATCTGCCATCTATCACTATACTCTATCACCCTACTCTGTATGTCTTGATGCCTTCACGTGACGGTTGTCATGGTATCGCTGAGTCAGCAAGTCATCAAACATCAAACAACAACAAGAACGAAAGCCGGAAATGAAGGAAACGAAGACGATGAGAAGAGGAAGAAGAAGAAGAATCGCGAGACAGACCAACGACTTCGACTTCCGACGGCGAGAGGACGGTAGACGGACGGGTAAGTAGCAAGGTAAGCAGGCAGGTTCCTCCCCCAACATCTGTGGCCTCTCCCTTCACCGAGTATCTTGAGGATACCCAAAGGTCTTCTTACGTCAACGACTCCCCCTTGGGCGCAAAATTAAAAAAGAACGGCCGTCTTTTTCATCCGTCTGGCCGAGCAGTCTATATACTACAAGACGGTCGCGATATCGGATAGCTCTGGCAGTCCTTGCGAGGATACGCTCAAACGTCGATAATCCCAGAGAGAGCGGTTTCAGGCCAGAAAACATGGCGGTGGAAGATCCTCCGTCATCGCCGCCCAATGCAAAGACCAACACTGCCGACGCTATCGCTTACTACAAGTCGCAGTATGAGCTACTCGAAGCTGAACTGGCTGATTTCCAGTCATCGAGTCGTGAGCTCGAAGCTGAACTAGAGAAGGACATTGAGGCGTCGGAGAAGAGGGAGCGGAAGCTGAAGGAGAAGGTCGAGAGTCTGGGATACGAGGTCGAGGAGTGGAAGGTGAGCTTCAGTATATATATATATGTATAATATATAGCGCATGACTGTCTTACTGACAAGTTGGTTGGATAGACGAAATATAAACAAGCAAAGACGGAGGCGAACTCGGTTCAGAACAAGCTGCAGAAGGAGATCACTACGCTACGAGACGCAAACCGGACTCTGCAGCTGAAGCTCAGGGACACAGAAGTGGCCAACGATGACTTTGAGAGACAGGCCCGGAACACGACGTCTTCGCTAGAGGATGTGGAATCCAAGTACAACATGTCGATTGAGCGAGGGGTGTTGCTCGAGGAAGAGATCAAGAATGGCGAACAGGAGCGGGAGGAGCTGCGTATCCGGGAGCAGCGACTGCGTGACGAACTGGCAGATCTCAAGGTAGAAACCCATATTGTCCAGGAGAAACTGCGAAAGGCAGAAGCCGCTCTGGAACGAAAGGCGAAGCTGTCGCTGTTGGACTCAAGTTCGACAAATGGCCATCACATCGATCCAGCGGGCCACTCACCAACAACGACTGCCTCTTCACCCATTGCAACGCCATTGACGAAATCTGCCTCGTCTGTTGCATCTGAGATCGCTACTCCTCCGTCTCCGCCTTTCTCTGAGTCGTCGACGAACGGGACGTTCAGAGGCGGCACCCCGAACATGCCGCGATCCCGCGTCTCCATATCCGAGTCTAGCACTCTATCAAAACACCAAAAGTCGGCCTCGCGGTCCTCACGTCACTCCCGGGTGCCGTCAGTATCCATGGGGAGCACCACCGGCCGCCTGACCCCGTCTGCGGGACGACGGACTACTTCCACCAGCGTTCCCAAGTCAAGCTCGCTCTACCAGATCCGCGGCCTGATCGGGAAGATGCAAAAGCTGGAGGAGCGCGTACAGTCTGCCCGATCTCGACTGCCAGCACCGGTCGACACGCCACCTCGAGCGTCCCCTCGCACCAGCTCTGCCATGAGCCATCCGTTCATGCCGTCGTCGGTGACGGTACGCAGCAACAGAAAACGATCGAACGGCAGCGTCGCGAGCAGCTCCACCAAGGACGAGACGCCAGTCACCCCGGCACCCCGTCCCCCACAGGGGAGGAACTCGTTCGGTGGCCCAGCACCCGCGTTGTCGACCCCTTCGCGGCCAGGCAGTCGCACAAGCATGTCGTCACGTTGCTCTGCCAGCAACATGACCTCGTCAAGCAGCGTCGCCCAAGCTCGCCCGGAGTCTCGCCAGAGCCAAAACAGCTCTCGCACCCCAGGACACTACACCGCCAACTCGCTCAACATGAGCATGTCCAGCATCACCGACTCTCAGCAGAACCACCACCACCACCACCAGCATCACCCATCCGTCAGCAGCACCGGCAGCAGCGGTGGCATCCGCCGCCCACGCTCGTCGCTAAGCAACTACAACCCATCCGCCAGCATGTCGTACATCGACGAAGACAACGCCGAAATGGACCTGAGTATGCACACGCCCACTCCACGACGCTACGACTACTCCGGCTCCGGCAGCTCTATCCCAACCCCTGCTGCCCTGAAGAGACGAACCAGCGGCGGCATGTCTTCTATACCTACGCCAGCCAACCTAACCCCTCGACGCACCAGCTCAGCCCTCGGAAGGAGAGATGGCGATATGCCTCCGCCGTCAGCTGGCAGGAGGAAGGCATCCATGACGCCTCGACCATCCTCCTCCCTGGGCAGCCTGGGCGAGACATACTAACGTATCGATTTCCTACTAAGCCTAATGAATATAGCAAACCATCGTTTCCCGCGCCTTTCTTCCCTGCATATATTACATGCCTCTCTCGCCATCTAGCCGCGGCGAATAATACGGGGGGGGGGGGGGGAGGACCGGACAGTTTTATCCATCCCCAACCCCCAGCTTACCAACTTTACTACCAAACCTGACTTTTACTTCTTCACATCTACTTTCCTAATCATCATCAGCCCTTCCACTCTTTCAGAGCATTATCATCTTAGATAAATAATGACCCATGTGTTTCGTTCCTTTGTTCATGCCACTTATACCCTATCCTTCATCTCCAGGCCACCATGTATGTACACCCACGCTAGAGAATAATACTACCCTGTCCTACTTTCTCGGAGCATTTCTATTTAGCCCTCTTCCTGCATCGTGCATCTTGTTCCTTGTCAGCCTTACTGCTATATCTCTAGCAGCTATCAAACCGTGCTTTACGTAAACTCTCCGCCCTTTTTCTCTATAAAACTTTAGCCTCGGCATGGCGCGCCGAGCCTTACCTAAGCCTTGCTTAGTCAGTGACAGAAGAAGCTAGCGTCGTTTTCTGTTGGGGGGAAAACTCGGGCCCGGTTGAGTATGAGTAAGCAGAGGGACGCATAGACAAGACGCATAGAAGGAGAGTAGAAGGAGTAGAAGAGTATATGTATAGAAGGTGTATGTATAGAAGGTATATGTATAGAAGGTATATGTATACAAGGTATATGTATAGAAGGTATAGATGTATAGAAGATGTATGGACGGTGTGTATAGATGCAGCGTTGATGACTTTGAGCGGATGTTTTCACTCAGCTCAACGTCCAAAAAGCTCCTTGCGCGGGTGGATATAAAGCGGGTAAGGACGTTACGGTAAGTTACATCGCATATGTGCGGGGCCATAAAGTTTAGTACAGTATCAATACACCATCAATACGCAACAAGCTCGATCGCCCGATTGGGAAGCAAGAACAACTTTTCTTCTTCTTCAACTTCTTCTTCTTCCTCCTTTTTCTTCTTCCTCTCATCCTCTCATACTTCTACATCTTCTTCTTCTGCTTCTGCTTCTTCTTCTCTTCCCACTCCTGCGTAGAGCCGCATTCTCACCCTAATTCTTCTTGCTCTTCTCTTCTCTTCACTCCTTGCGCAGTTCCATTGCCATTGCCGGATGGTAGCAGACAGCTGGCGGCGTTCAGGCTAAAGAGAGACACGATACAAGATAGACAGCACACAGACAAGACCGTTGAACCCTTCCGGACACAGAGAATAAAAGAGACGAGACGAGACTGAGCTCGGAGTCCGAATCCAAGAAACTCTCCGAATCCCCTCTCCCATAAAAGAATACAATCTCACGATATACAAGACCTCCTATAAACAATCAGTCACCATGCCGGAAAGCAATTCAGCGTCTGTCAATGGCTACGGTAGCGCGTACGCTGCCAAACATAATCTCCCTTCACATTTTATCGGTGGAAATCGGTTGGATCTAGCTCCTCCGGGTGCGGTCAAGGACTTTGTGGCTAAGAATGACGGCCACTCTGTCATTACATCTGTATGTTTTTTTTTTTTCTACTCTGGATGCTTGCGAGTGAATAATTGGCTAATATGCGCAGGTCTTGATTGCAAACAACGGTATTGCGGCCGTCAAGGAAATTCGATCAGTGCGGAAATGGGCGTACGAGACCTTTGGCGATGAGCGGGCGATCCAGTTTACCGTCATGGCCACGCCGGAGGACTTGAGGGCGAATGCAGACTATATTCGTATGGCAGATCAATACGTAGAGGTTGGTGGTTCTATGATATGGTCGGAGAAAGCGGGCACTGACTCTGGATAGGTCCCTGGTGGAACTAATAATAATAATTACGCAAACGTCGAGCTGATCGTCGACGTTGCGGAACGAACGGGTGTTCATGCAGTCTGGGCTGGATGGTAAGTGTTTTGGCGTTATTGCATGCGTTGACGCACGGCTAATAATCCCTCCAGGGGACATGCGTCTGAAAACCCCAAGCTCCCCGAATCCCTTGCCGCTTCACCCAAGAAGATCATCTTCATCGGTCCTCCTGGTAATGCGATGCGCTCTCTCGGAGATAAGATCTCTTCTACGATAGTTGCTCAGCACGCGGGGGTTCCCTGCATTCCGTGGTCGGGCACGGGCGTAGATGAGGTCAAAGTCGATGAGGAGGGCATCGTTACCGTGGATGACAGTGTTTATGATCAGGGCTGCACCCATTCTCACGAGGAAGGCCTCAAGAAGGCTCGCGAGATCGGATTCCCGGTCATGGTCAAGGCTTCTGAGGGTGGTGGTGGAAAGGGTATCCGCAAGGTTGACTCTGAAGAGAACTTTGAGGCTCTCTATAATGCCGCTGCTAGTGAGATTCCTGGATCTCCCATCTTCATCATGAAGCTTGCTGGAAACGCTAGACACTTGGAAGTCCAGCTTCTCGCTGATCAGTATGGCAACAACATCTCCCTCTTTGGCCGTGATTGCTCTGTCCAGCGAAGACACCAGAAGATCATTGAGGAGGCCCCCGTTACCGTCGCTAAACAGGCTACCTTCCAGGAGATGGAGAAGGCTGCCGTTCGCCTCGGTCGTCTTGTAGGCTACGTCTCTGCTGGTACCGTCGAATACCTCTACTCCCATGCGGATGACAAGTTCTACTTCCTCGAGCTCAACCCTCGTCTACAAGTCGAGCATCCTACCACCGAGATGGTCACCGGAGTTAACCTGCCAGCTGCCCAGCTCCAGATTGCCATGGGTCTTCCTCTCCACCGCATCCGTGACATTCGTCTTCTCTATGGTGTCGACCCCAACACCTCTTCCGCCATCGACTTCGGCTTCTCCAACGAGGAGAGCACCAAGGTTCAGCGTCGTCCCCAGCCAAAGGGCCATACCACCGCTTGCAGAATCACGTCCGAGGATCCGGGTGAGGGCTTCAAGCCTTCCAGCGGTACGATGCACGAACTGAACTTCCGAAGTTCCTCGAACGTCTGGGGCTATTTCTCTGTGGGTACTGCTGGCGGAATCCACAGTTTCTCTGACTCCCAGTTCGGTCACATCTTCGCCTACGGAGAGAACCGATCTGCTTCTAGAAAGCACATGGTTGTTGCTCTCAAGGAATTGAGTATTCGTGGTGACTTTAGAACTACGGTTGAGTATCTGATTAAGCTGCTTGAAACTCCTGCTTTCGAGGACAACACCATCACCACCGGATGGCTGGACGAGCTCATCACCAAGAAACTGACCGCTGAGCGCCCGGACCCAATGGTCGCCGTCATCTGTGGTGCCATGACAAAAGCCCACTTGGCTAGCGAAGCCTGCGAGTCTGAATACCGCAAGGGTATTGAGAAGGGTCAGGTACCTGCCAAAGACGTCCTCAGCACCGTCTTCCCAATTGACTTCATCTATGAAGGCTCGCGCTATAAGTTCACCGCTACTCGCTCCAGCATCGACAGCTATCATTTGTACATCAACGGTAGCAAGTGCACTGTTGGTGTTCGTGCACTAGCTGACGGTGGACTTCTCATCCTGCTCGACGGACGAAGCCACAACGTCTACTGGAAGGAAGAAGCGGCTGCCACCCGTCTCTCCGTCGATGGCAAGACCTGTCTTCTTGAGCAGGAGAATGACCCCACCCAGCTCCGAACTCCTAGCCCTGGTAAGCTAGTCAAGTTCACCGTTGAGAACGGAGAACACGTCCGTGCCGGTGAAGCATTCGCTGAAGTTGAGGTCATGAAAATGTACATGCCCTTGATCGCCCAGGAGGATGGTGTCGTTCAATTCATCAAGCAGCCCGGAGCTACTCTCGAAGCTGGAGATATTCTTGGTATCCTCGCCCTTGACGACCCATCCCGGGTCAAGCACGCCTCTCCATTCACCGGCCAACTCCCTGAGCTCGGTCCACCACAGGTGCTGGGTAACAAGCCTCCACAGCGCTTCATGGTTCTCCTCAAGATTCTCCAGGATATCCTGCGTGGATATGACAATCAAGTCATCATGGGAAGCACCTTGAACGAACTCGTTGAGGTCTTGCGCAACCCAGAACTTCCATATGGAGAATGGAACGCATATGCTTCTGCCCTGCACTCTCGCATGCCACAGAAACTCGATGCCCAGATGACACAGGTCATTGAGCGTGCAAAGACCCGCAAAGCGGATTTCCCAGCTGCCCAACTCCTCAAGACCGTTACCCGCTTTATCGACGAGAACGTCAAGGCTGCCGATGCCGACACCCTGCGAGCTACCATTGCGCCTCTCCTTCAAATCATTGAGCGCTACAAGGAGGGCCTCAAGGTGCAGGAGTACAAGATCATCGTCTCCCTGCTTGAACAATACTGGGAGGTCGAGCGCTTGTTCGCACAAGGCAATACTCGTGATGAGAGCGTTATCCTGAAACTCCGTGACGAGAACAAGGATGACATCTCAAAGGTCATTCAGATTGTGCTTTCGCATAGCAAGATCGGATCCAAGAACAACCTCATCCTCGCCATTCTTGACATGTATCGTCCCAACAAGCCTAATGTTGGCAACGTTGCAAACTACCTCAAGGCTATCCTCCGCAAGTTGGCTGAACTTGAGTCTCGCGCAACCGCCAAGGTTGCTCTGAAAGCCCGTGAGGTGCTTATCCAGTGTGCTCTTCCCTCTCTCGAGGAGCGAGTTGCTCAGATGGAACACATCTTGCGTTCTTCTGTGATTGAGTCCAAATACGGAGAGACTGGCTGGGATCACAGAGAACCTGACCTTAATGTTCTCAAGGAAGTCGTTGACTCCAAGTACACTGTCTTCGATGTCCTGCCGCTCTTCTTCGCTCACAACGATCAGTGGGTCTCCCTCGCAGCATTGGAAGTCTATGTTCGTCGCGCTTATCGTGCCTATGCCCTTAAGGGCATCGAATACCATAACACAAGCGAAGCACCATACTTCGTCTCTTGGGACTTTATCCTCCGCAAAGTGCCCCATTCCGAATTCGGTTTGTCCGCCCAATCAACTGTGTCATCTGTTCCAGGCACGCCAATCTCAGAAATCAATCCCTTCAAGAAGATTGGATCTATCAGCGACATGGCCTTCGCCAACAAGGGATTGGGTCCCGACGAGGCGACGAGAAAGGGTGTTTTGATTCCTGCGCACTATCTCGACGAAGCTGAGGAGGTTCTCTACAAGGCACTTAGTGTCTTCCCACGCGTCACTCCTGCTTCAGCCAAGCCAAAGAAGAACGGTTCTCTGCCTGATCGTAGCAGGCCTGTGCCACGTTCTGAGCCTGATGAAGAACTTACTGGTGTCTGCAACGTTGCCATCCGTGACGTTGAAGATTTGGATGACTCCGAGCTCGCTTCTCGCCTTACCGCCCTTGTCAACGATGCAAAGGCTGAACTGCTTGCTCGTGGAATTCGCCGTCTAACCTTTGTCTGCGGCCATGAGGATGGCAGTTATCCCGGCTACTTCACCTTCCGTGGACCAACCTATACCGAAGACGTCAGTATCCGCCACAGTGAACCAGCACTTGCCTTCCAGCTTGAACTTGGCCGTCTGTCTAAATTCAAGATCAAGCCTGTCTTTACTGAAAATCGTAACCTGCACGTTTACGAGGCTATTGGTAAAGGCCCAGAGCTTAGTGATAATGCGGTTGACAAGCGCTACTTCACTCGTGCTGTCGTCCGCCCCGGCAGACTACGTGATGACATCCCAACAGCAGAGTATCTTATTTCTGAAGCCGACAACCTAATGACTGATATTCTTGACGCCCTTGAGATTATTGGCAACAACAACTCCGATCTCAACCACATCTTCATTAACTTCACTCCTGTCTTCCCCTTGCAGCCAACTGACGTCGAGAAGGCCCTGGCTGGCTTCCTCGAGCGTTTCGGCCGCCGTCTCTGGCGCCTTCGCGTCACTGGCGCTGAGATCCGTATCCTCTGCACTGACCCCGCCACTGGTTCACCTTACCCTCTCAGGGTGGTGATCACTAACACCTCTGGCTACATCATCCAAGTTGAGCTTTACGTTGAGCGTAAGTCTGAAAAGGGAGAATGGATCTTCCACTCCATCGGCGGCACTACCAAGATTGGATCCATGCACTTGCGTCCCGTCTCGACTCCTTACCCAACCAAGGAATGGCTACAGCCCAAGCGTTACAAGGCCCATCTCATGGGTACTCAGTACGTGTACGATTTCCCAGAGCTGTTCCGTCAAGCCTTCCAGAACAGCTGGGCTTCTGCCATCGCTGATCATCCTGCCTTGGCTGAGAAGAGGCCTCCTCCAGGGGCATGCATCGAATACTCTGAACTTGTTCTCGATGATAGAGATAACTTGGCTGAAGTCTCTCGTGAACCCGGAACTAACACCCATGGTATGGTTGGATGGTTGATCACGGCTAAGACGCCAGAATACCCTCGCGGAAGACGCTTCATTGTCGTTGCCAACGACATCACGTACCAGATCGGTTCTTTCGGACCACAGGAGGATAAGTTCTTCTACCAATGTACTGAATTGGCTAGAAAGTTGGGCATTCCTAGAATTTACTTGTCTGCTAACTCCGGAGCCCGTATTGGTATGGCTGATGAACTCATGTCTCAATTCAGTGTTGCTTGGAATAACCCTGAGAAGCCAGAGAGCGGATTCAAGTACCTTTACCTCACGCCAGAGGTAGAGAAGCGTCTTGAGAAGGAGAAGAAGAAGGATCTTATCACTGAGCTTATCACTGAAGATGGCGAGGAACGCTATAAGATCACCACCATCATTGGAGCTAAAGATGGCCTTGGTGTTGAGTGTCTCAGGGGTTCTGGTTTGATTGCCGGTGCCACCTCCAAGGCATATGAGGACATCTTCACCATCACTCTAGTCACCTGCCGCTCCGTCGGAATTGGTGCTTACCTCGTTCGCCTGGGTCACCGTGCCATTCAGGTTGAGGGCCAGCCCATCATTCTCACCGGCGCACCGGCTATCAACAAACTCCTTGGCCGCGAAGTGTATACCTCCAACTTGCAACTAGGCGGTACCCAAATCATGTACAAGAACGGTGTATCGCATATGACTGCCAACGACGACTTTGCCGGTATTACCAAGATTGTGGAATGGATGTCTTTCATCCCGGAGAAGAAGGGTGCTCCAATCCCCATTCGACCATCGGCTGACCCTTGGAACCGAGAGATTACATACTGCCCTCCACCCAAGCAACCGTATGACGTCCGTTGGATTATTGACGGAAAGGAAGACGATGAAGGATTCCTTTCTGGTCTCTTCGACAAGGGCTCCTTCGAAGAGGCCCTTGGTGGCTGGGCTAGAACTGTCGTTGTCGGCCGTGCTAGACTTGGAGGCATCCCTATGGGTGTTATCGCTGTTGAAACTCGATCTGTCGACTGTGTCACGCCAGCTGACCCTGCTAATCCTGATTCCATGGAAGTGCTCTCTACTGAAGCCGGAGGAGTCTGGTATCCCAACTCTGCATTCAAGACCGCCCAGGCTCTCAAGGACTTCAACAATGGTGAGCAACTGCCCGTCATGATCCTCGCTAACTGGCGTGGTTTCTCTGGTGGTCAACGTGACATGTACAATGAAGTTCTCAAGTACGGTTCTTACATTGTCGACGCCTTGGTTAAGTATGAGCAGCCCATCTTCGTCTACATCCCACCACACGGTGAACTCCGTGGTGGCTCCTGGGTCGTCATTGATCCAACCATCAACCCGGATCAGATGGAGATGTATGCCGATGTTGAAGCGCGCGGTGGTATTCTGGAGCCCGAAGGTATCGTCAACATTAAATACCGTCGCGATAAACAGCTCGATACCATGGCCCGTCTAGACCCCGAATATGGTGCCCTCCGCGAGTCTCTCAAGGACAAGTCTCTCGGCGCTGAGAAACTCTCCTCAATCAAAGCCCAGATGACCGAGCGCGAAGAAAGACTTCTGCCCGTATACATGCAGATTGCCCTCCAATTCGCGGACCTCCACGACCGTGCTGGCCGTATGGAAGCCAAGGGTACCATCCGCAAACCTCTTGAATGGAAGAACGCCCGTCGCTTCTTCTACTGGCGCCTCCGCCGTCGTCTTAGCGAAGAGGTCATTCTTAAGCGCATGGCAGCAACGACTCAAGCCTCCACTGCTGCCTCACAAACGCCGTCTACTACCGCCGCCACTTCCCCCATCCCCAGCCCTTCTAATACCCCATCTCCAGCCAACGTATCTAGCATCACCACTCCACGCTCACAGCGTGATGAGAACCTCACCAAACTCCAATCATGGACCGGAATCCCCGACGATGAATTCGAGTCAAATGACCGTGACGTCGCGATCTGGTATGAAGAAAACAAGAAAAATGTCTACGAGAAGATCGAGGCTCTCAAAACCGATGGCATTGCTGCTGAAGTTGCTGCTCTACTTATGGGTAACAAGGAAGGTGGTCTCCGCGGCGTACAGAAGGTTCTCAGCATGCTACCCGAGACAGAGAAGGCTGCTGTGCTGAAATACTTGGGCTCATCGTGATCTGACCATTTACTGCCGAAGCTTACATTTTCTGCTTCCTTTTCCATGTAATTAATCATCTTATTTTTTTTTGCTTTGCTTCATCTCTTCCACGGTTTTGTTTTGTTTCAACTTTCTCATCTGTATATTCTTTTCTTTTTTGGTCTTTATGTTTTATGTTATCATGAGATGAAGGGAAGTATTTATATAATGAGCTTAGAGACTTTTCTTATCATGCCAAAAAAAATCTATTAAAATTCATTTCGAATTATATCTTTATATCTAATTACAAATGTAGAAGCCAGTGATTCTGTTATGAAATCAGTCGATTTCCCAGAATGATGGGAATGGAAACTAGAATTACGGTGAAACGATACTACTGAACATTGCGAATGGGGGATGATTAGATGCGCAGGCATATGATACGGCAAATGTATTATTCTACCAGCTATGGGAATGTATATGAAGACAGCGTGTTTAAACTGGAAACTAGTAATGGGTATTGGGCGTTATAATAAATATATGCAAAAATATACAGCATAGATACAACATATCAAGCAATCTGTCGGCCCACACAAGCATGCGGCATGAGATGACTACTAGCTCTATAAGTCCCAGGAACATCTTTCGTAACACTTCCAACTCGGGGGTTGTTGCAAGCTGGTTCCTCAACAAGTGACAGCTTATGCAGGTCTACTGGAAGACGCTCTGCCATAACAGGAGTTGGCGGAAGCGGCTTCATCGAGTGAACAGGCAGAACTGATGGAGGAACTCCCTGCAAAGGTGCCGATGAAGAAGAGTCTTGATAGCATATCTCCTCATCACCGCCGGGAAGTTTTACACTGTAGGCGCAAAGTGTACGAGCAATATCATTGAGCAGGATCTCCATCGGTGCGATGTATGCACTGCGGCTCTTTTCAGACCACGCAAGGACATGGCCGCATACCTGACCTTTGTCGTTGAATACCCAAGCACCTGAATCTCCGGGTACTATAAAGAAGTGGTTTTGAGTACTTTGATAGATAAAACGAGGGACAGCGAGTGTACATACCTCCAAAATTCCCATCAACGCTAAAGCTGGTCGAGAAAGATTGGCGACCATACATCTTTACTAGTGTTAACGCCTTAGATATTCGTCCACTCTGGAAACCGCTCGTTCGGCCACAACACTGTACATTCAAGCCACCCAAGTCGCCAATCTTTGCAATCTTAGTTAAAGTCCGAAAGGAGCCGGTAGGGCCATATGGTTGTCTCCGGCTGGATCTTGAATCATTCCCTTGCGGTGATGATATGGGGACCAGATTTTTGACTTCCATCCTGTTTAAATCGATCTTGATAAGAGCCCAATCCACCTCATGTTTAATACCGTCTTTAGTCCATCGTCGAACTCCAGATGAAGCATGGACGAAGCCTAGGGAATGAGATGCAAGGTGCTCATCATCCTTATCTTCAGGGGTTGGAAAGAAATCCTCATGAACATCATCGAGTGCAGGCTGTGTGACCATGATTTTAGGCTCTTCGTCGGGCTCAACACCAACAGTATCACCAATGGAAGCTGCATCATCGTCATCAAAACCGCCATAATCGTCTCCTTCATCGCTGGAGTAACCGTCAGATAACCAGTGGTCATCAAATGATTCATCAAGACTATGTGCTATGGATTGGCCGTCATCACCGTCTTCATCATCTGAAAATTCTAATGGATAGGCGGCTTCAGGAAGGTTGTCATCACCCCATGAGAAGGTAGCGTTAGAGCTAGTGATCGCAGGGTTGAGTATGTAATTTGCGGCAGACCGTGGGGGATAATCTCCATCGTCATCATCGTATCCATCATCGTAATCATCGTCATCATCACATGGGGTATCTAGCATATGGTGAACTGTCATCCCATATGGTATACCATCCACAAGAATCGCGCCGCCGTATGAAACAGGTGGCAAATGTTCATCGTAGCGGAAGGCACCAATAGAAGCACCGCATATCGGTTTTCTTTGATATTTAGAATTAAAGTCGGGCGTGGAGACTTCCGGGGAAACAATGTGCTTGTTTGTCTGTGGTTTCCGGCGTTTCTTCCGTGGTACTTTGGATCGCTTTATATCTCCACGAATAACAATCAGATTCCAATTTTCGCGATCATATTCAAAGTATTTCTTCAATGCGGCGCGCACTTTTCGGACATTAGTACAAGTAACGCATATAGTTGTCTTAGCCGTGTCGATAGTTTCTCCAGCGACTAGTAGCGTTGCGCTACAGGATTCTGGTGAATCCTTTAGGATCTTCTGTAGAAGTTTACTTAATTTTGGCATCAAGGACTTATTCCAGGCTTGTAGGTGCTCTTCGGGTATATCCACGTTTGACCATTTCTTCATAGAGCGTTTGCGAGCCTTTTTCTCGTTGTTTTCGCATATTTCACTAATATTCTTCATGTCTGGGTTCGCAGAGTGGTCATATGACACATCGATGGAAACGGTTGGTTCCATGAACTGCAGACTTGGCTCTTTTGAAGGTATTTCATGAACCGATGATAACTCTGAGCCAAGTCCCAGGGGTGGAGGGAGAGAGTCTTCTAGGTCAGAGGCCGGAGGTGGTGAGAAGACATCAACACCGCAGCATTTCCAAAGAACCTTTCCAATTGTATAAACAAAATTTTTTGAGAATGTGTTCCAATCGTTCGAGCTGCTTGGGTCATGCCAGGGATAATGGTATGTCTGCGGAATTCTGAGGCCTAAATCGGCCATGGGCTCCGTTGATAAATGGAAGTTTGGAGCATCAAGGCAAATCTGGACTACTTGCATGTACGCGCCGCCACACTTAGCTGCCAGCTTCTTCACGTAGACGTTTTCAATCCTTGACTTGAACATGGAGTTATTGTATTTCAATTTCCATAGTCTCCCGATAGGTGTCCAGAGCCCTATCTCGAGTAGGACTAGGCCAAGACTGTATAGATCGTACGCCCAGGCAGATTTATCGGCATAAGATCTTCTATCATCAGGATGCCGGTACATACTTGATGATAAGGGTTCCGGGGGCGCAGTTTTGTCGTCACCGTCAAACTGGCAGAGGGAAGTAAGAAAAGGTCGTCGATAGTCTAGGTCCTGGTTATTTGTAGAGCCCGCATTGGACACATGGACCCCGGGAAATATCATAACATTGTTGCTGTTTATACTGCCATGAACCAGGTTTTGGCTCCGTAGATGTAGAGCTGATAGCACTAGGTTATACGCCAAAGCCAACCGATCTTCGAGGTTGGGTACGGGACCCTCCTGCTTGTCATCACCATTATGAAGAAGTGAAACGAGTGGTTTAGGTTGCATGGTATTGGAAGGCTGTTTGAGGAATGGGAAAGCATCGATGGGGGTCTGGTAGACGAACCCGTACCGGGAGTAAGTCATGTCAATATAATAACCAATAAATCTCAATAAGCCAAGATGAGAAACCCTTGAATTTTCTATCAAGCGATCAAGGGTCTGGCTTATAGACTTCAAGCGCTGCTTCAATGGGTGAGAAAGGGAGCGTTGTGCTTCCATCAAAATTGGCAAAAATTCGACCATCACTGGGATGGAAGCCCCATGGCAACTTCCCGCTATGCAAGATGGGATAGCTTCTCTATTGATATACCCCACTGCTCTAGAAGTGGTTGAGGCGGCAATGGCTTCATATGGAGGAGGAGTCGTGGCATGCGAGATATGCTCTTTCGAAAGGCTCAATGCACTGCGATCCAGGTAGAATTCCCCATTAGGTTGAGTTTGGAGCGGCTGTTTCTGGAATGGGAGCGGCTGTTGCTGGAATGCCTCCGTATTCATGGCGGCGAGAGCGGGGTCAACATGCATTCTAATAAAAGGGTTCCCTGCAGGCATATCCTGAGTGGTTTGTGTTGGAGAAATTTCGTGATGGTAAGCTGGTCTGCTACCGGCAGATTTCGAGGATATCAGTTTTGGACGAAGGGCTTCTTTGGCTTCTTTAGAATGTTTCTCTAAGTTGCGGTGATGAGTGTATTTTTCATTCTGGGGTGTATTTGAAGTTATGCCCATGCTCATGTCTCTCCTCGATGCCGATAAATCATAAAGGGTATCGATGTGGGATGTTAACTCTTCCAACAATACTTTAGATCGAGATATCTCTGCTTCTGTCCAGGTTGTCTTCACGCCACCAGTCGCACCAGACGGGTAACTTCCGTCAGTAACCTTGCCACCCAGTCCATCTGGTGACATGGCTGGAGTATTAGGGTGTTGTAGTCGCTCTGCTTCATTGAGAAGTTTCTGGATAGAAGACATGACACCGGCGACCACATCGCTGAATCCAGCTTCCGTCAAGGCTTCATCGATATCATTTGGTTGCGCTGCACTGGCATCGCTCCAGTCTAGACCCCACGCTAGCAGTCTATCCTTTTGAGTGCGAAAATGACGGTTGAGCGATACAAGCTCTGGATCATCGTTCGGCCTGGCAGCTGTAGTAACGCTCTCACAAGATGATTTGGTGTCAGTATACAGCTTCGTCAGCCGTCGCTGTAGAAAAGCGCTGCCGTGTCGTAGGACCGACATGACGTCGAGATTGGCACTTGAATACTCAGCAATAAAGTTGTGGTGAGATTCTCATTATTTTAGGAGAGAGACTGCCTTGAATATGATATATAAACCAACCTATCTCGCTGGGATAATGATGTTGCTTCTCTTGCGGCTGTGCTTGCGCCGTCGATGGCAAGGTTGTCGTCTATATATATCGCCAAAGCCCTGAAGAACATTGCTGCCTGGGGCCGGCCAATCAGGGACTAGGAATTCATGCAGCCTAAATCAGCCACGGAACGGAATAACTATCCATAAAAAAGAAAGCGTTTGCTTAGCCTCATCACGTGCAGGAACTTGAAGAATAAGCTTAATGCACGTACTCTCTGTAGTTTAGGGCAAGAGATTAGGACAAAGCTCTCTAAGAGATCTGTCACAACACTGAGATGAGGGTAAGAAATTCGCCTTGCATAGAACACCAAGAATAGAAATGATTGTAATTTCGAGCATATATCTTTTGGTGGTTAGGGAAGGCACTGATAGCCTAAAAGGAGGAGAAATACAAAGGAAGCAATGATTAGGTAGACTTATTTAGGAGAATATTCTTTATCAGACTTCGGCTGGTGGTTACTAATTGAGAAATACAATCATCACCATAATTAGTTCGGTGAGCTTATTTCAAACGACGGAAATCAGAAAAGTTGGCCATTGGTACAGAATATTCACGAAGATACTTACATCGGCTCGAGTGGGTAAAAGTAGGAGCATAGCGCGCACAATAGAAGGATACAGAAATATTATCTATAACAGCTGACCCGGGCTAGAACTGGTAAGGGGAAGAAGGCGGAGAATTAGCTAGAGGACGATATCTAAAATCTTGGGCGCCCCCCGCATATTCCACCTTATTTGCTCATTTGTTATAGATCGGCAATATAGCTGTGGCTAAAATCGCCTGCATTTTCTAGTTATACCCAAGGTAAGGCCCACTACCTATGAGGAGATCGTTCCTTGGTATGAAGGGGATGACTGTCGAAAGTGATAAGGCTGAAGAGCCGCATCACATGAAACAAGAAATTTTGTTTATGCGGAGAATACACTAAGCTAGTGCTACCTCGGTATAGTGACCAAAGCCTGTGACCTGATTATATAATACATACAAACATCGAGTTATTGAGAAAAGCAAGCACGTGACTTGTATAAGTTATTATATTGAGGTCAGGTTTTTTGGCCAATAGCATTAAGAGTTTGTATCCATACATATAACCTATCTGCTGTTTTATTGAGAATGAGGAAGTCATTGGCAACTCCAACGATATTGTTAATTCTGCGTGAGAGTAAGCCTCCTAGAGGTACAATTTCAGAGATCCCCACCGACACAGAAAAAAGAAAAGAAAAGAGAGAATATCAAAGGCTATTTAAGTGCAAAACCGGAAACAATATATTTATACAAAATGGAGATGTTCATGAAGTAATCATCCTCCTAGCCTGGCCAACATTCCTTGCACGCTTCTCGCCCAGATTATGAAGCCGTTCCCCGATCATATATACATCATCTCTAATGCTGACTCGCCAAACGCCAATCTGACGTTGGAGAACATGTACCCCCCGGACAAAAAGCATTAATACCAAGAAAGCGGGATAGGAATATCGATAAACCTGAGAGTGGAATGTAGCAGATGACTCGGAGAAGAGAGTAGAGTTTAGGATAAAACCGATCGGGAGTGGGCACACAGTGGCAATGAGTACGACAAGGGCTGCGGGGATAAAAAATACCCTCGTTGCTAGCCAGATATCAGGGTTGGTCCAGCCGTCACGAACTATACCACGCAGCGCCATGGCAGATAGAGATAAGGGTTTTCGGAGCAGGAATCGAATTGCCATCCGAACGTAAAGGATTCCAAGAGTCCAGTCTTGCACAAAGTAAATGATGTGCGTCTCCGATGGGCTTAGATAGGTGTGTAATGGAATCAATAGGTAAAATTCGGTAATGAGGGCGAAAGCTGAGGGAAGGAATAGTCCTACTACCGCGGCTAAGTATACGACACGGAGAGCACGAACAGCTAGGTTGCAAGTTTTGTATAGAAGTTGCTTCGGTGATCTCATGTACGGCTCAGCGCCTTCATGGAGAGCGTCAGTTATTTTATGGAAGTGTAGGTATCCATAATACACGGTTCCAAAGGCGTAAACTCCTGCTGATAGCGCGTAGATATCGTTCACACGGATATGTGGCGGGAACATGAACGACAGCATCCGACGCCCAATTATGAGAGGAATTATAGTAATTCCAACACCGGTAGCTGCAGCAAAAACCCAAAGCAGTAACAGGAAAGCAAAAATTCTTGCTCGGAAATTTGGCGGAACGTAAACTGGTGAGTACATCTCGTTCTTCTTCCCATGGCGACCGTCATCATTATCGGGATTCCCATCTATACGTTCATTATTTTCATTGACTTCCACGAATACTTGTTCCCCTTTAGGTATCCTCACTTGGTCCGAAGCTGGTGCTCGAACGAATCTTCCGTTGCGAAGGAAACGCCGAGGCCTGGGTTTTTCTCGGGTAAACAAGCTAAGGAACGCCTCTCGCCACGTAGGATATTCAAAATACCCTTCCTCGTCAGGTTTTCTGTCTCCAAAGAGGAAATGCGTAAGTCTAAGCATTCGAGCGCATTCATGGAACCACCAGTCATATATTTTATGTAATCCGTCCGATGGTTTGATTGCTCTAATGGCGACAGGCATCACAAAGTTGTAGAAGAGAAGATCAACTGGAAACTCTAGAACTGGTTCATTCGAAGACCAGTAAACGGGGAGAATACCGCTGAATGTAAGCGATAGGCCCCAAACAACCCCACCAAGGCAGATAATCACCAGAGCTCCATACACTAGGGCGCTAAATGCGATCTTCCGAAGTTGTGTAGTGATGTTTCGTTCAAGTACATCACGTACTGGGTGGAATGTAGGGTCATCAGGGTCGCGAATGAAGTCTGCCAGGGTTAGTACCACTTTTATCGTTAAAATAATGATAGATGAATGAAAACTTACAAAGCACACCGCTGCGCATAATTTTCCGACACATTGAGACAAATAGCGCAAAGTGAAACATGTAGCAAGTTCCGATGAACCAATGGACGAACAGAGACGTTAACGGAGATTCCAATGTAAATGCAGCTCGAGATGCAAATAGGCCGTTCCCAAAGAGAGGTAGTAATGCAATATCTAACAGGATACCGCAATATAATGGGAAAACTATCATTTCGATCCCAATTATAACAATGACCTTCATTACACCACCTGCTTGACGAAGGATTTCAGCAAGCGGACCATCTCCTATTTGCCCATCACGGCGAGTCCCAGATATAATACCAGATATGCGAAGATAAGCAATACCGAGGAGAGAAGCAAAACAGTAGCCTAGGATTATGGCAATCAGTCGATCTTTGGAGCTCCAGCGACTTAACTCATAACTTGCGGACGTGGTTGAGTTTTGAATAAGGGTATCGGAAGTTGACCAATCTGTTAATCCATTAACAATGCCAAAAACTTCTCCTAGGCTCTTCAGCAAAGTTAACGCTAGGCCAGGAGCCTTTGGAAGATCAGCCAGAAGGAAGCTTTTAACCGCCAGGAGAGGCTTTTCTGACTGAATTATGCTCAGGGGTATATCATGTAGTAGAGCCTTTCCGCCATTAAAGAGCATATGTCCTAGATAGGCAAATCTGGCTTGATGTAATTTCAGCGCCTCGTGTGATACGGCGGAAAACATAGGAAGGTCAGTTTCATGAAACGTAAACATGGTCGTGATAAGCCCAGTTAATCTCTGGCTACTTCCTTCCATCAAGGATAGGGAGGCGAAAGTAATGGAGTTAGCAGCAGAGAGTTTACCGAGACTCGGGAGGAAAAGGCCTAGCTGTGCCAAAATCGCCCGAACCAACACATTCATGAGATAGACTACATATGCAAAGCATCCGAGGATTAGGTCGACAGTGATATCGGCCAACATTGAGATAGCGGTTATTGGAACTCGGATGAATAGTCCAACAGGGTTGACCAGCATCACCAAAGCGATTTTACCCCAAAGATAAGGAAGCCATATACCAATGGAGACGGTAAATGATATCAACAGTGCGCTGAAGACTGCGTTTTGTAGCAGACCAAAGAGAGGGCCGTGCATTCCAATAAGTTCCATAACGCCCTCAAGGTCGTCTACATCTTCAACAGCTTCAGCATCATTGCCGTCCAGAGCATCATTAGCTGGCGCTGCTGCACGGCCACGATTGGCCGCTTCATTTGCGTCACCGCCACCCCGCCTATGCCGTTGGTGTTGTCGAATAAGGGCTGGTTGAGGGTCAGCACCGCCTTCCTCGTCTTCCTCATTTGGAAGCACAATTGGAATGGCACCCCAAAAGAAATTAAACATCCTATCGAAAATATTCCTTGGCGGAATTATCGGCGTATAAAGTAGCTCTTCTCTAGGGTAAGCGGGCTGAGTTGGAGAATCAGGATGGGATTCTGCGTTTGTATCTCTCTCAAGGGCCTCATCATCCCCTAACGCATCTTCAGTATTGCGGGCATTAGCAGCAGTGCCTGGAGGGGTATCATCATTGTCATCATTGCCTGATTGAGAGCCCGTGGATTGGGCATCTGGAATATGAGAGTCCACTACTGCTCCCCCTGCATCTGAGCCATCATTTTCGTAGTGTGGCACATGAGTATGATTTTCGTAGGCAGCGGGAGTTGTTCGTGATGGCTGATAGCTTGACTCCTCAGCAGGGGAGGTATGTCCCTCATCAAAGTCAGGAAACCTCCATTGAGTAGTCTGTCCACTAAATGGGTTGAATGGTGGTATATTTTCCCGCGCGGCCATGGGTTCTCTTGTAGTAGAAGGCCCCTGATCTGGTTTCTCGTCTTGGTCTTCTCTGCCCTCATTCTGTCCAAATTCTGTGAAGTCATGACGAGCCCCAGCTGATTGATAAGTGAAATTTGTCTCTGGTTCATCCCACATGCTAGGACGGTTGGAGGCATCAGCTGGTATCTGAAAAGGCCGGTTATGGTTATGAAAGTTGCCGCGGAATATTGGTGGATCTTGGCCACGAGCATTATGAACATAAGGAGAGTTCTCAGGATATGGGCCAACGTAATTGGGGGCAAAAGGGTTAAAAGTTTGTGTATCAGGTAAGGGATTCTCGTTGAAAACGCCTCTTCTTTGGGTAGGGGCATCGCCAACTTCATTTTCAGGTTCATGATCTGATTCCTCCAATTGATGTTCGGGCCCAGGGGCTTCGTTTTCAGCAACAGCTTCCTCTTCCGCCTCTTGCTCATGCACCTCCTCTGCAGCCGCATGTTGTTCCATTGCGCGATTAAGTAGTTGGCCAAGAACTTCTCCCTCGCCTTCTGGAAGGTTGATAACAGGTTGCTGCTGGACAACCCATTCCCTAATTAAGAATACAAGAATGAAAGATATAACGACAAGGAGTGTGATAAGCTGACCTTCCAAGGTATCGATAATGATGTTGTTCAACGCAGGGGAGGAGGTGGCGTTGTTTAAGAAGGCCATGTCCGAAAGCCATGATGGCTGTCGTATGCGCCTAATTGTTGTTGCAGAAGCTGAGTTATTCGCGCCGGAGGGCGTAGGGGCGGAAAAGGCGTTGGAGAGGAAAGTTTTTGCAATAGAGTATATCAATGGCTCACCAGTGGAAAAGTTGAGCATTGAAGGAGCACTTTGCGGTTGAGGGTTACCGACCAGAGGGCTAGCCGTGGCCATTGACATGCCGGGTACGTCCCACGCAAGAGTTGGTCTGGCAGGAGAGGTTCCATGGGCAGCAAGCCAGGCTACACTCCTATTGGCAACTGCCGAAGCAGGTCTCTGTATCGTATCCGGAACGGGCCATCGTCCATCTGCAAGCCAAAACAGGCCCCGCCATATCGTCCTCATCGACCACGGGAGCAGTCCGAGCCAAACAAAGGCAACCAGACCAAACCGTAACCAGGTAAGCAGCGCTCGACAAGCATGCAAAAAGAGCTCTTTCAGGAATACCGGTACCGGCAATTCACTCGGCATATTCGGGTCATAAAGTTTCGTAAATCTAAAGGGTGTCTTGCACAGTTCACAGTGTTTCTTTTGTGAATGAGAGAGCCACTCCATGAGACAGTTCTGATGGACGAATTTGATGCTCCCACTGCACTTGCAGGGGTAGAAGAGCTGTTCCTCCTCAGTCCCTTCTCCACGGCATATCCGACATGTATCCATTTCATCCGCACCTCCGGTCCTGTTCCCATGGTTGGTTTCGAAAGCTGGGTCGTTCATGATGTCAGGCGTGTGCGGCCTGGCTCCTGCCAGATCCACGCCATCCCAATCCATGCTTACGAAGCTATCAGTCGTTCCCAGGAGAGGTCCACCAAGTTATGTCTTATCCCGATGGCCTACCACGACCATCAATCACTTCAGTGCTGCGTCACTGCCGACGGAACGGAGACTTGTGTGAGGTGGCATGAACAATATAGCTCTGGCTGCTGTGGGAATCCGGATCAACATGGGCTCTATTTACCAGGTCAGCATTTCTGCATCTAGAAGTGGGGAGGTATGGTAGTTGCGATGCCCACCAGGCAGTATTTGGCCCTGAAGATAGTGACGTATAGCCTGATATCAAGTAACAAGTTGTTCATGTCGTTGTCTTTTTCTGGTCGATTCGAAGAAGGCGTTGAGGATGACTAAACATGTATCATTGGTAATTTATTTGTATTTAGTGCGTAATACCACCATCAGATAAGCAAACCTTATCGTAACCCATCGTATTTACTTCCGCTATTACATCATCCTGCTTCCTTCGACGACTGCACTAGTGTTGAGAAGAACAGAGAGGAGAGACAGGCAACTGACGCGATTTGAGTGTGTGATAGAGGTTTATTATCTCACTTATTCTATTATCACCTAAAAGATAGGCTTCTTAATTACGGCTATCCTTGTATTATGATGAGTTTTCCCCTCCCACTGCATGCTTTGTCTTACCGCCTTTGACTAATAATTAGAGCCAGCCTTTCAATTAATCGAGATAATCAAAAATCAGATCTTTTCAACCCTTTGCATGCTCATATCATGCAATGCAAGCCCTAGGAGGAACAGTCTTCACTTCCTTTTCTCCTGCTCAAGCTCCTTACGTCTCTTTTGAAGCATTGCATTCTCTTTCTCGATCTTCCAGTCATATACCCCGTCTACTCCTGACATTGTTTCTTTCCAGTCTACTTCAACCATTTGCAAGGGGGCCTTACCATTCGATCTGCATGAAATATTTCGCTAAACATTCGATAATCGGGATCTTATTAACGCTGATATATCCTACCCGGCATACTTTATTATCGATTGTATAGTAAATGTTCTTAACGCGATAAAGGAGCACTCAAGCCTCGACTCCTTCGTCACCCAGTCTCGAACATGCTCGTCTATCCAGTGAAGAAAGGGAGATTCAAAATCTACTAGCATTGGCTTGCGGGAACCATGGTTGATTGAGTCGAGATCAGTTATTAGGAGAATATATGAAGACGCGCCATGATCAGGGACGTTATCACCGATGGTATCTATTATTCCCGTATACGACTCATCGATAAACTCGTCAAGAATCTAAAAAAGTGAGTAGAGAGTCCACTAGTACTCATAAATATATATCGTATCTCTGAGGGTATTTTGGCTGTACAAAACACAGGGTACATCATGACGCCTCTGGAGACTTGGTCGACAATGGTGTGTTCCTCTTCCTAGCGCTGCCTTTCGCTCATTCTCCTTGTAGTCACAGGCATTGTGTCAAATGTAGAGCGTCAGTCGATAATAACCTCCAGGTTTTCTAGAACAGAACAAGCCATTTTATATTAGGTGTCCCGGTTATATTATTGATATCTTTAAAACTTGGGATCGTTCTCCGCTATTTATATAAAAGAGTTAACAGGCGCTATGGGAGTTCTAAGCAGTGGTCGGCGGATAGGCTGTGTACCTAGTCTATAGAATAGGTGGAAGGAATGAAGACATAAGGTAGCTGTAATTTAGTAGAAAGCGGTTAAACCCCCTATAGAGAAGCGAGAATTTATGCCGAGTCCTAATAAATCTATCTTCTACAGTGGGGTTGGGCAGGGATAGTAGTTATTGGTCTGGCTCTGGCCTCCACAAGTTCACCTCGTAGTCTTCCCTGTGGTGAGTGTTCCTAGGGTCCCCACCACTGGCAAGGTTATGTGGCTTTGCATGGATATTAAGGCAACGTTCTCTAACTATTCTCACCAACCACCCTCTCCTCCACCATCTACTTCCTCCCTCTTCCTCTTCTTCTCTTAATGTCGAGCTTTTGCTGCTGCAGCAGGGTTGGAACCACGGAATGCCGCGAGATCTTCGCCTTTGATACCATCAATAGTTAATTAACTATGGTATCCGATACCTTTGGCCTTCTCTACCACATGGCCTAGGACACCACCTTGATCTATTCCCCGAATTCAATTAGCTATACCCTAGGGGATATGATAAAGAGTAAAATATACGTACGCTTGCTCTCTTTTATTGCCGTCTCACGCGTGGTAAATGGGTCGCCTGGCTCTCTGAAGCGCGCGGGTGGTTCCTCATCTATGGCCATATCTGACCCTCTCTAAGTCTCCGAGGGTAGTAGTGAGGCTGGCCATCCCATATTTTCAACGTATTCTCGGATATTTTCAGCCGTCTCCGGTCGATCTCTATCTTTATGTGTTCCGCCATGCTGGTGAGTTGAATGCGTGTGTGTTTTCTTGTATGGGTAGTGCTGTAGTTGGCGTGAGATGTTCTGAGATACTCTGCATTCCTTCTTAAATAGCTGTTGTTTGCACTGCTGCATTCACTACCAAGGCTATTCACTCTACCATTACGTACCTCAAGTTCTGCTAAAGGATTCACGAATGGTATGGTATACTATACCCCTATTCTTGTCTATTGATGCCGTTATCCAAAGAGTAACAGTACATAGACGGGCGTCTACTGTGCATAAGAGAAGAGACACAAGCTGTTCTAGAAAGGATAAGCCTCAGCCATGCTCCTCCATATATTATATTAGCTGATGCCTATATTCCAGCAGTATTTATTGGGCTCTCGCCCCCAGATATGTTGTGTGCGTGTTGGCTCAGTAATATCGACTGAAATGAACCCTACAAGTCGTAGTTAAGATACTTAATGATGATGATGACGAGTAAACAGTTCAGCTCTTCTCCTATGCACTCCAGATCACTGCTCGAAAACGAGAGAGCTTATGGAAATGGGTAGTAAATACTCTGGACTCTGCTCGTTTTCTACCCTTAACTATATCTATGCTTACTTTGCGGCCGTGGCAGATTCTCATATCACTATATAAGAGATGTGCGTATGGTAGAAAGACACGGCAGAAGACAGCTTATAGCAGCCTTTACTCCAGCACTTACTACTTCGACCCGGCTCTCACCAACTCTCCAAATCTAGTTCCCTCCTGTCCAGCCAACACCATTGGATTCCCAACCTCCGCAATCTCTCCTTTGTCCATGACAACGACTCTATTAAAGTCCATGATCATGTCTAGCCGGTGACTAACCGCCACAATGGTATAGTCCTTAAATTCATTCCTAATAATCTCTTGCATAGCACGCTCCGTTTCTTGGTCCACACTTGAGCTCACTTCGTCTAACAACAGTATACCGCCCTGTGGGCCACCAGCCTCTATCCCCAGGTTCCGCACCCGGGTGCGTCGTCTCAGCAGTGCGCGTCCAAGTGACATGAGTTGTCGCTGCCCCGCGCTGAGAGTGCTCGCGTTCATCTGTGCGTGCAGGCCTCCACGCTCCTGGACGAACTGCCATAGATCCACGGCCACAAGAACAGCCTGGCATTCCTCAGGCGCGGAGACGTTGAGCGGGTCTAGGTTAGCCTGGAATGTAGAACCATCGGGCAAAAACACGGCTTCCTGAGGAACTGCAATTATACGCTCACGAAGAGTAGGCCGGTCTATACGGTGGAGAGGCAGTTCATCAATGACGGCATTTCCTGCGGTCTCTGGGAGAGGGTCAAGGAGCTTGAGCAGTAGAGCAATCAGACTTGACTTGCCACTTCCAGTACGGCCGCAGATGGCGACCTTCTCACCTGAGTTGATGGTTAGGTTGATATCACGGAGGGCTAGATTGGGTGGGTGTTCCGTTTCATCTTCCATACTACTTAGGGCGTTAGCTTATTTAACCAGTGGATGTGATATTCGCGGAAATATTGCCTTACCTATAACTTGCGGAAATACCCTTCAACTCCACCACACCGTTTCGCGGCCACTGTTGAGGAGGAACAATATCCTCTTCCTCCTTGTCTTCTGGCTTCACGCTTTCGTTGAATGTCTTCAGTCTAGCTATTGCCCCGATAGATGTTTCTAGCCTAGTGTAGAATATGACAATTCCGGAAAGGTTCTCTCCAAAATGCATGAGGGTAACCAAGGAAGCACCAATAAAACCAGAGTTAGAGTGAAGCCGAACAGCAAGAGTCGTTAGTCCCGCTGCCATTACCATGACTACGAGGTCAAGGACGAGGTTAAGCCACTGTTGAATCATAATGAGGAGATACGCAGGTCGTTGGCTAGAATTGATCAGGCGAGCATTCTTTCGGACGTCGTAGGGAAGGAAGCCTACGTTATGTAACTCCAGTGTTAGCAGACCCTTCAACAAGACAACATTTCGCAAAGTACCTTAATAGACGGGGTCTTTATCACATCACTCACCGAAAGCTCTCAGAGTTGTAATACCCTTTACAGTGTCAATGAAATGCGTGCTAAAAGAACTGGATTAATATATAGCATAACAATCGCCTGGTAGTAAACTTACTACAAGGGGCTTTTAGCCTCGAGGTCTAGCAACCTTAGCTGCCTGGAAGTCCGTAGATAGAACCTTTGCACAAGGTATAGCAGAGCGCCGATGAACGGATAGCTTATAGCCATGTACGGAGACGAACTAAGAATAACAGCTGCTTGTCCAATTGCTTGGAAAACCTAGGACCTGTGTTAGTTTTCCTTTGTGAATTCGCCAAAGCCGAGTAACAATGTCACCATAGACTTTTAATGGGCATTAAATTACAGACTTACACAAAACAAAGTATTCAACAGTGAATTTGGCAGCTCTGTGTCTATAATATTCAGGTCTTGCGAAAATAGATTTGTGATGACACCGGTATCTGTTGCTGTGAAGAAACGTAGCGGTGCTCGAATTAGTGTTCGTAACGCATCTTGGTGGAGTTTGGCACCCGCTTTCTTCACAGAGACAACGAAGATTGCGATACCGAGGAGAAGCAGCGACATCATGCCACATAACTGGAGAAGCGCATAGATCCCCGCGTAATAGGCGAAAGAGTGAGCTGGATGTTCCGAGTAAACATCACTAGACCAGTATTTGAGCCCTACAATAAGCGGAATTAGCTAATGATATCTATGGTAGGCTCTATTAGTGTTACTGCCTTGGTTAACTCACAAATTGTTGGAAAGTTCGTGAAGAAGCCCCAAAGGGTAGCAAAAACCAAACTACAAAATGCCAGGGATATCCCCATGCTCTTGAAGTAATGCTTGTATACTGTTGCATCGCCAATTTTCCGCGATTCATCGGTGTCTGGCGGGGGGGATGATGTGTTGGTCGTCGTGGTGTGAAGCAGTTCTGGTTCTGCCTCTCGTACATCCTTCTTTGAGATTATTTTCTCAGACGAAATGTCTCTGTCAGAGGATCCTTTTAGTCCCAGACGTTGAACATACCCTTGACAGGCCATCAATCTGTCAAAGTTACCTTGCTCAATAACGGTACCGTTTCCGAGTGCTAGTATGTAATCTGCTGCGGGCAGATGCCTAACGCTGTGAGTGCATAATACGACCGTAGAGCGGCGTCGTCTGAGAAGTCCATCTGGCCCGAAGACTTGTTGAAAGACATGTTTCTCGGTATCCGCATCTAAACCACTGAAAATATCGTCCAGCACTAGTAGGTCGGATTGCAAATATAGAGCTCGCGCGAGGGAAACACGTTGTTTCTGACCGCCAGATAATGTGATGCCATCGGATCCGATGTTCGTTCCATCGCCCTGTGGGAGTGTTTTTAGGTCGAAATCCAGAGCTGTAGCCTCGATGACTTCGGCGTATCTCTCATTATTGAATGGAGAGAACCCCACTATGTTATCCCTAATCGACCCGTTCGAGAGAAATGCAGTTTGGTCACAGAACCCGACGTGGGGGAACCTGGAGCTTAAAACAACACTACCGTTGCTAAAAGGGATTTCTCCAAGTAGTGCCTTGCAGAGCGTGGATTTGCCTGAGCCAACTGGTCCGACGACGATGGTGAGCGAGAACCGTGGCACTCGAATGTTTATGTCATGCAGGGCGAATTTGTCCGCTTCCCAGCCAAAATTTCCATTCCTAATAATGACAAGAGGATGTTGTTCCCCGTCCGGTTCTGGGTTAGACGAAACTGCCGTACCCACTTGGACCTTCTCTGAATTCTGGCTCATAGCATCAAGAACTTCGCGAAAGTCATGGCGAGTCTCACATTCCAAGAAGGCCTGGATACGGCCTAAACAGGCCAGTCCAGAGATGAGCTGAGGGATAGATTCGAAGATCTGCGACAGCGGCGTAGTCAAAAGCAAAAGCCAAGAAAGGCTCGTGAATATCTTCGCAGCATCCAATTTCCGCTGTGCAAGCGCGAAGGTTAGCGGTGAGCTGACCAGTAACGGGGTAAACCCTAAAAGAGCCGCAACGATGGATATTTTGCGAAATCGGGATCCCGCCCCCAGCTCCTCTACACGCAGGTTTTGCACGAAGTCGCTGACGGAGGTAGCTAGGCCAGATATCTTCAGGTTCTTTATATTGGAGATGATTGTGGCTGTCAGTCCGACACGCTTCTGGACTCCTGCCATCCAGGCTCTCTGAGAGTCTCCCGTGAACTTCACCAGTATTGTCAAGCCGGTAAAGCAACATATAACAACCCCGATTGGCGCGACAAAGACTATACCAAGTTGGACATATAACATCCAACTAGCGAGAGCAGCCTGGATAATGCTCGCCCAAACATCGTGCAAAGCCCTGAAACCGAAGTTGATTCGCTCTATATCGGTGCTCATTAACGTAAGCGCAGCGCTGTCATCTCCAGTCCCGATCCGAGCTTTAGTAGCTTTGATGAAGGTCTCGGTGACTAGTATCGACCTTGCCATAGTACGCATTCGGTGATGGAAGTACCTGTATTGATTGCATGAGTGGCAGATCTTTGCAAGCAATTCATTCGTGGGGTTTACTTACCAGTAGAAGGCTGTTGAGATGGCAATTCCCGAGTAAATTAGTATACTAGCGCCGATGAAGCCGTACCCAACGTTCGCGTCGATTGTAGGCTGGGCTAGGTGGTCCAGCAACCTTTCGATAAAATACGGTTGGCAAAAAACGAACCCAAGAAGCGCCAGGCGTGGAGGTATAGGAAGTATAAGAGAGACCTTCAGTGTGCGAATCAGAACTTTCACAAGACCGAATTTGTCGCCCCTTAGCTTAGAGTAATCCATGTTTTTGGAAAACTTCTCGTGGAGCGATTCGCTGTTCAATGAGCTATCAAGGGGGAAGAGGTCCTGCATTGTTAAAACCTTCCTATATCCCTCCAGGAAGATTTTGTTAAGCCAGGAGAAGACCCCAAGGGAGAAGATTCCGCTCGTCTCCTCTGGGCTATGCTCCTTCTCATCCCAGCTTATCCATCTGGACTTTCGTTGGGCTTCTAGCAGCAATATGCCAACCTTCAATGCTACAGCAGCACAAAAAATACTACTGTAGATAAGTTCGGGCTTATTATCTGATGATAGAAACAGCGTTCTTGCCTGGGCTGCGTCTAGGAGAAGGGTTAAAAACAAGTAGCTATTCAGTAGCACGGACGGCCTGGGGCTTTTGCTATGGTCGAGAAGGCTCAACATTATCATGAGTAGGGCTGACATAGACTTAAGCACCGAGGAAGCTATAAACAAGCTGGTTACATGGAAGGATCCAACCACGCCCAAGGTGAGGAGTGAAAGTTCAAGTCCAACGTAGGCTGTGATAGCGACCTGCAGTGATTTAATCAGCATAAATTGAGACTGTACATCCCATATCGTGCGGTGCGTACCAATTTGATGATTTGAAAAACCGGAGCATTCACTACGGTGGGCTTCCGTGCCTGGGAAACCGACCGCCATAAAGATGTAATGATGAACAACGCGGATGGTATGATTGAGAAGAACAGCTGCTCGAACTGTATGTTAAAGTCAAAATGCTCTTGATTCAGCTGGAGCAGGTTACCCTCACCAGTGGAGAACGGCATCTTGAACTCTTGAGCGCACTGCCTTCAGTTAAAGCTGCTGCTATCTCGTTCTTTGAGAGCTCGATATGGTCCTGAGGCTAACTCAATACTAGACTAGTGGACACGATGAAAAGATCAGGCAGACAAGAGGTTGTTACGGGGAATAAAAGGGAAACATGGTAAATGGAACTGCGCGCGACAGCCAAGCAGGCAGCAACGGCCAACTGGTTACTGCGGCCAAGCAAGCTCCATATCCAAATTGCACCAGGCCGGGATCATTGAATCGCGACCAATTATTATTATGCCCATAATGTTGGGGAATTGTACTCCGCACTTTGCGCGAAACTCGCAATTATTATAGAGAGTATTTTGGTACCCTGAATGAATGACATTCTTGGGTGACAGTTTCCTGTCTATAAGACTTCAGATAGTCAACACCAAATATCAGGTTCTCTTGCCTCCCACCTTCGTTATATCGGGTGGTTTATCATCCAGGGTGTGCCGTGGCTATATCATGGGTGTTCTAGCGGACGTTCCAAGGGCACATGTGACGGTAATATCGTATGGCCTTTTATATATATCAAATATGCGCTGGCGCAGCAAATGATGATTAGTTGAATGAGATAAATGCGTATACAGGGGTGTATTCGTGTATTTGGATGAATTTGTAAAGCCTACAGACGAGAACATCTGCCCTAGAATATGCCGAGCGAACAAGTACGCTGACTAAGCACAACAGACGGATACTTTTCTATATACTCATCAACTGTTTCTATTGCTGCCGTAGTTCCGCCGATTGTGCCTCGTAAGTAGCAGTAACTTGGAGATGCATATTTCTATATTATACACATTGGCACTATGCAACAAGAAGGGGTCGATGATATTGAAGTAGCCTGATGAGATGCTGACTAATAACCGCACTATATCTGATGCGTCCATGGTACGAAATCATCATCCAATGTGCCTCTTCACGCCAATATATCATAGACAAAGATATTCCTTTTTCCCTACACAACGACTTTCCAGTTATTTCTCCGAGTGGCGATGTGAAGGTTGGATCGATGAGCATTTAGTCGAAACCCTCGTGCTGTTCTCACCATGATGCTTTTACACATAGTAGCTTCCGAACGCGCTTCGATCTGCCTCAGTTGTAGGGCTTCGCAAAATTAAGCACAAGTATAAGCAAAATAGCCTCGAGAAGGCTATTCACTTCTGGAAGAACATGGTGAAGCCTCTAAGCGCCACATCCATACTATAACTTCTCAGTCTACACTTAAAGCAAACTCCGATTTAATCCGTCTCGACTTTCCCACAGCCCGCGCTTGACACCTAAGCTCGTAACCAACATATCACTACCAGCACTCTATGCCGCATGGGCGCTATTTCCGCGTAAGATCACTAGACTATCCTGACACATGCTACTGGAACCAATAGCTGGTTGAAGTTCACAAGACGGCGCCTGATGTTCTCGATTTCGACGGTCTCCCCCATCCTCATGCTTGAACGGCTAGTCAATGCTCCTAGGAGACCTTAGTAAGAGCCCTGCTAAAGTGAAACAATATAATATCCAGTGTCGTCTAGAAGATAAGTAACCTTGTGATGGCGGAACCTGGGCCTAAAGATTTATGTAGTAGTCACCCGTTGATTGCATCACAACCATTTAGGCGTAGTGAAAGTGCTCTATAAGCTAGAGAACGCGGGACCCCCATATAACCGCTAGATATTACAGGGACAAAGAAGGATAATATAGGATTAAAGTAGAATACGTGCTTGTTATAAAGAGGAATCTACTAATAAGGATACCTTGTACTTACCTTAAGAAACCACCTATCACACTTCTTTTCTATAGTTCTTATAGTATCTACCATATATGTATACGAGGTTTCTACTATATGCGACTTACTATGCGACGGACGACGATGATGTCAGACGGAGAAACTTGCCACATCGGGCGAGATAACATGTGATTGTGGATCCCGAGGCGGCACGCGCTTTTTAGAGTTTGGCAGGGCAAGAAAGGCAAAAAAGGCAAAAAAAAAACATGATCTCAACTTGCATCAAAAGAAAAAGGTTCGAGATGGTGAAATATCGTCAATAGGGCGAAAGACGAACACGAACGAAAGAGAGACGCGATTCGACGCCACCGCAGGGACTTGGACTTGCTGATCGTCTGCGCCAGCTTTTTTGCCTTTGCCTTGGATGGCGCAGTAATAACACGACTTATATCAAGCTTACTCATGACACGTCTTTAAAACGGCGGACCGCGACCATTTACGAACCAGATATTCAGCTCTTCTGGACACTGCGAGGTACAGATCTAAGTGTGCTGGATGAGATTTAGCGGGCAGCTGCCGGTATTGCGCTGACGATTCGTGCTTGCCACGACGGCTGGTTGGAGGTAGCGTGGCCTCAAGCTATAGCCACGATGGATTCGGATGCAGTGGAAGTGGTGGACATTGAGGAAGATGCATACATGGCCAAGCCAGTCGCGGTGGACAGGCACTGGAGAGTCGAGAAGAAGAAGAAGAAGCCATTTAGGCCAATCCGGAGCACGATAAGTGCTCTCTTACGGTACGTTTACGTGTTGTTTACCAGAGAAGGGAGCTCAGATGCGCAAGCGATAGTTTACTGATGCTTCAAAATCTAGGCTCTTCGTCTGGTACTCGATCTTCACAGCGCTGTTTCGATGTCCGTCGTCTGTTTTCGAGCTTGACGACCAGTCTCCTCGAGTCTGCAAACCGTACCTTGTCGCAAGGACGCACCTGGAGCCTCACATAGCCCCATATTACCACAAGTACGGCGAACACCACGTCGAGAAGCTCCAGCCTTACGCGCAGTCTTTCTATGACAAGGCTGAGAAGATATATAATCCCACCGCGCGATTTTTACATGGTGTTTACCAGGGCTATGTTTCTGTGTACGTGGAGCAGGCTACAGAGCTAGCAAAGTCACAGTGGAACCAGCGAGTATCGCCACACATCGATCCTCTACAGAAGCAGGCCACCGACTACTACGTCTCGTCTGTTGATCCGCACGTCAGGACGGCGCAATCGATCGCAGTCCCTTACATCCGGGTAGCTGCCGCACAGAGCATTCGCATCAAGGACAACTACCTCATCCCATCTTATATCAGCTCTCGTCCAGTGATAGAAAGAGCCTGTGCGGCTGTTCATAACTTTATCATCTCAACCATAGCGCCGTACACGCGGAAAGCATGGTCTGCCGTCTTTGTATTTCTCAACGGCACCGTCCGCACACAAATCACACACCTCTATTCGGAAAATGTGGAGCCACAGCTTGTTAAAATCGGGGAGAAGCTGGCCAGCTACCGCGAAGGACGGACAATTCAGCACGTTAATCTAGAAACTGCTAGGTAAGTCATCGTCTGGCTTCAAGTAATTTTTCTTGCACCTAATATTCGTCTAGTCCTATAGTCCAGGTGCCCACCTCGGCAGATAAGCCATCCACGAAGAGCACTACGGAGTCAAAGGCTACACAAGTTTCGTCTGTGGAACCTCCGGCTTCTACAAAGCTGACCCCCGCTCAACAGTCAGAGCTAGCGCGCGAAAAGATTTCGACAGATCTCAAGGCCTGGAAGGAGAGGACTGAAGCCTTGGCCAAAAAGGGACGCGAGCACGTCCAAGAACAGGTCCGTCAGGAAGTTGAGAACATTTCGAATAAGCAACAGTCATCGGGAAACACTATCCTTGGCTCATTGCAAGTTGTGGTTGAAAATCAGCTATTCTCACTAAAATCGGATTTGTACGCCATCGTACAAGCGATCCCTGAAGAATATACTGAAGAAGATGAACAAGAGGCGCATGACGAATTCCTACAGAGTCTAAAGGAGTCCAGTCTCATCATCCGGGAAAACGCACATCAGCTTCGCCTCTGGTTCCATGAGTACCAAGATACGCTCACCAAAGCCGTCACCAAGACTGTAAATACTACGCTTGACGTTCTTGAAAACACCCGTGAGCTTGGTCTGCAGGAAATCGGTATGCGCTGGACATCCATTGACGGTGTTACATACAAGGACTGGGCAAACTTTTACGATCTGAAAACCAAACTTGGGGAATGGAAAGATGATATTCGACAAGCTGGCTTGCAGCATGATAGCTTCCTTGCTGCCAAGAGCGCCGGTGATACTATCGTTGCACGCGGGATGGACATTGCACAAGACGCCGCACAGCAGCTGTCTGAACTGAGGTCTATTGGCAGGCTGAAGATTGAGGCCAGAGAAACCAGCAAGAGCCTCGATGTGGAGCATATCGACGAAGAGATGTTACGGGAAAGGAGGAAGTATATGATTACAAGTGTAACATTCTCTCCTGCCGCCACTCCATCTCCATCCGAGACTAGTGCTACAAGCTCTGTTGTTGAGAGTCTTGAGGCTGAGGTTGAGACTCCTCAAGGTGATAATGATGGCCAGCAACCCAAAGCTGCCGTCTTCGATGAACAGTCTACTTTGTCAGACGAGTCTCTAGAAACTGAACCGAGCCCCGAAGCCCCCTTTATCATAGAGGAGACTTCAACCGAAGAGACGCCAGTTGAATCCCCAGCCAACCTGCCACTTACAGAGGAGGAGCCTATCTCTTTGGACGTGCCTGGTGCGGCAGAATCATATCTAGATGAAGTGATAGATTCCATTGATAAGGAGCAAGAGCGGTTGGATGTTGTCCACGAGCAAGACACCACTGAAGCAAGCCAAACATCTTCCTCAACTGCCAGCTCAATCTCATCTCCCGCTCCCGTCTTCGTGACGCAGAAATTCGACGATGCAATGCTAGAAGACGATGATATCTCCAGCGAGGCTTCATCCGCACCTGAAAGCCAAGATGTCCATGAGATCATCGGCTCAGCAACAGACGAGATCGTCTCGCTCGTTGGCTCTGCAAGGACGGAGCTAGCGGAAACCCCTGTTCCAGAAGTCGAAGCGAATGCTCTCCTCGAAGATACCAGCACACAGCTCGACGGAGTGATATCATCAGTTCAATCATCCATCAGCTCGCTTCAAAACCTGCCACCGTCTTCATCTGCCACTCCTGAAGAGCGCCGTGAATACTTCGATGGCGAAATCGCCAGACTCACGGCCGCTCTGGAGGCTGCGCAAGCCGCTTTGCTGGAACTGAATAAACCAGACAGCCCAGACGACCCAGGGCAGACACAGGAGTCTGCAGCCCCCAAAGCCCCCGACGAAACTACCAACGAGTAGATAATATTGCTATATGCGGCAACTATCTATAAAATGAGTCTTTCTTTGTGATATTTATGATACGATACCTTTCCTTATGCCGGCGACCTTTCTTTCGTTTCTCATCCACACTGCCTGTCTCAGCTGTATTATCGTTAACCAGGGCGAATGTATTTTATGATATTCCATGTATTTTTATCTATCTTCCTATAATAGATCATATTCGAGTCTTTCTCCGTATGTCATATAGCCTATCTGTACTTCACTTTCTGGCCTCTCTTCTCCAGTTTCTTCTGCCTCTTGCTCTCAGCCTGTCCGGCACCTTCGTCCACATCCATCCCGGCGCCAGGCAGACCCGACTTGACGCCCATAAACGTCGTGTAGGCCAGCCAGATCGAATACAGCGGCACAACCACCCACAACCACCATCCGTAGTCTCCGAATATGCACGCCGCGCCCATACACCCCCAGGTCCAGTAGAGCACATCCCAGCAGTACTCCGTCAAGCCAGGCGCATCCAGGTCTTCTCCCGGCGACCTCAGCGAGCCGTTGGCCGCATCGTAGCGCGGCCGTCCCAGCCGTTCAAAGTAGAACTCGATCACCAGCGTAGGAGCCGTCAGCAGGGCGTACTTTGTCAGAGACGCCGGACGACCGAAGACGAAGTGCAGCAGCAGCAGGATAGCATGAAGTGAGGCCGTCGTAATGTGTGTCCGCAGCAGTAGAGAGGTATTTCGAGCTGCCAGCGTCTTTGCTGCTTTCTACCTGCCGTCAGCCTTTGTATCAGTTGGCGCTGGAGCAAGCCGGCTCACCTGTGCCATCTCTATATCCTCTTCCACCGTGTATCCTCTTGTCTCTCTCGACCTGTCTAGTGGTTATCAACAACCAGTTCATGCAAAAGTGTTTGTGGTTCAGCCACTCGAAGATGCAGCTTTTCAGCCACTGCAAAAAACATCCTTTTTGCCTCCAAACCGCGTTTTTTGTTATTTGAACAACCAGCAAGAAAGAAGACGAACCAACTCACCGTTAGGAAAATATCTATAACTTTGCTGCTGTGGTCAAAACTGCTTTGCCATCCCCAGGCCGGGCAGCAGGTCGCAGGGCCCTTCAGCTTTGTCTCTCTTTTCTCGTCTCTCTACGCCGCCGTCCGCTCCTTTTTTTTCCCATCTCCCAGGCAACAAAAACACACCAACAAGCGCGAGCGCCCTTGTCGAACAGGAGAGCATCGCGCGCGACAGCTAAACGGCTTCTCTCTCTCTCTTGTTTCTGCCTCATGTCAAGCGGACTCTCCTGCTATGAGACTTCTGCTGCTGGGGAATTCCTTTGGCAACAGCGCAGCGTCGGGCTTCTGACTGCGTCCTTCCTACGAGACTGCGCGCCCGCCTGAAGGGTCTTCTTCAGGCTGTTATATATCGGTGGAACAGCTGGGCGGATGCAGAGTCCGATATCTTAACCTCCTAATCATATATCCTACGATCCCGAAACACCTACAGAGCTGCTGGAGCAGAAGTCAAGGAGCAGAAGCCGGAACTCCCCCCTCGAAATATCGACCAGCCATGGCTCCATCGGCGCCTCACATCTCCAGCCAGCTACGGCAGCTTATATACTATCATCTCGATAACAATCTCCTTCGAAACGCCCTTTTCCTCGCCGGTCGTCTCCATGCGTTCGAGCCTCGGTCGTCTGAGGCCGCATATCTACTCTCGCAGTGTCTGCTACAGTCTGGACAGCCAAAGTATGCCTGGGAGGTCTGTCGCAATGCGGGATCGCGCGGGACCCATGTAGGATGTGCCTATGTCTATGCTCAGACTTGTCTCGATCTCGGACACTACATGGAGGGAATCACTGCACTGGAGAGGAGCAAGACTCAGTGGACGTCAAAGAACAACTGGAGTGAGCGGTTCCTACATTTCTTTGGATGCCTTTTTATTTTTCATATTCTAACTGTGTATAGATAAACACAGTGAAAACAGACGACAGCATCTGCCTGATGCAGCCGCAGTCCTTTGTCTTCAGGGGAAACTGTGGCATGCGCACAAAGACATACACAAAGCTGTCGACTGCTATGTCGAAGCTCTCAAGCTCAATCCGTTTCTCTGGGATGCGTTTCTCGGTCTGTGTGAGACAGGTATTGTACCAGGCCTCGTCTTTTGTTTCACAGCCTCTAAATAACGGATATCTAGGTGCAAACGTCAGGGTGCCGAATATCTACAAGATGACGCCAGAAATGGTAGCCATGCTCACTCCGTCGACCTCAGAGAGCTCGTTTTCAGATAAAGCCACCACCAATGGCCAGCCACTGCAGGTACAGCCAAATGTCAATCACAACATTGACCCTTTTCTATCCATGAACGGTCCTAGCTACGGTAGCTCTGCCCTGTGGGAGAAACTTAACGGAAGCAGCGTCAGCGTGGCCTCTGGTTGTGCAGCCGTCCCCGAAGGACTCGAAACTCCAATTGCCCATAGCGATTCAGATGATTTCCGTGTCCGGCCCGGTGCAAGCGCGGGAGAGTCGTACGGGGAACCGCCGTTTGCGCCCGCTCGCAAGCAACGGTCTATGCAGGTGTTAGGCGTCGAGGGCTGTGGCGATATACCGCGGATGAAGCCAACCGGCACCCGATCCAAATCGAAACCAAAGGCAGGATCCTCCGAAGAAACGGCGTCCAGTAAGGAATCCACCTCGTCACAGCAGACTGCTTCGGCAACGGATCGCAAACGGACTGTATCCGGGCATATAGCGCCCGCGAATTCATCAACGCAGCAACCAGTTGAGCCTGGCGCTCCCCAACGACGAAGCGTCCGTCTGTTCAACCAGATTCGGCCAGCAAGCAAGTTCTCTACTTCAGCTGCCGGCCTGGGGCCGCGGGAAGGACGAGAGATCAAGAAAGCAAAGCCTGCCAGCTCGAAGAGCCGCAGCACCGCCACCGCCGCTCCCCTGGGACGAACAACGACTTCATCCAGGAAACAAGGCGGCGAACCAACGGATGTTGACAGCAAAGAAAGCCGGTCGGTTGGAAACTCCTCGGAATCTCTCAATGGACCGTCGAGGACACAAGTACCGGATAAGTCAAAGGAGATTGACGCTCTAGGCTGGACGCTGGATCTATTTTCAAGGTTGGCGAGCGGGTACTCGGCATTATGCAGCTACCGGTGTCAAGATGCTCTTCAGATATTCAACTCTCTCCCACAGAACCAGCGGGAAACGCCCTGGGTATTGTCTCAGATTGGCCGAGCTTATTACGAGCAGGCCTTGTACAGTGATGCAGAAAAATACTTCATCAGGGTGAGAACCATAGCGCCATCGCGGATGGAAGGGATGGAGGTCTACTCCACCGTACTCTGGCACCTGAAGAACGAGGTTGAACTGGCCTACCTTGCACATGAGCTAATGGATACCGATCGCCTGGCATCCGAATCGTGGTGTGCGATTGGAAACTCCTTCTCTCTGCAGGGGGATCATGACCAGGCGCTGAAGTGCTTCAAAAGAGCAACTCAGCTAGATCCCAGGTTCGCGTACGGCTACACTCTACAGGGCCATGAGTACATGTCCAACGAAGAATACGACAAGGCTCTGGATGCATACCGACATGCTATCAACGCCGACCCACGTCACTACAGCGCCTGGTACGGTCTTGGAAAGGTCTATGAGCGAATGGGCAAGCTCAAGTTCGCCGAACAGCACCTCCGCACTGCATCGAATATCAATCCAGCCAACGTCGTCTTGATCTGCAGTATAGGACTGGTCCTAGAGCGCCAGAATAACCTCAAGGCCGCGCTGTTACAATATAGCCGAGCCTCGTCCCTATCACCACAGTCCGTCCTAGCTCGACTGCGTAAAGCTCGAACATTACTAAAACTGAACGAGGTAAATCTTGCTCACATCGAGCTGAAAGTGCTAAAAGACGTGGCGCCAGACGAGCCCAACGTACACTATCTATTAGGCAAGCTGTACAAAATGATGCAGGACAAGGGCAATGCAATAAAACACTTTACGACCGCCCTGAACTTGGATCCAAAGGTGAGTCTCCCAACCCCTTGTGTATCGTATCTAGATGACCGACTAACCGAGAACTAGGCTGCTCAATTCATCAAGGAAGCCATGGAATCCCTTGAGAACCCTGATGACGTTGATGATGACATGACATGATTAATATTTCCGTCAAATCATCCCCCTGCCACCTACCAACCCTACTTGTTCTTCCTTTCTACCCCAATTGTATTCTTTTTATTCGTTTCTTCCTTCACCTTAATCGGGCAGCATAATAACCAGCACTACCCATCTTTCCTTCCAACCAGCATTATGGGTCTTGGTCCGTTTCTTTCCTTTTCTTTGGCGTTGGTGTTACCGGGTTGGCTTCTGTTCAGGGATAATGCATAACGAGCATAACGCAGTGGAATAATAGCATAGGGAACGAAAGAGGAAACGAGAGAGAAAAAAAAGAAGGGAGAGAGAAGTTGAAACATGGGGAGGCACGCTCTTGTCTTGCTCACGGGAATGAATGTACATTTGACCTACGTACAAAAGGGACGGATCGATTGCTTGCTTGCTTAGCTGCTTGGTTGATTGAATGTGGATAATGTTTCTTCCTCGATGTCGACTTGTCCTAGGGAATACGCCTTTACCTATATGTGCAGATGAAATCGATTATTATTCTTATCATTCATCGAGCTGTGAATATATGATTGCCTTTCTATGTCGAGTTCGTCTGTACAGCCTCGGGGTACGCTCATAAGGACTCACCTATACTTCTCTTTTCCGCTCTCCGCCCGCGCCAAGCTTTCCGCTCTCTCTCCGCCGTCGACTTTTATGTATCGGAGAATATATTATATTATATATGTGTCAACATGCCTATATCGAGTAGTTCTCTTCCATCTCATCGTCTTTGTCTATAGAAGTCATCTTTCAGGTGCGTGTCCTTACTATATGTCAAGAGCTACGCCTATACTACCGGCCAACGAGGATTTACAACAGCTACAGCTACAGCTACAGCCACAGCTACAGCTAGTATGTATATTGCATTTACTACTCTTCAGTATTCTTCTTGATCCCCTTTCTCTGAATATAACGGATTCATTCTTCTGGGTACCTACATAGCAACATAGGGCGTAAGCATCTACAACTTCTACCCCTTTAAACATACAGTAAATACATCTCATATGAAGATATCAATTCATCCTCGGTATTTACTTAGACTAGATCTTGTTGGGGAGATGGCCCATTTTTTAAGCCATCAAACCCCCTGAAGTTCTGGTGTAAAATAATAATAATAATAATAAAAAGAAAAAAAGGAAAAAAAAAAATCTACTTCCCGCGCATGTCGAGAACGAAAAGAAGACGAAGAGAATAAACCATCTACGACCGCACTACCATGGCCATCTTCTCCTACATCCTGTCGGGCCTTACGTCCTACGCCGCCCTCACGCTGGGCCTCTTTGGCCTCTCTATAAAGGTGCCCCGCGCAGGCTTCTTCGCCCGCTGTCTCGCCGCATATGCCTCCCTCGTCTTCTGCGCCGCCTACGGCGTCCTCGCCTCGATATGCCTGCGTCTAGCTGGCTACGGCCAGATCTCGCAGTGGACAGTCGCCAGAGCATTCAAGTGGTCCATGTGGCTGGCCACCGGCGTGCACTTCGACGTCATACAGGGCCAGCAATACCTCTCTACCAGGCCCGCGGTCTTTCTCGCAAACCACCAGACGGAGCTGGACGTGCTGCTTCTCGGTGCCGTGCTGCCTCAGTACTCTGCCGTGACGGCAAAGAGGTCTCTTTCCCGCGTACCGCTGCTAGGATGGTTCATGACGCTTTCGGGGACGGTGTTTATCGATCGTGCGAACAGGGAGACTGCCTTCAAGGCGTTTGATAATGCGGCCAACTTGATGAAGACGAAGGGACAAAGTGTTATTATTTTCCCTGAGGGCACAAGGAGTTATGCGCGGGAGCCGACAATGCTGCCGTTTAAGAAGGGAGCGTTCCATTTAGCTGTTAAGGCAGAGGCGGATATCGTGCCTATCGTGGCGGAGAATTACTCGCATGTTCTCGATGTGAAGAAGATGCGGTTTACTTCAGGAGCTATCAAGGTCAAGGGTGAGTTTCATCTTTTGTTTTCGTTAATGCATACTAGCTGACTGCCAGTATAGTGCTTCCTCCAATTAGCACCAAGGGCCTTACAGCTGCCGACGTTGACTCCTTGACCCAAAGCACAAGGCAGTCCATGCTGGATTCCATGGTCGAGATGGACAGGATGAGAAAGGTCAAAGATATCACTAGCACACAGGTCGCCATGGAGGCATCTCGGGCAAGCCGCTCCACCGCCGTTGAGATATAGCGACTTGCCTACATTATACCGTCACTATAGCTCTGATTATGGTGCTGAAACAAAAACTAGAATCCTCACGAATGGAACACATAGCTCGAAGGATATACTTATTAACACACGAACTGGGTCGTCCCGAAGTCTTACAGAGGCAAGGCGTTGTATTATTGTCCTTGGATTCACTAGGGAATTGCCATAGGGCGATGGGCTTTTCAAGCCGTTACCTCAAGCATTTGCATCAGGAGTATGGGTAGCTTGTATCATTAGAAGGATTTTGATAGATCATGAATTATGGCCCCTGCTTACATACAATAAATGCCCTTATATATATACTAATCTCGTTATATAGTAAATAACTTCATCAAAGACACTCACACTCTCCCCGAGCACAAGGGCCCCAACGTCCTTCTCGATATCAATAGACTTAAATTCATCCCATGTATTCAAAGGCAGCAGCATTGCCGAACCCTGGCCCCCTCGTGGCCGTTGCAAGAATATATCGCTCTCCAAACGCAACAACCTCCATCCTCACATTATCAACCAGCTCCCCTTTCAACCGGACCTCAATCCCCTGCAAAGGCTTGCCCCAGACCGGCCCATCTTCAGGCTCGGGAGGGACGACATTGGTGAATTCCAGTTTTTGCAACCAGCTTGCCAACAGCCCTTCTCCAACCATCTTTATATAAGCCTCTTTCAGGGCCCAGTAGGTGTAGAATAAACGGGTGCGGTACCGTATAGATCTATCACCAGCACCAGCGCCAGACTTGATAATCTGCAGCTCTCGAGCCGAAAACGCCTCTGTGAATATATCCACGAATTCACAGAATTCTCTGTCTGTACTGGGCATCAACGCCGGATTCCGTCTCTCCCGCTCATCGGTACAAGTAATATCAACCCCGACCTGAGGCGGCCCCTTATCACCGCGCGAAGACGGGTCAAGCTTTTGCTTGTCATTTGCTTCAGTCTCGACGTCAGCACGATACATGCATCCCGCCAGCGCTACGATGGAAGCCTGGTGGCTGACGTTGAATTCGAGACGCAGCGACTCATCGTTGTCCTTAAGCGGGATATAGCACGGCCTGCAGTGGGGTTTGGGCGTGCGACTGATGATGACCTGGTTCCAGGGCACTCTGGCGGTGCGATGGATGTATAGATACTTCAGCAGGCTGGAGGCTAGAGACATATGCTGGTCTGCAACATGATAGAAGGCCTTGATCTTCTTCTGCTCGGCTGGTTGTAGGCTGTCGATAAGAGGAAGCGAGGTGGTGGATTGTGTCCATTTGCTCATGTCGATGTACCATCTTGTAAGATGAGACGGATCGAGTGTTTGAGATGTCATTCTGATATCAATCTGATGCTCTCCCTATATTTTGTTTTCAAGCGGCTCTCCCTGATGTTGGTTTGCACGGAATCCCCAAGGTCGGCCCAGGGTATATAATTCGCTGGATGTTGTGGTGCAGCCAGAAAATATTCAGCCTGATATCAACTTTGCTACCAACCTGCCTATAATTTGACATACTCAGAATTTCTCGATATCTTAATTAAGTAGATAAGACACTTTTTCTACTCTGCAGCGTATATTTAATTATAGGACTCAAGGTTTTATCAATAATATATTCATAACTAGGCCATTAGCATAACACATTTACGAGCTGCTCCTAAAGCACGAAACCAAAGAACACAGCAAGTAATGGGATGAAGCAGAGTCTCGTCCACATCCCCTTATCCCATAATCTCACCCCCAGCCCCTCGGTAGGGGTCTGCGTGACGGTCGTGGTAGGGGTTTGCGTGACGGTCTTGGTAGCCGTCACCGGCGCTGTGGGAGTCTTTAATTTCTCAGATGTAGTCGTCACAAGAGCAAAAGTCGCCCTGTAATAAGTCCCAGGGTAGTGGTAAAAGTCCGGAGAACTAAAGCACCCGACTAGACTATGGATCCCCGTGGCCGCAACATTTCTAGAGTCGAATATGGTGAGGGTATCGCATACACTCGATCCACTTTAGTTTTCTGATTAGCAGGGCCAGGTATTTTAGATACTGAATATAAACAAAATAATATTACCAGTCGGCCATGTCACTGTCAGAGTAAACGGCTTTGTTCCCCTCACATGCTACCGGAGGATCGCAGTAGGACAAGCCGGTGGGGCAGCAGGCGCCTATCTGTGAACTGACAGCATAGTACTCCCCTAACGCACAGCCATAGGAGCGCCCTTGATTATTCAGGTCAGGTCAGACGACTATAAGCTAATATATCATAGAATAGGGAGCGTACATTCAGTGCCTTCTGAGTACCAGCCTATAAAGCGCTCGTCGACCTGGCGCTTATGCACGTCTTCTGCCCTCGGTGCTGGAGTGATCTCGGGGTGAAAATCACGGGCATAGGCAGAACTGATACATGCGATCAGGGCAGCGATGAGGAAGAACTGCATCATGCCGTCTTTACCGTTTGAAGAGAGGTTGACATTGTGAAGGCCTGACTGACCCTGGTGGTCACTCTTTAAATAGTCACCCGGTCAAAACAACAAGCTAATCACAACCCGGTCTCTGCGTCGATCTGTGTTGGATGTCCGCTTCCAACGGTTTTCCATATATATAACAATATAAATATTCGGACAGCGTATCTTTCATGGCTATCGTCATGCTGATACTTGGTCAATATATGTCCAGTAAAATATCATGGAGTTTCTCTGCTTTTCAATGTCAATATATCCCTGGCATTCTCGTATGGAGAAACACATACCAACTGGCCCTCCCCCACCAAACATCCGTAGTACCCTGTCTTCCGCGTATAATCGCCATAGCAATGTTATATCCATCTATTTTATCCTCCTGCTCAATATTTTGCTCTATATTTAATCAATATTTTCATTTACTTTGCATATTTTTCAATCAAAAGTCTCAACTTCGGCCCGAGGGAGCGGATAAACTTATCACCGAAAGACCCGGATTACTAAGCAGTTAACGGTGTTTTTTATTCTTTTTATTTTTTGACTCAGAGGAAGAGAAGAAGAGAAGAAGAAGTTGATAAACGGACAGAACAGAAAATAATGCAATGACTATCACAGTGGGTGTCCTCGCCCTGCAGGGCGCTTTTCACGAGCACATACAGCTTCTCCGGGTTGCCGCGGCCAAGCTGAGGGGCAACAAGTCTATGACCAAACAGCAATGGGAGTTCGTCGAAGTTCGCACGCCGGCCGAGCTGGCGAGATGTGACGGGCTCATTATACCAGGAGGCGAGAGCACCGCTATGGCCCTGGTGGCTGCTCGTTCGAACCTTCTTGAGCCGCTGAGAGAATTTGTAAAGTAGGTTTTCCGGTTGTGGCGCGCAAACGTCGAATTGTCAGTGATATTAACGGGAGCGCATGTAGACTCCATAGGAAGCCCACCTGGGGTACCTGCGCAGGCCTAATCCTGCTCGCTGAATCAGCAAACCGGACGAAGCGAGGTGGTCAAGAGCTCATCGGTGGGCTGGACGTTCGCGTTAACAGGAACCATTTCGGGAGACAGATGGAGAGCTTTTATGCGCCATTGGATCTACCTTTCCTGCCGGGTGATTCCGGTCCATTCCGAGCAGTGTTTATAAGGGCTCCCGTGGTCGAGAAAGTTCTTTCGCCCAAGGAAGGCATTCAAGACGAGGAATTTGCAAGAGACGGGGCCGTCGTGGCGCCATCAGTACGGCCAGAGAGTGCACTTGCTCGGGAAGTCATGGCGGGAAAGGTTGAGGTCCTGGGCAAACTACCGGCCAAGGTTGACGGTAACGGTGACCCACAGGAGGCTGGTGATATCGTGGCCGTGAAACAGGGTAACGTTTTTGGTACCAGTTTTCATCCGGAGTTGACTGATGATGCCAGAATTCATATGTGGTGGCTCACTCAGGTTAGTGAGTCAGTAGCGAAGTTACAGAAGGCAGAAGTGGTCGTTCGATAGACAGTATATATATATAAATTTTTTGTTGACTTTTCTTTTCATTTTGATCTTTTTTTTTTTTGGTTGTGTTCTTGGGTATCTGATAGAAGATCGCGTACGGGTGTAAATTCACCCAACCTACCAACTTGTATATACCTCCACTCAATTATCATCTGCCAAACCGCGTCCATATCCGCCTCTGCCGGGATCGAATTCATCTCTAAACTCGTCACGGACTTGCCCCCCAGATTTACCACGTCTAATGAAGGCCTGGTCAGCTCTGTCTCTTAAAAAGTTTTGTGGTAATACAAGCCATAGCATACCCATACTGTCTTCCTTCCTGAAATCCAGGATCCAAATCAGTTCGAATAATTCTCTCATCTAACTTCGTTCCCCCAATATACTTCATACAGTCCAAAGCGTCTTGGTGTGTGTAATACTCAACAAAGCAGAAACCGCATGGTGTTTTCTGGAATCGATCCAGGCCCATTACCAGGCGCTTTATCTCTCCGCATCTAAAGGAATTAGCAGATGTTATGTCCGCTAGTAGGACTGGTGACGTACTTTGCGAATAGCTCGTGTATCTGCTCTTCAGTCGTGTAAAATGACCTACTCATGCTGTTAGAACGCGCCCAGAGCTATCGTCCGGCCACAACGTACAGGTTTCCAACATATAAAGTGGTAGCCTCCTTCAGAGAGACGTCGAAATCTCCCTGAATCTTATCTTCCTCGCGATCTCCACGATCATGGTACGACTTCCGGCGTTTGTTCTGTATTTCATCAAGTTAGAGAAGTCTTCAATAACGGACTAGCCGAAGTGCATACCTTGTTGTTGAAATAGGTGCTAGGCCTGTCCAGCCTTTCCACCGTGGATCGAGCCGTGGTCGCCATTCTCAACTCCTGTTGATGGTGATGAAAGGATGGGGTTGCTCTTCTTCCTCTCTTGAAGCTCTTCGAAAGTTGAAGCGCTAAATAAAGAGCTTGAGGCTTGGCGCGCGGTTGTCAAAACCTCAGCAGTTTTTAACTTGGAAGAAAAACAATTTATTTATGCGACAAGCCAGCTTGCAGAGGAGGAGGAGCATACTAATTTATAATATATTATTCCAAGAATGAGGGTTGCTGCGCTATAAGAAACCCGTGAACCTTCCTTTTCACCCTTTCTCTTTACCCATTTGGTCGCGAGAGACATCTTCCAATACCCGACACCAACATGCCGCGAATCGTGGATTACTCTCCTCCATGGTTATCCAGACCCTCACCGGGCGTCGATCTCTTCTGCCCTGATGCAAATGACAAGTCGTCGTCGATTCGCGATGCGCAGAAAATCATTAATGACGCTACCCAGAAGCCACGACCGGTTCGAACTCTTGCTCGTAGGGGTACGGAAGTCTTTACTGTTGTTGATAATCAGATCAGATGGGCAGACCTTGCGAGACTGAAAGATGAATGGAGGAAAGGCGTGAAACAGAAGAGAGAAGAGTCTGGTCGTGGCAGCCGGAGCGGACAGGCCAACAGGATAGGAAAGGGAGGCAAGGGCAGTTTGGATCGCAATACAACGAGAGAGGAATCGGAGGAACAAGAAGTCGATGATGGCTCAAAGGGCTCATATTACAGGGTATGTTTGCCATTTATTTCTTCGAATCGCCTAATATGCTAACATTTGTGTTCTATAGATCCTGACTACCCCAGTATACGGCAATATCGAGCAACTTGCCATATCCCCCAACGGAGCTTTTCTTGCCATTACAACAACTCATACAGTCCATATTGCGGTACTGCCGGATTCTTCGCACCTTTCTGGGCCAGATTACTCCCCAATTCGCGTAAAGACATTCCAGCTAGGACCTACGACCCATGTCATCCCCGAATCACCAGTCATGGCTATCCTCTGGCACCCCCTGGGAATATCTGATACCAACTGTGGTTGTATAGTTACGGTTACCTCTGATTCAGCTGTACGGCTATGGGAGATTGATCGCAAGAATCAATGGTCATTTGACAGACCAACGCTTGCAATTGACTTGAAGAAACTAGTTGATGGAACTTCCATGGACCAAGACTTTTCACCTTTGAGCTTCGGTCAGAATAAGGGATTTTCAGCAGACTCCTTTGATATGGAAGTTGCTGCTGCTAGATTTGGCGGTCATGGGTACGAAGAAGAAGATGCGTGGGCATCTATGACACTATGGGTTGCCATGCGGACAGGCGACGTTTATGCCCTTTGCCCGCTTTTGCCTTCAAGGTGGCAAGCATCGCCAGTTACAATTCCATCCTTGACTTCCTCTATCGTTCGAGAGCTCGCTGTCGCACAGGAGGAGTCGCTGGAGACGGATGACGAGCTCAAAGCAACCCAGCAACAGTATGAATGGCTTAAGGAAATTGATAACCAGGATGCGCTTCTGATAGAAGAGGAATCTATGTTTACTGAAATCCGAGCCCGTCCAACCAATCTGAGCCCTATACCACGACTCCAGGGGCCTTTCTTGTTTGATTGCGAGGAACTTGAGGACGATATTGATATCACTGATGTCTTCGTCATTGCTTCCAGGGCGGACATTGATGACCTGATGGCAGGAGAAGATGAACCTGAGCTACTTAGTGAAATCGCCCATAGCGGGCTATCAGGTACAATCATCTGCCTTCTAACCTCTACCGGAACTCTTCATGTGTGCCTTGAAGTGGATGGGGTGAAAGGCCAATGGCTTCCAGGAACTTGCAAAAATACCTTTAGTACACCAATGTCTGAGCCATCTGACCTGTTACTTCTAGAATCTCTAGAAACAGTCCGAGCCAGGGATAGACAGTCCAACATGTGGCCCATGTTCTCAGAAGATATTGGATCGCGATACGACTTTTTTGTGACGACCGCCAGGGCTGTTCACTTCTTCTCGTTGTCTTCCTGGGTTCATCGTGTGGAACCTGAGCTAAGGTCTGAAGACACCTCTGGATCAGCATTCCGCATCAACATTATATGCAACGGAGAGATTGCTGCACGCGAGCAGATGCTTCAATTGCCCCCATCAGAACTAGCTCCAAACGGCAAGGAGGAACATTTGGCTGGCTGCTTAGCCATTTTCGACTATGACGTAGGGTATCTACTACTCACATTCTCACCATCTAGACCTTGTGCGGTCCTGCTTGACTCTCCTGAATACGAAGAGTTCTTAGCATCAAAGGAGGCTTCAGATTCCGAGACACCGGATAGCCATGCACCTATACCAGCTCATACACGCCCAACATATCAGGTTCCGTCCATTCTCTACTCTCCCTCTCCCCTCGTTTCGTTTGTTGCAGATTTTGTCCCTCATGGGCATCGACACACTCTTAAAGAGCCCGTCCGTCTATCACCGTCAACTCTAGAACTCTTCACTTCAGCCCATAGGATCTTGAGCACATACACCCATTCATTAGAAGTTGCAGCTTCCGACCTTTTCCGCCGCTGTGAACGGTTACAAGGCGAGATGCGCGGTCAGTTGACTCAGCTCATCGAGATAGGGGAGAGGATAAATGATGTCTCAAATGGCACTGTTAGAGGAACTGTAAAGAGGGCTCCAGTTGATCGTGGACAGGCCTTAAATTCGAGACTGACCGCTGCTCAGTCAAGACAGAAGGAGCTTGTCGAGCGGTACAACAATATTCGATTAAAGATCATCAAGGCTGGAGGACGACCGATTAGTGAAAAAGAAAAAGTATGGATGAAGGAAGTTGATACCCTATCAATATCCCTTGGTGAAAACGACGGAAAGTCCAAGGGTGATTTAAAAGAAAGACTTGAAACGGTATGCTGCGACAACTATATAGCCCTCGTAAGACTCTTACTGATGCAAGATTATAGGCAACAACACTGGCCAAGAAACTTCTGTCTGAGATGAAAAACATCCCAGACGTTGCTGACTCCACTCCTTCCACTCCTAACTCTACACAGCCTATGGTGCCACAGAGGCTACAAAAGGCCAAGGTTGCGGATGCCATGAACATGGTTGAACGAGAGTATGTTTTGTCTCTCCTTTTTTTTTAATAATACAAACCTTCAACTACGTTCTAATATCAATTGCTAACCACTCTTGCTATATAGATCCGCTGTTATTGACGCGATCACATCCAGGCTTGAACGACTATCAACCAGCCTATCTGACCTTTAGTGATCTGCCTGGACTATTTTCTTTCTTTCTCCCAAATATGTAACAATTCGAATAAATACCCGTACTACCTGTGATAATCAAGGCTCACATATTTTTCCGCAATATCGCCTGGACAGCTAGCATTGAAATGAAACTTGACTAGAGGAAATACTTAGTATTGGATGTGGTTTGAATTCCCCTATACCTGAATGGTGTCGAAAGTAATGCTTCATGGTTGCTGGAACGTAGAATAATTCAGGGGTGGACTTGTCAAGTACTATCAAGGCCACCAAAGTGATGTCATGATTAAACCGTCGCGAGACATGGGAGTGATACGCAAAAGAAAACGAAAATCAAATAAAAGGCAGCCATTTCTTCAGCAAACCAATGCTCTAACCAGCCAATGCTCCAACCGACCAATGCTCCAGCCCGTCAATGCTCCAACCCTCCCACTGATGTTCAACTCCAGCCACACCACGTAAAAAAGGGTTCAAAAAACCATTTTATCAAACCCAACGTTCCCATTCCTGGGTAAGATCCAGGCGTTCTTCTATTGTATGCGCCAGCTCAGCAACAATAGTCTTCCAGCTAGGCAAGACGAGGGAGTCAACCTTATCCTCCCAGATCCGCATCTCGTCTCGATACCCGTTCCACCACTCCAGGAACTGGAGCCGAGTATACATAGGCATGCCAGAGTCATCGACCAGGTTGCGCAAGTAAGTATCCGCGTTTAACCAAGTACGAAACGGTCCCTCTAAGTATCCTTGACGAAATTTGTTGTAGGCAGCGGTGAACTCTGCATAAGCCGCTTCTTCGACATGGAAGCTCACGACGCAGGTAGGAATTTTGGCCGAGACAGCAGTGAAGTCCTTTCTGGTTTTCCAAGAAAAGAGTCTGTCGATTGAGTTGATGTGTCGAATGGCGCGAATAGATGGCTTGAGTGGGCAGAGATAGTAGAAGCGCTCCTTGTGCTTCTTTTCGAGGTAGAGGAAACCCTTGAGTGCCGCGTCTGCTTTATGGCGGACGATGTTAGCGGCATGATGGACGTCTTCGGGGAGGGCCATAGTGAGTTCTCGAGGAAATGAAGTCTTTCTCTTGTCAAACACGTAGTGAAGAGCATCTATGGCTCTAGGAGGGTGAGGGCGATAAGGGATGAGCTCAGATGGCGTGGGCCGGGCTGAGGCGATGGACAGGTTTCTTGGGTCCAACGACATGATGAGCCCTGTGAACAGCTGCTTGATAGAAGATAGAAGAAGAAGAAGAAGATAGTGGCCAAAGTAAAAGGTGTTGAAGGGAGGATATCATAAAGGTTGTCTAAGTTGTTGATAAACTAAGTGTTGTGAAGAAGTGAAGAGAAGAACAGGATAAGACTATCAGAACAACAGCCAGCAGGTTCTTAAGATAATATGATATAAAGGAGCTCCAAATGAAGGTAACTCCCTGCTCCTTACAAGCTCCGGTTGAGGTTATCAATGTGATATCGACCCTCTAGTAGTGTAAAGATGGCCCGGATGATGGAGTATATACGGGGTGTGAATGAAAGTAAAGCAACGAGGGCTCCAGCACGGCGTAGACGCAGCCCGAAGCAGACAGGGGCTCCTTTTGAGGTCTTCTTAAGACCACAGAGGTGGCTCATGTCGTTTGTGTACAAGTATATAGACATAAATGTACACCAATAAGGAAAAAGGGGGCACTCTGGAAACGAGATGTAGAACAAATCAAGGCCGAACATATACTGTAAACATGATGATATGAGAAAGAACAGAATATAAAAGGAGATGAAGGAGAAGGGAAGGAGAAAGCATGGTATTTATGGTTATAACGCCCGGGAAGTTTGGGTCTGGTTCTACCAAAGTTGGTGAAGAGCTTATTCCATCACCGGTTTCCCCCATAGGATTGTAGCTTGCAGCAATTCAAGTGTGTTCCAGTGAAGGAGCAGAGGATATAGAAGGTGATAGTTAATGTCCAATGTATATTATTATTATGTCGAAGCAAAGAGTGAACTCCTTACATCGAACATCGAGTTGCCGAACAATTTTTGGCGACAGGAACCAAACATTTTCCATCACAGAAGAGGGGTGCGCCAAAAAAAGGAAAGACCACCGATTATCAACGTATGGATAATCAGGTTAAACGAAGGTCAAAAGGTTGAGGTATGGTGGTAAGGGAAGATGTTGTATAGAGTGATGGAACGGGTTCATGTAGCTTTTACAATCATAATACATCAAAGAATCAGAGGCGGGACAAGAGAAATATAAATTATTGGACGCTGTATAACCGTTAGCAACGAGTACAATGACACGAAAAGGGTCGCATACCGTTCGATCAAGTGAACCCCTGACGCCGTCTCCACGATATCACTGACTTGGCCGACCTTCAAGGCAAAAGCAGCCTGCTCGAACTCAGCCTGCATCTCGCCTCGGCCAAAGAATCCCCTGTATACCAAAGTAGTCAGCAAGACATACTGTGCTTATAACTTATTCAGAAAACCCACAAATCGCCCCTCTTCCTTGCACTGCTGCAGTCAGACTCCGAGGTTGCAATATCACCCAAAGAAGCTTCACCAGCCTCGATACGCTTCTGGTGACCACGCAATATCTCAATTGCCTCACTCTTCGACCTTGTGATCTCTGACTCCCGCCAGCTGCTTGGTCGTCTGCTCTCACGGTGCTTGATGAGCAGGTGGCTTGCACGGATCTTGCCTTCGGCTCGACCACCGGCTCCATAGCGATCAGCTGCCGGCGCACTGTGATTAGTGGCCATGTAGGTCTTCAGCTTCTCTGTGTCGGTGTTCGCTGGCGGCTCCCATCGTGATTCCTTTGAGATCGAGTTGAAGTAGTATGGGAGGTTCTTAGAGTTAGAGTGCCGTACCTCCCAGCCGGAGGGGAGTCCTGTTTCTGCCTGTGTCGTCTGTCAGTCATCCGTCTTGCTCCTTGTACCTGGAAAGCAAGCTCACCATGCTGTATATATCTATTTAATGCCCGCCCTTTTTTACCTGGATGCTCCTTGTATTTGTTGTCGAATGTCTCGATATTTCTTTGCGGGCGACAGAAATGCGGGGGCCGTTGCTGAGTAAGCAGCGTATTTTATTTTCAGCGCCAAATGAAATTTTACGAAATCAAATCGAGGTCAATTTGAACATTTATGTAGAGAGATGTTAAAGGTAAAGGTTGTGCGGACAGGATACACTGAAGACGACAGAAACTCATATAATGTTTATAATTCCTCGAAACAGAGGTTGAATGAGTCTAAATGGAGGACGCCGTACGCCCAAACATCACAGCGCGCAGGGGTATATTCGAGCGAGGCTTTCGTACTTGGTCAAGTCTCGCTGATAATGTTGTGAAAGCGACTGCTCTGCCTGAAAGCTGCTTCGAATTTGAAAAGACAATTGCACATATACCATGCTTCCCCTTGGGCTTGGATATAAAAGAACGATATGGAGGGTTATATGCAACGGGGACTTCCGTTTGGGCAACACAAGGCTCCCAAGGGCTCTCCTATATTGAGAAGAATATCGATATTCTAGTTTCGACAGCTTGGCCTACTAAGCTTACGCTGGCTGACCGTGACTTGGATTATCGGACTTGGTTTAATCATGAGGAGAATCATATTTCTATACTTGTACTCGCATGGGCTTATATTCTTTCGGCTCGCTGGGCAGAGCTGATGCCTGGATCCGTTGTTGAGTACAGTAGCGATCAGGTAGCCAGGGACGAGAGCGATCAGGATGCCATTTTAGTGGATGTTGGCAATATCGATAACGGTGCCACCAGATGGTGGGCTGCTGTTCTAGCCCCAGAGGGCTGGCGGGCTTATATTAGCTCGGATAAGGCGAAGTATAAGTCTCCATGGTCAATAGCACTGAAGACATCCTTAAAATATAGGCTCTCATGTCATGAAGATCCCATGCAGCAAGCCAGCGCTATATCGCCCACGGCTGCTCTTTGTTACCTTTCAGAGTACTGTGACCTTCACGGAATTACTGACCAGAGTTATACAGCACTGTCTGTTACCCTAATGCTTCCTCTGTTAAGTTCCAGGGGACGTCAGGTTCGCCTACCGTTACCAAAGCTCAGGTATGGACGCAATGCTGGGCTTCAACAAAGTACACAAGCTGACAATAAGTGGATATATACGACTACGAATCTCGATAAAATTCTAGTTTTAAGCTGCAATACTGGAGGATTAAAGTCCTTGCTATCGAGTGTCTTCTATGATCCCGGTGTAACCTGCAATCTAGCAAGCTCATGGCTACATGCTATCTTTGCCGTCCTCGACTCTGTTAATGCTACTCATCTCATATATATTATGGCGAAAAGATCTTCGCCTCTCGCTTTCCTATGGCTAGGTGGGATTATAACGGGACTGTATGACGATATATTACGAGATGGACGATCTGGCCTAATTCCAGTTGATCTCCATGCAGCCATGTGGACTGGAACGATCCAGTCTTTTTTACAGGAGCCTTTATCTAAGCCTTCAACTATGATGGGATATATATCACGGGCAAATGAGTGCCGGTTGTTATATATTCTGCAAGAAAAATACCATGATCGATGGCCAACATGCCAGTGGGCACCCTTTGGACAAACAGCCCTTGAAGACGCTAATGAGCGTGTCCGCTCTTATGCTGATGAATTTGAAGGTGGCTTTAGATACGTGGAATGGAGGTGGGCTTGCAAAGAAGGCAGTGCCATTCACTACGTACCTAATGGAGGGCTTACTCCGGTTTTCCAAACTCTACCACATGCGGTACTTGATATCCATATCGGTTATGAGGCGCTTAAGGATGAAGAGATCGTGTCAGGGGACGCAACGCGAAATATCTTTGGCTGGTTACGGCCTAAAGGGTTTTCTGCGAACGAAAAAGACATATATCGCCATGAATGGCTGGCCGGTGAAGTTTCGGACGAGGACGCGCATCATGAGGGGATCCAGAGAGCAGAAAGGCTTAGATGCAGTGAACTGGAACAGCCAAAGTGACTGATACCTTGTATGAGATCTCGCGTACTCTGTATATTCATTCACGTTTATATAGAGGGCTTAGAATAGGGTGCTTAGTCATCAACCATTCACCAAAAGTTCGGAAAGTTAAAAGTTGAAGGTCGGCATTTTGTAGAATATATAAAGCGCATCTTCTTCATCTTTGTTTCCCCCAAACACACCACATTATCGCATATTGAACGTCGAATACCGTCATCATAAATACCACCATGTCTGCCTCTCCAGCTCCTCAGGGCGGCTCTACCCAGCAACAACAAGGAACAGATCAAATCCACTTTAAATTCTGTCGCGAGTGGTATGTAACCCCCCCAGAGTCATACCTCGAAAAGAGAACGAAGACAAGCTAACATGTATATTTTATCTAGTTCCAACTTGCTATATCCGAAAGAAGATCGAGCGACGAACTCTCTGGTTTTCGCATGCCGAACTTGCCATGTCGCAGAGCCAGCTACATCATACTGTGTCTTCCAGAACAAACTCCACAGCCAGGTCGGCGATACAGCAGGTGTAACACAGGACATCGGAAATGATCCAACAGTTGGTCTCCCACTCTGCCTTCTCTGTGGCGACTTGATATGCTGTGACTCTTGTGGAGATTTGGCAGATTATATGACCTGGGAGAAACCCGCGCAGCCGAAGCAGAGCAGCACCTTATGAACGGTCTTTGGACTTGGTGAAACATTTGGCTAACGAGAACCGCACATCTATCTAGCTTCCTCGATCTAATAAAATTTGCCCCAGTTGTGGTGAGAATGAAGCTGTATTCTTCCAGTCGCAACAGCGATCTGCGGAGACGGGGATGGTGAGATACATGATTGATGTGTTTGCTGTTTGTTTGCCATGCTCTGTTCTGACTCGTGCTTATTTCAGAAACTATACTATGTTTGCTGCACTTGCGGAAAGGTGTTCGTTTGAAGATTTTGCGATATTCCCTGCCCTTTTTACCTACAGGCTTTTCGACTCGATATCACCACCCTATTTAGCCTACGATGCCTTGAAACTGACGACGCACCTAAACCATACATCTACCATTTTTATTATTAGGAGTTTGCGGAGATTTGTTACTTTATCATGGAAGGGAAATGGAAGCGTATTGGTGAATTTGTCTAGTGAAAGAATTTAATGATACAATACTGATGCTATAAGTGACGCCATCATTCAAAAGAGATTGAGTATAATACAAACAACAATAATATTACAAATGCATCGGCGCTAATGACAATATTTTCGACCATTTTTTATTTCGTAGTTCCGCTCCAACGATGCCTATTCATGACCTGTTAGTCACTGACCATATTCACAACATAGCATCCAAGCTTACCGTTCAATCTTGATCCGATCGGGTCTCCGGACTTGTTTATCAAGACACAGGCGTTGTCGTCGAACTTGACATAGCTTCCATCTGGTCGCCGGACCTCCTTCTTTGTCCTGACGATCACTGCATGACGGACATCTCCTCGTTTGACCTTGTTGGCAATGGACGTGGATGCGTTGCCATCCGAACCGAAGTTACGCTGTTTCTGGACGACGACGACAATCCGGTCACCTTCAATCGTGAAATAACAGCCAAAATCAGCAGCTGTTTAGGTATGTATCAAAGGTCTCGACGAACCTATTTTCCCCGTCTTTGATTTCTTAAGCACTTGGGCGCATTCGACGACGGCAGCGCCGGAGTTGTCGATACAATTGAGGAGTGTCTGGCCACGGAGTTAGCATATCGTATACCCTGGATAGCAGAGACATAGCAAGCTTACCTTTAGTTGTATCATCTTTGCTTCATGGCTTAACCGTCTGCCGTTTTGTCCGTTTCTTCTTCTTTTGCTGCTTGATACCATCGGGGAAAATAGGGTTTTTTTCGGAACCTCAAATACGTTGTTCCGACACGAGCAGAGCTTTGGCCGTTAAGAAGTAGTAAGTAGCGCGTTCCTCGCTGCTATATACAGATTCTCGATTTGCAAACTTCCTCACATCTAACTAGCATGGGCAAGATGTCCCATCAGCCACCGAGGGATTTGTCTTTGCATGGTAGACTCAACGTGCCCGCACTCATTCGGCTAGCTAAGAGGCTACGAAACACAACCTGTACATATGATCCTTCCCAGACACCGTTGGCCGGTTGTTTCAATTGGGCGGTCGTACTCTCGTTCGATGACGGCGTGGAATGGCTCCTTCGATCGCCGCGTACGAGCTATGCCCTAAACGAGACGACGGCGGGAGCAGTGCTTGTCAGCGAAGTAGCCACGCTCAGGTATATCAAGCAGAACAGCTCTATTCCCGTTCCGGATGTGTATCATTACAGGTAAGTCGTGTTATGTAGTTATATGCTAAGCTAGCTAATATACTGACTGTTACAAAGTTCCTCTAAGAACAATGAACTCGGTGTTCCTTATATTTTAATGAGCAGAGCAAATGGCCATTCCCTTTCTACATCGGACTGACTTCCAAAGCCAAAGGAAATACCGATCAAGCACGGCAGTTCAAGCCGACTACTAACGGCCGAGCAGAAGCAAAAGGTCATGGTCCAGTTGGGTAAACTCATGGATCAGCTATCACATCTTCGATTTGATAAAATAGGTTCCCTGTTCGAAGAGGAAGGGTGCTTCAGGGTGAAATCATGTCTACTGCCTAGCTTCCTCTTCCATAACCGGTACGAACTGCAAGGGATCTGTCGAGGGCCTTTCAGCGAGGAGAGTGAGTACTACAGGGCCTTACTTTCAGTATACTTTGGGCATATACAACATCTGCCACTGGGGTATCACGCTCTATTTGCTCCTGTGCCGGTCCCCAAGGAGTACGACTGCTATGCTAGCTACCTAGCGGCAACAGGTCGGTGGAACGATTTTGTAACGCTAGGCTCCCGAATAGAGAATAGCGGGAATAGGTTGGATTACTTTGTTGCAGGGCAGTTTCTCGAGAAAATGATACCAAGACTCACGAACGACCTTGAGGAATGCAACAATCATCATAATGGAAGATTTGCTCTCTACCACCCTGATCTAAGTGCGAACAACATCTTCATCGACGACGAATGCAATATAACTTGCATTATTGATTGGGCATTCGCCTCCACTGTACCGATAAACCTTCTCCTAGCCACACCAGGCCTACCCCACCCAAGGGATGAGTGGGAGCTCTCGTTGACTTCCGCATTCAGATCTGGCTTCACTAGTCAGTCTTGTCTTGGATCTTGGGAAAAAAGTAGGATGATTTGGCTTTTCATGCGTTTGGTCAACATGGATTCTTTACAGGATTACCATTTATTAGCGGAGCTCTATACATTGGCGAATGGCCCGCAATCTACCCTCCTATTGCATGCGTTCAACGAACAATATAATCAGCCAGCTGTTACAGATATGCGAAATATCCTTTCTGCTGATGACGAGACAGCAACCGACGTCGAGCGGCACGAAAAGGACTACTTCTCTAGCATGGGCTTGGACCGCCATGCGGTGGCTAGGAAGGTAAATTTGGCAGCAAACCTGAGCACCACTTTTGTTGCGGATAAGCGACTTTGGCAATGGATCGAAAGGGCACTTCCCGCTGATTCAGTGGCACCTAATTGAGATCATCCATTCACTCTTATTTCAGACAACAATGTTGGGCATTTCTAGTGCACACTATATTTATCTAGTGTGCCCTCGCAGCCCAGATTTTGAGCGTATTAATTAGGCTTGTGTTGGGGGCCCCATGGGGTGATGGGTGAGCTTTTTCCCCTCCATGGGGGCTTAATTTTTAATATTTACTGTCAGGACCCTTGTTTCCAAGGTTAGTTTTTCCCTTGCTGGGGCTTGGGAGAGGCTACGACTTGATAGTATAAGGGTATAGATAAAAGATAATATAGATACATTAAAGTAGAGACTTACTACTAACTTTCTTTTATACCAGAGGTCTCTCTAGACCTTATATCTCCAGAGAGCCTTATACTAAAGTCTAGTCTTTATAGTAGAAGTCGATTCAGCTTAATTTTGTACTAGGCAAGTCAAAAGCTCAAGCTTTCTCCTATAGCTAGCAGAGCTATCTCTAAGCAATGGAGCGAAGACTATAGATATTCAGCATTCAGAAGGGAATGTCACGTGATAATATGACTAAGCAGTAGAGTCATTCTCCATAAATATTTTGATGTGGTAAGATGACTAAGCTGCCAAGGCACTAGTCATGCAAGGTTACAAGTATCCAGTAAAATGCTCAGGATTCAACCAATCACCTTTTAGAATACAATAGACTTCGCTTCGCTCTGTCAAGAAGTACTAAATTATTGCTTACTAAGCATACGCTCGATCTTACATGCGACTCCTGCGAAGAACAAAAAAAAACCGAGCGCGCGAAAGGCTGGCGTTTACATCGAGCGCGCAATCCTCCCTGCATTTTGACGGAGGAGGATTCGTGCTGGTTGAAGAGGGATTCTGAACTTGTATGAGTCTCCTGTGCCAATGCTAGTGAAACGCAGCATACGGGAGGTCGTGATTTGTCCTCCTTTACGGCTCTCCTGTTGATGAGATATTTTATGAAACCCCTTTTTTATGGCTTCATGACTGTGATTTCGTGATGACATACAATCTATAACGATGCCACGCACGCCTACGGTCGAGAAGAGGGAGAGATTAACCCTCTCTCAACTCGCGACTTATGATGATATCTTGACGGACACCCTCGTGGACCATGTAAGTGCTACGTTCATTCCACCCATACAAGTCAATGGAAGCCGATTCTAATCGTCCCATGGTATAGGCTTATTTTTGGACAACTATCCGTAAGAATAGAACTAAATATTTCCCTGTCAGAGGCATCAATGAGGAGAATGTTACATCTATCCTTCTCCACGATGTAATCGTTGCAAAGGACGCGTCAAAAGCGGAGAAGGAATTTCTAGCGCTTCCAGGTCTCAAGAAATTTACCGATAGACTCCGTTCTGCGCGAGAAAAGGAATGGTTTCGTCGGCATTTGCGCAAATACATCTCAATATATCTCCCGGATTGCCCGTTCGAGGTTACGACGACGAATCGGTATACGATTTTGACGCATGAGGCGGCAGTGGCTGCCAGGAAGTTCATATCTGCCGGACACCCGGTAAAATATTTGAGCGGGACGCTTGTTTCGATCACGAAGGAAGAGGAGACTGATCTCGACCTTACAAAACGCGATTTCAGCATCGTTATGTCGACTAGGAAGAAGACTGCATCGCTGTTTTTGGGCCCTGCGAGATTTGCAAATCATGATTGTAATGCCAATGCGAAGCTGGTCACGAGGGGTTTCGAAAGTATGGAAGTAGTTGCCACCCGGGATATCGAGGTTGGAGATGAGATAACGGTCTCATACGGCGATAGCTACTTCGGCGAGGATAACTGTGAATGTCTATGCCATAGTTGTGAGATAGCTCAGCGTAACGGCTGGTCATCGCCAACTCCTTCGCGTGTGAATAACTGGGTGAACAGCTCCTCTGCTTTTTCTGATGGATCTGAGAACTCGCCTAGCCCCTTAAATGGAAGCGAGAAGCACGACTTGGAACATGACTCGGACACTTCAGATGGCTTTCTTGGGAAGAGAAGGAAAGTAGAACGTAAGTCATCGAACCTGAGGCTACAGGAATCTGTAGATGATACCATGGAGGCAGATCCAGAGGTAAAATCCGGATCTCCTTCATCAGTATTAGACGGATGTTCTTCTGCCGATAACGTGGAATTACCTAATGATTCCAATCTTCCTGGAAGCGATAATCATCAGAATGGGTGCGATACAACTGATACCCCGGTTGATGATGAAGAGCCAGCAGCAATTGGTCGAGATTCTAGAGATACTTCCATTGAAAACAGCAGTGGACAGTCATCGGGATCAACTGCTGCAACATCTTGTCTTGAGTCTGATATTCAAACAACACCTGCTCCAGGGACAACGGGGCTCATTACGAAGGGCCCGGATATGAGCGAGAAAGCAACTGAATTACAAAAAAGCAAGCTCCCGTTTCCTCAGATCATTGTTGGAGATACAGAAGAAACGGATTCATCAGATTTGTCCACGATATCCGAACCGATTGATTCAGAAGCTACAAAGGAGGCTCTTCCTAGACCTAAACGACGGTATAGAAAACGTGGCCTTCCATTACCGGTCGTTGAAGAACCGCCTATCTTTAAAGTTCGCGTCCCAGGTGATTACACGAAGACAACGGTTTTACTAGTCCAGCGTTGCGACCGATGGGTTGAATGCCAAACGTGCAGTGACTGGTTTGTGCAAGGGGAAGCATATTTTACAAGAAAAGAATGTCCACGCTGTGAAAGGCATTCTAAATTATATGGATATCGATGGCCCAAAACCGATAAAGAGGGTCGACGTGATACGGAAGAACGGGTGATGGATCATCGTACTATTCATCGGTTCCTGACGAATGATGATGAGTCACGACTTGATCGTCGTGGTCGGGGTCTTGGTGTCAGCACCGTGAGCACAACGCCAGATGTTTCTGAGACAAGGACGGAAACTGACGCAAGTGAGATTGGAGATGGAAGGCGTGTTACGCGGTCAAGCCGAAGAGCATCTCGGCGGTTGGAGGAGAGCTGTGCTTAAGGTGATGTTCACATGTTGAGATTACCCTCAATAAACGCTGTTTTCTCCGTCCGTCATGTGGCAATACGTCGATACACCGGGAATGTTTCTGCCGTTCGAAGGGTTATATGCATAAAGTGAATCATTTCCATCCGCAAAAAGCTGCAAGTGGGGATGGCGAGCCATAAATATCTCCAACTTTCGCTGACGTTTATACTCTCTAAGACCCTCCTCGTTCTCCTGAAGGGTAAATGGCCAAAAAGGACCCTCAGGGTATTTCATCACCACTGGTACAATACTTCTGTTCTCCTTCTGGGCTTTTTTGAGAGCCATTTCCCGTCGAAAGCGAAGGCGTCGAGATGCAATGCGGTCTTTCCCGGACCATAGTTCAGGAGGCGAGTAAGCAAGTCTCCGAGCCGTTTGCGTTTCGGACTCTTTCACCGAGTGCATGGAGTCGCGAAAATTGCTCCACCAGTTAAAGATCCCCATTGAACAAGTTTCGGTTGAGTCGTGATTTGAACAGTTGAAGAAGTGAGAGGATTATTTTACGGGTATGCCTACTAGCTTCATTTGCTATCTTTTATATTGCTGCTATACCTTTGTTTGCTTTCTGTGTTTGCTTGTGGCGGGAAGAATGCAGGTTTGTTTACTTGCATCCGTATGTTCTGTGATTCATTGCTTCACTTTCAATATTTATTCGTTGGACCATGCTAATATGGATAGTAGTAGATTAGCCAAGGAAGAAGCCGCAACATCGTCTGGCAGCTCTTGGTCATACTCATGCTGCAGTGCATCATAGGGTTGTGTTGAAACCTAACGGCATACTCATCCCTGTCCTGCAATGTTACAGACATTGCCAACACAACAGCACTATCCATTCTATCAGGCCCAAATCTCCTTGGTTTGGTGTGACCTTGTCAAGTTGCTTGCGCGCTAGTGTCACGGCCCCCTCCTTGACATTCGATGACGATCGTGCATGGTCATTTGGGCCCTAGGATCAGGAATATTATGGTAGGGCAATCCATCAAAATTTCTGGTATCTTGGAAACCGTCTATAGACATAGATTCTCCTGCGCCTGAGATCTTTCGTCAGTCGGGGCTTATACAATTTATGGAATGCCTCTTTAATTCACTCACTGCATTCCCTTCCTCTCGATTCCTGCGCCACGGGAGTTCTTTCTCTTCGTCTGGCCCGAGCAGCATGCGACTCCTCATTCTTTGCCCTTGACAACCGTATCTTGGCGATTTCAATTTCTATCTTCATATACTCCAAGGCGACCAGGAGCAACATATTCAGGGCAGTGCCTTCACTGCCGCTACTTGATTGTCGTTTTCGACCACCCTTGCTGTGACGCCTCTTGTGCCTGCGTGAATGGCCCCTTCCGGTTGTAGACTCTGATAAACTAGATGTCACGGATCCCATGGCTAAGATGTTGACTTGCTATGGCTGTGATAGTGGGATTTTGAAGGATAACTGATGTGGACAGATCGGGTTGTGCTTCATTTCCTGTGAGACCCTGAAGACTTTTCTCCTTTTATTCTTCATAGATTTTGGCTGCGAGGCGGGTACACGCCCTTGCTTGCTAGATGGGCTGTTTGTATAGTGCGAACCAGAAGCACTTTTTGTACTTGTAAGATAATGTATATTAAAGCATAATACGGCGGAGATACTATTTGGCCCTGGAATGTTGGCTTACAAGCTCGTTTGTTATATTATGTTTTGTTATTAAATTTAGTCAAATATTTGTTTACAAGAGCTAATATTGGGACACGAGGTTATAATCAAATATACAAACTTAGTAGTAAATGAGATATTGTAGAAATCATTAGTTAATGTCCATTGCGTATCTATGGTCCAAAATTCCAGCAAATATTAGCGATTTCACTCATAACGCCGCAAACCAGGAGCCCACTATCATACAATGTATTTGTTTTAACCAGCGCCAGGGGATCAATGCCATATTAACAAATGATATATAATACAAATAATAAATTAGAAGATGGCCCGTATGTTTAGGGGAAATGGCGGAGATTGTCCTGTTTAGATCAGTGCTTGTCCTCTAAACATTGCTTCACGAACACCCTTGACCACGTCCTTTCTGTCTTTCTTGTTGACGAGAACGATGCCTCTTCCTCTCCTTCCCATACGGCCCAGGCGACCAAGACGGTGGATGAAGTCGATAGTCGAATGGGGGACATCGTACAGAATCACATTTCTAACCGCTACGGTATCGATTCCTCGGGATCCCAGGTCGGTGACGACAAGTACTTTTGTATTGCTCAGGAATTTTGTTGAGCTGGGTTTCTTGGGTTCATCGCTTCTCATGAAGGGCACTGCCCCTGCGTCAAGTTTCTTACTCTTCATAAGCAACTTCTTGTCATTTTCTGAGAGCTGTGGCTTTGCCTGGGTGAATTCGTTGAGGATCTCGGATTGTCGCTTCTCAGGGGTATCTCGAGTCAAAGCCACGGCATCGATTCCTTTTGAGGCGAGGAATCCAGCCACTTCTTCAGCCGATTCACGCTCGTTTACAAAAACGATAATATGTTTCGTCTCTGGGGTGCCGGTAATACGTGCAAATGCGTCGCCCTCATCACTACTTCCAGCCTTTCCAAGAGACCAAATGACGTCGGCGCAAGCAAGAGACTTTTTTCCATGGTAGGGTTCCTTGTCAACATCGACCACTCCAAGTTGGACTCTTCGGGGAATGGCGTGGAGATTTGGAGTAACGAGTCTTCTAATATCAGGGTAAAGCTCACGAAGACGGTTATCCAAGTGTCGTGGAATCGTGGCAGAACAGAGAATGAGCTGCTTCAATGATGATGCAGCCCTTTCAATTATAGAGTTGGTGATTGGGGAGAAGGATCTATCAAAGAGAGAGTCTGCCTCATCCGCGATGATATGAGTGACACGGCTTAAAATGTAAGGGTTAGACTCCGCAATTGAGCTGACCAGATGTGGGGTACTGATGAGTACATCTAATCCAGCGGGGCTGAATAAACTATTTCGAATTCTGCGTGGGGTCTGGGAAGAATGGAGAAGTGCGGAACGGAATTTAACAGTGTGGGATAGCTGTTTAACCAGCTGACCGACTTGGTTGACAAGTTCAGAGGTAGGAACGAGAATTATAACCTTTGGCTTTGCGACATCCTGGTATGTATCTGGTGTTGTAAGTTCAGGGGACTCCAACTCAAATATGTTGTTCTTTTCCCTCCGTTCCTTTTCTTCCTGCTCTCTCTTTGCCTTTTCTTCAGCCTCTATCTTTTCCTGCTCCTTCTGAAAGGCCTCAGCGTGTTTTAAAGCATCTAGAACTGGAATAAGATAGGCGAGAGTCTTTCCTGAGCCAGTTTCTGCTGCGAGTAGGAATTGGTCGTACTTGGGCGCATGGTCGTCCTTTGGAGGGGTATCGGGAATCTTGTTATTGTGGCCCAACAATGCCGGTATGGCCACACGCTGTATAGGTGTAGGAGTTACGTCCTCCATCCCAGCAAGCGCGTTGTTGTACACCGCCTCACGCACCACATCAAGAAGAGGAAACTGGTCGAATGAGGTAATGTCTGCAATCTTCTCCTTGATCGCCATGCGTCGGTTATACGGAACCGGGGTAAGGGCAATCTGCATCTTCAGAGGTTTCATCCACGATTCCTCGCTCTTCTCCTTGTCCTGACCTTGTTCCCTGAACTGGGGTTTGGCTGCTCGTCTGAGTTCGGCGTCTGATCTGGAGCGAGTGTTATCCCGGAGACGAACGCTGGTCTGGTTCATCGCCCCAAACGGGCTATTCTCGAAACGACCTGACCTCTTCGTCTTCCCATCGGCTAGCACTGACTTCCCTACGTTCGGGGACAGCCTCATCCGGGAGGGTTTTCGTCGAGCTTGGGCTGTTGAAGCTGGCCGGGAGAGCTGACTCCGTGGCTGCAGAGACTCAGTGATGTGCGGTACAGTCGCGCGTTTGAACTGGCAGTACAGACACATGGACCGTGGCCCAACAGATACCCTTGACGACAACATCTCGTCTTCTTTCCTTGCGCTCCAACTCCGTGTTTGATGTCTGTTTTTTCTTATCTCTTTCAGCTTTTTTTTTTTTTGATATAAAAATTTCCCCGGAAAGTTTCGCCGATCCGGGTGACTAAGCGCATGACAGAGTTTATTACTAAGCTGTTGTCATAGCAACAAATTGTCCTTGCGTTTTATTTGTCAACAGCTTTATATCAACTTCTCCTCCTGCTCCTCAAACCTCGATCGACTTTCAACTCCTCCACAAAGTCTTCTTCTTCCTCCTGCAAACACTATCTCTTCTCTTGTGCTGCAGAGATACCCTGCTCTTGCAGCTTTCTTTCTGTTCGATCATTCGTTAGCGCTTCGCGCGCAGTGCAGCACTGCCCAATTTACCTGTTATTTGTTGTCGTTTCGCGACTTGATTCTATCCCTCCCATTCTTTGTGGAATATATTCCTCATTGTCCGTAAATGATCCTTTGATATTTGGGTCGCAGCAGATCATATCAAGGGTTATTACATTTGTTAGCTCACTGTGAGCCTTTGTTCTATCTATTATTTTATTTTTTTTTCGAGGTATGGACGCCAGACCTTAACCGGACAAGTTCCAGCAACGAAATCATTTTGATATAGGGTATACTGAGTTGTTTTGAGCACAGATTATTCTACATTGAATGATGGGTCCAAGTCAGCGACCGCTCTCTGAGCTCAGTCCAGTGGCTCAAAGGCGCAACTCTCCCAGCTGGAAGGTATGCTATAACTGCTTTTTTTGTTTGCGCGCTCCGCCTGTGAAACAAATTGGCTTGCACTAACAAATCCAACAGGATCCAACAAGTAATGAATCATCGCCATTTGAGAATTCACCATTGAATAATGCTACTTCTCCACGACGCTTCTGGCAAGGTCGTGACACTGGGTCCCCTTATAGGTTGGGCCACGAGAATAGTGATCCGTATGAGGGTTCCTCGATGACGTCTTCTACAAGTAAACGATCGTCGATTGAGAATTTAATGCGCGCCTCTCGTGTCAAGAACAGCAACATGTTTGCCAGAGAGCATAAGCAGGAATATGATCCTACCCACATCCAAGTTTTGGAGAGGCCGCTAGCTGGTGGCAGGCCTCTTAGCCGTCAGTTTCAAAATAGCCAAGATGGAACGAGTCAGAATGATGCTCGACGTCAACTCCCATCACAGACTGCCGGATTTGGAAACAGTGGCGAGGAAACGGGGTCGTCGCCAGCCACGTCCAAGAGAGGAGATGACTCTGGTTTGCCAATAAAATCCCCCACGTCTCAGTCGCCAGGCAAATCGTCACTATCGAAAGGAAGCCGGTTTGGAAGAGGATCAGCCTCATTTGACCCACGACGCGAAATTTGGTCAGATGATGGCGACGAAAGCAGGGTAAGTATGACATCTGAGGGATACAGCTATCATCGCCAGACAAAGAGCGTCACGTTTGACGCTGCTCCCCCTCAAGTGAACGAATATGAGATGACGACACCAGTTCCTTCATCGGTAGCTTCTAGCTCACGTGAAGGAAGTTATGAGGATGCAAGTAATGAAGATAGTTTTGACCACAGTTATTCCATGGAGATTGAGGACAGCTTTGACGCGTCTCTTGAAGATACGGACAAGACTCCGGTCGTTCTCCCTGACGAATGGCGGTACATGACCCCTGATAGCGCCAATGATGACGATGCGGTTGGAAGCGATGAAGATCCTTTTAACGAAGACTTTGGGAGCCCTGGTCCTGACATCAGGCCAAGTTCCAGGGATTCTACTCTATTCAAGAATCGCATTGAGTCATTGGATTCTAATGGAGAGCGACGACCACTTCCTCCACTTCCGCCGTCTCAATCAACTCCGCAGGCCTCAAGAAGTTCACCAAGCCCCGGACTGAGTGCGGCCTTTGAGCGTGGAAGCAGTGCTCAGCGAGATATGCCGCAACCTCTTCGGCCTGCTTCTTGTTCGAAATCCGATATCACCAGTCCTAGTCGCAATTCACTCTCCCTCGAAGATAGATTGAAGTTGATGATGACCGGAGACCATAGCTATCAGTCCGATGCTGAATCGCAACGCGAGCGACGAATGAGACGTGCAGGAGCAAAAGAAAGGAGTGCTGAACGTGACCTAGAACATAGCCACCAGTCTGAGGGCCACGATGAGTCGACTGCCATCGAATCGCCCCGTATTTCTCGCGAGTCAATTTTGAAAAATATCAAAAGCCAGCAAGAGTCTTCTGAACCAAACGACTATCATGATTCTTCCCACAACTCTGGGTCATACCACTCTTTGACTTATGATCCCGATGTTCCAATTCCTTCTCTTGAGACGGACCAGCCCATTGAAGATGAGACTGTCATCATCAAAGAAGAGGAGGATGAGGATGAGGTTGATCTTTATTCAGTCCCAAACTTCGGTGAGAACGACACCAACGGTGAAATCGACCACGCTGAAGGCCCAAGCCAGATTGTTGATGACTCCAGCAGTCGCTATTCCGACACATCAAAGGATGATATACCCACTCCTCCAGAAGGTGCTTTGCATAGCTTTGAAATGGGGTCAGGGGAATTAACTCCTACCAAGGCTGTCCATTCTCCTCGATACCCCGAACATGATTTGCTTGCATCAAGCATGTCAGGTATTGATGGAGATCATCAGTTTGACGTCCATTTTACGTCTTACATTGATCAATCCACTCCGCCTGCTGAAGAGCATCTAGCCCAGCCTCCCCGTATTGACCTGTCATCTATTCGTAACTCGCTCGACCGCCCGGGCACCCCAGATTCTGTAATTCGTCACCCAGTGTCCCCAGAAGAGTCCCCAGACAGGTCACTTATTGTGCCCGAGCCAATTGCGACTATCAAGGCTCCCGGAGGTACCTACAAGACACGAACCTCACTGACACCTGCAGATGTCAGCACCATGGCGGCAACACGCCGTAGGGTCAGTGGCCAAGACGTTCCAGTTTCGCCCATTGAAGAGTTCACGCCTTCATTGCCACGCATAGAAAAGGCCTCCAAAGAAGAGTTTGTTGAAAAAGATACCTCCGAGGAAGTTAAGGCGGCGGGTCTTGCACCCCGGCAAGAAAAGTCCCGAATCAGCTCCCTTGTGAAGCTTGACATTCCTATGGACTCCGGTAGCGATGGTTTCGGGCTCGATGCCGAGTTCGACCGAGTAATGGAGGCTCAAAAGGTAGCATTTGATATTCCCTTTTCTCAACTTTCCGCGCAGGTATCGTCAAATGCAGGCAATCAAGCACAAGACACTCCACACTCCTCCCTTGATACACAAAAAGCTGACACCACGACAACAAAACAGAGAGGCTACTTGATGAGACAGAACACGAAGATGGTAGTTGCTACTAGTCGTCCGGAAGATGATGAGAACACCGAATCCTTAAACGCTCCAAACTCTCCAAGGAAAGCTAGTCAGCAAACATGGACCACTGAGCCATGGACCCCCAAATCTAGGCGCCAAAGCATTAAATTGGCGGGAGCAGTGCCCCGGAAAAAGATTGCAGAAGAGCCTGTTCCACCTCTTCCCGGCCAAGAAAGCAGTGTTAAGGATGCGCCAAATGGGGGTGAAGAAGCTGCTGAAGCTGATAACAATGCAGAGGAAGGTGATCGTGGAAGATTGTTCGTCAAAGTAGTTGGTGCGAAAGATTTGGATCTCCCCCTACCCCGAGGTGAGTTTTTTTTCTTGTAGTAACTGAGTGGAGTATATACTTACCTAAACTGTTTAGGCGAACGATCTTATTTCTCGCTCACCCTTGATAATGGTTTGCACTGTGTCACAACTTCGTGCCTAGAGCTAGGCCGATCAGCTCCAATTGGCCAAGAGTTCGAACTTGTTGTTATGCAAGAGCTTGAGTTTCAATTAACTCTTCAAATGAAGCCTGACCAAATCAAGCCCAAGCCACAACTGGTACGGCCCGCTTCCCCTGCCAAAATCCCGAAGCCGCAGAAGTCGTCTACTTTTAGTCGCGTTTTTGCCTCCCCCAAGAAACGTCGAGAGATGGAGCTTCGTCAACAACAAGAGGCGCAGCAGCTACAGAAAAGGCAGGCTGAAGAGAAGGCTTTGGCCAATATTATCGATCCATGGGAGAAAATTCGAAAGATTGTTGATAAAGATGGAAACTTTGCGCGCGCTTATGTCTCGCTTGCTGATTTCGAAGAGCGAGCTTTTGGGCGCCCGCTCACCGTTGATGTTACTTGTTTCAATGAATGGGCCATTGACGAGACCGTAAGCAGTGTAAAGAGCAAACGAAGCACAGCAACTACTGTCTCACGTCGACCTCCTTATAAGATCGGTACCCTGGAACTTCAATTACTATACGTTCCAAAACCAAAAGGCGCCTCTGACGATGATATGCCTAAGAGCATGAACGCCTGTATCCGCGAAATGAGAGACGCGGACCATACAGCTTCCAGAAGCTGGGAAGGGTTCTTGTCCCAGCAAGGAGGTGATTGTCCTGTAAGTTGCCGATTTGATGATACCTAACATTCTTTTGGATTATGAATTAACAAACAAAACAGTACTGGCGTCGCCGTCTATTCAAGCTCCAAGGATCTAAACTGACTGCATTCCACGAGGTTACTCGCCAACCTCGCGCCACAATCAACTTGGCCAAGGCTGTCAAATTGATTGATGATAAGTCGTCTCTCACCCAAAAGGAAACATCTGCCAAGGGTGGCCGGAGACGTAAATCTGCCTTTGCTGAGGAAGAAGAAGGCTATATGTTTGTTGAAGAAGGATTCAGAATCCGCTTCGGAAACGGAGAGGTCATTGACTTCTATGCCGATAGCAGAGCCGAGAAAGAAGGGTGGATGAAAGTCCTCTCTGAGACCGTCGGAAAGGGCTCCTCTGGAAGTGGCCAAGTGAAGCCTTGGACTGATCTTGTTCTACGCCGTGAAAAGAACCTCAACATCAAACGACCTCTTCCTGAGGAGAAGAAGCTACTAGTTGAAGAGAAAAAGAGCGTCAGACATTCATATGCACCTCCACCTCCACCCAAGGAGCATCACATCGGTCAAGCACGACCAACCCCTGCGGCCGCTCCACGCCCCAGGCACCAACCCCAGCTATCACAGTCCAACATCAGTTCGCTAGAGGCTCGACGCCAAAAGACTCGATCACTTATCTTCTAAAATGTTATTTCCTTTCTCTACAAGACTGTAGTATAGCACAATCTCTGGCAGGCAATCTGTGCTTTTTTCCCGTTTCCCCTTTGTTACTCGCATCACAACTCCTTTTTTCCCCCTATTTCCTGGATACATTCTATCCCAATGCCCCTCCCTCCCTTTTTTACCTTCTGATTTCCTTCATTTCATATGTCTATGCTTCTGCTTTATGCTTTTTAGTCTGTTGATGTGCTTTGCTCCTTTTTTATGTTTCTTGTTTTCGGGGAGGGTCGTCATGACACGCTTAATGAATATACGCAGCTGTGATATGATGATAGTCGAGTTATTTGTCTAAATGAGGAATTTGTTTCCTATCTATCTATCCCTCCTTTCCTATTTTCCTTCTTTCTTCAAGTAAAGTAGTTTCTTATGTATCTCAAAAAATGGGCCATAAATACATTTTTTGTATTAGAGGATCATTGGTACGCTCAATTTACATGTTGGTTCGCAGTTAGTATTATTTTGACTTGACCGAACTTTACCTGTGTATTATTGTAAGTAGATAAGAAACCATGTACTTGTTTCTATAACGAACTGGTTCTTCTATGGGGAGTAATTTTTTATATAAATAATCTTACGATAACATAATACTGCTGCATGTAAATTTTCATCTAGTTCCAACACCGCACATATACATACATCCATACAGTAATCAGCCAATACTTTCGCTTAACCTCCGTCTTCGCCATTATTCACGAACTCTGACTCAGATTCAGATTCTACCTCTGCCAGAACCTTGCTCTCCGCCTTCCTTGCGTCTTCCTCCTGAGCAGCAGTGGGCTCTTCAGCAGATGCGCAGCAGGCAGCTAACCCGCCGGAGGTAACGTATAAAAATGTATTCTCCTTATAGCTGTCAATATGATTGAAGAATGTCCCGAATCTGCAGAGGGAAAACGTTAGTGAGGCAAGAAGTTAAAGTCAGGAGAAAAATTCATGTTCAGAGCACTTACGCATGTTTCTCTGCCTCTTCTGTGAAGATACGTTGATAGATCTCTTTAAGCTTGAATTCGTCCATTTCCTTCTCATACTTGGAGAAATCAAGAGGCTCCCTGCCTAGGTCTGTAGCTTTCCTGTTATATCCGTCGAATATGGGCCGTTCAAGAAGGAGCCCCAGACCCGGTGCTTTGGGGATAGGTATCCTAGGACGCTGATAGCTTTCCTCTATCCGGTGGATGTCTGCGCCACAACGTACGAGCAGAGCAACCATAGCAACCATCTTTCTGATCTGATGCATCATGAAGCTTTGGCCGTGGACTTTCAGGCTTAGCCATTCTGTGCCGTTGATTACGACGGGGTCTCTGGAGATTTTGAAGGATTTTATTAGCCGTTTGGCTGAAGGGTCGCGGAAGGTCTTTTGGATGGTGTAGTTGTGAAAGTTTCTCGTGCCGACGTAGAGAGATAAGGCCTCATTGATGCGCGCAAGGCGTTCGGGGGGTATACGGTACTCATTCTTGGCTTTGAAATAGGCTAATCGGATCTCCTTGATAGCTATGTTCACTTGGGCCTGTTCATCAGGAGTGAGGCCCGACTTTTTCACCTCACCCTCTTCTGCTTTCTCGCCTTCCTCTCCAGCCTCGGTATTGCTTGGCGTTGCCTTATCGTTTTCGGTGGCCACGGCAGGTTCACCACCAGCTGCACCAACGGCAGCCTGAACATAGGGCCTAATTTTCTCCGGCAAGGCATCTATTATAGGCTGAATGTGTTTCTTGTCGGTCTCTTCCCAGTATGTCTCCACCTCGGCCTGTCTCTGCTTGAATGCTTCCATATCACCATGCTTTTCTGCCATTTCTACCATCTTCTGAGCCAAGAAGGTGCTCGGGTGAGGTGGAAGGAAGCAATGCGAGGGTATCAAGTATTCGTACATCCGCGAGTCGCAGAACTGATATGCGCTAAAACCTTTGGTTGCGGGAATGATACCCCACACTCTGATCTGTGGATTCAGCTTCTCATTGATCTTCTGCACGATGTCAGGGTCTTCGATGATGAGCTTCAAGGAAACAACGTTGCCGGCCGCATGTACGCCCTTGTCTGTCCGCGCGCAACGGACGAAGGAAGATTTCTTTGGGTCCATGGCGTTAGCCTTAGAGATTGCATTAGCCGCAACGAAGGCAGCAAAGAGGTCGCCTTCAATTGTCTTTTCAGTAGCGCATCTATCAAGACGTTAGAACGAAACCCTTTTGTACCTTATTGACATCTCTTACAGCTGCATTCCATGGTATCCGGTACCAGAATAACCCAGCATAACGATAACCTTCTTCTTCGGCCGCCGGACGTCGGCGTCGATATCCTCCTGGGAGAATTGAGTAGCGTAAATTGGTAGAGGACTCTCCCCTTGCTCAATCTTCCTTCTCTTCGACTCCTGCTGGTCGTTGTCCGCCCGCCTATCTATGTGTTTATTCCTGACTTAGTTAGTTGGTTCTTACAGTTTCATATATATAGAAAAAGGCGCAAATATTGATCATGCTAAAAGCTACCTACCTGTAAGCCTTCCTGCCCATATCTTTTTGTTTATTTCGGCCACCTCTTCCAGTTGCGCTGGTGTCCCTCTTCCTCTTGCCAGGCTGTTCTGTGACAGTCTCCTGAACTGTAGGAGGGTCTCCCTTGGCTGAATTCTCAGGGAGGCTGGGGTTCTCGACAGCTGGATCCATGCTGGGCGAATTGAACTGGTGGCGTTCATCTATAAGTGCTGCATCTATCAGTGAAGTCTTATGTCTTTCTGATCTTATTCTTTTCTCTGAATACTTTTTGAATTTCTGTTTTATACATGCTTAGTCAGAGCTTACTTAACATATCACTCACGTGATATAACAGTCGACAAAAATAAAAACGACAACTTCGACTCAACAAGCAAGTAAATAACTTCATGATAGAGTCAAAGTAGAGAGCAAAAATCGAATGGAGGGTAGATAATTGCCAGGGCCGACCCAGAATCGAACTGGGCACCTTGCGATCTGCAATCGCCTGCGATAACCACTACGCCACCGGCCCGGGAGATGTCGCTTTTTTCTTCGATGGCTTTTCGTCTGAATTACTTACTGAGGCAGTAAAATGAATCTACTAGTAGTATGCTACTCGTTATACTATGTATGCTCCTCCTCATATATCGTGACGAGGAAAAAAAAAAGAAACAGGGCTGACCCGGAATTGAACCGGGGACCTTGGGATAATATATCACTTCGAAGTTGTGAAGAAACATAGCTGCAATCCCCTGCGCTAACCGCTGCGCCACCAGCCCGTGTTTGTTGGTAGGTGTGCGTGGTAAAACTCCTTTTGTGGGGATTCTCCAGAGGATGACTCAGTTTTGACTAATACGTGACTAAGTCAGTGACTAATATATTACTCAGCAGCGAAGTTCTACCAGAAGAAGAAAAAGAACATCTGAACAAGCCAGAAAGATATATACGGATGAGATCTGGTTCAGCGTCAACGGAGAGGCGAGGTTCTTCGGTCGGTTGTCACCTGGTAAGTGGAGAGCGTTGCTCGACCGTCTCTCACACCTCGCTCACTGTCAGCGTCGCTGCTGCGCGGAGGGCATCTCTTCGGCCTGGCGCAATGAGATAAGGCAACACATTCTCCCCTCACAGCAACAGCAGGTCGATAGCATCGCCGGCAGTTCGCAGACTTGGTCTTGAAGACACGGGTCAGCATGGATCTCGCGGGCACTCTCATCCGGATGACGGCGCGGGCCTTCTACGAGACCCGTCACATCCTGGTGATCGATGCCCTGTTCATACACTCAGTGTATGCCTTGCCTCCTCTTGCTTCCAAGTCTTGAGAGAGGTGTAGCTAACGTCCTTATTTTGCTCCTGCAGCCTAAACGCCGAAGATCTGGCTCTTCTCTTGGGGATGCAACAGAAAGACGTGAGGAAACTCTGTGGTCGCCTGCGCGAGGACCGGTTGATATCTGTGTATGGAACCCCCTTGATACTGCTCTCCAAGCAAACACCAAGGCTGACGCTGATCACCATCAGGCACCATCGAACTGAGATGCGAGAAGGCCAGACTCGTCCCCGCGAATATTACTATGTGCCGCTGTATCCCGTTATAGATGCGATCAAGTACCGTGTATCTCGCCTAACCTCCTCCATCAAAGCGCAGTACACCCCGAACCAGGAGAGAAAGGAGTTTATCTGCCAACGATGTTCCGCCGAGTGGACGCAGCTGGAAGTTCTCAGCAGTGTAGGGCCAGACGGGTTCGAGTGTCTACGATGCAACAATACTCTGTCGACCGTGGATGAGGTCGAAGGGGCCGGCGCTGACCGGAGTGGCCATGAGAAGAACAGCAAGCTCATGGCGCAGTTAGATTCTATATTGAAGCTTCTTATACAGATAGACTCTACGGATATACCGCCTAACGACTTTGATACTGCGTGGGAGCACAAGGTGGATGTTATACGGAACCAGAACACTAATCCTACCCGTGTTGCCGTTGCCGTTAACAAGAAGGGCTCATCTACCGTCAAGGGTGTTAACAAGACCGATGCTTCTGCCCTGGAAGTCAGTCTGTCTTCCTCCGCGGAGAAGAATGCAGAAGAACAGGCCCAGAAGGAGGCACGGAAGGCTACCCTGGAGAAGCAAAACGCACTTCCAGTCTGGCACACTCATTCCACCGTATCCACCTCGGCGACCAACCTTCCCACCGTTAAAGTTGAGGCCAACGGTACCGCCGCATCCACGGATGCTACCGCAGAAGACACTAAAGTCGGCATCAAGGACGAAGAGGAAGAGAAGAAGGACCCGCAGGACGACATGGATGATACTATTGCCACCTACTATGCCGAGATGGCACGCGAGAAGCAACTCGCTGCCGCGGAGTCCTCTGACGATGACGACGATGAGGATGACGAAGAGTTCGAGGACGTCAGTGCCACTCCGGACGGGGGCACGCAGTCAGACACAGGCAGCGTAGCTGCTGGCGGTACGGCTCCTGGAACCCCCACCGTCAACGGCAACGGTACCGGCAGCAGCCTGAAGAGAGAGCTTGACTCGGAGTCTGGCACTAGCGGGCCCAACACGAATGCGGGGACGCCTATCACGCCTGTGGACGAGGATGGGCCGGCGGCTAAGAAGGTTAAACTGGAGACGGAGCCGGAGGTCAAGAAGGAGGATGATGCTGGCTCTGACGAGGATGAAGAAGAGTTTGAGGATGTGTAGACCCTTTCTCTCTTTTTTCTTTTTTCACCTTTCTCCAGTTTTCTTCCCGTCTTCTTCTTCCTTTCTATCTCCCCTTTCCTTTTTTTTCACCATGTATCGGGCGTACGGGCTGCATTAATGTTTGATCATCTCGAAATTTTCTCCATGTACCATTAAAATCAATTCACCGGCAACTTACATAGTAATAATAGTAACTACTATTGCGATTCCGTCTATCTTTACCATTGGGTGTCTGCTGTGAAAGACAAGGCTTTTCGCACAACGTTGGTGGCACAGCTCGATGTCAACCTGGCGTATCATGCATATCTAGATATCACAATGACCGTTAGATATATACACAAGCAGCCGGCATATCCAACAATCATGCCATCTGCAATAACTAGCATATCTGATTCGAAGTAAGGAAACATACATACATACTCACCGCACAAAGCAACGATACTAAGCTACCCCCTTAATCCATGCCTGGCAGCAACAAGAAACTTCCCGGTGTCAAATTTGACCGGCATCCGCATGGGAATAAAAAGAGAGAAAAAGCTCTTCAGCTCGCTAACAGGCCAGCCTGCTAGTCTTCTTAGTGGAGGCGAAAGGATAAAAAAAAAAAAAGAAATAATAGACAATTTTAACGGTTGGCTATTTTCCGGGACTTTTATCCTTGTCCTTGTCTCTCTTTGCTCTGGAATTTATATCCTGTCGCTTTTCTTCTATTCTTCTCAAGCGTGCCGTGCTATCTCGAGTGTTCTATCTCGAGAAACTTGGATGCTGTGGGACTGGTTGGATATGTTTCCGTTCAGACATGCCTTGAAGCCGCCCGCTACTTATCTCGTTTCTTAATTTGCAGGATCGGGTTCTATTCGCAAGGTCGGAATGTTCAACATGTTTTCATCAGGAGTGTGGCCGCGTTTATCGAGGCCGTCGTTTATTTTGGTGCATTGTACGTGTTGACTTGATATTGCTGTCGTGGGTGGTGCTGACGATGTGATAGATGTCTATATCGTGGCACTCTGCCTCGTCGGGATGGTGATGATATATCCCCTGAAGAATATGAGTGCGATCGATGCATTGTTCCAGGCCGTGGGAGCTGCTACGATGACGGGCCTGAATTCGTGCGTCTTGACTCTGTTGACTTGAGTGTTCTATGTCTCCGGTTCTCATGATATCTATGCCTAACTATTATACTCATATCGATTGATAGGGTCGACTTTAAAGGATTAACGATATATCAGCAGGTGGTGCTCTATATCAGTCCTCTGCTGGGCAATATTTGTTTCATCAACTTCATCGTTGTCCTGGTGCGATTGTACTGGTTCGAGTCCAAATTCAAAGAAATTGGTATGAATATCAGACCCGTTTCTGCCTTATTCCTGTTATAACTACGCAAAGTTAACTGGTTAAAGTGAGATTTTCTCGTTTGCCGTCTACTGAAAGATCTCATCACGTCGAAAGCGGCCTGAGAGGCCACAGGGTCGTTGGATTATCTACAGCTCCGGATTTACCTATCAAACCATCTGAAGAGACAGAAACCAAAGATGGAGAAGGGCTGAAGCAAAGAACTTCACATGTTCCCGAGGAGGAGGGACGGGAAGACTCCAAACCGACTGTTGTTGAAAAACAGCTTCCAACTACCGGGACTGGACACGTTTCGTTCTCAACGGATACTTTCAGGCCGAGAGAGAAAGCACTTAGGATCCCTGGTCCGAGAGAGTTTGAAGCCGGCCATAGAGCACACGAAGTTGATGAAGAAGCTGATGGTAACTTACTCTAGAGACACATCTTCATACCATACCATGCTGATAAGTATCCAGGCGATGAACTCACCAAAGCAACGTCAATCGATCCATCTCTCGTGGGTGCCCCAAGCCTACGTGAAAGAGGAAAGCTGGAAAGAATTCTATCCCACGCAACGTCTGTGGAACAAGCTGCTTCATCAGCCTTCGTATTGGGGAGTGCATCGCGCCCTAGGTCCCGCTCGAGATCCATCTCACGCTCTCTAAGACCTCTTAGCAGGACTGGCTCCCGTGGATCCCAGGTCCCGTATTTATCATATACTCCTACCATAGGCAGGAATTCTCAATTTCTAAACCTAACGGAGGAACAGAGGATAGAGCTGGGAGGTATCGAGTATCGAAGTTTGAAGCTGCTAGCTAAGATAGTCGGTGGCTACTATTTTGGGTTTCTGCTGCTTGGATCTATTCTGCTCATTATCTGGATTTATGCTGCGAACCCGGTTCATAGACAATATCTTGCGGAGAACGGAATACACCCGGTCTGGTGGTAAGTTCATAACTTGACATTCTTCTCTGCAGCTATATCGTTAACGATATCAAGGGCATTTTATTCCTGCATGACAACATACAATAACCTGGGCTTCAGTCTCACGCCAGATTCCATGGTCAACTTCCGCTCCAACACATTCCCCATGCTCTTCATGACCTTTCTGATCCTCGTCGGCAACACTGCTTACCCTTGCATGCTGCGTTTCATCATCTGGTGCATGTTCCGCCTCTCTCCCAAAGCTTCAGCCATTCATGAACCTCTTAACTTCCTCCTTGACCACCCTAGGCGATGTTACACGCTTCTATTCCCCAGCAGAACAACGTGGGTGCTCTTGGGAACGCTGGTGTCACTGAACGGACTGGATATCATGCTTTTTATGATTTTGGACTTGCGGAACCCCGAAGTTACGGCAATAGATACGGTATGGCATCGATTATGCGCGGCATCTTTTCAATCTACTGCGTCAAGGACGGCTGGTGCTACATCTTTTGCTTTGTCGAAGATTCATCCTGCAGTGCAGTTTAGTTTGATGGGTGAGTTTTTTTGTTTTTGTGAACTTTGGAGTATGCAGCTGATGCATCTGAATTAGTGATGATGTATATCTCTGTATTCCCGGTTGCTATGAGCATGAGAAAGTAAGTGGATTCCAAAGGGCCATCTCCCGACCTCGGATTAACATTATATACAGGACGAATACATACGAAGAGTCGTCACTAGGCCTGTACGACTCGGAAGAAGAAGTCGATGAAACAACTGATTCCTCATCGTATCTGGGCCAGCACATCAGGAAACAACTGGCTTTTGACCTCTGGTACATCTTCCTAGGCGTCTTTCTCATCACTATAGCCGAGGGGGCTAAAATTGCAGACCTGAATGACCCAGTAAGTTATCATCCTATAACTTGCCGTGTTGAGTACTAATTTTCACTCCAGGCGTTCCAAATATTCGCCATCTTCTTCGAAGTCGTTTCTGCTTAGTAGGTGATTTCTCATATCCAGCCGATATAGCTAACTACTAATGGGTCAATAGTGGCAATGTGGGCCTCTCTCTAGGCCACCCAACTATAAACGCTGGACTGTCGGGTAAATTTACTACCGTCAGTAAGCTGGTGATGTGTGCCATGATGGTGCGTGGTCGACATCGTGGTTTGCCGTATGAGCTTGACAGGGCGGTACGTACATATCCTTGCTCACATGTTGAATATATTCCTAACTCAGCCACAGATTGTCCTGCCTGGAGAAAGGCGCAGGAAAGAAGAGCAGGCTCGGGCAGAAGGTCTAGTTGCGTCAGGTAACTAACATAACTTTACAGTAAAAGAATAGATTGGAGATAGATGGGCTTCGGCGCATGCCTCGGCTTTGGCTATTGGGATGGTAGTATCATAGTTCCAGTTTCCATGTATACTTAAAGGAGGAATGTTTGCTAGAATTCCTAGTAGGAAGATGAATATATTGAGATAAGAGAAAGCACACACACTACCTCGCTGAGCCGTATTGCAAAGATGCGAACAGGTTAGCTCCATAGTTGCCTTCATCGTTGCCTCTGAGATATCAAGATCCCAGGCCGTACAAACAGTGCGTATCCCAGAGCCTAGCTAGATGGGTACATGAACTTATAGCCTCCAGGTTGAACACTCAAGAGGAATGCTCAGGATGTCTTATGGAGAGTACTAGATGTAGAAAGTGAGCTAGCAGTTAGAGTCCCTTTCTCCTCCACTATACTCCGTACAGCACATCTCTATGGAAACGTCTCCCTTACCTTCAAGTCTAGATATATCAATATACGAAGTCTTCTTGCGCCTGAAGAGAAATATCAAAATATCAAAATATCAAATCGCTTTCTTGGACTGAAAAGTCGAAAGTGGCTGGGTGCTTACTAAGCTATATGTATGGAAACTCGGTAATTTTGGCCGTTGTGTCATTACGTCAGCCCTCCACAAAAAAGTGACCAACCAGAAGGCAAAAATACACCAGCTCTATGAAATTGCCCAATGAAAGGCTGTAAAATGGCGACGGTTGGGTACCGGGCGTTACCAGCGATACAGCCTTTTTTTTGTTTCTGATGGAGTCATCGATAAGAAAAGGAACAAGCAGTAAGAAGAAGACACAAAAAAAAAAAAGATAGACTGGCAGATGGGATGGCGTTTGCTCTTGGGGATTCTCTCTTCCGCAGCAAGTGAAGAAGAACAGTGTGTGAGTGTTGTTGTCTGTTCTGTTCCTAACTAGCATCTTGCTCAGCTCTCTCTCTCTCACTTCCAGCTGCTGCCTGGTCGCCCTTTTCTAACGACAACCACATAACTATAACCAACCCGCCACCAGTCCAACTCACCACCTCCAAGGAACAAGATTGTGAAGAGATAGACGTCTCAGCTCTTTGCCTTGCACATCTACTGACGCCTCTCCGTCTTCAGAACTCCCGGATCAGCCCGTCGTGGTGATTCGACCTCGCGCCAGCCTACCCTTGCGGCTCTGAAAGCCAAAGCTAAAGCTCCCCCCAGCCCACCGCAACCGCTGAGCTCCCTGGAAGAACATCACGCCTCACTTCGAAAACTTCCCTGGTCAGAGATAGATTCACCGCATAATTCCTCCTCGAAGCAAACGATAGAGACTGGCACACTGGAAAATGTCATGGGCCCTACCCCGCTAGAGCACTCTAGCAATATCACCTCCGTGAGCACGAGCAGTGGTACTGGCACCTGCGTCAACCCGCAGCCACAATCGATCGACGCAAACAATCCAGACTCCCGCTCGCCGGCAGGGATACGCATTCCCGACCCTCTCTCGCTGTCCCCTGCTCAGTCGTCTTCGCCAACAGGCTGCAGCGAACTAATGGAAGATCTAAATTCAGAGTCAACGCGCAAACGTCCTCGGCTTGATAGCGGCAGCGGTGCCAATTGCTCGCATGATTCCGCGCCCATGACTACACCTACGACACCGGCCGAAGCTAGTGAAGATGCAAAGGAGAACCAGCAACGACAGGACCAGGCAGACGACACGATGACAAGCACCGCAAAGGAGGCGGTAGACGCTGCAGACGGGGATAAGATGCATGGTGGGCCTGGAACCGCTCCCGCAACGGCCTCGGCTGGAATGCTGATCACTCCTCCACCTCTAGATGCGACTCAGAGATCGGTGAATGGCAGCCCTGTCGTCCCACCACGCCCGTCAAGTCGGGTTACCATTAATATGAAATCTCCTACTTCGGAGACAGAACAAACACAGCAGGCCATACTCACGGACGGAGACGGGGTGTTATTAACAACAGATAAGCAAGATGTTGAAGCTGAGCAAGGCGGTAAACTCGCATCACGTGAAGTCAACTCTTCACAGCCAGACGTCGTGACTTCCAATGGGACAGAAATGAATAATGCCCAGGCCAGTATACCCATGGAACAGACTACAGTCATCATACCTGATTCGCCTCCTTCGGTTACAAGCGTGGAAATTGAGGTTGCAGACCCAGAAGATATGGACCAGGATCCGGCCACTTCGAGCTGGAGGCCGTTAGATGATGCGTTACGGACCGCCAGAGAGCCAGAGGTTGTCCAGATCCACGAGGAAATATCTCTTGCGGAGGCCTTTCCAAATTTTAGGACCGCATATAATATCCGTGATGCTGTGTTGGATATGAAGACTGCCATGGAGAGAGGTAGGTGGTGCCTCTACTTTTTTGGACCAACAAATTCTAGAGCCAGGCTGCTAATCCTTTCCTCTTTTCTAGGATCTGCCCATGATCTCAACGTGTTTGTTGCTTTGAAAACATGGTTCGAGTTGTGTTGTGAAAATCTGAACCATCTCACATACCAGGTGTTTACCGAAGATCGCGATCTATGGGAAGAAATCCCGTCTGTCGCTGAAGGCCTTTTAAGGCGGACGTAAGTGGCAGCATTCCAAACATCTTCCCGCCAAGTACCCGGCTAATACATCCATAGGACGGAGTTTATAGCAGACCAAGGAGACAGTCCAATGTCATACATTGAGGAATTCCTTTCTTGCTATGCTGAGATAGCAATACATATAATTTCTATTGATGCAGAGCAACTATCACAGTCTTCAGAAGAGAGGAGTGTTCAACTAGACCCTATCTCAAGAACTTACTGGATGCCACTTGCCTCGATGCTCCAGCTCCGTAAAATCCCTCTATTCACAGCTATGGAGCGGGATTACGGATCAGAGATCATCGATTTGGTCGCTCATCTTAACGACCGTGTTGCTGGACGACAGGTCAATGGCGTAGCAGTCCTCGCCAGTTTTGTGGAAGCTATCTCCATTTACCTCTCGAAATCACCTATCCTCACCTCCCTTTTTCCATCAGCCCTCAGCGTTACTCATAATATCGTTGATTCGTTTGTTGGCAGGAGGTTTCAGCCCACGTATGGCCGTCCTGATTCCACGGAAGTGATCACGCAGGCATATGCACTGCTTCGGTTTTCTGAACCTGTCTACCGATCTCTAATCGAGAAGTCATCATCTTGTTTGTCCAGTGACACAAGTGAGTCAATTCTCCGAACTATGGGCAGTTCGTTCCGCACCCTTTGCAACTTTGACGAAGAGTTGGCGACAACTGTGGCCAGGGACCTGCAGCTCAATGTTCCGCCGGACGTTAATTCCCACGAATTCGCCCACATTGTCAGTTTAGGTTGGAAGTTTACTATCCTAAAGGAACATATTATGAGTGGGCGTATGGAATTGCGTGTCTACGGAATGGAGTCCATACAGGGTGACCTGGTGAATTTCTGGTCACAACATATTCAAAATGTACCAGGAGCCCTTAACCATGTGACAACCAAATACCTTGTCAACTTTCTGAGAGAAAATAAAATTGTGGACTATGTTGTTGGTGTCGAGTCGCACCCTCAGCTAATCAGTCGAGGAAGCAATATTGTGGGTTTCCTCGTCGTGACTTCAACATATACCAATGAAGACACGGATATAATATGGAAGACCGTCAGCGAGAGCCATGACCCCAGAACCGTCTCTGAAGTGCTTGCCATGCTATCGTCAACCTTTAGCATGCATCATGAGTCCGAGCCGCTTATTTATATCTGCAATAAGCTAATTGAACTACCACTGCAACGCTTCGACGTTCGTATGATCGAGTTCTGTGATCTATTGTTGAACTCGGTACGAAGTAAACACGGCGAATCCATGCGCCACCATGATCTCGGCCACTACCCACATGTCGACATCATGCCAGTGCGCCTATGTGTCAGGCTGATTCGAGGGGCTGTATCTGCTGAGGAACTCCCCCTTGAACAACGGTCTCAAGTCCAGCGATTTGCAAGTAAACAACTCTCCCAGTTCGTCAGCCTAGGCATTAGTGAAACAGATAAGACAGAACTTTATCAGCAATGCATCCAGGATGTTTCTGATATGAATGAGTTTGCTGTTGGGAGTATCCATGCTCTTAATGCCTTGATCCCAGCTTTCGATACCCAGGATATTCGACGCCTAGCTCTGGACCTCGACTTCACCCGCCTTATCATCACTGAGCTTGCGCACGCCGCTACCACACCCACAGATGATGCGGAAGACGAATATTTATGCAACACGATCGTCCCACGACTGAACTTAGTTCATCGCATTATCGACAGAGTGCCAGAGACGATTACCCCTGAGCTCAGTGATGTTCTGTGGGATAAAGTCTTCACCTCGAAGGTGATAAGTGAGCAAAACCGAAATTATATGTGGGAGATACTGTCTAAATCTGCATCGCGGTGCATAAAGCGGAACTCATTTTTGGAGAGCTTTATGAACGACTATCTTCCCCGTATCCCACCGGAGGATATCACTGAGTCGGTACTCTCATTTGCAAAACAAGCGATGAATTACGATGTTAAATTCCACCATCAGCCTGTCTCTAATGATGGAGACATCATTACTATCCCCGGAATGGATAGGATTTGGCGCTTTATCCTCACTGCTCCTAACCCATCCATCGGTATCAATGCCATCAACTTTGCCATCGACACATACCTAGACCACGTCTTGATCAAAGGAAGTAGCCCGTCATCCGCAGAGGCCACACACGTATCCCTCGTCGATCGCTGTGTAGCGCAACTAGCTGCTGCAGCCACGCGGCTAAAAACGTTCATTGATGGAACTACAAGTGGCGAAGATGAACCCATGGTCATAGTGCCTTCTGACAATGAAGTTCAAGCAGAAGAATTGCGATTTGCACGTTCCCTCCTTTTCCTCCGCCAACTCCTCCAGGGTCTCCGCACACGACCACAGTACACTCCTCCCCAGGGTTCGCCGCCCTATATACCTCTCAAGCCCGAACCAGTGAAAGGAGAGTCAATTGATATATCATACCAGGCATTCAGTATGGGATCTCAGACCCGTATCCGCACTTTCACTATCGGTGATTTATCAACTGCTTCTGAACTTGCGGATAAAATAGCTCTTCTTACAGGCTTTTCGAAATTCACCACCATCAGTGGCGGACAGAGGTTAGATCTACGTGGTGGAAACGCCAACCAGACAATACGTGATTTAAAACTTGCAACTGCGGGTCTACTTATTGTCAGGAAAGACTCTGATGCTTATGAGCTTTCGTTTGGTGGGAGACGCCAGAGCTTGACGCTGGTAGATTCAGAGCTATTGAAACATTTTGATGATCTCTATGATTTATTGAGTTTGGACGAGAGATTTTCAAAGGAGGCATGTTTTTTCCCTGCTTGTCTATCTGGAAAGCAAGTGACTAACATCGTCAATAGATATTTGACTTCCTTGTATTATTCCCGCCTCAACAGATAGTCCGTGATTTCGTGCGGTCCCCAGAAATAGGAGAATTGGAGATGTTCCCTATCGAAAAACCATATAAGCTGCTCTATATTCTCAACTGTCTTATCGTGTGTGTGCGGGAAGAGGCTCTGAGTGTATGTTTACAGCATATTCCACCATACATTGCATTACGTGTGGACTTTACGTGGGATAATACTAACTTAGGGTTAATAGTTGAACCGCGATCTAGGCTTCATATCGCACGTAATTAAGAATATTGACGCAATCCTGATGCGAGAAGGGATGTCTGAAATTCTACGTGAAAATACCCTGAAACTTACCATTGCGTGTAGCTTCGTGGATTGCCTCCTAGTTTCTTTAAAAGGTTAGTAGCGTTTATTCCCAGCGTGGGGAACCCCTTTATACCATAATATGCAAACTAACTCTTTCAAACAGCGTTAGCAAAATCAATGCCAGATTCATCACAGCATCTCTTTACGAAGCCGTCGGGTTTAATATCTCTACTCCTTGCTTTACTCTCCCTGAACCCCAATGATTTGTCCATCCCACTGGATGAATCGACGTTGCAACGTCTTATATCTGGTTCCTTCGCTACGCTCATTGAGGCCTCTATGAATGACGACCACGTATGGTTCGCGTTAAAAGATTACAATCAAATGCCAGATCTTATTTCCAGTCTACTGCTTTCTGAGCCCCGACCTGGTATTCGCAAAGACATAGCCGAAATCATCTTCAACCTCTGTGGAACATCACCACTGCAGAAGAATTACTGGTCAAACAAAGTTTCAAAGGATGCCATTCCCACTGGCAACCTTGCAACAGCCACAGGTGCAGATATGGTTGAAACATTCTGGGAATCGATTTCCGCACTATTACCACGGACGGTAGAACATGCTCAGTTGTCACAGGAGTTCTTCGAGGTAGCTTTGGTCACATTCCACACCGTTGCTATGTTGCCCACAACAGAGATGCCTTATACTGAATATGTGCGGGACTGGGGTAATATTCTTTTGAGCCATAATGGCAAGGAGGTAAGTAATTCTCAACTTAACCCTGGCCTATCCTTTACTGTCAAACAAAGCAGTGCTAAAATGTCATATTCAGTTCGTTGGACGTGAGCGTGTGGACTACATTATCCTTGGGTTCGCTTACCTGCTGAAAATGTGTCTTGAGCTTGCCATCTCAGAGAACATAAATGCAGGTACAGGGTAAGATATTAAATTTCTAATCTCTTTATTACATCCACACTAACTCATTACAATTTCCACTAGCCGCCTTATGGAGAGTTTGTTTACTACATTCCTATTCCCCAATCTATCTGATATGCAGGTTGAAAGGATCAAGCCAAGCATACCTGTGATGAACCCTACAACTCGCCAGGAGATTTATAGTATCATCCTCCTACTTTGCCGAGATACAAATAACTGTGCACAGATGCTTGAGCTGCTAGAAGAAGTAATTCCCTTCGGTATGTACTCCTCCCAGCTTAGAGAAAGTATATGGATATGCTAATTCTCGTCTCAGACTATACATATGATCCTACCTGGATATTTGACCGTTCTAAAACAATACGTTCCAGCGAAGGATATGCAGGCCTCCGCAACTTGTCGAACACATGTTATCTCAATTCTCTATTCACCCAGCTATTCATGAATCTTGATTTCCGGAAATTTATCCTAGATGTCGAAACCTCAGAAGATGATCCGGCCCAGTCACTTTTGGCCGAAACTAAAAAGGTGTTCGCATATCTTCAAGACACATGGCAGAAGAGCGTTGATCCTCAAAATGCAGTAGATACAATTCGAACATATGACAATGAGCCGATCGACATCAACATTCAAATGGATGTTGATGAGTTTTATAATCTCTTATTTGATCGGTGGGAAGGCCAAATACGTTCTGCCGATGATAGGAAACGGTTTCGATCATTCTATGGAGGCCAGCTTGTGCAACAGATCAAGTCAAAGGAGTGTGAGCACATTTCTGAGCGCCTGGAGCCTTTTTCCGCAATCCAATGCGATATCAAAGGGAAACCTGGCCTTGAAGATAGTCTCAGGGCATATGTGGAAGGGGAAATAATGCAAGGAGGTATGTTCCCCTTTTCTTTAGGCCATTTTTTGACACACCTTTTGCTGATAGTAATTTTCTAGACAACAAGTATTCTTGTACCTCTTGTGGGAAACATGTTGATGCTGTTAAAAGGTGAAGCTGCTCACTTACCCTGAAAAAAAGCTCCCATGCTACCTAATACTAACCTACACTAGGGCATGCCTGAAAGATATACCCGACAATCTCATATTCCATTTGAAAAGGTTTGACTTTGACGTCATATCTATGATGAGAAGCAAAATCAACGATGAGTTCCACTTTCCGGAACGCATAGATATGACTCCTTTCACAATCGACTATCTCAGTAACCCTGATGCACCAATTGAACCGGATATGTTTGAGCTTGTTGGGGTACTTGTTCACAGTGGCACAGCTGAGTCAGGGCACTACTATTCCTATATCAAGGAGCGACCATCAGTAGGACCCAATAATTCGTGGGTGGAATTCAACGATTCAGACGTGACTAGATTTGACCCTGCCAAAATCCCAGATCAGTGCTTCGGTGGAACAAGTGATAGCATGCACACTTTGAGTCATGTCCGCTTTGGCTGTAAGGTGTGGAATGCATATATGCTCTTTTATCAGCGGGTGTCAAGCATGGAAAATGCACGATCAGTATATCAAGATTCCATTGGCGATGCTCCAGTCAGCATTCCCCTACCACTGGAACTTGGAAACCACATCTCCATGGAAAATGAACTGTTTATTCGGATATACTGCCTTTTGGATCCCAACCACGCACGTTTCGTCGTCAGCCTCTTTGACCGAGCGCGAGAGATTAGCAAAACAGAAAGCTCTCTAATAGCCGCAAAGGTTCAAAAAATGTCAATACATGTGGCTTTGGATACCCTGGAGCAACTCATTGCAAGATCCAAAGACTTGCCAGAAGTTGAGCCGCTTCTTATGGACATAAAAAAAGCAATCGACGAAAGCCCTCGGGCCGCATACTGGCTCTTGCAGTGGACTGGTAAACGACCATTGCCTATGAGAAACCTCCTCGCGAAAAGTCCCAATAGCGTGGTCCGCGTTGGGTTTTTGAAGCTTCTGGTCGCATCCTTAGGTCGACTCCAAGATCGATTAGCCGATGCAGACGCTGACAGAGCACTTCAGAGCGAATACAACCAGGAGTACATGGATATGCTCGACAAAATTGTGGAAAGCTTGGTAGTTTTGTGGAGTACTCTTCATTTTTACTCTCGCGCCTGGGATGATTACTTCGAATTACTTGTCGAAATTGCCAACCTAGGGCCATACGAAGTCGAAACACTGTTAGAGCATGGCTTCCTTCTTCGATGCTTAGAGATGGTATGGCTAGACCGCCATGATACCAGGAGGCTAAAGGATGCTTATCCAGGCTATATCCGTTTGATTGAAAAAGGCCGGAAATTCTCCCATTTCAAACTCACCGAACTTCTTGCCATCTTCCTCGAAAATATCGATCTAGAGGTTGCCCCGGTGCAAGATGATCAGCCACGGCGAGGTGATGATGGAAAACTAGCCCTTTCTTATGCAGAAAGTGACCTTGTCTTAGCACTGGGTGAAAAGAGAGAACTTGTCCTCCTAAAGAAGGTGATAGAGCAGCAAGAAAATATTGATGCTAGCCGGAAAATCTTCACCATCTTCCTAAGCTTTACTCCGACAATTGATGGATTGATGGATAGTATAGTCCACATGCTGGAAGAAGGTCTAGCGGTTGAGCCAGCCTCACTTGCCAGCCCTTTTCTCGAAATAACACTACTCTTCTGCGGCATGGTTCCTGACATCGACCGTGTTCGAAGCCTCATTGAGTTTGCTACGAAATCAGTGGATTCTATAAATGAAGCTGGTGGCCGTGATCATGTCACGTTCATTCAAACGATTGCAACCCTCAACAATGGGGCAATTCTAGAGAAGGATGAAAACTTTTTCCTATCGCTCGTGTTAGAGATGGCACCCTACTGGGCTCCGACCTTACTCCATTACGATGACCGATTAGTCCGAGATTCTGCCTACGAATATCTGCAGGAAATCCTGTTCTCGAAAGACCTCGAGGATGCCGCGGAGACTACTCGACAGTTCTATCAGCGCACAGGTCGCCGATTGGGACAAGCTTGCGTTGACAAGTTGCGGACTACATACCTCACTTCTTCAAATACCCAGACCGTTGTCGATGCATCAACCGTTGAAATAATTCAATATGTCATTAAACTATGCATGGAAAAATATTTTGATGAGGAAAACATCGAAGGAGATAGGGCTATCATTGAGCGGGCAGGAGGTAACTTTTACCCTTCTACCAATACTCCCTTGATACAGAGTCTTTGAACTAACAAAACAACTACGCCATAGCCGTAATTGCAGGCTTGGAACAATACACTGTGGAGATGCCAGAAGAAATTGGATCAGGTAAGATTGGTGCCCTTTCTTTAAGTCCCATGCTGTTAGTGCGTTTTTTGTTATTAACCTGCATTGCTTTTGTTTCCCCCTTCTCTACCATCAGGTCCTGACTTTCCTTCAGATACTTGGGAAGATAATTCTGTGATTGCCAGCGACTCGGAAATTGGCCTGGCTACTTCGCCATAAATGCTCGTTTAGCCAGCCGCCAACCATCTCTTCGACACGAAATCCTCTCTTGTCGTAGTATTAAAACGTTCCGTTCACCCCCAATAGTAAACTGCCCAAGACAACAGCCGCCAATCTACAATTACAGCAAATTTGAGGTTGAATATTGACGATACTTACTGTGCAATGACGCGTTAACGACCGCATTTGATGACATGCTTTCCGGAGAAAAAAAGACATTGAAATGGAGAGGAAAGTTACACACACTATTTTAACGCTTTAAACGAAATTAATGAACGGTATGCCGCGGAATACCCAATGAACACTCTGGTGCATTTTGTATGGAGTTATTTCGTTCTATTTCCCCCCGCCCCCTCCGTTGAGCGTGTGTGGTTTGTAGACCTCAGGAGGCAGGATAAACTAAAAGCCTTTCTCACCGAGATTCCCCATGACCAACTTGTTTTGTGTTTTCAATGTTGATTCTATCCAGAGACGAATCAGACTGGGCCACCACCCTGCGAATGTTTCAATACTTCCTTTCACTGTGTTTAGTTTTTTGCTTGTTGTCATTTATTGGTGCATTCATAGGGGACAGGAAATGTTTTCGAACGTCAAGGCGCCACTGGCTGGGTCCATTAGAAAGCATTTACGGCTCATAAACGATGAATGCCCATGTACTTCCGTGATGTCAGTCGAAAGTACTACTCATAGCTATTTGATAATACTACGTGACTTGACGCCACTAGAGCTGTCTTTCTGGGAAATAAATGATCCAATCTAATAAATACGATAATCTCTTTAACAGCAGCATATTATATTTTATATAGCTACCAAGCTTGATGCAACAGCCGCACTTATATCAAATCTGTTATAGTTTGTTATAACTTGGACTCCAGATAACCCGGTTATACAGAGGCCTCCGTCCGTAGAAGACCCCCTAATAACCTGGTGTCAAATGACAGCAGCAAAAGGTGGTAAATGATTGGTTATAGCGTTTGATAGCGATATATCGACTAAATTAATTATATTAATAAGCTTAATAAGCGTATATATAAGGATAAAAAATCTATAAATATATATAAGTAGAAATTAATTAAATATTATATTTAATATACCCCTCTAGCTTATTGTAATGGCCGTATATGCTGGCAGCGATGATACAGCATATGCCATTCGACCAAAAGATCATACACAGTGATGACGCTCGTCATCTCTGGTCGCTGCACTGCTTATATGCTTGATGTTGGGTGCCACGTGACGTGGGCTTGGTGGGCGCATGCTGCGTGGCATGACACTTATAGCTATCTAAGTAGCTTAAATATAATAATAATAATAAAATTTATACTCTGTTAGCTCTAATAGCTATTATAAGGGGTTGAACCTTTATTTCTTTCTTAGATCACTATATACTTTATAATTAATTTACGGAGCGAAGCGAAGTATATTATTCCAAAAAGTGGATATATAGAAGGGGTCAAATGTGCGTATTTGTGGGTCTGCTGTAAATTACGTGATTGGTTGAATCCTGAGCATTTGATTGGATACTTGTAACCTTGCATAACTAGTGGCTTGGCAGCTTAGTCATCTTACCCCATCAAAATATTTGAATAGTAATGCTTAGTCATCAACATGTTGAATGAGTGCTGAGTCATCAATATGTTGGATGGATGCTTAGTCAGCAACATGTTGGATGGGTGCTTAATCATCATCTTAGTCATCAGGTCACGTGAATTTTTTTGCACATCGATATTGAATACATTCGCTCCATTACTTATAGATAGCTCTGCTAGCTATAGGAGAAAGCTTAGGCTTTTGACCTAGTAACACCTTCCGGTGTCAAAGTGTCAGCACCTAAGAGTAGTTAGGCTTTTAGTTGTGGGATAATATATGCTTCAACGGTCATCTGGGCGATAGCTGGTCCTTGGGCTGGTCCATCGGGCAGGGTACCTAGTATACTAAGGTGAAATTTCACGTAGCCGACCGTGGTGTTCTGGCCTATACCGTTAACTTTGACTGGGTTGGCTTCGGCGACTGTAAGTCCCCATTCTTTTACTAGGTTAGCGTCTATCAGAGTAATGCTGCTTCTAGTATCTAAACAAATGTTGACTGTATTGGTTGAGTCGTTGACGTATACTAAAGCTGTGGCATACTGCCATGGACGGAATGACTGTCCTGGTATTGGCTTATTGGCATCCGTACATGTTGACGTGATGACCGGAACTACGTCTTTACTTAGTGACGCCAACAAAGCTTCCGCCAAGAGCGTCGTTGCGTCTTTCGTTGTTATATAGTTGGCTTCTTTAATATGTCCGTGCAGCTTGTTGGCACTAGTGAAACCTTGCTTATATATCTTACATGTCGCGATTACTTTATCGGGGCACACATGTAATAAGTATTCATTTTATGTTGCGAAGTTGGCTTGACAGTCGTTATAAAGGACTGAGCAGGCGGTCGTCGCGTTGTATGTAGACTGTTCAAAACTATCATAGTCGTATGCCGGGTCTGTAAGATTTTGATCCTGGTCTTCTGGCCATCCTTCTTCATAATCCTGTGGCTCCTGGTAGTCGTCCTCTTGCCCTTCTTGGGACTGTTAGTCCGTAGACGGTCCGTCGTCTTGTGTACCGTCGGCGTTGTATGCCGTTTGACGTCTACCGTTGTTCTGGTTCTAGTTCCATGGCTTTCTATTATTGCGGTATCCGTTATACTGTCGGTAGGTAGGTTTGTCAGCTAACAAAAGCTGACCTCCTGACTTGCCCGGTTGATATTAAGTCTTGTCTGCGTCACTAGAGGGTTTGGTCTGATTCGTATCCTGATTGCGATGGTGATACGCATCTGACGCCGGGTCGAACCTATTCTGATGGGTGTAAGCTGGACGTCCTCTGTAGTAGCCACGGCCACGACCGCGACCTCCATAGTTATTGTGATAGGAAGTCTGGGTGTTATGTCGTGGTTGATTAGCGCCCTGATAACTACGGCTCTGCTTACTGATGTTTGAACGGTATTGCGCAATATCCCTCCAGATGCCAGACTTCGCTTCAACGAAGTTCAAAAATTCAGCCCTGGTAGTCAATGGCGTCGGTTCGGGTATGTCACGTCGGAGATCTGGTGACAAACCATTCCAGGACTGAGTTAATTGGTTATACGTAGATTTGATATTTGCAGCTTGTGCGTGTCTAAACATTGTATGTGCATATGTTCTGACGTCGTGTCCTTTATGGATATCTCCCATTGTAAAGGTCAGTTTAGTCATGGCAGCTAACGCCTCTGCTGCCCTTGGTTTAAACCGCTTAACCAAAGCGTCGACCCATCCAGCTTCTATAGTGAAAGCTGTCATCGCCCGCTTTTCTATGTTCGTCAATTCAACTGTGTACCACTCGAGGGCCTGTCCTCTTAGGCTCGCCTGTACGTTGGACCGCACCAGGTTTTCACCTTTCGTTATGACCATATCCTTCAGTCTATTAACGAAGACGTAAACGCTCCGGTAGTATGTGTGTTGATTAACTTGGACAACTGGTCTGTCTGCATTATCTTTCATGTGTGGGTAGAAATAACCCAGTTCTTCTGTTTTCCATGTCGTAGAAGTAGTGGTTAATGGAGCTGTTGCACTGACCGTCGATATCGGTACTGGAGGTGGGATATCGTGTTACGAGTGAGGTTCTGTTTGTTCTGGCGGGTCGTGATGGTTAGTCACCCCTGCCACCTGTTCGCGTCTTTAGCGATCGAGTTCTATAATGCGGGTGGTATTATAGGTTGTCTGATCACGGATAAGAGTTAACTGTTCCATAATTTGTGTCATCGTGTTCTGAATGAGCTTGATTTGATCAGTTGTGACTGGCTGTGACGCCGTGGTATCCGAAGTAGCCATAGTGGGTTGTGAAGGCCTGTATCCTACAGACGGAGGTTCTGATGGCACTGGACTAAGAGATTCCCTGTCGTCGTCTGACGGTGGCGTCCTGTAGTTGATAAATGAGGGTGGTGGTATTGGTGTGACTGATGCAATACGCCTGGTGTGTCGTGCTATTGGAGCCGATGGAGGTTCCGGAAATGAGGTTGTAGGTTCCTGTGTCGTGTCACGAGACTGACGCGTCGACTGAGAGCGGGGTCGTCCTAATGGGCGAGTTGGCTCGTCGTCAGAATTGCCTGTTATGGAAGTCTGGTTGTTCTGTCGCCAGTTGTGGTAAGTGGGGGTTTTTACGACTTCGTCTGTCAACGTCAAGAAGCGTCTGACAGCGCTATTCAAAGATGGTCGGTGAATAGGCCAATCCTATAGTACTGGCGCTGTGATAGGATGAACAGCGTCTTGTTGTACGACGAGATATTGAATTCTAGTAAGGGTATCAGAGTCAAACTGGTCGTGACCTATGTACCGCAAGGTACGAAACGTCCGCAACTGTAGTGCGAGTTGAAGAGCCTCTGTTCGAACGTCCGACATGGACTATATACTGCTGTAAGGCAGTAAATAAGTGAAATAAATAGGGTATTTATATTGTAAAATTTGGGTAGTTATGAAGTTTGACGTTTGAGAGTTGTACGAGTGGTGGCAGTGTTATTATGTCGTTAAGAGGAGGTTGGAAGAGTAAGGACGGACACCGTCTATGTGTGTGTGTTGGCTAGTCGTAGCGCCCCGGCGTACCCGTGGACGTTAGAAAACAGGACAAGACATGCTACCAATTGTAAGATTGGTCTCAGGTTGAGCTAAGGTAAGCTGTCATTGATGTTGATGCTTGTTGTTGTGTCAAGATGTTCCGATGGAACGTTATGACGTCCTATATATGCTGACTAATCTCTGCTTACTAAGAGTACATGACGTAATAATGTAACACTGAGTCTACATTACGTGATTAACTCTTGGTGGAGACCTCGGGCATAAATACTAGCTACCAGAGAGGGGCCGGAATCCGAGCTCCCGTGCTCTAACTAGTTACCCAGTGGAGCACGAGGCGGAGTCCCGCTCTATGAAGGCCGGAATCCGGGCACACCACGCTCGAAGATAGAGGACAGAAAAAAGAGTGCGACCACGGAGTATATATATATAATAGCGAATTCACTAGTTACTGGCTCTACAAATTTTCAACGATACAAACTTCCCCATTTTATTATATAACACGAAGTCGAGTTTTGCTCACGCCAACATGGAACAAGCTACTTCCCAAACTAACGGCGACGAGGCCGTAGTTCGTGAGGCCACCCGGATGAATATGCAAGAGGCGCTCCGCGCCGAGGCGGATGCCACTGAAACTCCATCCGACCTAATGGTGCGCATGTTCAATTTAGTGAGTGAAAACATTCGCCCAATCCTTATCCGATGCTAACAGTTACTTCCTTTCACCTCTACCAGCACCTCGAAATCGCTGTTGTTCGCATTGGCTGTGACCTTGGTTTCTTCAAGTTGCTAGCCGCGGCGGAAGCGCCACTCCGCGTGGAAAACCTGGCACGATCAGCCGGCGCAGACCCGCAACTTTGTGGGCGCCTATTACGCTATCTCGCATCAGTCCGTCTCGTTGCGGAAACGAGCAAAGACTATTACGCGGCAAACAACTCGACTAGAGCCTTGGCGGATCCAAAAATTCATGATAGCATGTACTATGTGTAAGCTTTAATTTTCGGCTCTTCCCACCGCTCTATGAGCTCGCTAGTCCCTACATAGCTAACTAGCTACGCTTCTTCCCTTCGTCGATGAAGCTTCAATACCGCCGGGCCTGTTTTTCAGGCGCTGCCCGAGTTCCTCAGGGGGACGAAGTACGCGAAAACCGCGGACGGAAAATACGCATGGCATAAGGGGTTTAACACGGAACTCGACTTCTTCCCTTGGGTGAAGCAGCACCCGGAACATCTCCAGGCATTCCAGTCCCTGATGAGTGTGCCGCGTGAAGGCGACTGGCTAAGCGTGGCGCCGTTCACGGAGCTCACGTCGGGCGGCCCTGAGCAAGTGATTTTCGTAGACGTCGGAGGCAGCATCGGTCATCAGTCGGTGCGATTAAGAGCCCGATTCCCCGATCTTCCAGGCCGTATCATCGTCCAAGACTTGGAAGAAACCATTAAGGCTGCTCCACCAGCTCCAGGTGTCGAGTTTATGGTTCATAACTTTTTCAACCCTCAACCAATCAAAGGCAAGCTGAGTCTTACGCTCTATCCTCCATTTCCCTCCCCTGACGTTGGAAACATTCGAGCCCACACTTACCTTTAACATGCAGGAGCAAAATTCTACTATCTCCGTACCGTCCTCCATGACTGGGAAGATAGTAAGGCGGTTGACATCTTGAGGAACATCATTCCCGCCATGAGTGCCGACTCCCTCATCCTAATCGACGATATGGCCTTGCCAAATACTGGAGTTCATAGGGGCCCAGCCTCCTTAGATCTGCATATGCTCATGATGCTAGGGGCATTGGAGCGGAACCTCGATCAGTGGAACTCTCTCCTCGAGCAGGCGGGCCTGAAGGTCGTGGATATCAGACCTTACCACCCCGTCATGCGTCACTCGATCATTATTGCGGCGAAGAAGTAGCCAGCCTCCGCAGCAGCTAAGGGGAATTCTGTGGTTGCTTACTAGTATCGTTTGACATGTATCACAGTCCTCCAACAATTTACCGCATCTCAAAAATGTTCTACTTCCAACCTCTTACCTTGTCGCGTAGCCTCAATACGTTTCCCTAGAATACTGCTTCGCAAGTAGCAATATAACACAAAAACGGAGTACTTTATCAATTCGTGTGATTGAATAATACTGGATGCGAGTTGTACCCTAGATATAGATTATATATGGTCCAATACTATATTCTATTAGGGTATTTTCAATAAAAGGGTGACTTGTGAGCCTATCCTATATAAGAGACATATTATTAGTAGTCAAGTACAGTTGCCTTCACGGCAGAATTAGATATTTACTCTGTAGTTATACGGTGTCAAAATATGTAGCTTAGTCAGCTTCTATCTAGAATTCTCTGTATATAACTACACGAGGATAAGCTCATCAATATTATCACTATTCACGGTTATTCGTTCAATTTACACGTTCAGCCAATCATTTTGACCTTCTGCTGCTGTTATTTGACATATAGTTAAGACCATAGCAAACCGTAAGTTAGACTAGATAGGCTGGCTCAACCCTTTTTCCATCTGAAAACTCGATGCGTCGTATTTCCTAGGCTCTCTGGCTGGCAAAGGACAGCTGTTGTTCAATCAAGTCCCCTACTATTTGCTCCTGCGACCTCCAACGCAAGCCCAAGATCTCCTCCGCTGCCGACACATCGGCGTCCACGCCAGTCCAGCCCCCAAACGGCCCAACTTCTGGAGGAGCCTCAAGGATCGGATAACGTCTCGACTTCACAACCTCGACCGCGCCCGACCAAGTGAACTCGCGACCTGCGAGCAGGAACTCCATATAAGGCTTGGGCAAGGCCGCGTCGAGAGCACGCAGGCACGCATCGGCAACATCCTGAACATGTACACAGCACGTGACGAAACCGGCCTGGGGGACGTTGTTTAGCGCAGACCAAAGGACAGCGTTCATGCCTGAGATGTCGGCGGCGGTTTTCTGGACAAGACTGTGCCCAAGCACATATCCTGGATGCATCGATACCACCTCCAAGTAGCGAGCGTTGTGGCGCGCCCAGTCCCGACCAGCCTGATGAGCAAGGATCTTGGACCCTTGGTAGCTCAGCCAAGTACCGATCTCGCCCGGGGGTAGAGCCATGTCCAAGTCAACCGGTATTGCGGCGTCCGCGTTGTCTACATGGGAGTCTGTCATCAGCCTTTTGCGCTGACACGATGCGTGAACCAAGCGAGTGTATGGCGCAAGTCGAACTCACCGCGGACGCGTACATATGAACCGGTTAAGGCACCGAGGGGAATCAATGCCCCAAACGAGGACATGAGAACGACCCTTCTGACACAGGGATGGACCGACGCGCTTTTTAGCACGGCCAGGACACTGTTCACGGCTGGGTTGACAAAGTCACGTCGTATGTCGTTTCCAGCGGATGACCCTGGCAGCGGAGACGCAATGTGGATGACATGGCTGACACCATCCATTACATTTTGCAGAGTCTCGACGGATGTAAGGTCGGGAACGACGACGCATTCGACTCTCTCGCTATGAGCGTGAAACAGGCGCTGCAGCTCCGCGACTTGCATCTCGTGGCGGACACTCAACCGCACGTAATACCCAGCCTCCAGAGCTGCTTGGGCAGTCTGCGAGCCGATGAAACCGGTAGCACCGGTGATGAAGATTGTTTCGCGTGTCATGTCGACGAGAGAAATAATAAATGATTACTGAGTTTGCTTTCAGGTCAGGTTCCCACATACAACTGGTGTGGCTAGCCTACCCTGATTGTCAGCCGCGATACGATATGGTACATTATAGGGTGGCCGAACTGGCTGAAAGAGCTGTGCCCCTATTCTTAGGACATGCTATCGGATCCCGAAGAATGCCTTATCTTCCGAGAAAGTGTCCATCGGAAAAGGCTGTGGCTCTTATCCTTATTAAAGCTTTAGCTTCCATCGGCAAACACTCGGTTTTTGGAGGCAGTCAGGAAGTGGTGACAAGAGAATAATCAATATATCTATTTATCTATCTCCGCAGAAGGAATCATCCATCTTTCAACAAATTTGGATGGCAACTAAACTATGACGATAGAAGTCCTATGTAAATTAAGCCTCCAACTCCCTCAGAACTGGAAGACCTGATCCTTGGTAAATCCAATCTGTTTGAGGATACCATCGTGCCTCTTACCCACTAGAGCAGCTTCCATGGCGGGGGGTCCGCACACGAAGACTTTCGTCGCCACGGATTTTTCTCCTGTCTTGGGTAGCACCATATGCTTTGACAGCAGGTCGGCATTGATCCGGCCTTTTTCATGAGGAGATCCGGGCTCTGGGCTGCCAACGACAAAGGTGGCTTTAAACCGATCCGGGAACTGGTGCCGCCATTGGTCGAACTGGTCCTGGAAGAGGATCTCGGATTCTTTGTTAACGCCGTAGATGAGATTGATCTTGGTCCTAGTATCGTCTGGGTTGTTGAGGATACCCTGGGCAAGCTGGTACAATGGGGTGATGCCACCACCGCCAGCAATAAGAGTTATGTCTTCATGCTTATTTGGCGTCCAGCTGTAGCTAGGGATTACGGCGGCAATGAGTAGTGTGTCACCTGGGGAGAGGCTGTGCAGGTGTGTGCTCATTTTGCCGCCCGAATAATGCTTGACTGTAAGATCCAGAAACCCGGGTTCATCTATACAACGTCAGTCCATTCTCTGAGCATAGAGATTCCCAAGGACAAATTTTACCAAGCCGGCTCACCGGAGTATACGGCCTTAAGACGGGGAAGAAGCTGCCCTTTGGCCATGCGACGGACAGGACGGCAGCTGCACGAATTAGCGCTCGTGTTAATCATGATCGGTGATACGACAGTTTAAGAAAACAGCGGAGAATGGAAATACGTGGACTCACAGCAAAGGCCCAGGCCGCTGATGGTGTCTGGCGTGGGAAGCTCGAACCTCAGACGCTTGGAGGTCGGCGAAACCTGCTCAGAACTGTGCAGTCGTAGACGGAGAAAGCTAGGGCCGGCCTTCCAGAATGCTGCCTTGGTTGCTGGTTGGGACATGCGGGATGAGGTCTGGAAATTCCGGGTGATGATGAAGGTAGTGAAACCAGCAGCTGTGACGCCAGCGAGAACTCTGCCAACTGGCCAACCACTGAGACGACCTCGAAAGGTTATGAGCGTATGTTTGACTGCTTCCATGGCCGATTCGACATGTGGAATAAAAGAAAGAGAGAGAGAAACAAAAAAAAAGAGAGGAATGGAGAAACGAGCGACGCTTGAGCTGTTGACGTTCCGATGCAATGACAATTGGCCAGAACAATCAAAGGGCTGCTAGCTATCTATAAGGATAGAAGCAGAGTCGGAGCAGCTCGAACGAGTTCCGCCCCGTTGCTTATTTGGTATCAGTGGAGAATACTCGGAACCCGGCCTACTAATAATAACTAGGATAATAATGTGCGTATATTTTGCAAGTCGGAGAACGGACACAGCCTCCGGCCGGGAGAAAAAGGTGTGTTCCTGTATACGCCGATCCCCTTTTGTAGACGAGTTTCTCTCGTGGTACCACCAGACCCCCGCTGATTGTCCAGGGGATGTCAATGTCAGCGAGCGCGCTGTCTGTCCCGCCGGTGGGTCCTGAAAATTAAAGCACCGACGAACCAGAGTACGGGGTATGGAATACTGAATTCTGATCCTTTTGGGTGATTAAAAAAGGTGTCTAATACAGCCAAAATACAACATAGAAGTGAAGAAGAAGAATATATATTTATATATATATAAGCTATCTAGATCAAAGCGCGTTTACGGAAGCTTAAATATCCTGCTACGCTTCCATAACTAAATATACAAGCCAGGGGTTGGCGGACATAACAACCACCCGGCTCAAACGCATAATCCCAACCGATACTAATGACCCTACCACGGCTGCACATGGGTCGCATACTCTGCCGTCTCGGGCCTATAGCGCTGCCGTTGCTCTAACACGCAATTCATAGCCTCCTGCACCTTCAGCTTTAGTTCGAGAAGCAACCCTGGGATCGCGTTGTCGCTTGTCCTTTCAGGGGTGCTATCACCTAGGAGGCTGCTGCTCCGGTGGGCTAGTCGAGCAGCTAGACTAGCCACCTGCTGGAGCCACTTCTCCTCCAAGTCCGTCTCAACGCTGCTCATGTGGCCCATGTCATTAACGATGCAGTCGAGGACAGCGTGGCTGCCGGCCACGACGAGCAGTAGAATGTCCTGTCGCAGTGCACATTCGCATATGAGCGTACACGCCAATTGCCGCAGCATGGCATTGGCTAAGCCGGGACCTGCGAGGCGTCTTGGTCGGGTCTCTAGATCCAGGAGAAGGTCCACAATCAGATGGAAGCAGTCGTGGGACTCGGGGTTTTGCTGCTTCTGCTGCTGCTCTGCGCTAATTGCAGCTGTCGTTTCGGTCGCCACAGCTATCGTTGGCGTCGGAGATACCACCATTGTTGCACAGCTACGAGATAATGGCAAACTCGCCGTTTGTTCATATGATGGAGGTGTATCGCTAGCTCCCACTTCCTGGGTATCCGTAAGATCTGTTGGTTCTTTGGGGGACCCTCGTTTTGCTGCTGTTGTCGTCTGGTGCTGATGCGGCCTTCCGATCCGCCGTGCCGGGCTATAGAGGCATGACGAGCCCGTCTTTGCGCACCGCGAGCAAGTGGGTTTTTCCTTGGAGCACCGCACCTTGGAGGCAGCGCAGCTGTCACATGAACCCTTGAGCTTGCATGCGCCACCTAGCTGTGACTGTTTGCGGCCGTCGAGTGGCATGGCCATGTCGTTTCGCGTTAGGGGCCTATAGAATGTTTAAACAGCCGATAGAAGTACGGAGTAAGGAATGAATAAACAACTAGTTAAATAAATACTGAAAACTTTGATAGCCACGAGTTCAACCAAACTTGGGATTTTACGTATCTACAAAGCGCGATTTTAGCAGCCTAATACACTGCTCAAGCTTGCTATGTCTGGGTTTAGCATATGCTTTGCCCATCAAGTCATCGACTTGTCTCCATGGGTCAGAGTACGGGTATATTGACACTGTTGTGGATCATCCGGACTCCGAGTAGGTTGCCCACCCGCACCCGACAAGGGACTGCCCTAGTGTCAGTTTTTGTATTAGTCAGCTACATCTCGCTTGGTTCAAACACCTCGCACATTCGATAGAGCTCAATATGATCATCCTCCTTTTTGACACCTAGTTTGTTCAAAACTCCCCCCTGCGTATCACAAGCGACCCGGCGAACGCTCGACTTATGCCGATCCACCATCCAGGGTATCCTAATCAATATGTAAAACTTCGTAAGCCCTAGGCTCGCGAGAAGACATGGTAGTATAACCAATTACCGCCATGCACTGGTCGTTGTGATGAAGTAGTTATAGCTACCAAGGTGTATTAAGGGAGCCACGGCTCAAGAGCGGGTCGGCCCATTAGCCAAGAGCTTATATTCGCCGGCTGTTATTAACTATTTATCCGTGATACGTAGTGCTGAGTAGAAACTTGATGTTCTCTGTAACCTTTGGGGAATGTTATATAGCGATTATATATTAGGCCTTTTGGCTAGATATATTTCTATTCCCATGCATATTCGATACCAGTTTACGGAGTACTCCGTAGTTAACTAGCCAGCTAGTTAACTAAATAAATACGAACAAACTTGACCAAGAGCACTCTTTGTACGGAGAAGGCCCCCTCCACGACAACGCATATAGACGGCGTGATAGATGGAATATGCGGTGTGCTGTTACCACACATATCAAAGGGGCTAACAGGGGTTCGAGATCGCACGGTGGGGATCTCGGTCCTGTTGCGGGCCACGAAGCAACTTCGCGCTGGGTAGGCGGACGGCCAAAGGCTCACTGGATCTCCTCGTAGAAGCACGTTTGCTTTTACTCAGTCTCCTACATATACCTTTCACAACAAGTAAGTCAAGTACCACTCGTTATCCCGCTCTCCAGGCCTCAGTCCGGCTCGCGGTCGCATGAACAACACACCATAACTACCCCCAGCCACGAGCGATCCTTCTCCCGTGTCTTTTACAACTCCTTCCTTTTATTTTTTTTTTTTCTTTTCTTCTACAGCCATCCTACTCACGCCAGATAACTTATATACAAGTGCGAGAGTGGATGCTTACTGTGCCCCATCCCCTATGACGCCGATGGCGAAGGCGTCGGAAGGGTTGTAACTGTTGGATGTCTCTCTCAGCTAGCCTAGCCTTACTGATAGTTACCTCTTTCGAAACTCGGTTTGCTAGCCATATCAGCAAAAAAAAAGATAGATAAATGTGAAGATGAAATCCACCCCAGAGAGATGAGATGGACTGAAAATTCAATTGTTGTATATGTACATTTAATAGAAATCTCCATATCCATACCCCTACGTCAACTCAGCCAGCTACTAAACATGGCGAATGAAACATTATCAATGTCATGCGATGCTCTGTTTGATATCTTCTGCATGAGCGATAGTGGTATAGACGGTGAACAGACTGGGGATTGTGGCCCCCTTGATTCAGCGCACGACAAAAGCGAGCTCGAACCCAAGCCGTGCTCCTCCTGCATGCCGGAGTGTCTGAAGGTGATTCGCACGCTTCATTCACCGCAGTCAACTCGCCACTGCGTTTTCGACAGCACCCTCGATTCGGCCTCGTACCACCAACAAGCCTACGGTCGTACCTTGGGCCAAGTCCTCGCAATCAACCGACTGGCCCTGCAGTGCGGAGCCAGAGCTATGCAATGTCAGTCATGCTGGAAGAAGCCGGCCGTTCAGCTGTTTGTCTCCATCATCTGCGATAAACTCATCTCATGGACAATAATACAATCGTCTTCAGCAGCAGTTGAGACCACGCATGTTATATCCACGGCGGAGAAGCCATTGTCGTCTCTCGACCTCTACGGCACCGGCAGCAGTAATACCAGCATGCTCGAACAGTCTGTTAGTAAAGTTGCCAGTGAGGCCGTTCTCATTGGCGAACACGCCATTCCCTCATCCGAATCTCTAACCAGTCGAATTGGGCTTCTGGCAGCCATGGATAGCTTGCAAGCTACGGAGCGATTATTGCGTACAGGTGAACGGCAGCCAATGTTCGGGGCAATGCGGTCAAGTTTTTCGGGGACTGTCGAATATCTCGAGTCAAAATTAATGCAGGCTAAGTCTCTGACATTGCACGAAATACAAAAACACATAGTAAACAGCCACCAATCGATGATTGAAATAGGGAATGGTTACGATCCCTATTTGCCCAACCGAGACGGCCGCAACAACCATATCACCAACCATCACAAGGGCGATTCTTATCATTTCGTGGCGCCCTCTCTCGTTTCTATCGACCCCACGGCATACCTTTAGACAGGTTTAACTCCTTTTTTGCGACATTCAAGAACACCAAGCGAAGTCCACGGGCCCTGTCCCTTTGAAACTCTAGTGATCTCGAGACCTGCCACGGAGGCTACCTCTTTCCAGCAGCTTAATGTTCGCTGCTTACCTCCCAAGCCAAGCATGAGAACGTCCATTGTCGCGGCCAGGACTTGTGGCGGGTTATCCATCACATCCTCCTGGATCAACAGCCTGCTGTCCTCGGCCATGCTCCCGGCCACCACACGAAGCATGTTGCTGACAACTCGGTCTGGGTAGTTATGACAGCAGCGTCGGATAAAGTACACATATGAACCTTGTTTTGAACTTTTGTTAGCTCTCTAATACATTGCCCTCGGTGCTTTTCAATCACTTCTTCACTGCCATTATTTCAAAGCTAGAGAATATTATCTTGTTACGTACCTTTGGTGGGCTGTTCTTTGTGAAAATCAACCGCTATCTTGGCGATGTCGCGAAGCTCTGCGTCTTTGGCCACTACCTCGCCATTGATAATTTCTTGTCGGTCCTGCAGCACAAAGCGGCTGGGAGGTAGGCTGGGATTCTCGGCCATGATGGCCTTGATGGCCTGTCCGATGCCGCCTCCAATGTCGACAAACACAGCGCGGCCTTTGGACTTGGCAGGCTCGTTTTTGAGGCGCTCAACAAGCCAGCTGAAGTCGTAGATGCCGGCGATGGGCATCTTAACCTCCATAGCCTCCATCTGCTTCGAGAATCGCTTGGCCCACGCAGGGTCGCGGCCGATCATCTCGTAGACGCTCAATTCAGCGCACCCATAGGCAAAGGTGGCGGGGACGTGATTGATCGTTTGTGGCTCCTTACGGCCATACTTCTCAAAGTACTCGGGCATGGAAATGTAAGGAGTCAGGGACATTTCCCAGCTAGAAACAACACATTAGTATTCGTGTTAGGATTGCGGGCAAAGAGTATTCCAGTTTCTATACACGCACCACAGCTGACAACCAAGTCTTTGAGTCTGACCCTCCAGAAAAACGAGTGACTTGGGCGTATGAGCGATTTGGTCTGCGCCAATCTGATCCAGCACCCCCTGAGAGACGAGGACGCCGCCGATACGCCTTATCAAAGACTCCTCAGCGTCGAGCTTAGAAGCCAGCTCCGCATACGATATCGTAGCAATTTTGGTGCTGCGGGCAGGAATGAGATCCCATGCACCCCACTGGCTGAAGAGCCGCGTGGCAACGAAAATTGTGCCTTGGATGGTCATGTCGACAGCCTGGTCGGCAGGGTCCTTGACGATGGACAGCATCTGCCCAAGGATGAGGGCTAATCTGGATCGTTGGCCCTCCTCTGCGGTAGTGTCATAGGTAGACGCCCTGCTCGTGTACTCTTGCAGGAGCGTGTTCAACTGTACCTGAAGTTGCTGAAGCTGGGAGGCTAGGCCAGTAGGCGCCATGCTTTCGATTAATGTATTCGCGGTCGACATCGTAGGCTGCTTGATTGCAATTGTTGTGTCTGTAGTTCTTTGTCACATCAACTTGGGGCATCCCTCTTCCTTATAGACGACGTCCATCCGCGGTACGAGTTTCACAAACTTCTGGTTTTTTGGCTCAAGAGCTGTCACTGTGGACATCGCTGCGTTTCCTGTGACACGGAAATGGATACTTGATAGCCCTACTGGCCGGAGTCCGATAATGGGTGCATGCCGAACACCGACACTAGTATATCCAGTTATTTTTTCCCCAGCGTAGACCCATATTCCGCGAGCCCTATAGTATTGCATAATGTAGCCGATAGTCGACTTATACCCAAGTCAGCCTTTTCCCTCTATCAAAAAGGCCCGCCGTCCGCAAAACACGTCTCGCGTGCTGTTGTGTTGCCAGGGAAAGAATAACTTTAAACCACTGGCCCGCGTGAGCTCTTTTGGTCTATTATAATTTATCAATTCTCCTACAATTGTTGAAGAGGTGCCCTGACGATATCAAATACAAAATGAGTCGGAACGCGGCAAATATCAACACTTGTGTATGGGAGGACTGGCTGTCCGCCCAGAGGGCTGTCATTCCTCCTTTGCTTGATGTCAAAATCCTCAGTCCAAGAGTTATCCGCATATTGGGGGGAAACCCTGGGCCCTTTCAGCTGCAGGGCACGAACACATATCTTGTTGGTATGGGAGAGAAGAGGATTCTGGTCGACACGGGTGAGGTAATAATTCCATGTCTTTGTCTCCTGTACTTCAACGGCTTGATTAGCTTTAGCCCGAAAGGCGGTTTAGACCAACAAGCTTAAAACCGTATGCTGATGTGTCACAGGGCAAGAAATCATGGATAGACAACCTCGTCGGCGTGCTGGGGAAGCATCACCTATCCATTTCGCATGTGTTGCTCACGCACTGGCATGGAGACCACACGGGCGGCGTTCCAGACCTGCTATCTTCAGACAACGCAGTATCTGTCAGCGAGGACGACGTGTATAAGAACAGTCCTGACGCTGGACAACAGCCCATCCACGACGGTCAGGTATTCAGCGTTCCCGGCGCAACTTTGCGCGCCGTGCATACCCCTGGCCACGCCGAGGACCATTGCTGCTTTGTTCTCGATGAGGAGAACGCCCTGTTTACCGGCGACAACGTGCTTGGACATGGATACAGCGTCGAGGAAGATCTTGCCGCATACATGGAGAGCCTGGGGCGTATGCGCGACTGCAATTGCACGATTGGGTATCCAGCTCACGGCGATGTCATCATGGATCTGCCTAAAACTATACGTTTGTACATCCGTCACATAGAAGCAAGAGAAAGCTTGATCACCAGGGCCCTGAAGAAGACCGGGAGTGAGGGGCGAGGGCAGGGAGGAACAGTGGCGCCGTTATCCCGCGGGCGGACTGTTGCAGACTTGGTCTTCGAGTTGCATGGGAACTTGCCGGAAGAGATAATGAAGATGGCACTGCTGCCTGCGGTGGGACGGATCTTGGAAAAGCTGGCACAGGACAAGAAGGTGGGCTTTAGGATCGCGTGGGGGGTCAAGCATTGGTTCTTGATGATGTAGCGCGTGTGCATAGTGAGGCAGATATTTTACATTCATCCGAGCTCATAAAAATACATGTAGGAGTTTGGATGTCAGGGAATATGCACGCCCTGCCTTGAAAGCGATTATCAAACAGGAGCACGTCGAGAGAAAAGCCTGCCTTACCTTATCCAGGCTCATCGTATGCTAACGCTGACCAAGTTCGCAGCCACGGGATAGAATCGAATTCGAATGCATATACCATGTACTCCGTAGTTATATATATCATCTCCAACCTCCTCGCCCTCCGCTCCCCCTTTTACCCCTTTTCTATTT